TTATTGGATTGATTAGATTGATTGGATGGATTAGTGTTATAGTATTATTATTTGATTGATTATCAATAGATTGAGTAGAAGTAGTATTTAATTGATCATCAGAAATGTTATTTGTAGTTGTAGTAGTACTATTTGTAGTAGTAGTAGTGTTATTATTGTTAATATCTAATGGTTGTTGTTGTTGTGATGGTTGAGTAGTATTTGTATTATTATTATTAGTATTAATTAATTCTTGTTGTTGTTCTTTTAATTTATTATTAATAATAAAACTAGTATGATAATTATTATTTAATACATTGTTATTATTATTGTAATGATCATGTTTAGTAAATATTAATGATGATGATGATTTAAATATATTACTATTATTATTAAATGTAATAGTAGAAGTAGTATTACATTTTAATATATTAATACTTTTAATACTAGTAGATAATCTACTACTACTAGACTTTAACATTTTAAACAACACAAAGTAGTAACTATGATGATAATAATATGTTAAATAATAATAACTTTTCCACACAAAAGAGATCTTTGATCAACAATTTAATTTGTTTGTTTTTTTTTAATTTCTCCGTATGGAACGTGAGTGATTGATTACATACAGTGAATCAAAATCTTTGATCGTATTGTGCTATCAATGTATATTTAATTATTATTGATTGAATAGATTCATTTGATCAATAGTTTCTTGGTAGAATGTTCAATATTTCGGAGATTAAACTCCTGAAAATAATCATCAACATCACATTAACTTTCATCTGTAGAATCAATTAAAAAAAAATGATGAGATATCATTCTAATAAAACTCATCATTTTATTATAAAAATAATAATACTATTAAATATATTTATATTATTTAATTTATTAATAACATGTCATTGTTATTTAGTAATTAATAATAATAATAATTCTAATAATAATAATTTTAATAATAATAATGAAATAATAATAAATTCAACTAATATAAATTATTCAATTGATAGATTAGATTGGAACCAAAGAATTCCATTTAAAAATCCCAAATTAATAATTTATTGTAAAAATAAAGAATGTGTACAAAAATGGATAAAATATGTAAAAATAAATGAAATTCCATTTAGAATTAGAAGTGGTAAACATTCATATGAATATTATAGTGTAGTTGATAATGGAATTGTAATTGATGTTTCATTAATTAATTTTATTGAATTAAATGAAAATTTTATAAAATTAGGACCTGGAAATAGAAATTTTGATATTTATAACTATTTATGGAAATATAATTATGCATTTACAGGTGGTACATGTCCAACTGTTGGTGTTTCTGGTTTTACATCTGGTGGTGGATTTGGATATATTTCTAGAAAATATGGATTAGCAATTGATAATTTACTAGAAATGGAAATTATTAATCATGATTCAAAATTATTAAAAATTAATCAAACAAATGAATTTAATGATTTATTTTGGGCAATGAAAGGTGGTGGTAATGGTAATTTTGGTGTTATAGTTTCATTATCTTTTAAATTAATTAAAGCACCTAAAATGGTAATTAAATATGATTTACATTGGAATAATTATAATAATATTTATAAAGTATTTAATATTTGGCAAAAATTAGCACCTCATACAGATAATAGATTAACAAGTCAATTTACAATTTTTAATAATTCATTTGCCTCTCAAGGTTTATTTATAGATGGTACTGAAAATGAATTAAAATTATTATTAAATAATTTAATAGAATCGAGTAGGGAAAATATGGATCAATTAAATTTTAAAATTTATTCCTATTATGATAGTATATTAGATTATGCACAATGTAAAAATGAACAAGATTGTTTAAATGAAATGAAAAAACAACCATCTATTGAAAATCCTATTTTATATAAAACTAAAAGTTCATATGCATTTAAAGAAATACCAAAAGAAGGAATTGATTATTTCATTGAAACTATACCAAAATTACAATTACAATCATCATCTTTTATTTGTGTACAATTTGATTCCTATGGAGGTGCAATTAGAGAGAATGATATTAATCTTGTGAAAAGTTCATTTCCACACAGATTAGCACTCTATCATGCACAATATATGATTTATTATTCAAATAGAAATGAAAGATATCAAGTTGAACAATTTATTAATCATTTATATGATTTAACTGTTCCATTTCTATCTCCACATTCATATGTTAATTATTGTGATGCCTATTTAAAAGATTATGAATTTGCATACTATTCAATTAACATGTTCAAATTAAGAGAATTGAAAAAGAAATATGATCCTTTCAATTTGTTTAAATATGAACAATCAATTTCATTCATTTAATCTCTTAAATCTCTCTCTTATTACTATTCAATATTCAAGAACATTTCAATCATATTTGAGTTTTGATAGGAATGATTCCACATCATTCGATGATGTTGATGACTCAAATAAATTTATACATAAACTATCTTCTGTTTCTACTCGTTTTCTTTTACCTGTTGTAACAGAATTAATTACACTATTCATATTTTGATGATTACTATGGGGTGGTGAAAATAGAAAGAATGAACTTGGTGATCCAAAGAAATCATCTGCTGATGATGTAAAATTATTCACATCATTAGTAGAACTACAATATCCTGTATTTAAGAGATTAATAGATTGATTCAATTTCTTTGGAGGTGTTGAAGGTGGTGTCACTTCAATAATATCATCATCACCATCATTTAATATTTCATCTACATGTTGATCATGTTCTTCTTCAACCTCTTCATTAGTATGATGCATATTAGTAGTAGTAGTAGTAGTATTATTAGTTGTACAAGTTGAAGTAGTAGTGGCAGTAGTAGTGGAATTCTTTTGAATAGAAGTAGTATTACAAGTTGTTTGAGAAATTGATGGAATAGAAGTAGTAGTAGTTTGATTTTGAGATGGATTAGAGTACATTGTTTGTGGGAAAGCATGCATATAAGGCATTTGACCACTAACAAATATTGGTGGTGGAGGGTATTGAGAAAGTGGAAGTGTTATATTTGATGAGGATGGTATTACTGAACTATTTGAATTACTTATTGTTGGAATTATACTTGAAACAATTGGTGGTGCACTACTTGTAGATGATGATATCACTACTTTAGTTGACTTTCTTCTAGATGCTCTCTTCTTCTTTTGTGCTACTACATTCGTTGTTGAATTATTAGTACTTGAATGACTATCTCTTGATAAACTAGATGGTGTTAAAGCACTTGTTGGTTGAGTTGTAGATGTAGCAGCAGGTGATATTGTTGGAGTATTACCATTATTATTGATATTTGGATTAGTATGGTGCTGAACATTACATTGATGATGATAGTTGCAAGTAGATGATGAAGGTGTATTATTAGTAGAATTATTAGTTGAAGTAGTGGAAGAAGAAGGAAATAATTGTGGAATGAAATGATCATTTGAAATAGTTTCTAATAGAGTTGACATTGTATTTAAAAGATGTGAAACTACTTGTTGTTTCTTAACATCTTTACAAATGGATTGAACTAGTATCTTTTTATAATTGTTCTGATGTTGTAAATTAGATAGTGTTATATATTCTGTTAGAATACTTTCAAGTCCTTTCATTGATGAATTTGTATCAAAATCTTGCAATAATTCTTGAGATTCTTTTTGAAAGGCTTTAAATGTTTCTGTAAAGTTGGAATCTCTTAAATATTGTAATATTATAAAGGCTATTTCTCCTTTAGATACTGATGTTGCTTCTTCAAGTTGATTATTTGTTGTAGTGGTATGAGAGTAGGCTTGTTCATCATGATGATGTTGAATGTGTGTAGCAGCAGGATCATAGTAGGTTGCTGATGATGATGATGACGACGATGGATCCACACAAATAATGTTATGACCATCACTAATAATACCTGTAGCAGAAGCAGCAGCAGCCGAGGATGAATCCATAGAAGCAACAAGATTGGCGGGATAGTGATGAAGGTTATGGTGGGCTGTGGCTGCAGACATTTTTTTTGAGTTGATTTTTCAAAGATTTGTGTAACGCAATATTTTGGCGCGAAACTTTGGTTCTTTTGGTGTTCAGTATGAATATGGTAACTGTAAAATGATTTTGGAGCCAAAAAGAACTCTACAATTTTGGATATAGTAATAAACAAACTCTTAGCAATTCAGATTGCTTGCAATTAATCCTGAAAAACAATGATAATAAGCAATGGAACGATAGTACTAATACTACTGAAGAATATCATTCTGACATTTAAATATTTAATTTTACAAAAAAAAATAATGCATCCACCATCTCCAATAACCATCATCATTCTCTCAATCTTTGGTATTTTAAACTTTTTCCTAATGATTCTTCTCTCCTTCATTCCTCCTTTGGCTATTTATTATATTGGAAATATATGTTGGAATAATAATTCTCATACTTTTAAAATGTTCGATTCTGAATATATAATAGATGGAGCTGATAGTCAGAGAATGGATCCGAGAGATTGTTACTTTTATAAGAAGGGAACTCTGAAGGCTTTGAAAATTTCAATCCTATTAACTTTGTGTGGTTATTTACCAGGTGTAATTTTAGTTTGGATTGTAATTGTGAGATATGAATTGTGGTGTAATGATCATCATCCTCCTTATAATTCAATAACTGGTAGGAATGGAAGAGCTTTTGCAAAGAGTTTATTTGCATAGTATAATATATATTGATAAAATTTACCAATACTTCATCAGATACAGCTGGAATGGGAGTAATCTAACACAGAAAAGATGTGAACCAAGAAACAGCTTGAAAAGCTATTCCACAATTATCTTTATGTTGGCTTTTCATCACAACTCAAAATGGAAACACAATTTTAAAATTGGAAGGAAAATTGCATATTCACCAATAGATCTGTTGCTTTTGGAGAGAAACAGCTCACAAATCATTGAAAACCTTCCAGTTCACAAAAAATTGAAATGGTGCATTTATTCAAAGCACAAAAGAAAAAGACACAATGTATGAGAAGAAACGAAAGCAAACTCTTGTTGAAAAGTATCCACTTGTATTTACTGCCTCTTCATTGAATATGATTTATTATGTTATCACTGCCTTGAGGGTAGGAAGAGCCAGATCAAAATATGGTGTTTTTGCTCCTGCTGTTTCAGGTAAGGTTTCTAATAATTTCACTTTCGAATATTTGTTTCGTACTACATGTAGGTCATCCTGAATTTGAAAAAGCTTTAAGAATTCAAATGAATGGTCTTGAATATCTACCAGTTGTCATAACCTCCATGTGGTCAACTGCTTTAATAACTCAAAATGATGTCTTGGCAGGTGGCATGGGATTAACCTATCTCTCTGGAAGAATATTATATGGAATAACATATCCAGATAAAAGAAGAGCTGGATTCTTGACACTCTTCTTCTCAATGCTAGGCTTGTTGGGAATTACAACTTTTTATTCAGTTGATGGACTTGTTAAAAAGTATTCGAATAAATTAAAATAAATGTTTAAAATTCTATTAGATGAAACAATGATTATGCAAATGTTTCAATCAATAAATTGATATTCTAATAAGATTATGAGTTATAATGGAAACTGGATGCAGAAACTTTTTGCAAAACTTAATAACTGGTAATATTACCTATTATTGCTGATGTTTATTCTATTTCAATTTTTATCAAAATAAATTGTAATCATCTATTCCAACAAACTTTAGTAAGGAAGAAAAAACAAGCATTTAAAAAAATGAAACCTCATCCTCATACTCTTGGATCTAGTAAAACTGATTTCAATGATGATTGTAGTAGTGGTGATGGTAGTAGTAGTGATGGTAGCACTTGTATTAACGGTAGTAAACTATTATCATATATTCAAATCCATACTGAATATGAAAATATGGTATCAATTTATAATTCCATGCATAAAGTGAATGATTTAATTCAACAAGCCTTTAAAATTTATAAATTCATTTCAACAAGTCCACAATTAAATTCTGATACAATTTTATTAGAAAAGTGGAGAAGAAAAGCATTTTGTAAAGGTAAAGAATCATTTATTATTATCGGAAGAATGTATGAAAATGGAAATGATAAATTAATTGGCAAAGATTTAAATATTGCACTTGAATATTATTTAAAATCAGATTCAGCAAGTTTAATTGGTAAAATTTATAAGAAATTAGGAGAATATTCTAAAGCTTTTGAATGTTATTTAAATGCTTTTGAAAATGGAAATGCTAAAACTGAATTAAAATTAGCAAGATTATATTCAAAATATTTACAAAATGAAAAATCAAAACCTTTAAATGATGAAATGTTATTGAAAATTAGTAAATCTTTAATTGTAAATAAGAGATTTGAAGAAGCAAACAAATTAATGAAATATGTTAATGATAAGACTACCAGTGATTCAATTGTTATTCAATTTTATATTCAAAAGATAATATTAACCAATTAAATAACAAGTAGAAGATCTAGTGTAATTGGATCTAGAATTGGAATAATAATGAACTATTTAAATAATATTATAACAATATTCATGGATTGAATTGAATGAAATGTCAATAGTAACATCAAACAAGTTTATTCTTGTTTTGATTTTTTAAGTTCTGGTTCTTCAACTGAACTTTCTAATGAAAGTTTTGCCAATTGTAAAGCACTTTCATAAGACTTTGCACCACCAATGAAACCAGAAGCATGTACAAAAATACAACCAGGAATTCCAGATTTTTGACTTAATTCTTCATCTCTAATACCTCTCCAATCCTTATGAAGTGGAACACGTGATGTAAATGAAGATTCAGATTGTGGAACAGCTTGAACTCTCCAATCACCTTTAACATCTTGGAAAAGAGCAAATTTAATTGATCCAATTGAATTTGTCTTTTCTTCTAAAACATATAAATGAGCTTTCCATGGACAAAATTGATCAAATAATACAATTTCACCTGATGAATCAACTTGAAATCTACTATTAAAAGCTCTTTCAACAATTTGATAAGCAGGAAGCCAATCATCAACATAGAAAGATAAACTTTCTAAAAATTCAGAACGTGTTAATTCAATTGCTTTAGAAAATCCTAAATTTAAACTTTCATCTGTTGATGGTTGATTCCATTTTGGATTAAATCTTGAAACACGATTTGGAAGTGTTGTTGTAATTTTATATTTCAATTCTCCATCTGAAACTTCAATACCATTATCATTGGCCTATTATTATGTTTTTTTTAATAATCATTTAATATTATATTAATATTATATTATAATTATTATTATAAGTATATTAATAAATAATATTAATAAATAATAATAAAAATAATAATAATACATACATCAATATGTTCAATAAAATTAGCATACATTCTTAAATAAATATCATCTTTTTGATCAATTGTTGCCTTTTCACCAACTAATTCTTCAATAATTTGTCTTCCAAAATGTTTATAAATTAAACCAGCACTTGATAATCTAATCTTATTAAATTTATCATTATCAAATGTATCTTTAAATGATGCTTGATGATGATCATAACGATGTTTTTGTGCATCATAAATAGCTCCAACATCAACTATAATATCACATTGTGAAAGAATTGTTTCATCTCTTGTACGAATAACAATACCATCTTGATATTCTTTTAATAAACTTAATAATCCAATTGCTAATGATTCATCACAATGAAATGATCCACTATGTGTACCAATCTTTTTAGTTTCAGACTATTTTTTGATCATGATGATGTGATTATGTTGGTGATTGATTAATATGAATAAATATTAAAGTAATCGGATAATGATGATGAATAAAGTATTATATAAACACATACTGATAAATCTTGTGGAATGTTAGAAACAACTTTATAAGCTACTCCTGAATTCATTCTATTATTATGAAAGGATCTTTTACTATTATTATTTAATATTGATGATGATGATACTATTATATTCTTTCCAATAGTAATTGCAATTCTACTACTACTACTATTAGATGAAGATGTATTGTTCAATATTTTTTTTAAAAACATTTTTTAATCAATTTCAAAATTGAATTTTATTTTTTATTAGTAAGAATCCTTTGACAATACAGAGGCGGGCCTGCAATTTGGTAGTCTTTGTAATGTTTTAAAAAAAAATGTAACAACACTGAACCTAGCATATCACTCTGCTGGTTACTCATCACAAACAAACAACAAAAAAACAATCAAATGCCAGCCACCATCAAAACAATCAAGAGTAGAAAAAACTGTACTAACTACTTCATCAATTACGATCGTGAATTCTTTGAACAACAACAAGAGAAGAAAACCAAGACACCAAAAGAGAAGGTATCGAAGGGGAGGGTTGTATCAAGTAGAGGAATCAAGAAGAGCAGAAAGAGTAATATCTCCAAGAAATTCAGAGAACCAGTTTGGGTAAAGAGAGTAAAGGCTCACCAAACCAAAGTTCAATCCATTCGTTCGTTCAAGCCTAATCCAATTGATAGAGCAGAGTTTGATAATTGCTTGAAGGAGATGAGTTTAAGAACTGGTAAACCATTTAATAGTGATACGGAAGTGTATGAATATTTAGAAAGAAGATGGAATGAGTTTTCTTTTGATGCTGTCAAGGTTCTTTGTGCTAATTTGCAACCAGGTGACGTCAAGTGGGGATACAAGTTACATTTAGGTACCATTTCTTATGCTATTTTGGATAGAATTTTGTGTTTGAACCATAATTGCAAGAAGGAGATTATTGATATCGAACAAACCATTAATAGAGAGAAAGTTCCAACCCGTATCTTCAAGTATCACTTTATGAAGGAGTGTGGATTTCCAAAATTCAAGTCAAGTTATGATTGGACTTTCAATTTGCTATTTCCAGATGAGGAAAAATCTTATCTCCAAATTTGTGAGTACACAGCCATGACATTGGTTTGTAATGACTATGATAACAGAGTATATGTTAATTGGGAAATGTCTTGTCATTCAATGAAATGTTACGATAATTTCGATTTTGGTTATTGGATGATAAGTAATTAAATTTTAATTTTCTCTTAATTATTAATATTGTTTTGAAATATTTCGAACTGACTTGCAAATTTGTAAATAATTATTTGGAAATGGATTTGGAGTGGAATTATTTCATCAATTAATGTACTTGGAATGAATTTAGGATAATTTGAAATTATTGGAATTAATTTTAATTTTGGATACATGTAGAAATTAGATAATTTTTGGATCGTTGAATTATATTATATAACAGGTAAGATTTGTCTCCCTTATTTCATTTTGTAAAATTATCTTATAGGATGGTTCTGAATAATTTAGTGAAAAGACAACTACTGTCTAAATGGGTTTAAAAAGTGGATGTCAATTGGCACTATCAGTGAATTAGCTATTAATATTTTATCCAAACTGGAATAATATTTAAGGTAAATCAACTTATTCAAGAGTGATGTCATTTCATTTTGAAATGAGTAATTTGTTACTTTGGCTTCATAATCCTCATACAAGGTATTGTTATTGAGAGCTTACATATGATTGGAGAATATTACCAACAGTTCCAAGATCTTATTGAATGAGGAGTATATTTGTAAAGAGAGTTTGACCATTATTAGCAATGGAATATTGTGTAATAATCAAGTTCGAATTCACTTTCGTCCAAGACGAATTTCTTAGTGACTAGTTCATTCACTTGCTATTCAGATTCAACTGGTTCGTTTTTTCAACATTAAAAAATTCCCAGTCGTCATCTCCACCTCCAACATTCTCTTCCTTTCATTTGAACTGTTAGCACTTGATTTACAGAGATTGTATAGATAGGTTCGAAATCAGATTTGTTGGGACCATTCAAATGAGCAGATTTCATTAATTATAGAAGAAAGGTTCATGAATATTTGATTGAAAGGGACAGATAATATCTGCAAAATTATTCAACACTTATACCATTAATCGCTTATTTCGACAACCGAAAGATCAAAGAAGGTTCATAAATCCTTTCATGCAAAGAAAACATACACCCTTCCATTTACTTTGCATACTTGTTTCATCCATTGAAGAGGAAACTGTGACTTTGAAGTTGAAGAAGCGCACTTTAGAGCATTAAAAGTTGCTATGGACGAAAATTATCAAATCGAGTTATTCTGTGTAGATTCAACACTCCATTGATACCTCCTTTCCCCTCCAGTCCTTGTCGATGGATTTCAAAGTTTCCCAGCAAGTTTCACCAGATTATTCTTCAGTTTATCTCAACAAAAAACAATTCTCCAATCGAAGAAGGAATCAAGATTGTTAGATAAACCTCTCTTCTCATTGGATAAGAATTTAGTTGAGAGCTACCAAGCAAATGAATCATTTTCTTTTCAATCTGAGTACCTTTTCCAAACTGAGTGAGTTTTTGAATGGAAATGAATGTGAATCTTTGAGCTTGAGTGAATTGGTAACTCACTTATTTGTTCTATCTTAATGAAAAGGCATTCACATAACGGTATTTCCTTCTCTAAATATTAAATCATATCTATGGAACTCTTTGAAACAGCTTGGCAAGAGTCACCACCAGCAGAAACACTACTCTGTAATTGTTTCCAAATATGAACATTCCTAATTCAAAAATAATAATGCCAGTAGAATTTCCATAGAGACTCTTTGTTGCCTCATACAATTAGTCAAAAATCAAATATTCCAATTAATTTTCAAATATAATATTGCATTCTTTAAATCTGATGATTGTAAAGCCTTATCTAGTTAACTTGCCAGTTATTGAGTATTGTCAAGCAGTGACTCTGATAATTGATCATTTTGAATGCTGATTCTCTAATTGAACCCTGTTTTCTTTTAGCCCCTTGAACAAAAGTTTGAATCTTTGGAATGTATTCAACTTCAGTCAAGTTAGAAAAGACAGAAAGTACTGGAGAAGTATTTCGATGGTATTGGGAACTATTTCACAAAGCACAAAATTGAATCTTGACATTTATCAAACAAGTGCAATCAGATCATCAAGATATTATGAAAGATGGGAAAGTTGTTAGTGGACAGTGGTTTCTCCAATATAAAAACAAGGCAGAATCTAATTGATAGAAAGTGATGAAGAATTGGGTCCATTTTGGATGAACATTTTGAAAGTTTTTGGAAGAATCGCCAATACCCAATAATTGATGCATATGAAAATTCTCTTAATAGATTACCTTGAAAGGTAGAATTAGATATGATAGTTGCTGTTTCATTGATTACATTTCTAACCTTTTTCAATGAAGTAACCAAAGGATCAGAAGTTCTATTAAGTCCAACACAGAAAGCAATCCACAATTTGATTATTAACATTCATATTATAGTTGATAATATTCTAAAACAATATAACATACCTGAAACAAATCCATCAAACACGGAATCTCCTCTGGCATGCCCAGAAAGAGGTTCTTCACCAAAGAGGACCCACGAGTATAATTCCAGCAATAAACTATCCAAATTTAATCATGAATTAAACAATTGATCATCATCCAAGATATGAATTTTGATTTTATCCAATTCCAAACATGACACACTCACATTAAATCTTGTTTTCTAATCCAATTTCAGCAATATTAGAGTCTTTTTGTTGTGAATGTTGAGTAAACTCATTCAAATAAATACTTACCAAATTTACAATAAAGTTAATCTCTTCCACTAATTGGAGTGGTAAGAACAGGAAGTGATATCAATAATTCTTCGTGATGAAATATAAACTGTTAATATGTAATAAATCAAATGGACGAACACTAGCCAAACTGAAATTAGTATGAGTTAGTACTTGTTTGGAGTTTGATAGCAAGTTCTATTCAATTGATCGTCAAGTAAATTTTCTCCATAATTAATAATTCAATAAAGTGAAACAACTCTTGTTGATTACCTTACTGATAATATGAAATTGTATAAGGATAATTGTATACAATTTATCAGTTGTGGTTTCATTCATTTCTAATTGTTGGATAAGATGAATCTTCTCTCAAATAAATGAGCATAATAATTATTTGATATTTAAAGATAGTGTCAATTACAATTATTAGAAATACCAACAACAAGATTAGATGATATTGAACTGTAAATTATTAAAAAGTCTAAAAAATTGTAATAAATCAGATATTATTGTTAGTATTTCTATAGTCTTTAAAACAAGTACAATAATTACATACTTTCCTTATAAAAATTTCCATTAAATTTCGGACATTCATAACTAGTTTCATTATCGCAACTTCATATTTTAAATTTTAATATTATAATTAATATTAATTATATCATGATATATTGCTCCAATTAAAAAACTACAATTATAATAGTAATAATTAATTGATTTTTGATGATGTAAAATTGACATGTTGAAAAGAGTGGTGCATTGTGATGATATTTTTTTTATTGTTACAAGAATGAATCGTCATCAAACATGTCCAGTGAGGTTTGTGATTGATTGGGCTGTGAGGGAAAATCAAATAGCATTGAAGAAGTAACTTCACCACAATCCAAAATTACAACATTGGGCTCAACAACTTTTGAATTCTTGTGTCGTACTTTTGGGGGAGGAATTATACAGTCTACACCTCGCTTAATACACCTACTACATTTTGGTTTCAAGTGATCACACTTTTTATGAAGTTTGTTGCAATTAAGACAAGCCAATTCAGTTGTAATTGTGGTAGAATTCAATATCTTCTTCTTATTGTATCTCTTTTTCATTTTCTTTGGTTTTGTAATTTGCCCACATATCGAAATTCTTAATAGCCTGCTTTTTTGGATTGGTTAATGGTTGAAACTCATCTCTCTTTTTCTGACATTTATCCAAAATAACCATTGCACTTTCTGTTGGACTGCTTTTTAGCATTTCTTTTGATTCATTGTAAAACGAATCTACCATTGCTATATATTTCTCACTCAGTGTTTTTTCCTCTCTTAACAAACCAATCCATGGCTTCTTATATTCAGTAGACATAAAAATACGTCTCCAAGGTAAAAGAACACACTCTGAAAATGAAGGTCTGTTGTTGGATGCTTGGTGATTAGATTTTCTTGTTGATATCAATCTTCCCAAAGCATGCATTCCTTCACACCCTTGATTCATATATCTTGCTAATGATCCAAACTTGTCCAGCAATTTGGGTAAATGTTCCAATATAATATGAACATAATAGCCAAATTCGAAATGAAAGGAGTCTTGATACTCTTCTGCAATCTCTTTTAACATATTTTTCAAATGTTGTTTTCCTTCTTCAGTTGAATAGGTCCTTTCTAGTACCTGTGTTGGTGCTTCCATGTAATTATAAATTACAGTTCTCATTAAAGTAAATAGCCTCACATGTTCTTTTGTAAACTCTTCATCTGATAATGTTTCAAAGAAAATTGATTCAAAATTTTTCAAAATTATATCAGCTTGAGTTCCATTAATATAAGGAAGTTCAATTTCTAACTTTTCTTGCAATTGCTTGTTGGCACTTGTTTGTTTTTTAGATTCCTCTCTGAACTTGAATTGAGAAAAAAAAGGGTATCTCTGTAATTCATTACATACTGCCTCAACACTGTCCTTTTTTAAAGGACCAAGTACTAACTTGAGTAGATTTTCAACTATGCGTAACTTTGCATGTAATACATCCACTACCATAAAATCCAATAGAGTGTCATATTTTGCATGTTTGAGGAGTTTTTCTTGAAAGACAGGTTTTTCTTGCAAACACAAATGTCTGTTTTTGGCAGTAGCATTGCAGAATGGGCATACAAATGTTTCTCCCATCATTTTCCATAGGCCAGACATATCAGGACAAACATATACCTTGATTTGAATTTTCTTTGTTGTTCCATTGTTAAAATCATATTCAAAACCTGATTTCGAGAGTTCATTAAGATCGGTAAATGTTTGGTTGAAATATTTAGAAATATCCACAGTTGTTTCCTTTCCGTGATACATATCTGTGAGGAAAGCATTGTTTCTACATTGGGTTGCCAATTTGGTGTTCAGAGGTACCAAAGCATGAATTACATCATTACCTGGTCTGCCATCCCAAAAACTTTTCAATTCTAATATATCAGATATTTCTCCTGTTACTTCTTTGATTAGGTCAACCATTAATTGAATAACACATTTCGTATCAACATGTACACAATTCTCTGAAAAGGATATATTTAATTTCTTGATAATTTCATCATTCAATTTGTATCTTTCATTCTTCAATTCATCCATTGTACATGTTATTCCATTTAAATGATGATAGCTATAAAATTCATAAAAGTGATTATCTGACATCAAGTGTTTGTCTGTGAAATACACTGCACCTAAGGGCTTAGATTTTCTTCCAATTCTGAAATTCCTATAGTTGAAAGATGATGATATAATTTCGTGAGATATCTTGGTCCTGTTGCTCCGTAATTGGTTAATTTTTGAAAAAACTCGTCCTCATTTCTTTCATAATACCAATCCATATATGAATCTAAATTTTCACCATTAGCTTCTAAAATATCATTCAGTAGTTCAGTAATTCTCTCTCCTTTTTCATTACGTGATCTTGTTTCCAAATCTTTCATTGGTGTTGTGGATTTTCTGGTTGAGGTGGTTGTAATATGGAAGGAATTACAGTTGTTACATTGTAAACCAGCACTCTTTTTAATTTCAATAATTGGTTTGTTTTTTGTTTTTCTACTTCTTTCATTCGAAACATCTTTTGGATTAAATTCTTTTGACATTTCATTCACCTCATTTGAATTCTCAACCACTGTGTAGGTTTGACAATTTCTAATTTTTGTGTGTTTTTTGATTTCAGATTTGATTTTTTCGGTCTGAATTGAATTTCTCAATTGCTCATACAATTTTTCTCTCAACCATTCATGCACATCCTTTGAAATTGAACATCCTGCAGAAGTAAGGAATGAATAAGCGGCTACTTTATCCATTATAGTGAATTTCGAATCATAAATAAGAAATGAGGGACTATTTGAGGATTGAATAGTTCTAGCCATATGACAATTTCTATCCAATTCTTTCCTAAGATTATAATCCATCCCTAACATTGGTCCACAATTTGACAGGTCTGAATCATTGTGATTGGTAAAATCAATCATTCTAAATTTTGCAAATGTTTGAATTGGGAAAATTTTGTCAGTAGTGTTGGAGGGAAATGGTTGAAAAGAAGGTAAAATTCCATTATATACTAGACTCTGAAAGCTTGGCTGATTTTGAGACGTATTGTATTGAGAAGAAATTTGAGAAGCCATTGGGGTACCATGTAATCCATCTTCTCCTTCATCATGCTGATCAGCTTCCATAATATCATCACTGCCACCATTGCGTAACTCATCTCTACATTTACTGCAACAATATTTCTTCGTTTTTGGTGTTGAAGAATCGACTTCCGGTTTTAAATAAACCTTGAGAACGTATTTTGAACAAACAGAACATTGCTTTGAATGCTTCCTTTGTTTTATTGGCATTTGTTTTCTCTTAACTAGTGGAATTATTGAACTGTCACTGATCTAAATAAAAAACACTTGAAAAAAATGAAAAAAATTATCGACCTACTTTCTGACATACCACTTTGCAACAATTACAAGTCATTTATTTCGGCGTTTGGCTCGGGAAATCAATTATATTAATAATTAAAAACATGTGAATTTTTATAAAATTGAAACCGTGCTGAACCAAACACTGAAATAAGTGAGTAAATCATCACGTCCTATTTTGAATTATTTTTAGTATTAAATATTTATTTTATAAAATCCCGAAATAAATCTTTCAACAAATGATTTTTCATAAAATCCATCAATGGGTGTTTTACTACCTAATTTCAAAATATCGCAATGTGAATACTTATAGTTTTTGAATAAATAATTTTTTTATTAGGTCACCCAATGTGACATTTTTACTTCGGCCGTTAGCAGCCGCCACTTTGGCAAACCAAATTGCACCAAAAAATGAGTTCCGACACTGCATTGGTTGTTAAATACTACTATTTAAATAGTCTATAATTATATTCATTGTATCTATTTACTTAAAGTTTTTAATAAAGAAGTTAATAAAGGATGTGAAATTGTTTTAATTCCATTTTCAAAATAACCATTATAAAATGATAAATATCCTCCACGTTTTTTAATATCCTTAATGATATATATTAATGAATGATGATTTACTTCTATCTCTTCTTTACTATTATTATTACTACTCATATTATTATCATTCATATTATTACCATTTATATCATTCATATTATTATTAATACTCATATCAAATGATTGAAATTGAATTCTTTTATGTATAGTTTCAATTGGATGTGTTACTAATAATGGAATAAATGTTGATAAAGATGTAATTATTAAAGATTTAAATATTCCCTTTTTAATATTAATTAAATTATCATCTAAATATTTCTTTACAAATTTATTTAAATAATAATAAATAGTTAAATCTAATAATTTAATTGATAAACCTGTAAAATTAATTGAATTATAAATATTTTTAGTAATATTAAATAATGAAAAATTATTCCAACAATTAATTAAATTTTCAAATAAAGATTTTGAATAAATTTTAGTTTTTGGTAAAATTAATAATTTTTCATTTTCAATTTTTAAATCTAAAATCATTTTTTCATTTTGTAAAGTATGAAATGGATATAATCCAATATTAATTAATAAATGTGATACAAAATAAGAATCAATTATTTTTCTATAAGGTGCTAATAATAAAAGTGATGAAATTCCTAAAAAGGCTTGAGGAATGAAAATATAAAAATTATAATCAATTCCTTTAAGAAATGCATAAATTCCATCACTTTTAAATATTGTCCATATATTTAATGATTTTCCATATATTTGTTTATTTATCATAATAACTCCTATTGGATGTAATATTAATTTACTTGTTAATGAACATAATAAATTCATAAATACTCTCTTATTTAATATTATAGAGAGAAATTCATCAGAGTTTTTTAAATGAATATCCGTTTGTTTTCTTATTCTTCTTTCAGGATGAGAAATTTCATTTGATGATGTTGTTGTTGTTGTATTTGAATTTGTATTTGTAGTGTTATTATTATTAGTTTGACTGAATGGACCTGCAATTGGTCTCATATTACTTTTAAACATTTTTTTTTGAAAAAGGCTTTGAAATTAATATTAATGGCTTAAATATATTTATCTGAAAGAGATGAACCAATAACCAATATATTGGTTGAGGTGATGATAATTTTGATATATATATTATTATCAAGTATGTTGTTAATAATGGATCTTTCATTCATATTTTGTTGATAATATTTAATAATTAATAACAACCATTAAAAAATGAGTGGAGAACAAAACAAGGCTAATGATGAAGTAGAGAATACAACAACAACAATAATAACATCATCATCATCATCGGATCATAACAAGCAACAACAACAACAATATGAAGAAATAACATGCATTGATAAAATTATAGAAACATTTCAAGATAAATGTAAACAATTTAAACAACATGTATTAAATTTGAATATAGCAAAACAATCATCAGAGGAAACTAAATCAATATTTATGGAAGGTTATCATAAATTATTAGAACTTCAATCACTTCAAATACAAATTAATATATTTCAAAAAAGAATGAATGATTTAAGAATTGAAAGAAAGAAGGAAATGGAACTTCCACTTTTAGAATGTAATAATTTATCATGTGAAGCTTCTTATTTTCAAAGAGATATTTCAATTTGTAAAAATTATTATTCAAGACATGTTGAAATTGATTTACCTTCTGAAGATGATGAATTTAAAAATAGAGATAAATCATCTACTATTTTATTAGAAATTGAAAAATTAAAACAATCATCATTGAATGGAATAGATTCTGAATTATTATTAAAAAAACAACATGAATTAATGATGAAAAGATTAACATTTGAACTTGATGAAAGAGAAAAATTAGAAAAGGAAATTCTTGAAATTAAACAAGAACAAGAAAAGGCAAAACAAGAACAAGTTAATATTGAAAAATATATTAATAATATTCCAAAGAATTTAGCTGCAATGAAAAAGACAATTCAACAATTTGAACCTGTTATTAATCCATCAAAACATCAACATACTGATTGGTTTACAAATGAAGAACTTGAATTAATGAATCAATTACCAACTCCTCTATTTATTTTATATAACAAATTAATGGAATATAAGAAAGTTTATGATGATTCAATTTTAATATCTATAGTAGGTGATTCTGAAAGAGCTAAAACTATTTGGAATGATTCTGATTTAGATGAATCATCTTTTAATACTGTTAATAGTAATGGTAATAATAATAGCAGTGGTGGAAGTGGTACTGGTAATAGTGGTACTAGTAATAGTGGAAGTGGTGCTGGTGCTGGTATAACACCATCATATATTGATGAATTAACAGGTGAACCAAAGAGAAAAAAGTTAAAACAAGTTGATAATAATAGTGAAATGTGTAGCATGTTTCCACTTGTTATTCAATTAAGAGTTCAACTTAAATTCTTTGGTAGGTTATTGTTTTTTAATTTATTATAATTTACATGTATTTTAATATCAACTTGATTTAATATCATCTCTTTTATCATGATATTATTATTATTATTATTATTACTTCTACCACTACTACTATTCTATTACTACTAATTTCTTGTTATTATTATTAATAGAAAAAAATAAGAAATTATTAATTGAATTTGGATATCTTCATAAAGCAAATATGGTAGTTGTAAATGAAGCAAGAACAGCAGCACTTGTTTTACCAACATTAATACAGGGAGATGATGGCAGTATTTCACCAAATGTTCAATGTATGTCAGATTATGATTTTTCAACATTTGAAAGAGGAAGACCATATCGTTGGTTACAACAAATATGTGGATTAGAATTTATAAGTGCAAGAATATCAAGTAATATTTCATCTAAAGAAAATAGACCAGAAGAATCTAAAAATTATTCATTAAGTTATATTCTAAATTTATTTAAATACAAACAAAAAGCTAAAAGATATTTGTTAAATCAATTAAAATCATTGGAATTGAATGAACCTTTAAAGAATGAATTTCCATCATGCCTTTCATTTGTACCTAAATTAGAATCATTTAAACAAACTAATGTTACATATACTTCAATTACATTTTTAATTACAGTTAGAATTGACAAGTATTTATTTGAAAGTGAATTATTGGTAAATGTTGTGGATTATCCTTTAAAATCTCCACAATTTAAAAAATTAACTCAAATTCAACCAACAATTGAACAAACTATTCCAGAAGAATATCAAGATTTAATATGTCATGATAATTCAATTGAAATTGTTAGAGAAGATTCTTCATGGTCAAATCCATTACTTTATCAAATAGAAAAAGATGTAAATTATTCATTTGTTTCAAAATTTAATCATAAGAATCAATATCAACAATCACAAGATCCACAAAATATTGACCATTTTAATTTAATTTCAAATCAATTATTTAGATTAATGTCAAATTTAGCAGTTTTTGTTGAATTGAAAAATCCAGAATCTAAAGCATTTGATACAAGGAAGTTCTTAATTGGTAAAAATCAAGATATTCCATTACAATATGATAGTAGAAATAATGTATTTAGACATGTATTAGAAGAGGAAGAATAAATTATTTATTTTTGACATCAGTTGTTGAGCTACTGCTACTGCTACTGCTACCAGTAATAGTAGTAGTAGTTGGTGAAGGAGTCTTATTGGATGTAGTTGCTGATTTTAAAAGAGTTTGATATTCCATTTCAAGTTCAGAACGAAGTTTTTCACCATCTTCTCCCTTTGAAACAAAGAAAGCATCACATGCAAGAGTTAAAGTAGTATAAAGGAAAGCTAATCTTTGATGAACTAAAAAGATAGTATTTGCGTCACAAACTGTTGAAATTGCTAAAAAACTCTTAATTTCTTGTTCTGATGCTCCTTTTTTAATTTGATAAAATTTACCTTCATGATAACAAGTAAATTTACCATATGGCATTTGAAGCTTTTTAAAAATTGTATCTTGTGCAGCATATAATCTTTTATATTCCATTTCTTCAATTTTATCCTTAGAAAGTGTAAAATAAATTGAACAAAGTGAAATTAATGATTTTTCATTTTCCGATAATTCTTTCCAAAAGAATTCAGGTAATAAATCATCTGTAAATTCATGATCATATGTATCTAATGGTGCTTCCATTTTCATATCTGGTGATATTTCTAATAATATTCTCTTTCTTTCATCTTTTATTTGATTTGTCCACCAATTTGTAAATTCCTTTCCGAACTTTTTCCAAAATAATGAACATTGAACATAAAGTAATGCAATATCATTCTCTGCTTGAATAAATTTAGTTTCTTCAAGACTATTACTTGTTGTTGATGTTTTAGGAGTGGTTTGAGATGTTGTTGTTTTCTTCTTTCCTTGCTGTGATGACTTTTTCATTTTTTATTATTTTACACTTTTTATCATCTTTATTTAATATTATTAGTGTTTAACATTGAAAATAGTCGAGTGTGGAATGTTATTTATACAATTATTATCCAATTAAAATAACATCCTTATTCAATAATAATATATTTAATAACTTATTTATTAGATTTAATTTTTTCATAGGCAATTTGCAACTATTTAAATACAAAATTACAAGATCATGTAAGAATTACTTATTTGATAATGATAATAAAAACTTACCAAGTTTTGTACACGTTTTCGTTCATTTCCTGATCCAGAAACATTATCAACACCATAAGGTGGAGAAATAGAAATAGAATCCATGACAAGGATTTGTTTTCCTTTCCAACTACAAGGAACAGTCTTGGACATGGTATCGAAAATGGCTTGAGCCTCTGATGACACATTTGAACCTAATCTTTCTCTTCTTTCATAAATAGCATTTTCTTCACGTCTCTTAATATCATCTGCATCAATTTCTGGTAATGGAATAGAAGTATCGGCAAAAGGTACTGTATCATAAAACTTTCCTTCCGATGATGATGATGAATCTGTTGTTCGTACATGATTAGCCTTGTTATTTGAAACAACTTCAGCAATTTGACTAATAGAAATCACTCTAAAATTCTTTCTCGTTGAAGAAGCGTGTTTTCCTTCATTAATAAATAATGCAAGCATACCCAATCCAGGATCAATGGCAAAAACTTCTCCTTCAAGAGTTGTACTAGTTGGATTAGATGATGTTGGATATAATCTTAGAACAACATGATTACCAACATCAGTATTTTCAAATGATAATAATGGTGTTTGATTTTGAATTACATCGGTATGATTATTTTGATGGTGATGGTTTGAAGAGGCTGTTGTCGTAGTTGTTTTAGGTTTATGATGTACATTTCTATTGTGATGATGGTGATTATTGTTAGATCTATCGTTTTGAGGAGTAGTATTCATTGATGATGTATTATTGCTGTTATTATTATTGGCGTTGTTTTGATTGTTATTGGATTGCAAAGCTGCTTGTTTATAACTTGGCGCGTTGTGTCCTAACATTCCTTGTTCATTTTTTTTCATTTTTTTACAATTTTTAAAAATTAAAAATAGGCTGTTAGATAATATTATTTATAATACATTTCCTTTTTTTGTATTTCTAGTCATTTACAATACAATTTCAATTAGATCATCTTTGTTTTTCACACAATAGAAACTGATCTCTGTTAAATGTTTTTCACTCTCCATACAACCCTCAGTTGACTTTTTCACACAACTTTCACAATATATAAACCGATGTTAACAATAGACTGAATTTGTTGTTGATGTATTGATGGACAATACATTATTCATGGTACTTGCTCATCCACTATCATAACAATATCATTTCTATCTCTCATCAAATTATTAATGAAGAATGTCATCTTTTCTTCTAAGAGTTTGCGTAAATTCAACAACCAATAATTTGTTTAGAGACACAAGGGAAAATTCAGCGGAGGCAACTTCAATAATTAATTTGCAACAAAATATTTTTGAATTAAAAAAAATACTCAACACAACACTGAAAAATGGTATGTAGTCTTGTGTGATGGTTATTTACTTACCACTTTCCCTACTATTTCTATTAACCACATAATTTTCTTATTACTGATGAATGTGTATATGTACTCTTGTTGATAAATTGTACACAATGTTGAACCTGTTGTGATGGTCATGATACATTGTTGTTTGGAATTAAAACAATAATTTAAAATGACTATGAAAATAACAACAACAACAACATTGGAACGAATTATTTACATTAATATCATATCAATGGATGATTTTCAATAATTCATAGTCTGAAGTTAACCCAAAAGCATACCCACTCGCTGATGATGACCTCACTGTCTCAATTTTGGATTTAATACAAAGCTCTCACAACTATAACCAAGTTAAGAGAGGTGCTAACGAAGTTACCAAGGCTGTTAACAGAGGTATTGCTTCTTTCGTCATTTTGGCTGCTGATGCTGAACCAATTGAAATCTTGATGCATCTTCCTGTCCTCTGTGAAGATAAGAATATTCCATACTGTTTCGTTAAGAGCAAGACTGCTTTGGGTCGTGCTTGTGGTATTTCTAGAGAAGTTATCAGTGCTACTGTCATAAATAACGAAAATAACGCTGCTTTGAAGAAGCAAGTTAACAGTTTGAAGGATGCTATTGAACGTATCATTGTTTAAATAAATTATTCTCTCATTAATTCACCTTTTTAGTACACAATTTGATGATAGTGGTAACTGGTATTGTTGATACGTTTGAATTTACACAGAAATTTACATTGTTTTATTTGGAAGTGGTTTAAGACCTAGTTGACAATTTGATAACTGTTCCTTTGATAACTTGTAAATCTTTGGTTTTCCTGAGATTGGGTAAGGAAGGAATAATCTTCTTGGGTTGGCACAAATAAATACATAATCAGATTCAGATTCTTGTTCTTCTGGACTAAATTTGTCACAATACTCTTCATAAGATAAACAATCAATAACATCAACACAACCAAGAATAACACTGGTTGGATAATGTTTTGGATATCCTTGTGTTCTATCAAAATCATTCTTGTAATAACTTTCCAATTCCTCAATACCTTCAGGTGTTGGTTCTTCAGCAGTTGAAGCAATCCATAATCTTCCTCGATGATCAGTTGGCCAAGCTCTACCTTCATGTATCTTAATACCATGAACAAGTAAACTTGCCCAAGGTTGATGCATTGACATACACATTCCAGCATCATCTTCATGTGTACTAATTGGTTCACAATAATTAATAGTTGGTTCAAGACCATCAATTGTATCTCCACTTCCTTCACCACATTGTTTTTCTGAATCACGACGATCTTCATTAAAGTCAAAATATGGGTTTTGGACAATGCCTCCTTTTGAATTGTACATTTCTTCTGGTTGTTCTGGTTTTTGTTTCTTGTCCTTAGATTCAATAAATTTCAATTTTGTAACATCAAGTAAAGAGGAACGTTGCATTCCAACATTGGATCCAGACTTTTGAACAACTCCAGTACTTGGTTGTTCTTCCTTCTTATTCTTTGGTGTTGTAACTTTAAGACTTTCAATTAACTTGTCAAGCTCTTTTTGAGTTTCAATTTGATGACTTTCATCTAATAAAACTCTTTTACCAGCAAAATCAAAGATATATCGAAGTGGTTGACCATGTTTGTTTTTCATTTGTTCTTTCAACTCTTTAATTCTTTCTTCAATCTTTTCTCTATTTTTCTTTTCAGATTCGGATAACCAAATATCATTAGCTGTTGAAGAATTACCATATTCAGCAGCTTGTTCATCAATAACAGCTGTTGTTTGTGAATAATTTTCATCCCACCTAAGTAATCTATTTCTTAATTCCAAAGCCTTTTGATAATCTTCATTTCCTTGTTTGTTTTTTGGAAGACAATGATCATCAGATGAATTATAATATTGATTAACAACATCAGGTGTAATATTAGTTTGACAAAAAGGACATGGACCAAATCCTTCTTCTGCAGTAATTATTCTACCACAAGTTGTACAATTTGTTAAAACCTTATTCTCTTTTAAATTCTTTGCAAATTCAAAATTCTTATTAATTCTATTTAAATGATCATTAGCTTTATCAGAAAGTCCATTATTAATTAATAAATTATTTGATGATGATGATGTATTTTTATGAGTATTACTTGAAGTATTTGGACCTCCACCACCCTTCTTTTTTCCATGTTTTACATTAACATAGGCACCTCCGATCCGTATAGTATCACCTATGGTTGTTTGATGGCTAACTGATGATTGTGGAAGTGATGGAAATTCCTTCGTGTCTTTTTTACTCATTTTTTTTTAAATTTTTATTTTTACAAGTTCAAACTCAGACTTTATGTTTGTTGAAAGCTAAAATTGAAGTTAAAAGACTTTGAACCAATACTATTGCTGTTACAATTATAATTCAGTTATATATTCATTTCAAAATTGATTATCAAATTCAAAAGAGTACAAATCAAATTATTAAAAAAATGTCATTAATTAATTATCAACATGATAAAGAATATTGTGAGCTTTTCATCAATTCATATGATCATGATCGGAATGTTATTTTAATCAAATCTCAAATTGATGAAACAATTCATAATTTGAAAGATAGGATCATCAATCAATTACAATTATCACATTCTGACTTTCGACTCGTTTCAACCAATGGTAAAACACTTGATACTAACAAGACAATCAAATTCTATTATGAAAATCGTATCATTTCCAATTATTCCACTATTAACTTGTTAATTAACTTGAATGGAGGAGGAAAGAAAAAGAAGAGAAAGAAGAAAATAGCCATGGTTCCACCTGAAAAACATCACAGACATGTTAATGTTCCACTTGCACCCATTTCCAAAAATTATTATGAATATAATTCAGAATATGGAACTATTTCTTGTAATAGAATGGTGTGTAAAAGATGTGGAGCTGGTTGTTTGATGGCAGCTCATATTGATAGATATTACTGTGGTAAATGTTATTTAACGCTGATAATTAATTGAGTTATACGTCATTTTTTTCACAAATTCTCTTGTAAATTGTTCTTAAATAATGATTTTCAATAATAGTAGAATTATAAATGCTAATTCGTATTTTAGGAGCATTTGGATCATCTAATATATGCTCAATAAGATTTAATAATCCATATTGAATAATGCTATGATATGGTTTTTTAAAGCTGATTACAGGAATATATGGTAACAAATTCGTGAACTCTAAAGATTTTTCAAAATCTAATAAACTAACAAGTCCAAGTAAATAAGATCTCTTTTCTATTGATACAAATTTCATATATTCTTGAATATTTGTTAATAATTTATCCAAATTAGGAATATTGTAACCCATACGTATATATTCAGCAACTAGGGCAATTAAAATTTTTGCATTCTTTTGTGAAATATTATTATTTGCATAATTGAAAAAGTATTCATAATTTTGTAAATTTGGATCAATTCTTTCAATATCATAATAAATTCCATGTAATATAATTTTTGATATGATTGGTGAACTTGTATAATTGTCCGTTGATTTGAGATATAGATGAAAGAAGTTTAAATACTTTTTCTTGATATCAATATATTTTGGTTTTTCTTTTTCACATAAATATTGATATTCATCAAATAACCAAGAACCGAAACCTCCCCAATATATTGGTTCCATCTTTTCAAGTTGTTCCATAAGTTTAGGGGTAAATTTTGAAGCACTAAATGAGTTTGATGTCAAGTTAGACAATGTCATTGAAATTGATTCAAGTTCATCATTGTTAAATTCATGAACAAAATCTAAAATACGAAACAATATTCTACTGAAATCTTTTGAAAAGAGGTATAAAGATTCCAAATGAAGATGAACGTAACTCACTAGAGATATTGCATCAGTCTTATCTTCAATCGCAAAACAGTTACCAACTTGCAATACTAAACTAAACAGAGAGTCACCCTCGTCGTCATAACTTACTACTACTCTGTTTACTTCAGCCAGTAAATCACTATTTTGACCAAGTGCAAATGCAATTTTCTGAATAGATCTTGGCGCATTCTTACATATTAGATTTAGAAGGAAGACCAATTCTTCTAATTGAAGATGATATCTTTTCATATGATTTAATGCCATTTCTCTAACTTCTAATGTTTCATATTCATCACTAATAATATATTCAAGATCTATAATATTAATTCCTTCATTTGATCCTCTTAAATTTGCAATGGTAAATAATTTTTTGAATTCTTGAGTTCTTAATTCACATTTTTCCATATTTACAAGTCTATCTAATTCTAAAGTAAAATGTTTAGCTGAAGATCCCATAAAACCTATCAAGAATAACATTACGAATCTATCTTCAATACTAGCCCTCTTATATAATAATCTAAAGAGTTCATAACTATCAAATATAATTGTACGATCATGCATTTCATTGTTTGTAATAAATGCGTCAGAACAAAATCCTTTAAATAATTCACACTCCTTCTCTCCCCAAATAGGACATTCCAAAGATGAATGTTTCCAATACTTTTCATCAAAATGACTTAAAAATATTAATAAAGTCAAGAATCTCTTCTCTACTGATAATACACATGGCCCTACTTTATAACTAATAAAAATTGTGTAGAAAATCCAATAAGGAACTTGAGATTTAAACTTGATCAGTGGAGGACATTTTTTCAATGAACTTTCATCTAAATAATCTCTTAATAAAATTGTTGCCAAATCTTCAAATACATAACTTGATGCATTAAAATCTTCAAATTGAACAGAACTCAATTCAAATGCAATGTATTTAAATAAATTTGCTAAATCATTTCCCTCCGAATATTCATACTTGTTGAATGTTTCTTCATCTTCCTTAGGATAATTCATTTCATCACATAACTTAGAATAATAAGAAAATGTTCCATCATCACAGAAAAAATCCTTTTCTTCAAACGATGCTCGAATGACACGTCGGAAATTATCATCAGTAAGTTGGATCATTTTTTTTAATTAAAATCTAAAAATTAATAAAATTAGATTGTAATCTTGTTGTAAAATATATGATTAGAAAATCTTTTTACATTAGTTGACAATTCTTTTTCTTCTTCTTTGGGAATAATTCTCTTTGATTGTAATAAATAAGCGTTTTGGCAAAAATCTCTGCCAACTCTTTTGTGTTTCCCTCTCCAGTTATTGCTGAACTTTCAACATAGGTACAACAACCTGTAGAACGAGCCATCAATTCTCCTTCACTGAAACTAATTGGTGTTGTAAAGTGTTGAAACTTCAACTCTTGGAGAACTTTTAAACTTTTCCTCAAATCAACCTTACATCCTATTAAAATAATTGGAATGTCTGGGTTGTAATGCCTAATTTCTGGTATCCATTTGTGTTGAATATTCTCAAAACTATTAGTAGAAACTGTACTAAAGCAAGCACAAAATAAATCAGTTTCAGGATAACTCAGCGGTCTTAGTCTGTCATAACTATAATTCAACTTTTAAAAAGAGTATATAACCTTTCAGTACTTACTCTTCCTGACCTGCCGTATCCCACAAATAAAATTTAGAAATCTCAATGTTATTATAATGGTATGAAATGGTAGAAGTATCAAATGGAAGGTTGTAATATGTAGGTGCATCACCAAAATCCAAATAGTGAATTAACCATGTTTTTCCAACTGATCCATCACCATTAAATATCTGCGTGAATTTGAGTACTCTATCTACATTCAGCTGAAAAACAACTTACAATCTTTTTATGATTTGACTTTTGTCCTTCTGTGCAAGATTCCTTAGTCAAATCCACACCTTTCAAAGGTTCCAAATGTTTCTCCTGAATAGTTGATTTAATTTCCTCAAAATGCTGATAGAGTTCCTCTTTACTGGAACGTATTTTGGCAACTTTTCTTCGTTCTTCTACACTTTCCTCAATTTCCTTTTCTACTTTTTCCTTTAATTCCAAGAATGTCTTTCTAAAATTGTTTTCCAAATGTAAATATGGGTCATATAATTTATCCATTCTATATCTATTGTAAGATTTTGGAGCAGAATTTGTAGGATCATGTTTTTTAGTATCTTCCGATGTGAGTCTCTGAATTTTCTTTCTCACATATTCCTTTTGATATTCATCCCGAATTAATAAAGAATTAAACGATCGAGAAACCAAACTAAAAGTCTCATGTACAAAAATGCAATCCAAAAAACTGAAAATCACTCCAAACTCATCCTCATTGAGTGATTGCATTTTTTTCTGATAAACTTTACAAAATAACATGAAATCGTTGATTACCATCCCTTCTCAACAAGCAAATTTACAACACAGAATAATAAATACTGATTGTAAGAGTAAGGGACCATGGTCTAGTGGTATGATTCTCGCTTTGGGTGCGAGAGGCCGTGGGTTCGATTCCCACTGGTCCCCATTCCCTTTTAAATTGATTGTGTTTTTGCCTTAGTTCACTAAATTTATTAATAGATACAGGTAAATCCCAAAATTGTAAAATGAATAGCAAATCTAGGTTTCGATCCTAGGACCTATGGGTTATGAGCCCATCGCGCTTCCACTGCGCCAATTTGCTTCTTGTTTCTATCCTCAAATAATTTTGGTCTTTCAAACTATTTAATGCATATATAAAAAGCTGCAATAGACATCTTCCTCAATATTTTAATAAGAGAATAATTTTGAATGAATCACTTTCATAATGAAGTAACCCTTCTTCAACACCTCTCTTCCACAATTTTCATCAATAATTTACAGCTGGGAATTGGATTGAAAAGATTTATTTCTAATATTATATCCAGATTTATTCAACATTACAAAATATTACCAATTAGAATGAAAATCATTGCAATGAACGAAACTGTAGCAGTGGATGCAGAACTGGTGTTTCCTGAAATTCCATTATTACACATATCAGTTGAGCAGCAAACAACATCAAAGTGAGGAGAACTCTTTGCCTTAATAGAAGAACATTCAGTACTAGTCATCTCACCAAAAGCATTCATCACACCATCCATTGCAACTTTATAACTATAACAGACATGATTAACTTCTGAAGTGGTAATTGTTGTTAAATTCAAAGTGGATTGATTGATAATACCAATGAAAATGCCATTGTAGCATTTGAGAGCTTCGGAGACATGAGAAATCAATAGTATCACACCCATCATGGCAATAAATGTGAAAATGAATGAGGAAGTGTAATTTCTCTTGAGAAACATGTTAGCGATTTGTTTTTTGAAATAAATGGATTAAGCAGTAGGGATTGAGAATTTAAGGTTATCCGTATAGTTCAATACACACTGTTTTGAAATCTAATAAGCAACCGTTGGAGTGGATAAATTCGTTGGGGTTAAATGGAAAGATGAAAGAACCTGATTTTTTACAACCTATACGGTTCAGTATCCAGTGGCACCGTAGTAACCCTGGTGTTTCAAACACTAGGGACATTTTTATCAATGGGGTATATTGCTTATGTAAACAGTTTCCAGAAATGTGGGCTCAACTCGTTGAATACAAAAATTCTATTGACTAAGCTAAAAAGCTATTTTTCAAGCTAGATTGTGGTGTTTAAATCAATGAATCCAATAATGAAATCAATCAACAATTAATGCGAAACAATACAACGACACTGGTGGAAATTCTTGAGAAAAAATCGAGTTTTTTTAAAGTTTAGTCTTTTTCAATATGAGACAACTATTTTCGTCAAGAATATCAGAATTTTTTGTAAGCTACTTCCAGTACAAAAGTGATTGTGCTTAAAGGTCTGTTTTTGTACTATTGTTATGACAGCAGATTCTCGTGAGATAGGGTTCCAGTTGGCGAAAACTTTAAAAAATAAAAATGTCCAACTCAACCATTATCTCACTGGTAGTGAGTAGCATGCTCCTTCACTTAACTTTGGTGCATGCTCTGAATGGCTACAATGTTGAATCAAAAGATAATGCAAGGATCACTGTTAATAGTGGAGTTTATTCAATTTCCTTCTCAACACTGAACAATTGTCCACTAACGTTAGGTCACCTTAGATATGGTAATTTTCTGGATTTATACGAGTTACCAACCTCCATTCCGAGTACTTTCAAAGTCATTGCAAATAATGTCTCCTCTTTTTCTAGTTCTGAACTCTATTCATTCACATTTTTAACTTATTTTGTGCTATTCAATAACGAATCTAAACCTTGTTATGCTGATACATTTAGTGCAACAATGGAAGTGAATTTATTGACCAATTCATCTAGTTCATTTACACTTCCGTATTTTGTTACTACAACCTTTTCAATTGATGATTATGGTAGTAATTATGACAAGTTAATAATTGTGAAAAATACGCCTAGTTCTTTATCATTGGCTTTTGCTTATGAAATTTTAACTGAACGAAGACCAATTACTCCATACGAAATGGATAATAATTACGAAATGAATAGTAATTATCCTCTTAACATTAGATTAGAAAAAACGATAACAAGCACAACATATATGTATCTAAAATGTACTACTGTTTCTGGTTGTCCAATTTCTTTATCTCTTGGCATACGTAATAAGGATTATACTGAGGCAATTATTGGATCTTTGGTTGGTGTAATTGTTCTAGCAGTTATTGTTGTGATTGCATGTGGATTGGCACTCATTATTTGGAGAGTAAGACGTTCAAAATATTCACCAGTGATTGGAAATTAGAGATTGGAAGAAAATTTTGTTGAACTGATTCAGATCACATTCATTCTCAATTGTTTCACAATAAATCTTAATAATTTATGGACAAATATAAGAATCAATCAGGAGTCAATGGTTTCTAATATTAATTTAATCCGAGGCTATTTATTTACTAGAATCATCCCTGTGTTAGTGAGTTTAGTTGATTTACAAATTCTGAAAATGTAATTTCCTTTCTAAAACTCAAAAATCCATGAACTTGTTGTTTCCATTCACGAATTTCAATTCTTTTTTCATTAGTTGACTTGTTAATTACATCTCCAAATAATTGACCTTCATCTCTTAATACATCATATTCAGCTAACCAAATAAATCCTTTTGGAAATTGAGAATAAAATTGAGAATTACTTGTTGGATCAATTGCACTCATAATTGAAAGAAATGGATTTAATTTTGCATTCTCAATTGAAGTATTAACTCCAATTAATTGTTTCCAAAACATATCAACCATTGGTGCATTAATAATTAATCCACTATCTCTATATTTAGTAAGTGATTGATATTTCGAATCAGAATTTTCATAAATTTCAGTTGCTGGATAAATTAATGCTTGATGTGTAATTTTTGGAATATTCTCACTTTCTATAATATTCTTTTCTAATGAAAATATTCTAATTTGTGTGTGAATAGACAAGTGACCACCAGCAGAATCTCCACAAATAGTTAACTGATTAATATTTCCATTATATTTCTTAAAATTCTTTCCAATCCAACAAAGTGCATTTAAGCAATCATTTAAACATGCTGGAAATACATGTTGTGGAGTTTTTCTATAATCAACACTAATAACAAGATAATTATTATTCGAAACATGTCTACAAAAATCATCACTTGTATCAATACTTCCAAACATCCATCCACCACCATGAATATACATTAAAATAGGATATCCTTCTTCTCTATATTGTTTAGGTTGATAAACTCTAATAATATATTCGGATAATTCAGAACTTTCTTTTAAATATAATTCTGAAGAATTTGCATCAAAAGATAGTGGAATAGTTTCAATTCTCAACAAATCGCTTTCAATTACTCGATGAATGGGCGAAACTTTTACATCTAGAACTGATAATTTACTTCCTAAACTTTTAAAAGCAGTTTTTATAAGTAAATTTGCAAGTAAAATTTTAAAATTCACTCCTGGAAATTCAAGTTTTTGCATAAACAAACGAGCACCAAGCCAGGTGAAAAGGGCACTTGCTGTACCAACAGCAGAATACACAGCTAGTTGTTGTGGATGCATTTTGTTTGATACTGTTTTACAACAGTTCCATTACATTGCAAATTTTGTTGACATTTAAGCGGACAACTAGCACCGTTGTCCGCTTCATAGGATTTCGATCCAACCATTTTTAATATCAAAATCAAAGAAATTGATTGATTACAGTCTTTAGTAAGGTGTTGAATTATCTATCAAACTGACTGAATTTCTTAATATCGAAAATTATTATTTGATTTGATGTGAGAATGGTTTGAGCTTTGAGGGTTGATCCAAAACCAGTTTAGTTATTGATATTTGAACAGTCAGTGTAAATTCATCAAATTCAAACTTGATACAGACATCAAATATGGAGAAATAAACGAGTTAAAACTTGCATTTATGGAAAAATTTTTATTCCAAGTCACCTCTAATCTTTAGAATAATCTTTCCACTATTCTTATTTTGTTCCATATGTTCATGAGCTTGAATAACTTGATCCATATCAAAGACTGTATCAACATTGGCAACTAGTTTTTTAGTTTCAAAAGCATCCTTAATGTAATCTTTCAATTCTTGAACAAGTTGTTGCTTATAGAGAGGAGATCTACTTCTCAAAGTACTATATTGAATACGAATTCTCTTTCTCAACATTAATCCTAAATCAATAGTAGCGCTGGTTCCTCCCATTGTTGCAATTCCAATAATAGTGGCATCTAATCTGGCAATTTGTAAATCTTGTTCCAAATAGGTATTTCCACCAATTGGATCTAGAATATAATCAATGAGTGGTGTAACACCACTTTCAGAATCATTGGTCAAGATTTTTGAAAGTTTTTCACTCCACTTTGGATTTTCCTTATAATTTACATAATGAGTAGCTCCGTATTGTTTACAAAATTCACCCTTCTCATCACTTCCACAAGTAACACAAATGTTCTTACACAATCCACTCAATTTACACAATTGAATCAATGCCAATCCAACACCACTTGCACCACCATGAATCAAAACATTGAGATTTCCCTCAAGTTTTTCATGTAATCTTCCAATTTTGAAGAAACATTGAAATGCAGTCAAGAAAGCTTCTGGAATTGCAGCAGCTTCCTTCAATGAAATTCCATTACAATGAAACATTTGACTTGTAGTAGCAATAACATATTCAGAATATGCACCTCCTTCAACAAGACAATAAACATAATCTCCAACTTTGAATTGACCATCAGTGGATGTTTCTTGTCCATTGGAAAACTTTTCAATAATACCCGAAACTTCTAATCCAATAATTGGACTATTACCAGGTTGTAATGGATACATTCCATTTCTTTGTACAATATCTACATTAATCATTAAATAATTATTAAATATTGTGATTAATACATTAATTATCAAATTAATGATCGGAATAAAACATCATCAATTTAATCAAATATTAGCCATTAAATATTATTACAATTAATATTTAATATATTTAATAAAACATACCAGTACGATTCAAAGCAGCATAATAAACTTTAATCAAGGCTTGAGTATTACCAACTGCTGATTGTTGTTGTTGTTGTGATGAAGGTGGTGCAGAAAATTCAGGAATTGGATATTCATTATCAATGTATAAATCTTTGGCTGATTTGGTGATTGGTTGACGAACTTGAACAACTCGTTGTTGACTCATTTTTTTTAATACACTTTACAATATTAAATATATAATACTTTATTAAGCAAGTTTCTTCCAATTTTGATAAGCATTCTGCACAGCATTAAAAACAGTGTTCAATTCAAATGTAATTAATTCACTCTCCTCTTGGGTTAACAAATCATTCTTCAATAGTGGTGATTGATCTGTGTGAATTGTAAAAATTACTTTTTTGTAAACTTTCAATATTTCAGGTCGTTCAGCAGTTGTGCAAAGTAAAAGTGAAGCATGATCTGCCTTATTTGTATGATATTTCTCAATGACATAGTTCAATACTTGTCGAAATGTTTTAAATTTACAGAAATTTAAAATTTCTTCTTCGATTTTGTCTTTCTTTTCTTTTAGTTTCTTTTGAGTTTCGGATAGTTTCAAAAGAGATAATCTTGGCATTTCACATTCGCTTGGAATAACTTGAATTTCATGTGAAAATTCTTTCAATTTCTTTGATTTGTGAATTAATCTTAAAGTGTAAATTCCAGACCATTCTGGAATAAATTCACAAGAATAATGAGATTCGTCCGCTGATTTCTTACATTGTAATTTAAACTTGTTTTCATTAATTAAATTATGATATTCTTCATTTTCTGTTTTAAATGTAAATTCCAATTCCAGATTTTCAATATTTTGAATTTCATTTCCATAAATATCCAATGGTTTAATCTTGATTATTGTTGAATTCAATGAAATTACATGTTTCAAATCGGGTAAATTAATAATTTCAATAGTATGAATTGAAGATGGTATAATATTACAAAATAATCGATTATCAATAGATGAAATATTTTCACTTTCTAACACTCCGATTGGTATTAAACTTTCTGTTTTTTCATTTTTGTAAAAAACTTCAATTTCCAATTGACTTATTACAATACTTTCAATAAAAAAGTTAATTAATTGATCTTCCATTGAATAGTTCACTTGAATTCTTTCATTTTCTTCAATAATACTTTCTTGCAAACTCCATTTCCATCTTGATCTGGAATTCTTTTCAAAGAATTGTAAAATTACATTTTCAGGATTAAACCCCAAAAGAGTTGTATTTCCAAACATATCTTTCAAGTTCATTGTAATTTTACAACTCTCTCCTGCACCTATTTCAATTTGAGATTTCCCATTCTCAAAAGAAACAAAACTATTCTTAAATGAAACTGTTGATGAATGAAATTCCATGTCAAATTTCATTTCACAACATGTTCTATATTGAATATAACTCAATTCCAAGCAATAATTTCCACTTTCATTAGTTGTACATGCAAAAACTGAAATATTTTGAGAATGAGAAATCAAATCACATTTTTGAACTTTTCTATTCTTTTTCATATCTGTAAAATACCCGCTACTCTTATAAAGTATTGCATTCCATATTGTTTCTTCACTATTAATTGGATTACCGAAAATGTCAAATGTTTCCATTGAGAAATGAAATGGAATTCCAACATTGGCATTCAGTTTTTTAGAATCTTCTTCCAAAATATTATCTGAAATGATCTTAAATTTACAAAATTTCTCTGAAGGATATAATAAATTACTTCTTTTCAGTATAGAATAAGTAAATTGTATCACAAATGAATAATAGGTTAATTCATTCTCAAAATGGTAATAAATTGGAGAGTCCATTCCTTGAATGAGTATTGAAAATCCCTTTAAATCAGGTGTTACATCTGAATCTTCATTAAAATTCAATTCCTTGATGGATTTTAGTGAAATTTGTTTTTGATGATCAATTAAAATATTTTCACTTTCTATATTTGTATCTATTTCTAATGATCTTTTATGAGGTTTCCCATTAATATTCTTCTTCCATACAGTATATTGTTGTGTTTCATTAGTAGAAATGTACTGTTTCATCAATTCTTTCAAGTAATTATTCAATTCTAAACTCCAATCATTATTTGTAAATTGAACCTTGACCTTGTTTTCCTTTTGTGGAATAATAATACTGGATGTCTTTTTTAATTTCTTCAAATTCTTGTTGCTCATTTGTTGAGTACTAGCTAAATAGTTCCGAGAGTGAATGTTGTTTGGTTATTTTTTTCTTTGATTTTTTAACCATTATTGTTCAATTTCGAAAATGAAAGTTGTTTCAGAATTGAGTTTCAATGTGGAAATGAAAAAATGAAATTTACTGGGATATCATATTTGAAGGATTAATGTACATTAAAACAACTAAATCCAATAATTCTTGAACAAAATTAGAAAGTGTAAATTCCTTTGTGTTTTCTAACAGTGAAAATTCAATAATTTTTGGAAGTTTGATTGAATCATTATCGCTCAATTCAGAATAAACATGTGAGAATGCACTTGACCATGTAATATTAGCTATTTCTGAAGTGAGAACCAAAGATGAATAGTAGAGAGTGTGAAGTGGTGTGAAATGTTTCATTTCCACCAATCTCTCAATGTCAAGCAGAGAAAGGGCACTGAATTTAACACCCAGAAATTGGATTCTACCGACAATGATGTTTACATGGTCTGGATTATCTACAAAGAATCCTTGAAGTCTATTACTAAGAATTTCATTCAAAAGAGTTGAATCTCTGCAATCTTGAACGAATCCTCTTTTGAGCAATAAAGTGAATAAATTCTTAAAGTTGTCTAATAAAACATCGAATTGACCAATAGTTTCGGATGGATTCTTTTCATGTAGTATATCTAAATCTTTCAAGAATAAATAAAATTGCTTGCAGAGGGCATGGATTAATGAGTATCTAACTGATTTGATAATTTCAAATTCATTTCCATCAAATAAGTAATTAATGAATTTTGATTGATTTCCATAATCTAATCTATTATCAAATATACTATTAATGAGCTCATTTCCAGTATTTTGTTTGATACACAATTCTAATAATTTCTTTGACTCTTCCAATCTATTGTAATGTTGAGAAAAAAACTTTGACACATCCAAGCGTGTTAATTGATAGATTATATCTCCATTAACAATTGATTCAAAAAGTTGCTTCTTTTCATCCACATTGGATATTAATGAAATCAATCCATACTCCCCCAATTCTACTTTTACAGACATTTTCTTTCCTGCAGATTTTATGGATTCACCCAATTCAAATAAAGAACCAAATAAACCTCTTATATTTGAAGAATCCAATTTAAACTCAATGACATCGGTAAATCCATCAATAATATTAGTATGTGGATACTTTTTTTCACAAATGGTTTCGGCGAGTAAGAAATTGAATACTGTTGCAACAAAACTACCTTCATTAGAAATCTTGTGCATTCTATTTGATTGGATCAAAGACAGAATTTCAGAAATGTCCTTCATAACATTTGATTGAAAATTGTCTTCTTTCAAATGTTTAGCAACTGCCAACTTGTAAAAATAACAAGCAACATTGATAATAGGAATGAACGTTTCCCTCTTCTCAATTAAGGCCTTTAACGGGGTCATTCTAGACCTGAATGAAATATCTGTTTTAGAAAAATAACTAAACATCATATCCAACTCTATTATTAAACTGTTGCAAGCAGTTTGTGTGAAATAGGAGCAGTTTTTAAAAGTATTACAGAGTGCAATATTATATGCTTGATATCTAATAGCATTATCTGCAACTTGCTCTTTTGCAAATTCCAAACTTTTGACTGCTCCTTCAAAATCTCTAAACAAGTGCACTGTTTCTGTAGTACTTCTTGTTCTCTTGTTTGTATAAAGATTGAAATACTTTTCATCTATCTTCAACAAGTATGAATTCAATCTTCCAGAGCCGAAATAAGGAGATAAATTACTCCCACCTGAAGAAACAACTCTCTTCCAAGCCTGTAAAAATACCAATTTAGGATTATCATCCTTCTTTAAATGTTTAGTATGTTTATAATGTGTTCCTCTTTTGTATAATAAACTACAGCCTTGAATTTCCTTAATGAAACTTCCAAAATTACTCAAATCCTTCTTATTTTTAGACTGAAATTGAAATTCTTCCAATAATAAATAAATCAAATGTTTCCAGAACCAATCAAATTCATGAGTGACTTTGTAAATATAAGAATTTGACAGAAATAAATTTAAACATTCTCTCAAATCATCCTTAAATACTCCATAACTTAAAATCATCATCCACTCAATAGATGAGAGCTGAGTAATTGGAGCAAGCTTCTTCCGATTAGAAACGTTAGCCTTCTCCAACAAGGTGGTTAGAGATTCATTGACCGGAGAAAGTTGATTCGGATCAAGTGTGGAGTTGTTATTTGCTTGTTTGCTCATATTATCGTTGACTGGATAATGGATCAAATAAATATTGTACGAGTAGAAGTAGCCTACTTTGATTTGTTTTTTTTGATTTTTTAATGTGATCAAAGTTCATTCCCAAATGCTGCTTGCAACAAAAACTCCCGCCAAAACCGTTCTTGCTACAGTAAGAATCTAGATCCATCCTTTGATATACTTTTGGTTGACCAAAATAACTTGTTGTGTCATGTTCTCCTTTAAAAAAAATGAAACAACGCAAACAACGAGTTGTTGTTGGCAAAAAGACAAAAATTTGTGATTTGAATGACGACATGTTCCGAGTAATTTATCAATTTCTGGTCCATAATTGAAAGAAGGTTTTGTTAGACAATGAGAACTTGTAAATATCAACAATGTCCAGAAATTGATAAATTACTCGGAAATGAATAGAAAGGCATTTGAAGGAAGAAGGAGAGACGTTCTTTCATTTCCAATAAATGAAGTTTACAATCCAATAACTTTTTCAATGATTCCTTACCAACCAAAACTTCATTCAATAATTCAAAAATATCATTTTAACACTCGTGAAGAAATTGAATCTATTGAAATACCACAAGATTACAATACGACTGACCTATCTGTCATTCTGGTTGGACAAGCAGGTTCTGGTAAAAATACAATGAAATGTAAGATTGCAAAGGGAACATATGGGTTTATGCCAGATTGTGAACCTGAAGAGTTGAATTTAGAAAATGGTCATAAAATTACATTTTACACAAGGTCATGAAGAGTAAGTTAGTAGTCATAAGTTTGAATTCTTACGCCCTTTTTAAGATATGATCAATTAAGAGCCTTTTCCTATTCTCATTATCCCACACAATTAGATTTGATATTTCTATGCTATTCATTTATTAGAAATGATTCATTATTGGAGTTGAAAAGAAAATATATCAGAGAAGTTAATCATCATCTGCCAAATGTTCCATGCATATTGGTGGGAAATAAAGTTGAATGGAGAAATGATAAAGATTATATTAGAAAGATGAAAGAACAGAATACAGAATTCATCACCTATGAAGATGGTTTAACAATGGCAAAACAGTTGGGATGTTTATCATTTATTGAAACATCGACACCAGAAAGTAAAGACGAACCTGGAATTGGTTTACAAAATATTGGAATGTTTATTAGAAAGCTAATGTATGCAAGTCAGCTACCCAAGAACCACAAGACAAATGAGAATATCCCAAAAAAGAAATGTATAATTCAGTAATAGATTTCAAGCTCAATAATTTATTATGTTGCATAAACAAATATGAATTAAGGTCTAATTAACATGGCACATGAATAATAACTCATACCAATAGTAATAATTAAACCTAAAAGAGAAACTCCAATAAAAATACCTCCAATTAATGACAGAATGAAAGCGTATGCAGTTTGTACAGAATTTACACTAACTTTTGGTGATTCATAATTTTCATAAAAAGTATTGACATAACAATCAATGGTTTTTCCACTTGTATATGAATATGCTTGATCTGATGATGAAAAGTATTCAGTTGTTAATGATTTTCCTAAGAGTGGAACATAAACTGTTAATTGACAATTTGTTGTACAACTTTTTGAAGCAACTTCCTTTACATTACAAGAAACTAGTTTAGTTAAAGAATCGGCATCTGGTTTTTCACTTGCTATTATTATATTAGAAAAATGTATAATTTAAAATGTGTGATGATAGTGATGATAGTGATGATGAATATTATTGTATTTGTTCATAATTATTAACAGTTAGTTATTAGAAAGTGATGATCAATTTTATCCGAAACTTTAAATTGACACAAACCTCCAAGTATTATAATTCCAATAAAAACACCAAGTAGCGAAACAGCTAACATGAGTGCCACACATAAATTGAGACAAAATTTAGCAGTACTTTTAGCCTTCTTCTTTCCTTGTGGATTTACAATTGTCATTTTTTTATTTCTTTTTAATAGTGATCGATGATAGACAGCGTTTAAAATGTCAGATAATGATGTTTCACTTTTGGTGAGACAATTAGATATCAAGCAACAGTTTAATTTCATGTACATTTTATTAAGAAGAATTTAAAATCACAAATTAATCAAATAGTTCAACGAAAAATTGATCTACATCACTAGGTTGGTGGTTGGCAGCAAATGATAACTGAGAAGGATTAATTGGTTGTGGTTGGTGTTGTTGTGGAATTGATTGTTGTGATTGTTGAGGTGGAATTTGATGTTGAGGAATTGAAGATTGGGCAATAAGGACTTGAGGAATTTGTGAAGGAACATTCAATTGTACCATTTGCATTCCATGATCATTTGGTTGAGAATTTACAACACCTCCATTTAATGCTGTAAAGTAAGCATAGAGATCTTGTTGTTGCTGTTGAATCATTTGATATTGTTGAAGCATTGTTTGTAAATGATTCGATTGTTGTGCAGAGTAATTATAATTTGAGCTTTCTCCATAATCACTTGATTCAAAATATTTTCTAAAGAGGAATTCTCTTTCATGTGGATAACAAAGTTCAATAAAATTACAAAGCAATTTCTTTCTGTCTGGATCTGCCATGTTTTGGAAAGTTTCTGTAATATTCTTAATCTTTTCTTCAGTATTAACTGGATGTTGAGAACTACTTGATGCAGCACTACTACTACCAGATGTACTTGGAGCAGTTCCTAATAATGAAGGATCAACAAATCCACCATTATTCTTATATAAACTTTCTAATAATTCATCAATGGCTTGAGTGGCTGCTTGATTTTGATGTGGAGCCACTTCAATAGTGGATCCATTATTAGATCTTGCAATATGATGATAATTTGGAATTGCATCTTCATTTAGAGGTTCTTTCATCCTCTTATGATTTGTTGGAGATGGTTCACCTTCCATTTCATCCTCACCAGAATCATCTTCATCAACTCCTCTCTTTCTCTTTGATTTAATACCAGGTTTTACAATTGGTTTCTTGGCTCTAATAGTAAAACTTGGAGAAATTAAACAACAACACAAAACTGCATTACTATTAGCAGATGTTAAATCTAAAGGTTGTTGCTGTTGGAATGGATGATATGGTGTTGAATTATTTAAAGTATAAAGATAGACAACCATACGGAATTTCTTTCCTTCTTGTTTGTAACTGCAAATATTATACATGAAAGGACCTATTGTAACAGTACTCTTACTTGTAGATTGATAATTGAAAAAGCTTTCATTATTAGTAATGACTGGTTCATCATTTTTCTTATCGTCTTCATCTTCTTCATCTTGCTTTTTCTTCTTCTTCTTTTTACCATCTTTTGATTTTTGTGACAATACTTTTTGTCCATCTTCATAGTTTAAATCAATGTGAGCCATCACATTTTCTTCCCGAATCATATTTCCAACTTCTTTCTCTTCTTACAATATTTAAATTGTGGTACTTTAAGTTTCCACTTTTGTCTTTTATCTTCATTGAACCATTGTGCAATCCAACCATCATCATCATCCATATATTCAACAATTGGTTGATCAGCTGTAGCAACACCACTTGCTTTAACTGCAACTGGTTTTTCAACTTGTGGGCTTGAAGTAACAGCAGATGATGAAGCAGTACGAGGAATGTGACCATGTGATTGATAATGATCATCTTGGAGATTACTACTACTTGTCGAATGTTTTGTTGTGTTCGTTGCTGCTGTAGTTGGATAATGACTCATTGAATGATGGTGATGATTAGAACTTGAATTTAAAACTGTTGTTGGAATGGAAAAACTTGGAATTGTTTCACCCATAGATTGAAGAACCATTGCTTGTTGTTTTTCAGATGATCCATTCATACTAATTGATCCATTATTATTAGAATTGGTTGATAATTGTGGATAGGCTGATGAACTTAGGGATGGGAGAGAAAAATTAGGTGTTGAAAGTGATGGATAATTCTGGGAATTTGCCTGCTGTTGTGGATTCATATTGAATAAAGAAGGAAGAGGTCCTTGTTGATTCATATTTTGTTGTTGTTGCGAATTTATAAATAGTGTAGGATCAGAGGCAGCTACTGAAGTACGTGCTTGTTGATAACTCATTTGATTATTATATACAATTTGTTGTTGTTGTTGATGTTGTTGTTGGGTAGGTGTTGAAAAAGTAGGACTTGATTGGAATAATGTCGATTGCAATGTAGAAGGACTGGTTATATTAAAGAATGATGATTCCAATGGCAGTGAAGTTGCCGAAGCCAATTGATGTTGTTGTTGATGACCAAAGGCAGCTAAACCAAGCAATGAATTTGTAACACCACTATTGTTGCTACTGATTGATATCGTTGAAGTAGCACCACCAAAATTTGTACTATTCGTTGTAGTTACCGAAGTAGGAGTTAGAGGAGATGTTTGTTGTCTTTCTTTCAATATCTTCTTCATTGATGAAACGTCTTGATCCGGTGTGTGACCTCGTTAATTACTGCTGTGTTGTGGTGGATTATTGCAAGGGAATACCGTTGAAAATTAACAATCTTCTAAATGAAACTAAAAATAGTCTGTTAGAAGGAAAAGGACAATTTGCGCGCGCAATGAGAAGGAAGGGTTTTTCTTTTGAGCGAACTAAATTATTATCAAACTTTTTGTCAACCAAGAGAGAAAGGATGCAATATTTGAGTTGTTGTTGTTATTGAAGCTCTAGATTGTCCAAACAATTATTATTACTGTAACAACAAGCTTGGAGTGAAGAGAGAACTTCAATTGTGTGATGATAATATATTACTTGTCGGTAGATATCACAAAGTATTTTGATGGTGGAAAATGCAAAGATAATGATGAGTAAAATCTTGCAATTACTTGATGATATTAATAAATACTAGTATGTTGATAGTCCTTCGGAAGAGATGTCCAAGTTGGGTGGATATTTTGGACAAGTCCTATTATCGTAATTGATGTGCAGTAGATATTGAGCCTTGCGGAATGCAAATTAATATCTATTGTGAAATATTTAGACTATTCCAAAGGAAAATCAAAGAAGATGGAGATTTAAAAAAGCAATACGTGGTAAAACAATAAATTGTCAGTACTTTCTCGGACGCAAAGTTTTCCGATATTGTTTGGCAGCAATTTTTTTCTTCTAAAATGCTTCCACTTTATTTACAACAGTTTTCAAAATGAACACATCAAGATGTTATTTGTACTTTCAGCTAACAGAAATGTGTTAAGGTTGTGTGTGGATTCAACTGCACACATTGTGCAGTAACGAGGAAACAATGTAGAGGTAGGCAATGTTGCTCTTCTTCTTTCCATAATTATTGTTGTTACTTGAACGATTCCAAATATTAGAAAAAATTATTTTCTTTTGTTTGTTGAGGTCTTTACAGAATTTCTTCTCATTGATGTGGTGCTTGAGGACCTTTGAGTTATGGTTGTTGTACTCTTGGAGGATTTTCTAGGTGATTGCTTCTTCTTTTCGTCGTGTGAAATTTGAGGTGATGAATTATCTTTGATAGTAAGAGGTTTTGGAGGGGAAATCAAAGGAACATCAGGAAGTGGTACATGTCTTGTCTTGATTTCTCTGTATTTAGCACCCTTTTCAGGGAGGAATGATAGAATTTCTTCTTGTATCTCTTTAATACCATTCATTTTCTTGGACGAGACAACAATCATTTCTTCACACGTATGATTAAATGGTCTTACCCTAATTTGATTAATCAAATATTCATACTGCTTGGCTATTTCATCATCGTATAACAAATCACATTTGGTGAGAATGATTTGATTCTTGATTTTGTTTCTGAATGTTTGAAAAATAATTATGAATATCATGTTGAAGGTCATATAAACTTACTGATTGAGAAATGTGAGGAATGAATAATCAGTTTCTTTAAATCCATGTCTTGCATCAATAAGAATGAAAACTCTTCTGAGCTTGGATGCTGTAAGTAAAAAGTTTCTAATTTGTTCTTGCCATTCTAGTCTCTTTTCTTCTTCAGCAAATGCAAAACCATATCCTGGTAAATCGACAATATTGATGGCATCCGATAATTGATAGCAATTGAGACTTTGAGTTTCACCTGGTTTGCTACTAACTGCAGCTTTGCCTCCTTTACCCGTTTTAGTGACTAGTGCATTAATTAAACTACTCTTTCCAACATTGGATCTTCCAGCAAAGACAATTTTTGGAAGTGATTGATTCATATTTTCCAATTGAACTCTTTTCAAAAATTTAGAGGAAAACAATTTTGGATAATTTTCATTAAGCTCAATTGTTTTTTCCTTTTCACCATGTTTTCTTTTACCAACAGATGCTTTATCCACTTTAATAATAACTGAAGATCTTGGTTCAATTTTCTTTCTTGATTCTGGAACAACATTTTGAATAAGTTTAGTACTCAAAAGGTTTTTCTGTTCTGCTATTTTCTTTTCAGAATTTTTAGTTTGGGCTAATTCTTTCCATTTATGCACTCTTTGAACATCTTGAAGTTTTTTCTCTGTTTTTGATAATTTAGTTATTGTAGAATCGGAGTGATTAATTGTTGTTGGTTTTGATGGCTTTTTGAAATTTAAAATCGAACATGTTGAAAAACTTGTTGAATTATTTTCCATAATTTTCATCATTGTCCATATTGATTGGTTTGTGCTCTGTTGTTGAATGATTTTTCGGAAAGTTGATGATGGTTGTTGCATCAAACAATTTCCAAGCTTTATGGTGTTTATCATGGTCTTCATTTTTTTCAATCAATTATAATAAAATTGGTTTTGCAATTTAAAGTTTTATTACAAATTTGGGAAATAAATTAATTGAGGTGGTTGTTACCATCATAGAGAACTTTTAACATGTAAGCTTGTGATAAGAGAAGTTCCATCTCATTAAAAGTCCAGGTACGAGTTGGTAAATGTTGAAGGAACATGACCATTTCTGCAAAGTCCATCTTTTGAAGTCTTTCACTCCACGTCTTGAGGAATGCTGCACAAACATAAGTGTGGAAATTTTCAAATTCATCACCTTCTGCAATATAAGCATCAAACAATTTTACAACAAGTTTAAGTGATAATTCTCTCATTAATAAACAATTCATCCATCTGAATGAGAATTGAATAAATTCTAATCCGTTCGATTGTAAATGATTAAATAGAGATTCATCAATCTTTTGAATAATTTCTTCGAGTTTGTTAACCATTCTTTGAATACCTGGTTGAGCAAATGTATAGTGATCTTGAATGAAATCAATGAATTGTGTAAAACACCAAAAACTATCACATTCCATATGTTCCATAATTTCATTTGAAATTGTATCAGGATCACAAGTTAAAATATCACATTCTATTCATGATTATCATCATATAACAAAATACATTACAAATAAATAAAAATTATTCAAAATAAGTTATTAACTATTAAAACTACTTACTCATAAAATCATATAAAAATACACTCATAAATGGTGTCACAAGATCATTTAAACCTTGTACATATCCACTGGCTGGATGTCTAATACTCCATATATATAAAATTCTTTCCAAGGCTTGCTGTATTCTTGGATTTTGATAAAGTTGAAGATCTGGATTTGTTCTAATTACATCAATATGAATTTGTTTTTGAAGAGCAGTTTCTTGTTCTGTTTTTTGTAAATGTTCTTCATTATAATACTTGGACACGTAATCAAGGTATTCCTTTCTTTTTCTATTTATAATTTGTTCGGTTCTTTCTCTATTCAATGGCATGTAACCAAGAAGAATTTTCCATACAACTGCTCTCACAGATGAAGGTATTCCTCTCCAACTTAATTTCCGTAAATTTTCAATATCGATATCATCGTTAGAGTTTAATATTTGTCTGAATTTTTCTAATTTTGATTCAGAAACACCTTCATCATCACTCAGATAATTACTAATATTTCCAGAGTTTCTAATTACAAATGTATTTCCTGCTGATGAAGAATTTGAACCATTATCACTTCCGATAGACATTCTTGGGCCTTCTTCAAAAGGATCATAAACTTTAGATTTTTCAGAGAGTGAATCATCTTCTGATGTTGTTATATTCGAATTTTGAGGGAAAACACCAACAATTTGTTCGGAAATGGCTTCTATTGGGAAAGAAGCTCCTCTAACTTTTGATATTGTTCCTGGTTTTGGTGTTGTTCCCTTCTTCTTTTGCTTCTTTTGAAGTTGTTTTTGTTTTTGTTGGTAATAGTCGGGAGTATTTGTACTCCCAACAACATTACTAGTATTTGGTGTTGTTATTGTACTATTACTACTACCTATATTATTAACAGAATTTGAATAATATTGTCCAGTTGTACTTGTACTATTATTATTACCTCCACCAGAAGGAGTTAAAGTAGAAGGAGATGTAACTGTTGATGACGAAGAGGTTGGTGTTGGTGGAGTTGATGATTTAAAGTATTTGGAAATTTTAGAGAGAAAACCATCACTACTTGGTGATGATCCAATCCCTTGATTGGAAAATGTTCTAGTATGCCCTTGAGGATTAGAACCTGTGTTTGTTGTTGGATCAATGCTCACGTCATCCGAAGGGGATAATACAGATGAATGAGCCTGTAAAGACATTTTTTAATAATATTAGTGGGTAAGTAGTTGAGATGATTAATAAACGGTTACTTTTCATAAAAGTTCTTCGAAAGTACTTCATAATATTAAAGAGTTATATTATTGTTTCTATTAAATGTATCATTAAGGTTTAATGGAATGTTAATGTTTAATGATTTTCTTGTTTGGAAAATGGTAGATTATGCAAAGATTTTCATCTATTTCAATGATAGAATGAATACAAAAATAATGTTATCGACTAGCCCCGCTAGCTCAGTCGGTAGAGCGTTGGACTTTTAATCCAACGGTCGTGGGTTCGAGCCCCACGTGGGGCGGCTTCGTTTTTGTAATGCTTCATAATCTATTTTGCAAAATTGAAATATTCAAAATCAAATAAATTAATCAAATATTATTTTTCTCAATAAAGAAGGAAAATCAATAATGACAAAATTTAGTAGAGTTGATTTCAGATTAGTTTTGATTTGGTTCGTATGGATCTCCCGAAAATGTACTATGTCTCCTTTGAAGATTGTTGTTTGCAATCATTCCAGTATTGTTTGCTGCATTTAGTAAATTTGTACTTGAAGAAGGTAATATATGGTGGTAATATTTCATTCTATAGTGACGTATTTCATTATTGTGAGATAATTGTTTTTTAGTATTGCCTGATCTTTCTAGCTCTACAATTTTTCTTTCATACTCTTCTATCAGTGCATTTTCTTTACAAATGGGAGAAACTTTTTCAATAATTTCAGTCCACCTTTTCATTTCATTTTCAGATCTACAAAAGAATTTATATACAACTGTGGGAGAAACAAGTTCAAAACAATAATAGAAATATACTTCCATAGGATCAACCTTTTCACATAACATTAGAAAGTTTGAATAGGTTAAAAAACTTACTCTCACTGCAATATTACTCAAAGAAATTTGCATACTCGGTTTCATGGTCTCTGACAAAATTGGAAGTGAATTTTTCATAAAGGAACTTGGAGAAGGAGATGACTGTACAGTAGAAGATGATTTTGAGGTATTGGAGGATGAGGAAATGGAAGTAGAGGGAATATTCTTTAAATTGGAATTATTTGGAGTAATATTAACAAGGGAAGAAGGATTGGTTGTTGTTGAAGATACAGTACTACTACGAGATGATGGATCCTTTTCAGATAACGATGGAGCTACTGTTGATGTAGAAGTAGGATTTTCCTCTATTATATTTTGTAAATATTCTGGAGGTGGTTTCTCGAATAGATTTAAAAAGTGTTGTACTTGTGGAGCTGATGAAGATGTTAAAGTTCCTGTATAATATGCAAACATTGATCCCAAAGTACTCAGTGATATTGTGGATTTTCCTGATGTATTAGAAACCTGAGCATACAATTCACAATAGTATTCTTTACAAGAAACATTCGGTATTGCTGTTGTTGTTGATGCTTTTTTAGAGTTTGATGATACAGAATTCGGAATATATAATAATCCAGCATAGAGTATGGTACTCGTCGCTGGTGTTGTTGTTGTAGTATTATTATTGTTATTATTATTGGTGGTGGCAGTATTAGATAATAATGGATTGATATTGTTCATTGAATTATTAATTCCACCATTAGTACTAAAACCACCATTCAAAGATTGTCTATTGCTCATAATTCAAGATGATGAAATCGTAGACACATTAATATTCTCTCTTAAAACAACATAAAGGTAAAAACACCTCACAATAATACACGACTCCAATAGGAAAATATTCTCTTACACACACGATCTAACTGGGTGAGTAAATAAAGATACAATTTTTTTACTTTTCTTCCGTTGGCCAAAGAAGTTTGCATCTTCATTGGAGGGAAATTTGAAAAGGCTTCTTCTTGATGAAAGTGCTGATTGGTTTCTGTGGCCATAGAAAATTATTCAGTGGAGAAGAATTGTTCGGACATGTTGAGCAAATAGGAGTTGGATTTTAATTCTTCAAGGACAATAAATATCTTCATTAACAAGACTAATAAAATATCAAAAGGTTCTATGATTAAAGAATAATATTCTTCATTTTGTATGACCATCGATTATTAACTCTGAATCAATAATATGAGATTTGTATTATTCATGATTTGGTGATGATATTTAATGGTTTCATGATGAAGGCTTGCTTAACTACCGTTACAAAAATAAAAAATTAATTTAAAAAAAATGATATCATCAGGTGCAACTGTTGGTTCAACCTCTTCCTCGCAAGTTGTTGCACCATCGGGTGAAAGCGATCCAACAAAATCTGTCTTGGAGGAGTGTGAGAGACATTTTTCAGAGAATGATGCCATTACAAATCCTTATATATTTGACTATTTAAAACAATATATTAAAAATGGCGGAAAACCATCTACTATTGTTCAAATGTTGAGCAGTAGCTACAAGGGTTATCCCCAAATGACATCATTATTGTGTGATTGGATGTCTATGGCAAATATTGATAATGAGACAATTAACAAAATACTTATGGATTACTTGAAGAACTTGATCATTGAAAATTTCGATTCAAAGAAGGCTGATGCCATTTTTACAGCTTCTCAAGATCCACCAAAGTGGCTTGAATATATGATCAATGATGTAGAATGGAGAAATCTTATTTATCAATTATCTGAAAAACATCCTAATTGTCTCATGTTAAACTTTGCCATTCAAAGAATTAGTGAATCTGGTTATCATAACGAGATTGCTTCAGTAACAACAGCAACAACATCTTTAAAGGTATTCCATAGAATTCTAACAGATTCTATCGAAAAATTAATCCGAGAGAGTGAAGAATCTATTAGTTCTAGCCCACAATTTTCTGATTTCAGAAAGATTTGTTGTCACTCTCAATATACATACATCTATGCTCAATGCATTATTAGATCACTAATGACTAGTGTCCCAAGTTATAGAAGTCAATTAAGCTTACTCTCAGATGAACTCGAACAAAATGCACTTAAAGATGGTAAAGCATCTGAATACCTTATTAGAAAAATTCGTTATTTATTCCTAGAATACGAGCATCGTTACAAAATTGAACAATCTGACTATACTCAAACAGCAGCTATTTCAGATACAACCACTATAATACTTTCTATGCTTAATAGCAATACCACAAATCCAGCTGATATCCTTAAATTGTACAAATACTATTCAAGTGCCAATCCTCCTCCTGTAGAAATGTTACAAAGTTGTGAATTTTTGGACTTGTTGATTCAGGATTTGTTTAATCCTTCAAAGAAAGTTAATCAAGCTCACAGATCAAAATATATTTTCGTATTGGCCTATGCATCAACTGCAACTAATGATGGAAATAATACTGTAAATGTAAACCCAGTTGTGAATGCTTTAGAAAAAGCTGTAGCAATTTGCTCCAACAATACACTTCCTAAGAGTGTTGCAGTATTTAGACCATATTTGGCATATAATATTGTTTGTGTAGGAGTATTGTATTGGATTGGTATTGTTTTTACAGACTCACAATTCTCCATTACAATGTTCACACTTAACAATACTAAATTATACATGGCTTTACTGAAAGAAATTGCCTTTAGACACGAATCACTTTCATCACTGGTATTAGCAATTGTAAAGAAGTGCTTCTTTGCTAATCAAGGTGATTTAGATCCACTTCAAGCTATGGAAATCAAGAAAGTTTTTCTTGATGTTTTTATTTATTTAATGCAACTAGGATATGTTTTACCAACTCTTGAAACAATTCAAGGACTAGTATTAGAGAAAATGGATATGTCTTTGATTAGACATATCATTAACTCTATTCTAGATATGATTGAAAGCCCTTTCTCTCTAGAGTTTATTACTAAATTTGTAGAAATACTATGTACAGATCATGCCAGAGATGCTATCTCATCTAAGATTTCACCTAATTTCACAGTCTTTTTAAAGCATATTGTTGAAGAAGGTTCTGAATTATACAAATTATCCAGTGATACAATATCTTTCTTTAGAAATATTTATTCTTCACAAATTTCTGTAAAATCTGAAGGTGATAAAAAGAAGAGATCTTCTGCTTATGAAGCTGACGAATAAACAACACACATTATTTTCAAAACTAAACTGGTTGACCAAATGCTTTACAAATATTCATCAACAATATGTCCCAACCTCATGGCAACGATTTTGTTTTTACAATCGTCATTGAATTGTGGCTTTTCATTTGTGTGAAACAGTTCCCAACCCATAAATGTAAGGAGAAATTGTCTCAACTCTTTTCACACTCGTCACATTTAATGTGCTTTTAATCGTTAATTGATTTTAGAACCTTTCAAAGGTTGGTACTTGTCATTGTAATGTCAAATTTAATATTATAATTATCCATGAGTAACTATTTATCCAACAGTTTGTCCTTCCAAAGAACTTGTTTTATGTTATCTTCAACAACTTATTCTTTCCTATACCAACAATAAAATTTATAAGAAACTATTAGCCAGTACAATTTTCACATAGTTTCAAAATCATTGTTTATACATTGCTGATAGCTGAATGTTTACTGTTGTAATTTTCTGATTTGTCGTACTATTTCTTTAAATAGGTTGCCCTTTCTCTTTGACATTATAACTGAAATCACTCAATACAAGTGACGTGGTCATCGCTTTTATTCAATTAGAAATCAACACATAAAAAAAATTGTCATGTCCTCCCTCTCCACTTCCTCATCTTCTATTAATTTTATAAACAGTGATTTGTTTTTTGGAGTTTCAGACCTTTGTCAAGTTGAAAATAATTTAATTGACAAGTGGCAAGAGAAATTATCAAGTGCTTTACAAATAGATAATTTAAAAATACAAATTAGATGGGAAAGTTTATTTAGTAATGTGTTTAGGAATGAAAATAAGTTAGTTCTCTTCAACGGATCAAAATTATCATTAAGAAATGAATTTTCCTTTTTAAAAAGTGAAATGCAGAGTCAGGAATTGCCTTCCGATAAGAGAAATTCGAATCATTTATTGGTAATTGTTCCACCATTTACAAGTAGCAAGCTACTTTCGAGTATTGAAAAATATTTTTCATTATTTATTCTTTCGTTAATGAAGGAATCGGATTCGAATAGAATTCCAGTGTTATTTGAAGAAATTAGAAAGTTTGTAATTGAATTTCAAAGTGAAGAAACAAATAATCAAAGTAGATTTGATAGAAAGAATGGCGAGTTTATAGAAATTATTAATTTTGATAGAAAAAATCAAAGATGGTCAATAATTGACAATTTACCAAATTTAATTTTAAATGATGACATTTGTGTTGAAACAATTTTCAAAAAAGTAATTTTAGAAAATATTAATTTAAAATTGAGAAAGAATTTTTCAAAATATTTAACACATCCAATTAATAGTTCATTTAAATTTGAAAATAATCAAAAATTAATTGAAAATCTAGTTCCAAAATTGGATATTGATTGGTCGAGTTTCCAAAATAGTCAAATTGATAAGATTTTATTTACAAAATTTGTTCAATTTAATAATTCACAATATTTTCTACAATTAATTTTACAATCATTTGAATATTTATTTGAAAATATTCCAAATGAAGTATTTTTCAATGTAATTACTGATTCAATTCATTCCATAGAAATTGAATGCTCACACTCTTCTTATATTAAAGATTGTGCAAGAGATAAATACTCTTGTGAAAAATCTCATAAGGAAGGTTTTACAATGAGATCTAAAATTCAATATTTACCACATTTACAAAAGTATACTCTTAAATTATTATATCCTTCTTTTAAATTTGATGATAATATATTATTGGAATATAGTGATGAACAAGTACTTCGAGAATATGAACAACATTTATTGAATATTATTGAAATTGCTAATATTATTTCATACAGTTCATTTCAATGTATATTTAAATTTATTTATTCAAAGTTTTACTTGTTGGAAAAGTATCAGCTACAGTGGTTGCAATCTGTGAGTGAATTACCTGAAATTAAGGAATCTCCAAGAAAACTTCGATGTTTCTATAATCAATTCCAATTGGAGAAACCATTCATTACTTATACTCATTTATCGGCTGCTCCAGCAAAAGCTAAATCACCAAAATCACCAATATCTCCAAACATGGAACCACCAGTAGATGAAGATTTAAAGGATTCTGAAACAGTTTTTCATGATACGACCAACAAACTCTTCAACTCTGAAAGAAATGTTTTTGTTATTGATGGAATTCCTTTCAGATTCTTTCCACATCATGTTCATTCATCGAATTTGAATGCATTCTTTGATGCCAATTTGAAAAAGAAGGGATTTTTAGGTGAGAAGGTTATTAGAATTTGGAAAATTGTTAAATTCAACAAGAATCATGTTGCTCAAGAACGTTTATTCATTTTAACAACAAAAGCCTATTGGACATTCAAGTATACAGATAACGAAAAGGCAGATTTGATTGAACTCAATGAAAAGAAGAGTTTCAAGAGACATGCCTTAATTGACTATGCAATGATTGATGTTACAAAGCTCTATCAACAAGTGTCTCTTACATCTTCATCAAGTGTTTATGGAAGTGGAATGAGAATTTTAACTCGAGAATCTAAAAGAAGAAATACTGTCATGCTTTCTAAAAACGGAAGTCAATTCGAAGAAAATATTCAAGATTCCAAATCAAAAACAGTTGAAGAGGAATGTGATCCAGATCTTGAATTTGTAATGTTTGTAGAAGAAGGATGGACAACAATGTCAAGCTCAATCTATGATCACAACATGACTGAAAATGCAAGAAAACAAAAAGAAAAGAGAAGCAAATCAAATGAACATTACGAAAGCTTATTAATGGTTGATTCAGGGAAATCAATCATTACAACAGATTTACAAAAACAAATCCTTTTGGAAATGGCTTATTGTATCTATTCAACAGCTAAGAGTTGTGTTCCATTCAGTCAATCAATTAGTCCACCATTTACGGATTGTATCGTGTTAAGACAAAAGAAAAATCTCTTGAATTCATTCAGATTTTAATGTACATAAAAATCATTTCCTTGTTAGTGTTACAACTAAACCACAATGATCAGATGGGAATATATCAACAGTTCCACTCTTCACCTCTTTAGTTTTAAATGGAGTATCTCCCAATATTTCAATATCTGTTGGTTGGAATGTATCACTTTTGAGAATCGTTCTATCATATCTTGAGCCATCAGTATGAGTTTTACCAAGATTTGGATATTTCAATTGTTGCCAAATGTCAACATGTTCTGGGAAGAAGTTTACAAGATTTTCATTTTCCAAAGGTTTTGTAAACCTATTAAAATTGGCTTCACTGTCAAAGTTAAAATCACCACAAACAAATGAGGTAGAATAGAGTTTGGAGAATGAAGAAATGAGATAGAGTTGTTGAGCTCTCAATGATTGATTATTCAAAGATTCCAAATGTACAGTTGTAAAACACACCAACTCTCCATTCACATTCAATTCTACACTCATTGCCCACCGAGACATGTTTGTTGGAAGTTTGTTCATAAACATTCTTGTCATTGGCATACTCTTCTTAATAAATATTGAAACACCATATGGCATTACTGTTCTATTTCCAAATTCAACACTATCTGAAATGTAGAAATTCTCTCTTACATATGAAAGATTAGTCATAATTTCCAAAGTTCCTTTTGTCATTTCTTGTAAACAAACTATATCAGCGTTACAATCTTTACAAATATCAATAATTTTAATCATTCTATCTTCTCTATCTTGTAAATCAAACCAAACATTGAATGTAAGAACTTTAAAAGATGTCAAATCTGAATTAATATTTTTCAATTTTGATGTCTTTACAATCCATTTATCTCTAACAAATTCATGAATTGGAATTTGATAGCAATCACTCTCAGGAACAGTATCAGGATCAAAAACAATCTTTGATTTTACCTCTGATGAAACTTGTCGATCAATCTTTTGAATGATTTTAGTATTTTGTGATGGATTTTCCTCTCTGTCTGATGACTGGTTTGATGATGGCGTATTTCCTCCTCCACATAATTTTACTTTAATATCAAGTGTAGTTATTCCTTCTTTATTGATGGGAATTATTTCATCATCCAAATCCAATTTATCATCATCATAAAGTGAGAAGGAAGAATTGGTTGAAGAATTGTAAACTGACAAGTTGTGTGGTTGTTGCATAGTAGTGCATGATGGTGGTATATTTAAATTTTCGTTAATTAATTTCTTGAGTCTACTTGTTGTGAGTGGTTCATGATCCCTAACATTGAAAGCTTTGATTTTTTGGTGTGGGAACTTGATATGAAATTGAGACATTTTTTTGAAAAGTATCATTATTCATCAAACAAGATTCATTGAATCATACTTTTATAGAATTGAGTATTTAGATTGGAGTGGTTTATTGGATAATCTAGTCGAATTGTTTTAAGAAATAAGAAGGATTTGGTTCTTCACCAAGCATGTTTCGAACAATTTCTGTTGGATCCTTGCTAGCTCCACACAATGCTTCCTTTCTAAACTTTTCGCCTGCTTCTCTGTTGAGTGGATTTTCGAGTGGATAATAGAATTTATACCACAAATGATCACTGAAAACTTTAGAGTAGAGGTAAGAGTAATAACCAGCGCCGTAATTACTAAAGTGAATGAATTGACCAGGGTATGATGTCATTTCACAATGAGGTTGAGCAGAGTATTGCTTTCTCAAGTCGTAATAAACCTGTGGAATTGATTTCTTAGTTTTTGTAACTGGATCGATAATTGGCCATCCACTATGATAAGTAATATCCATTAATCCAAACATGATTTGTTCTTCAATATCCAATCCTGTAAACATTTGTTTTCTCTTCTTTAAAATTTCAAATTGTGAGTAAGGCAGTGGTTCATCAGTTCTGTAATGTCTAGCAAATGTTTGCAGAACTCTGTAATCCCAAGCAAAATGTTCCATAAATTGTGAAGGTGTTTCAACAAAATCAATACTAGTTCTAGTACCAGAGAGATTTTGATATGGAGTTTGTCCGAAAATAATATGAAGACTGTGACCCAACTCGTGGAAGATGGTAATTACTTCAGAGTGGCTTAATAGATAGACACGTTCTGCTGAGAAATTGTCTACGACTGTAGGATCAATATTACAAACAAGGGCAGTAACTGGTTTTTGATCTATTGTGGTCTTTCCACATCGAATACTAAAGTTTGCAGCTTCAACATTCTTTGATTGTCTACTGAAAAGATCCAAGTAAATTGTACCCAAAAATCCTTCTGTTTCATGGATTACTGATAATTTTCTAATACTTGGATGATAGGTTTCGCTATCTGTCATCTTAACTGGCTCCAATCGAATACCAAAAAGGCTATAACAAATAGAATAGATTCCTTCCATTACCTTATGAAGTGGGAAATAGTCAGAAACTGAAACTGAGAAAGGTTCGACCTTTTGAGTGGCAATTGATCTAAGCAAATGATAATCCCATGGATAAATATCATCACTCTTCTTGATAGCTCTCATTACATCAATTTCTTGTTCAACTTTTGGCCTTATGCTTTGAGCCAAATCTGTTAAAAATTTGTGTACATTTTCTGGATTTCTGGCACATTGGTCATGTAAAAACCAGTGAGAATAAGAAGGATAACCCATATCCTTAGCATATGTATCTCTGACTTGCAATAATTCATCTAAAATTGACAAGTTTGTCTCAGAGGAAGAATATTTGGCATGATAAATCTTTTTCCTGGTATCTTCATCCTTCAAGCTCACTAATATTTGATTGTAATATGAAGGTCTCACAAATTGCTTTCCTTCATATGAGAAAATATATTTAGAATTATAAAGTGGTTCTCCTTGTTTAACTTCAACAAGTACAGCATCTTTAGTTTCCAAATTATTGAATTTTGATACGGATTCACTAAATAAATATGCCAAAGAATCCATGTATGATCTTAATTCAACTGTTTTTGCTTCTTCCTTTTGTTGATGTACACCTCCATGTTTTTCCATATCCTCTTGAAGTAATCTTAAACAACGTTGTTGTAAAGGATTTAAGTATTCTGCAAATGATTTGTCTTTAACAACACTTGCTATTTTTTGATGAAGGAGTGAATCAGTATTCAATTTGTGAAGATATTGAGAAAATTTAGAATGTACAGTATCAGCCTTTTGTCTGAATGGATTTCTTGGATCTACACATCTAATAAATTCCATAGCATCTAAAAAAAGGCATAATTGATTAGAAATTTCATCAGACATGTCCAAAATCTTTTCTGCAAAATCTTTTTTAGAACTGCATTCCTCCTCCGTTAAATTTATAATTGCATTTCTTAAATTATCACAATTTTGATGAGCTTTATCCATCAATTTATCAAAATCAGTTAATTTTTGAATATCCAAACCAATAAGACCTGTTGACTCATCGGAAATGTGTTTGTAAGGAAAATTATTTGGTTGATTTTTTTCTGTAAGAAGAAGTTCAAAATTAGGTATGGTTGGATCTTTCTTTTGACTTTTAAATGTTCTACAATTATTATTATTAATACTATTAATCAGAAGAATATTTTTGAGTGTTGTTGTATTTTGATTCTTTACTCCCGAAATAATTCTCGAAAGTGCTGATGATGATTTTAGCATTTTTTCTTCTTCAATTTTGATTGAATTTGAATAAAGTTATTATTAATAATAATTTACATCATCACTATTATCCTATACTCTGGTGAATTCATAAAGAGGAGTTCTGTTAATGTGACTTCACAAATGTCTCCAAGGTTCTGTTAGTGGTTTGATCAGAATTGGTCAACCAGTTTGATTGCAAGAAACAAACTCTTGATATCTTTAGGACCTAATGTATGATTTGAAGGGAATGGGTTGATCACAATTCTTCATCTTTCTTCTTTCCTATTTGACACATAATGTCCTTGCTTTCTTGTGAGCTTTCCATAAGGAATTGAAAGGAATTTGAGAGCATTGAATCTGGCTTTTCAATCAGATTAACCCTAAGAAATAAGATAACTCAATGAATAAAAGAATATATAAAATTTAATTACATTATTGATTTACAGGTGTCACCCTATTTCCAACTTTTTTTCTTACGGCTTGATTTCTATTTTGATTTCTCTTAGGTTGTTGAGCAGCTTTACCACCACCAAAGCATGACAATAATCCTCCTAAACAGCCAACTTGAACTTCTTGTTGGGTGTGGTTGATATTACCTGTACTGTTATTTGGATTACTGTTCTGGGCCGTTTGCTCATTTTGCCCAGTACTTTGCTGGTGTTGCAGCTGTTTTTTTGCCACTTTATCTACAGCTTTTCTTTCATTGTTTTGTTTTACCTGTTGTTGAAGTTGTTTCTTTTCTTTCATCAGCAGCTCAGTAATTTCATGGAGTTTGGCAAGTTCAGTCTCTTTCACTGAGAGAATTTCTTTCATATCCTTAATCATTAAAGCCTTTTGGTTGAGTGACTCGGTTAATAGACGTATTTCTTCTTCTTTATCTTTTCCATGAGACATGAATTGTTCATCTCCTAAATGGAAAGATGCACTTATACCAGCCTGTATATAATATCCTTTTGGTTTCTTTCCAAGTGGGAATGGTTCGCAATCTTTATCTAGCATTACAACACCATCCCATTGAGGTGGCAGTTCACTCTGTTGGTACATTCTGCATACTTTTACATATAGTAATGATAATTTATCATTATCATTCATTCTGTGAAGTTTGGAGAAAGTATTCATTGCAGCTATGAATTTTCTCTGTTGAAACATATCTAGAGAGGTCTTGAAATCTTTCCTTCTGTCAGGAGAGTACAAAAATACATCCCAATTAGAGTCATAAACTTGGAAGAGATCATAAGGGGAATTAGAGAGGAAGAATTTACCGAAAGGACTAATGTTCATGGCTTGATTAGATGTTTTAGATGTTAGTGCATCACTCTTCTGTACAACTTGTGAGGATACAACAATTGGTATATCATACATTCTACCTAGGTTTGCCATTCTTCTCATAATTTCTTTAGAAGCGGTCATAATTAGAAAATCTGAATGTTTGTCATTAAAGTGTACTGGTCCTACTTTGCAAGGACATGTATGAATTACTATATTGATATTTTCTAATAACAAGTAATTTCTCTCTGCACCATTAGATGAATAACTTGAAGACTTGGAGCATTCAAGTGCGTTTTTCCTAACGGTATCTATACAATCAAAAGCACACTCTATAGCATTTAAGGAATGTCTTGCTTCAAATACAACAATGAAATAATCATCAAAGAACTTGTGAAAGATACCATGTTGTTTTTGAATGATCGGGCTACAAAGGGTTAAAAAGTTATTGATGAAAACATTTTCATCATTGCTATTCAATCCATTAAGACCTGAAAATTGAAATAAGGCCACTGTCATATCCTTTGGTTTCCCATCAGAAAATGTGCTCCTTGCCATACCAAAAAAGTCTTGAGGAATTAATGCAGAAGTAGATAAGGCATATATACTGTGTTTGCTTTGTATCAGGTTTGCTGTAGATCCACCCGTATGTGTCGAAACCAGTCTTTCCATCAATGATCCTCCTCCATCCTTTTTCCTCGAATCCAAATTTGCTGTAGATTTTGAAGAATACATAGTGCTCAAAGAATTCTTAGATGATTTATCATCCTGACTACTTCTTGTTGATGACAACGAATCAACGTCGTCCTTAGGTTCGTTCATAGTATTAGAGCTCTAAAGAGTAGAGGAAGAGATAATTAAGGAATGGATTTGTAATTTTTTTTCTAGTTAGGGTCCGCACCGTTATGTATTTAAATTGGATCTTTGAAAAAGTTAGGCCTACGTTTATGCCGACTTTTTTTTGTTGGTTGTTTTCATAAAATTGGGATGTAATTGGTCTTCAACAGCAACAAACTGTAGATTTTGAAAAATATGGTAAGAATATTTTAATCAATCCAACCCATCAAATTACATTAGCCTCTCAACTCATATATTGACATGCAGAGATTAGTGTTTGGAGACAAGAATTATCATTTCAAATTAACATCTCTCACCTCTCTCTCATTCAATCACTAAGAGTTCTTCAGAAGTCTATCAACATCAATTGGTAACGATTAAGGATTCTTAAATTGGTTGTAGAGAGATTTAAAAGTGGTGCGATGGTTGAGCTCAAGCCTGTTGAGCAGTTAAAAACGTACGATAACCGAATATTCGGGCGCCTTTTCGAACTCTAAGGCTCGAAAATTGTTCTGCAGTAGTTTAGGTTCCAAAAAGTTCATTCAAATTCAGTAGTTTGTTGGCCAAATTATATACAACACTTACTATTTTATTGATAGGCAGGGTTTTGGTTCATTACCTTAACAAATTTACGTCCTTGATCACTATTATTGTTATTGGTTGTTTCATCATCACCACCAAAATCAAGGGTTCTCTTTACACCCCTCTTTGAAATATCACTATTATTGATCACTGACGATGTCGATTCACGATTAGGTGTTGTCGATATTTGATCAAAGTGTTTCTTTGTACTATTTGTTCCAAATTCATAAAGTGCTTTTGTTCTTGGTGTCAAAAGAAGGGTTGTATGATAATTATCTTGATGTCTCATTGGTGATAGTAAACTGTTCTTGGAATAGTTAGACTTTCGTGGAGAGAGAACAAAGTTAGGTGCAATTTTGGTTTTTGTGAAAATTTCAACATATGGCATTTCTGGTCTATCAAGTGCTGCACCTGAAGTCTTATCGAGAATGAATCCTTTAACAGATGGAATATATACCAAGTTATAGAATTTGACAATATCTCCCAAATCACCTTCTTTGTCTAATGGTACTTGCCAAAGAATTTTACCAATTTCGACTGGCGATATCATTCTTATATTTTCGCATATAATTCTATAGTTATAAATAATATCTTTAAATGAAATACGCATTCTATTCACCTTATTACAAATAGCATACATGCTACACATGATTATATGATCAACATGTCTGCTAACCATCAGACCTCTAGCTTCATTCAATACATAATACACTGTGTGCCACACTTCTTCCATAAGATCCATTGATATTATCATTGGTTCCTCAGAGTTACTTTGTTGTGTTTGGTTAAAGTGATAACATAATTCTTGAATTCTTCTGGAGACTAGTTTGTACATTTTTCTGAAAAAGAATAGAACAGAATATGAACCCTTTGGAGCTGATTGTGGTTGTTGTTTTCTTGAGGCCATTGGGCTATACATTCCAAAGGATTCAATATTTGAATTTCTGTTTGGAGTTTCATTTCCAGGTTTTGGTGGTTGTGGAACAACACTTGTACTAAGTTTGGAATACAGCACAGAGTTCTTCTTCCAGGCTAATGAGTCCAATAACACTTCTTCTATTGATTTAAATTGACGTTTCAGGGCACTGTTTAGCCATGTGGCATTTTGGACAAAACTTTCGAGAACTATCGATAATTCAAATGGTTCTAATACAAACTCATTGAGTAATACTTGGAGGTCAATGGTATCTTTTGAATTGTAGGCGAATGAAACGCATTCAATAGAACAAATTGTTAAAGATCTGTGGAAGTTTTCGTTTGTGAGGAGAGTTGAAAAATTAGCAGTGCCACTTAGTCTTTTTTCTTCGCCTTGGAGCATATGTTTCAAGGTACCATAGTAAATTTTCATTATTTCCTGTTTTCTCTTTTCCTTATTAAATAATAATAGTGATTCAAAGTTAACTTTGTCAACCAAGCTCTTAAGTCTGTTTTCTATTGTGGATGTTTGATCTATATTACAGGATTTAAAGTAGCCTAGTAAAGTTTCATCTGGTGAGCTAGAAAGACCTTTTGTAGACTCTTCAATAAGCTGTATAACAAGAAGACTTGCTTGTAATGGAGTTTGGGATGTTGCAGTAAAGTGTCCTGGAGATCTTAAAGGGGATCGGAATGGATCGTTATGTTGTGTTGGTTTAGGTGGATTGAGTTGATAAACTGGTGCAGAACTGATTTTTGAAATGTCACCAATAAGATTGATATCATTTCTGTAGAGGAAAATTCTTTCATCAAAACCTAACGATCCCAAGGTTAAATCTTCATCCTTATCAAACAACATATTCAATTTAGAGAGTGAATCAATATTGTTAACAAAATCTGAAAGGTTTTCAATTGTTAACTTTGAAAGGGTTGTTCTAATATATTCATCATATCTTGAATCTAATTTATCCTTTGAGATATTGCAAATAGAAAATAATTCTTCAATTGTTTCGGATAGTCTAGAGTTTTGTGATGCTTTCCACATTGAGATCATAAAATTAATCAACAAGTTTACACTTTCTGTAAAATCCAATAATGAAGAAGGTAAATGTCTAGCAAGAAGAACCAATATTATCCAACCAGCCTTAAAGTTATCCATTTGCAAGTTTGGAGTAATTACTTCTTGGAAACATTCTTGGTATTTCTCAAAAAGACAATGGCAAAGAACTAACTTCTTTTGAACCTTTTGGAGAACACTATAGCAAGTGGTTGATTCGAATTGTAATGATACCATGTTATTATTCAATAATTCAAACAATTCTACCAAACTTGATGAATGTTGTTAGAAATATCAATTTGATAATACTCACTTCATAGAAAAAGATCTGATATTGACTAAACTTCCAACAGATACAGAACTGTCAATCTTTAAAGAAAATTTGTTAAGATCAATCATTTGCTCATCAGTAAATTTATCATCCTTTGAATTTTCTAATCTTGATGCTATAAACAAGGAACAAAATGCTAAATATGCTTGTCTATTCGGCTGTAATATCGGTTAGTAAAATACTAACACTTTTCTACTTACACCAAACTCTAAAACCTGAGAAAGAGAAGAACATTTTTGGTATATTAATTTGGCTCTGTTGATTAATAAATCGTTATATGATACTTTTAACTCTTGGCAAAGTTGTACGAGTATAATGCTAATATCTCCTGTTGCGTCCAACTTTGCATATTGCGGAGTATTGTCTTGGTTTCTGTATGATTCTTGTTGTTGAAAAATTGGCTTGTGTTCATCGTAGTGATCATTCGTGTGGTCTGATGATACTCCACCTTGTGGCAAAAAGTCTCGATGATGATTAGACATTTTTTATGATGAAAAAATAGAAAATTGAGCGCCAACTTTTAAAAAAGGCGGGAAGGATATCACATACAAAGCAAAGGTGGCAAATTGAGTGTTGTGATCACTTTGAGTGAATAGCTTAACTTGTTGTATAATCATCATTTAATTGTTTCAATATTATGATAAATTCCTTAGTAGGTTTAAGACTACAGCAATTATCTATGAATTGTACATTCGAAAAAGTTATCTCTTTGAAAAAAAGCAAAGAGACTCTTGATCTGTATTAAAATTGGCGGAGAAACATAAAAAAGAATGTTCAGTAACTCACCCAACTTCAATCACCACCCACATCCTCCTGAAAATGAGGTTGGTGACCACCAACAAGAAATTCCGAACAATGACTTTGATGATATTGATATAGAGGCTAAAAAAGAGCCAATTAAAGTTTGTATAAGGATACGACCCCTAAATGCAAAAGAAAAAAAGAGAGGAGATGAACTTGTTGTTGATTTTGATGATTTTTCAATTGGAGTAAGTAATTCATCACAATGATTGGAGGTTTGGAACTATGTTTAAAGTTTAATCCTAAAATTTATAAATCAAAAGGGAGTGGTGTTCGAGAAAAAGCATTCACCTTTGATTGTTGTTTTGGACCAAACAGTACTCAGGATGATGTATTCTCGGAAAGTGGTTTGACAACCTTATTAAAATATGCAATTGATGGTTATTCATCAACAATTTTTGCATACGGTCAGGTAAGTAAAGGATTGACAACCAATCAACAATTATAATAGACTGGCTCTGGAAAAACATATACAATTATTGGAAATGAGGAAGATTCTCCTGGAATATTACAGAGAGCATCAATGTTTATTTTTGACTATATTGCTCATATTACAGCAAAGCAAGAGGAAGCACAAATTAGTATTAAAACTAGAGCATCTTGTTTGGAAATATATCAGGAGACTGTAAATGATTTACTGAATACCAGCTCTAAAAATTTACCAGTACGATGGAGCAATAGAGATGGTTTTTTTGTTGAAAACTTGTGTGTTGTAGAAGTGGACAATTTGCAGGAATTAATGACAGTTCTTAATGAAGGAATTTCAAATAGAAAAGTAGCTTCACACGAATTGAATAAGGATTCTTCAAGAAGCCATTCAATTTTCACAATACAATTTGAAGTTACAACTTCAGATGTAAACGATGGATTTGAATCAAAAAAATATGGATCTATTAGATTTGTGGATTTGGCTGGTTCAGAAAAGTTGAAAGTGTCAAAATCAAAATCAGTCTATGAGACTTCGAGTATCAACAAGTCTTTATTAACCCTCGGAAAAGTAATTAGTGCACTAAGTTCCCCAAAAAAAGAAACCCCTTACGTTCCTTTTAGAGATAGTAAACTCACGAAATTGTTGATGGATTCCCTAGGTGGGGAGGCAAAAACAATGATGATTGGTTGCATTACACCATCTTCTCACTATGCAGAAGAAACTCATAGAACATTGACTTATGCTAGCCGAGTTAAAAAAATCAAAAACATTCCTGTCACAAAAATTGACCCAAAGGAGAAATACATAATGAAATTGAAAGAAGAAATTAAGAGTCTAAGAGATGAACTAGCAGTTTACAAGACCAAATCTGTTTCATCTACTCCTTCAACCAAAGTGAGAACAATAGTCTCTCGATCCGACTATAGAGCAGCAGTAATAGAATTTCCAAGAGTTGAAAGAAGAAGGGTTTCAACAAAGCATCCAGAAGCAGATCAAGTTTTATTCGAACCAAAACTTCCATTTATTGAAAAGAAAAGAAAGGATGATAGAGCAGCTACGGGTTTTACTAAAATAATTGAAAGTAATGAATCTGGAAGAGATGAAGAAGAAGAGCATGAAAAAAGAAAGGAAATCAATCAGTCGATTCAAAGTCTTAAAGGTCTTTTGGAAGAAGAAAGGCAAATCAATCTTGAAAAGATACCTCAATTAAAAGCCAAAATTCGTCTCTTGGCAGAAGACAATAAGAGGTGGAAGAGAATTGTTAGGAGAAATATGGACTTTGACTCTGAGGAATACGATAAGATTAAATTGGAAAATAAGATTTTAAAAAAGTTTTTGGAAGAGAGTGGAATTCCAAACCCTTTACAAGATTTGAAAAATTATTTACCACCTTCATTGGAAGAAGATCATGAACTAGATAGTTTATCTGATAAGGATGGAAAGGAAAGCAGAATTAGCGATATTTCTGATGTTTATTCAGATCCTTCTGAAATGAATTTGGTTTCCTGCAAGGATGAAGAAGACTATTAAGCTGTTTTTTTAGTGTATCCACTTTTCACACATTTGGATTGATACTCTACAGTAGATTCTACTCCTTCATTTGAGTGGAAACACAAATGATTGGATACGAATGACAAACTATCCAGTATTGGTATCACTTTTGGAACTAGAATCAAAGAGGTAACATAACTCCAAATTGTTCCTGTAATCAATCCTACAGATACACCCACGAGTACTTGAGGAATAGTATGATAATGCATTGCAATTCGTGAGTAGGCCACTAGACCTGCCACTGAAAAGAGTGAAATCCTTGCAATATTTCTCCAAAAACTAGTTCTTACTTTAAACCAGCATAAACAAGTGCATGCAAAGAAAAACATAAATTGACTATGAGATGATGGCATTCCAAAATGTTCCACTAACTCTGGTGTATCCACAGAAACATTCCTAAATTTAGCAACATAGATATTGGCTGGTCTATCCTGTGCAAATGTATGTTTCAGAAAATCATTCATCAATTCATTGACAAGTAATCCGATCATCAAGAACAATGACTGATATTCTCTATTCACAAAAACTACTACAACAATTGCTGCTACAATAAATATTGGTAACAAGGCACACAATGCATAAATTAAAGATAATAAATTTCCCTTCTCATACACAACAAAAGTGAAACTAAATGCCTTGATGATGGCTTCTGCTTCCGAAACTGACGACATTTTTTAATAATATTAAATTATAGATAATATCTATCTAATGTTCTCCTCTATCACAAGACATCATTCATCTGATTGTTTATTTCAATACAACTCATCATCCAATCGAAGTAGTTTTATCTATAAATCAGCAACATCAAGTACGATAAGCATTCTGCTGTGCTTTTCAATCAACAAAAAATAAAGCCTCAATAGAAAGTGATACTACAACATCAAACCTTTAATATTTCTGATCCGAATAATACAAGATTTTCAACCAAAGAAACAGATAATTAATAGATCATTATTGTAAATAATAATTATGGATACAAAAGGAACTCCATTAGTGATAGATAATGTAGGTTTTCAAAAAGAAAAATATAATAAGGAAAATTTAAATCAATTAATAGGGATCTGGTCTTATTAAAGCAGGATTAGCTGGTGATGAAATTCCAAATTATGTATTTAATAATTAGTAAGTTTATTTGAGGAAACAAACGGGGTATTTACAATGATAGTGTTGGATCGACGAAACATGTCCGAGTTATGCCAGTGGCTGGACCCAAATATGATTTTTGTGTTGGAAAAGTAGCAGAGGAGAAGAGAGGAATTTTAAAACTGAAATATCCAATGGAACACGGAGTTGTTACTGATTGGAGTGCTATGGAACGAGTTTGGGATTATTTATATGCTTGTTTAATGGATAAAGATACAGGTCTAGGTGAAACATTTAAAAGAGAAGACAGTCCTGTTCTTTTAACAGAAGCACCTCTCAATCCTAGAAAGAATAGAGAAAAGGCAGCTGACATTTTCTTTGAATCTTATAATGTTCCTAAATTATTTATTTCTCTTCAAGCAGTTTTATCATTGTATGCTTCGGGATCAATGACAGGTGTTGTATTGGATAGTGGTGATGGTGTGACTCATTGTGTTCCAATTTATGATGGTTTTGCTATTCCCAATGCAATCACCAGAATTGACGTTGCAGGAAGAGATATTACCAATTACTTGCAATTGTTGCTGAGGAAATCAGGATATAATTTCCATACCTCTAGTGAAATTGAAGTTGTAAAAAGTATTAAGGAGAGTGATTTAATGTATGTAGCAGCAGTGTACGAAAAGGAAATGATCATGGATGAGGAGAAGGGAATGCTTGACCCTAAACCTTACAAGTTGCCTGATGGTTCAATAATTCAACTTGGATCTGAAAGATATATGGCTCCAGAAATATTATTCAAACCATACTTGATTGGATTGGAATATATGGGTGTTCATGAATGCGTACTTCGTTCTATTCAAACATCTGATTTGGATATTAGAAAAGATTTGTACTCTAACATATTCTTTGCTGGTGGATCAACACTGTTTGATGGATTTTGTTCAAGAATGCTTAGTGAATTGAAGAAATCAGCTCCAAAAGACGTTCCCTCTCTCAGAATCTCAGCTCCTAACGAAAGGGCCTATACAACATGGCTTGGTGGTTCCATTTTAGCTTCACTTCCTTCCTTTAGCGATATGTGGATTACCAAAAATGATTATGAAGAACATGGCTCTTCAATAGTTCACAAAAAAACATTTTAAAATTGTACAAATGTAAAAATACAATATTGTTTATTATTCAAATTTAATAATAACAATTAATTGAAATAATTTTCAATTTATCGTTACAGTAATTTACAAAATTAAGCAACCCTTCTTCTTCTTTTCTGAAGGAGCCTTCTTTGTTTTGTTTGTGGCTTCAGCAGTCTTGCTACCCTTTTCCTTTCTAATTTCTCTGACCAATTCAAAGAAGGAGTTTTCAACATTAGTTCTAGTCTTGGCAGAACCTTCAAAGAAAGGAATGCCCCATTCATCAGCCTTATTCTTTCCTTCAGCAGTTGATACTTGTCTTTCGCTTTCCAAATCGCACTTGTTACCTATCATACACATTGGAACTCTATCCTTATCCTTAACTCTCAAAATTTGATCTCTGAAAGTGTTCAATTCTTCTAAGGATCTCTTTTCTACAATGCTGAAAACGAGCAAAAATCCTTGCCCAGATCTCATGTATTGGTCTCTGAGAGCAGCATATTCTATTATAATAATAATTAAAATTATTTGCTATTATTTTTGAAAATATTTACCTTCCTATGAAACGGGTTAGAATTTCAATTTTTAAAACACTTACTTGACCAGCAGTATCGAGAATATCCAAGAAACAAGTTTCAGTATCAACAGTAACTTGCTTACGATAGCTGTCTTCAATAGTTGGGTCGTATTCTTCAAGGAAATGGCCTTGAATTAATTGGATTGTAAGAGCAGATTTACCGACACCACCTGTTTTAATAATGTATTATAATTCGTTATTTGTTATTTATAAATAATATATTGGTATTAAGGTTAATGTTTTTTCAATGTCTTAACTACGTACCACCACCAACAACAACAAGCTTGTATTCAGTCATTTTATTCTGTTATGTATTAATGTTATTTTTTTTATGTTTTCCAACAGCCTTAATTACTTCTGCTTTTAAGGGTGCCGGTTGTAAACGTTTGTAAGTCTCCAAAGACGCGGGCGTTTGTTGTGAAAGACAAGCACACAACGTTGCTCGTTAGTATGTCTTAGAAGTTCTGTGGAATTTCCTAGTAACATTGTGTGTTGTTCTCTCTGTAGCAGTAATAAAATTTGAGGCTATGAGTGTACCTCATGTTCGTTCATCTCCTCTTATATTTGTTCGGTGGTAAATGTATGCCTTTTTAGAATGGTGTTCAAGGCATGTGATTCGGTATCCAATTCTAATAAATCAAATGCTGCAATAATCTTTTTGATGGTATCTTGATAGCATTCCTCCCACTCACATTCTGAGAATGCAGTAACAACTACTTCACCAGTTTCAATGAAATATTCTTGGACATTGACTCCACTTCTAAGAAATGCTTCAAGATTAATATTTTCTACAAAGATAGATAGTGTGCTTAATATTTGCTTCTTGAGTGTCTTGATATACTTGTACTCTGAGAATTGAGCAGGTGGATTGTCTGACGAAAGTTCGTTGATGGAATCAATCAAGCAACGCCATACTCTAAAATTGTTCATTGAACTACCGTAATCTTTTGTTAAAAGAGAAAGTGCTAGAACTGCTTGAATCCTCACTTTGAAGTTTTCATCTGAAGAAATCCTTTCACACAACATGTTTACAATTTCATCGATTGTTTGAATGGCTATGTTTGTGTTGCCAATCAAATTGCCCAAAGCATAGCAAGTATTCCACCTTGACTTAACAGAAGATCCGCTGGAAATAAGAGCGCTTGAGAGTGTTTGAAGTAACACTTGTTCTACAGTAGTTAGGTTTGTTGAAGTCTCTCCTTTTCCTTCCTTGGAAGTACGAACAAAATAAGATACCCCTTCTTGTTGTACGTGGTTGTTCAAAAGCTCTCGGTCAGCAAAGCTGGCAATATTACCTAACGCTCTTACAGCATTACAAAGAACCTTATCATTGTCGTGACATGAGCTTAAACTAGAAATTAGAACAGGAATGACAAGCTCTAAATTGCTTCTCAAATCAGAGGATCTCAATGCATCACATAGGTTTGCAAAGGACCACGAAGCTCTAATTCTTACATTAAGAGATGAATCGCTTAACATATCCTGGAAATATTTGAGAGACTTGCTCATGAATTGTAAATTGTTTTGAAGTTTTCCAAACAATACAAACACTCCAACGGTACGACATGCAGATGATTTAACATTTGCATTTTCGTCATTCATACTTGAAAATACTAAGGAAATAATTTTTTCTGACAATTGTTCTCCGAAAGAGTCAAAGGTAGATGGAACAATATTAGAAAATATTGAAACAGCAGCAGACCTGATGGACTGATTAGAATCTTGAAGTGCATGAGCAAGAACCATATCAGTTATGCTCTCCCATACACTTTCATCAATTTTGAGTGTGTTAAATCCTTCTACTGGTTTCTTGAAAGAAACAGCAGGTATCTTTGATTCACTGAACGGTGAGGTAAAATTGTTGACAATTTGAATAACTGTAAGACGAAGAGCTGTTGAAAGAAATTGTAAATAAAAATAAATCTTTCAACTTACTTTGGTCATTGTGATTCAAACCAATCCTAATCTTTCTCAAAATAATCCTCCAATTATCCCACAGTAGATCTGGATAGTTTTTGGCAATATTGGCCAAAACTTGTGCAGCTTCTGTTCTTATGACATAGACATACTCTTCGGATAAATATTCTATCAAGAGTGGAATAATACTCAACTTGGAGTTCCTTAGAATTGCACCAACCTCACTTAGAGGTTCCTTGGTTCCAAATAATGTAGCCAAACATAAAAATGATTGATTTTGAACTGTCTTGTCTACTTGTGAAGAATTGATAAGACCAACCAGAATTTCTGAAATGTTTGTAAGGATAATATCACAATTCATCTTATTGTAAGGAGTATTTTCGATTAGTAAAGAAAGTGTCTATAATTTTTGCAATGAGAATTGATATGAATGTAATGTCATACTTACTCTGATAGAAACTGGAAGAATAGGAAGAGACTCTTTTTTGATTGATAATATTAATGTGTAGTGTAATTCTTTGATTATCGATGCAAGAGTTTGAGAAAATGATGTAAATGCAGACTTTGTCTTCATTTCACTTGCTTGAGCAAGGTAAAGTTCACTATTCTCCAGCATTGAAGCTAACGCTTGAGCTGCTGCTAATCTAACCTTTGAGGATGGATCAAAGAGTAAAACTGTAGATAAAGTCTGCTTAGATTTTGGATTTTGATTTGTACTATCATTGTCTGAGAATAAAATCTTCCACTGAGCGAATAACGACTTGAAATCCTTCTTAGCCAATGTGTTGATAAGTTGGAGTGCTGCTATTCTAATCTTTACAGCATCTCTATTTATATGTGGAGAATCTGAATCTGAATAATCTGAATCTGATGCAAATCCTGAGTCTATTGATACTAAATTCAATAACATGATCAAAATAAAAACATACCCTTCTTTGGATTTGTAGAAGATTGAGCAGGGAAAAATATTGTTCCAAAAAGCATTAGTTTCGAAATGTGAGAAACTATCTTTTCAATATCTGGCAAATGAATCTTGTCACCAGTTTGAATAACACCAGAAAGCAATTTAAGAGAAGAGTAAAGGACTTTTTGGGCATTTTCTACTGCTATTCCTTTTGTAAGCATTTCCAAATTTTGCAATGTAGAAGAGTAAATTGTCTTGCAATATGGTGATAACACTTCTGGGTTTGGTTTTGAGAATAAATTCACAAGGCAATTGATAGATTGTTTCCTTACTTCCAAGTCCGATACAGAAACCTTCATTTGTGGTATTACAACTGTTAAAATCGACTTGTAGGTTTCAGAAGAGCATTTGGAGGCCATATCATAAAGAATAAAACTCAATGTCCTCAAACAATCAGCTAATAACCATGTAGATGATGATGAAATAAATTGTGTAAACACAGATATTAAATCCTCTCCCCTCTTTTCTGAAAATTGAAACTATCCAAAGGTCAACCATTATAATATGATTAATTCAACATACTTCTTGTTTGATTGTCAATGTAGAAATCAATTGGCATAATTTCGAAATTAGCAAATCTTGTGATTCAGCCGATTGTAAATATTGAGCAATTCTCACAACGACATCCAAACAAAACTAATTATTGATTTTTCTAATTTTCAATTAAAACTAAAACATACTTCAGTGTCAATTCCTCTAACAGGATAAGAAATTGAGTTTAAAGACTCCAAAATATCCTCAACAGATTTTGTTGTATTAACATTTGTTGTATCAAGTGATTGCAATAATTCTTTTGCTTCCGACCACTGTTTTGGAATAATTGTTTTATCCGATTGTATTGATGATGAAAATTTAGCACTATTATAACTTCTTCTAGTTGATGAAGAAGAATTTGGCTTATTATTCTTCTTTGGTGAATGTAGCATATTGTTTTGTAGGAATAGAACACACCAACAGAAGACAAAGATAATAAATTATTTTACTGGTAATGATGTACTAGTATTTTTTCGCGCCTTCTGTTGTAAGACAAAGCCACTGTTAGCCATTAAAGAGCATCTAAAAAAAGACCAAGGCAAACTCGCAAAAAAAATATCTGGTCATCGGTTGTTTTTCTTCTCTTCTCTTTTAAACTTGGACGCGGATAGTTTTTTTTCATCATCACAATAATCAATTGATACAAAGATGACCTCACCCTCTGATTTGGATAGACAAATTGAAAAATTAAAACGTTGCGAGCTTATAAAAGAATCTGAAGTCAAGGCTCTCTGTCAAAAGGCTAAAGAAATTCTTATTGAAGAAGCTAACGTACAACGTGTTTTTGCCCCAGTTACCGTAAGTATTATAGTCATCATGATTATTAAAAGTCATCATAGGTATGCGGTGATATTCATGGTCAATTCTATGATCTGAAAGAACTTTTTAAAGTAGGAGGTGATATTCCTGATACAAATTATTTATTTATGGGTGATTTTGTAGATAGAGGATTTTATAGTGTAGAGACCTTCTTGCTTTTGCTTGCATTGAAGGTAAGATATCCTGACCGTATAACACTCATCAGAGGTTTGTATTATTCTTGTAAATTGAAAAATTCCTAACCAACAATATTATTTTAGGTAATCACGAAAGTAGACAAATTACACAAGTTTATGGTTTCTATGATGAATGTCTTAGAAAATATGGTAGTGTTAACGTTTGGAGATATTGTACTGAAATATTTGACTACTTGAGTTTGTCAGCTTTAATTGAAGATAAAGTATTCTGTGTCCATGGAGGTCTTTCGCCTTCTGTTACTTCATTAGATCAAATTCGTAAAATTGATAGAAAACAAGAAGTCCCACATGATGGTCCAATGTGCGACTTGCTTTGGTCTGATCCAGATGGTACGTTTTATTGATATTATTTCAAAATTTCTTAATCATTTATTGTTGTTGTGATTTTAATACTATTTAGATATTGATGGGTGGGGATTGAGTCCAAGAGGTGCTGGTTATTTATTCGGTGGAGACGTCGTTACTCAATTTAACCAAACTAACGGTATTGAACTCATTTGTCGTGCTCACCAATTGGTCATGGAAGGATACAAACACATGTTTAATGAAAGCTTAGTTACTGTTTGGTCAGCTCCAAACTATTGCTATAGATGCGGTAACGTTGCTGCCATTCTTGAATTGGATGAAAACCTGAAGAGGAATTTCAAAGTTTTCGAATCTGCTCCTCAAGAATCTAGAGGTATCCCAGGAAAGAAGCCAGCTCCTGATTACTTTTTGTAAACAATATAACCTAGTATTAATATATAATTTTATGATGTATTTTAAAATTTGAATGTTTAACATTAAATAATATCTTTTCATTTAATACATTCTGTAACGAATCTTATGCCTTAAACGAACGGCTTAAGGAGGAGTAAACTAAATGTTAAAAGCTGTAAGTGATTTGGCGCCTTCAAAAACCGTTAAATAATTGTTAACTTTGCATTTAAAACATAAAAAAAATACCCAAACGACCTTCTCCAAATCATGATGTACCAAAGATCCCACTCTTTGGTGCTTGATGAAAATACCAATCCTATCACCATTGCCGACAAGGACCCTATCAAACCAATTTCCATCCATCCAACTAAAGCCCCTATTAAAAAATCCATTAAAGATGACAATTCATCAGTTAGGACTGCTCTTTCTACCATCATGGCTCGTGTTAAGAATTTGAGAAAACGACCTGGTGATGAGAAGAGAGTTGAACTCAAGAGACAAACTAGTGACTATATTACCACTTCCACTCATTATAATACTGTAAATAATCAAGAGAATAGAGATCCACAACAACAAGAACAATCACTCAATACATCCACCACCTCCTCAACAGCAATAATTGAACAGGAACAACAACCACCATCCATTTCCAAATCATTGTCCACATCATCCCTTCCAACAAGTACTTTATCTACTACTAGTAGTGTGAGTGAGGAATCCAAACCTACCACACCTCAAAAGAAGACTACAGACGAATTGACTTCTCCTGGTATTGATAAAGCAGATTCTGAAGATCCTCAGTCTTGTATCGAATATGTTAAAGATATTCATTCACATTATAAGAAGATTGAAAACAAATATAGAGCAGATCCAGCTTACTTGTCGAGACAACCTTTCATGAGACACAAGCATAGATTCACCATTGTGAATTGGATGATTGAAGTTCATCAAAAGTTTAGACTCAGTACTCCAACAATGTATTTGGCTGTAGATCTTTTAGATCGTTTCCTTTCGAAGAATGACATTAATTTGAATCATCTTCAATTATTGGGAGCTACCTGTATATTTGTTGCTTCAAAGTATGAAGATCTTCAATATCCACTTTCTTCAGAATTGGTTAAGATTTCAATGAATTTATTTACTAAGGAAGATGTTCTGAAAATGGAAAGACTCTTGCTGAGAGATTTGGATTTCAATATCACAGTTGCTACAGTATATCCATTCCTTAAGAGATATCTCAAATGTGCTAGATGTGACTTTAATCAATTAGCTCTTGCCTATTACTTATCAGAATTGTCATTGTTAGAAGAGGCCTCTCTTTACTATCCTCCATCTCAAATTGCTAGTGCATGCATTTACGTTGCAGGAAGACTTTGTAATAAGAAGGATAGTTGGGATAGTGTTTTACAATACTATACTGGTTATTCTGAACAAGATATTGAGGCATGTGCTAGTGTAATTGTTAAAATTGCCAAAAAGTACAATACTAATGAGATTAAGACTTGTACAAGATCAAAATACTCTCAAGAAGAAAAGGCCAAGGTTGCTTGGATAGTAATGTCATACTTTAACAATAGATCCAAAAAGGATTAGTCAAACATTCTAACTAGATCGTCACTAAAGGAATACTTTGTGACATAAATCGTAAATAAACAAATTACCTTGATAAACTTTGCATTGATTGAAATTAGTATTTTCTGAATTTAATGTTCTTAATATCTTCATCAACATGAAAGCTTTTCAACACTGTTCAACCAGGATGAGAGTAATGTTTCATGATAAAACAGAGAAGTTTAATCAACTATAATTCTATCTGTGTCCATAGGAATTTCAAACTCTTCAAGACAACTTGGATTGACGAATTGCCTTGCCTTCATAAAATCATCAAACATTAATTCTCTTGGCATAATATTAGCCATAGATGTTTTGGATTTGATTTCTCTGTCAATTAATTCCTTAATAGGGAAGGATAAAGCTTTCTTACACAATTCTGTCAAGTCACTTCCACTGAAGAATTGAGTAGCATCAGCAAGCTTTTCAAAGCTGACAGTTGGAGAAACTCTTTCATTCTTGAGGAGCAATTTCAAGATTTGAATTCTGCTATTACGATCAGGGGCATCTATCTTGAATTGTAAAGGCATTCTTCTCAAAGCAGCTGTATCCAATTGAGATCTCAAATTGGTTGCGCCAATTACCATAACTTGATCACCATCAGATGTAGTTTCAAAACCATCCCATGCTGAAAGAATAATACTAATTCTTGCCTTTGATACTTCATGCATTTGATAACTGGCTTGTCTTGAAGGTAATAAACTTTCAATTTCATCAATGAAAATAATACATGGCTTGACTTTGGTGGCAAAACTGAAGAGAGCTCCAACTAATTTCTCAGTTTCTCCATAAAGGAAATCAGATAAGAATTCTCTTTTAACATTTAAGAAGGCACAATTACATTCCTTTGCAATAGCTTTAGCCAAACTTGTTTTACCAGTTCCAGGAGGGCCATAAAACAGAACTGTATAAATTTTGAATTATTAAATAATCAATTGTTAATAAGGATACTTACCTCCTTTTGGAAGCATTCTGAGTTTAATACTTGTTGAATCAGAGCTATTTCCTTCATAAATGTGTGGATATTTAAGTGGGAAACAAACAGATTCATAAATCTCCTTCTTTAATTTATCCATTCCTCCAATATCATCAAAATTATTATCCAAATCTTCAGGTAAAACTAAAAAGTCAGCTACAATTTTTTCATACTTATTCAAATATCTTTCATATAAAGAAATGTAATAGCTGTCATCATCCTTTCTCGGATTTTCTAAATGTAAACACTTATGAATTAATTCTCCAATTTTTCTCTTTTTTCTCGGCAGTAAATTTGTACCTGTTTGTTTGTTGTTAGTATTCAGCAAATTTGATAAGAGTGGCATGAACAAATACTTTATCGATAAGAAGGTTAATAGTAAAGTCAATCCAGTTTCAGAAAGAGAAAATATCAGCCTCGACAAACCAGAAGAGCCTCCACCACCAGATGAAGAGCTTCCTGTTGCCAATATTAATTCCGTATTTCCATTATTATTAAATAAAACTCCAGCTGGTGAACCGCTACTACCAGTCGAATTATTATTTAAAGATGTATCACTTGATGATGACGATGAAGGTGTTGTTGTCGTTGAAGTCTGCTCACTCAGAGAGGACCATAAATCCCGTAAATAATTCATTATTATTATAATTATTAAAATTAAACGCTATTAGCAAAGAAGGGGAGCCAAAACAATCAGCAAAATGTGAACGACGAAATATATGAGACCGGAAATTAGAGCTGTCTTTAATGCACAATTCTTGGTGCTTTAATTTTTTTGTAGTTGAAGTTTTTAAAAATCACGTTAATAATTTTCAATCAATTTTAATTATTATTAAATCGATATGAATTAAATTGAATTTTTATTTAAATTGATAGGGGGTCAATGAGAAATAAGAACATTGTCTAATAAAAATGCCACCATTCAAATGTTCGATTAATACTGATGACAATGATGATGATCGAATGCTGAAGAAATTACAGGCCCTGAATAAGCCAAATCCACCTCCGAAGACTAAATCATCTCATAAGAAAAGAATGGAAGATAAAAATCAATTAAAAATTTCTCCAATTGGAATTCCATTTGAGGTAATTTTTGATCATGTGGTGAAATATTTGGATATTGGAACGGCTCATAAGAAATTGAGATTAGTTTCAAGGCAGTGGAATGATATTATTTTGGGAAATGATGAGGATTATTCAGTGGAGTTTGAGATTGATATTGATTTTTCTAGGCAGCAATTTTTGAGTAAGAAATTTTACTCAACTGCTGAACGTGGATTTTTCAAAAATGTTACAAAACTTACAATGAAAGCATTGCCTCAAGGGATGAAGAAGACAGAAAATCGTACATTAATTCCAGGTAAAACGATTGTTACGAGAGGTTACAAGGAAAATGTTGGTGGAAGTGTTCTCAAATTCTTTCCAAATTTGAAAGTTTTGAATTTGAATGAAAATGAAATTCCAGAAGAAAAATTCAATTGGCTTTTAGACTTGAAATCCAATCAATTGGAAGAGCTTTATTTGGAGGGTAATGATTTTAAATTGAAAACTTGTGAACACATCAGTTCATGTGAAAATCTACAGAGCTTGACAGTTTTAAATTTATCCCACAACCAACTCACTGATGCAGGATGTAAATTACTATCTCAGAGTGTTTGTCTTCAAAATCTCAAAAACTTGAACATTTCCTCAACTGATTCCTCTCTTGACGGCTTGATGTATATTTCCAATGCAACATTTTCATGCAATTTAACAATTTTGAGAGCAAACAATAATAATCTTTCAGATGCATTTCATCAAAGAATCACAAATGGAGAATTTAAATTCAAATCTCTTCAAACTTTCTCAATTAGAAATTGTGAAATATCACAAGAAACTCAAACCCAAATTGCAAAGGACAAGAAATTGATTTCTACTACATTGGATCGAATCCTCCTGTAATAACATTAAATAATATTCAACATTTTCATCATCATCGCCGTGATCTGAAGCTTCCTTTTCATTGTTGCTGATTTTTCGTTAATGTTATCCAAATCGGCCCATCCACCCTTCACTTGTCAACAATAATTTTCTCCTTTCAATTTGATCTCTCCAATAGAAAAACAGACAATTCATTGTTAATCATTCTATTGTGTGTGGGTGTGTAAACGAAGATCCTCATCTTTAAAAAAAAACGCCATGTCATCCTCCAGATCATTGTTGTTGACTCAACTCGTCGCAACATGTTGTTTCTTGTTATTCTGTTATTCAACAACAATTACTTTCGCCAATGCCCAAGATTTAACTGGTTTAACAAAGTGTGCTAGTTATGGAAACCATTTTATTCAATGGACTATTTCTAATAGAGCTGATGGTACTCCATACTTACGTGCTCGTTATATTAAAAAAGGAGGTTACAAGTAAGTTTTATTTCAATGATTGGTACTGAGTCAGTTATTATGATTATTGTGTTTCGAATACTACTATTTTATAACTTTCGAATAATAGTGGTTGGGCTGCTTTCGGATTTAGATATGGTTACGCTTGGTCTCAACCTGTTGCTGATCCAGACAATCAACAACAACCAGACAAGATGGGTGAAGACACTAATCCATCTACTCTCTACATGGTTTACAGAAATCCACAAACCGATGCTCACAATTTTTATGAATTGATGGCTACTGCGTAAGTTTTATTATCATGTGATGATTTTCTCATCATTCTATTATTTCATCATTCTATTATATATTTTCACACATGATCACACCATGAATATATCCATACACATGATAATTTGTAAACATTATTCGAATAATATTATTCATGAGTTTAGAAGTGACACTCCATCAAATGTTGCTATTGCTGATTATGCTACTTCTAACGTTACAGTTCGTTCCTCCACCACCACTGGTCATATTCACTTGTATTTTGAACGTGATTTGGTTGTTAAGAAGGGTTCCAAGAATTACTTTAATTTCAATGCTACTAGAACTGATTGTAATCTCATGTTTGCTACTGCTGATAATGCTGCAATTACTAGTATTAATGATTTTGCCAATTCTCAACACAATTCTGCCAAGATTTTAAAGTATAATTTCATTTCTGAAACTGGAATTGATGCTGGCTCTGTTTCTCGTAGTTGTGCTGATTCTGTTTATGCAAGTGCTATGCCTGCTTATCGTACTCCAAAGGTTATTGTTGAACCAAGTTATGGAAATACCAAGAATGAGGCTCCACTTTCTCAATCTATTTTCCTCGTTGCTTATATTTTGGGAGCTATGGTTTTGGGCTTGTTTGCTTACTTTTAATACTCTCCTTGCTATAATGTAAATGATTTATTACATAGACAAATCATCAGTAGTATTTATATATTGAAAATAAAGTATTTTCACAAATTAAAAGTTGAACTCTTCTAATGTTTGATATTGGAATTGTTCCAACTCTTCTCTTGTCTTTTTCTTTGGTTTGAGAGGTTTGGCAAAGTAAGGAAGTTTCAATTCTAGATTTTTCACTAATTTCAAACTTTCTTTCAAGGTTTCTACTTTCGTTTCAGAGAGATTAGTTCTTTCAATATTTAAATATTGCAAATTTTTCATCAAACACAAATGTTCTATACTGAAATCATCAATTTTTGTGCCATCCAAATCTAAACCTTTCAGCTGTTTCATTTTAGATAGGTAGAGAGCTCCAATATTTCGAATAGGATTTTCTCCAAGATTAAGCTTTGTCAGATTCTTCATTTTGGAAATAAATTGTACACCTCGTTCATCTATTCTATTGCGGATTAGTTCTAATTGAGATAGATTCTCTAGTTTTGAAATAAATTGCACTCCATCATTTCCTATATTATTATAACTCAAAGAAAGATATTCGAGTGATTGTAGCAATGATAAATATTCAACTCCTTCATCATCTATTTTGTTATATGCAAGACTTAGATATTTCAAATTTGAAAGTTTGACTAAATGACGTAAAGATTCACTTCCAAAATTATTTCCAAACAATTTCAATTTTGAAAGAGTGGTAATTTGTGAAATGTTTCCCAGACCAATCTCATCAATATTTGATGCTTCCAATTCAAGTGTAATAAGGGGGAGTTTAGAAATATATTCCATGCACTTTCCTCCAAGATCAACTCCATTCAAATTCAAATGATTGAGATTGGAAATTTCACTCAATTGTTCAATATCATCCATGGATAGAACATTTTTCGATAAATCCAACTTTTTCAGACCTTTCAATTTCTTTAAATGATATAATCCTCCACTGACCTTATTATATGGGAGGGTGAGCTCCTCTAATGAGTTCAAATTTGAGAAATATTGTAAACTCTTTGGCCCCAAATTACATGAGCAAGCATTCAACCTCTTTAAACATTTAAACTTTGAAAGATAAATTGCATTTTCATCTCCAATATAACTGCCATCAATTATTAACTCTTTCAAATTCTCAAGATATGGAAAATTCTCCAAAATTGCAACTCCCACACTTCGACAACTAAATTTAACCATTGAAGATAACATTCCACTATCACAACATTCCCTAAATGATTCCTCCTTCTCAAATTCCATACCAATAGAGAAGCTTCTGGTCATTGAGAAGGGTGTTCCTTGTATTAGACTCTGCCACTGCTTGCACACATGCTGAAAATAACACAACAATTCAGAGCCATCAATGAATGAAAATATTTGATCTCTAATGATCTCTGCTGGGAGAATTTGAGAAAAATCTGTGAGTTGTTTTTCTTGCATTTTTTTAAACGAGTTTACAAAATAAATGTCATATTTGACGTCATTGTTGATATTAATAGGAAGCTAGTTCATTAATTTAATGAATTGAATCTTTTAGTGAATAGGTAGTTCATTACCTGCATTACAAAGTTGAACTTGGATTAAAACAAACTTTAAAAAAATGTCTCAACAACCTCCTGTACTAATTTCCACTCCCCAACAGTTTCATGATATGGTCTTGAACCCTGAAACAATTCCGAAACAATTCCGAGTTGAAAATTTAATAGGAAGAATAGTGAAGGGAAGAAGGGATAAACCAGAGGAATTTTTACAATTGACTGATGATGCTACTGATAGAACTGCTTTCATGTTTGGAGAGGATGGTGTAGAGAAATTGTTAGAAATTGCAGCAAAATTTGAACATACAGATGGGAAATTATCAAATGGAGCTGCTTTGGAAATGTTTCACTTGATTGGATTTGAGGAATCGTATGTGAAGGAAAAAATCAGTCAGAATGTTAGATTTGAGTTGTTAATAATTAGTAAGAGCTCTTTTATGAATGACTCGGGATCATTTGTAGAGGTTGCTAGTTGGGATGGTATTTGCTCTTTGGTGGAACATGTATTTCCAAGAATTCACCCAATTTGTTGTAAATATTTGGATCAACTCAAGACTACTACATTCGAAGAGATTAAGAAAATGGCAGATTTTGATTTTGGAGAAATTAGAAGATTCGGTTCAAGCCATCCTCTTTATTTTAATGAAGAAAAATTCTTTGAATATTGTAAAGAAAAGAAATTAACTAAGAATGAGGAACCATCTCTATTGGATATTAGAACTTTTTTCTATTATGCATGTGGAATGAGAGAATTATATTCAGGTGATGGATGGACTTACACTGAAAAAGGCGTAAAAGGTCTGAAGGAATATTTAGGACAAAATATTAAGAGATCACAACTTGTGGATCATACCTGTATGCATCTTGATGTTTAGAATAACTGTGAATGATGTCTAAATATTATCAGGCATTGAATTTCAAAGAAGGAACAAGATCTTGGTTTGAAATAAAGTTAGACGATTCCCTTTGGATTTTACTTATTGCTTTGCAAATCGGCTTGGTAGCTTGTCTGGTATGGATAATAGGGATGGACATGAGAGAGCTTGTTTAATTTGTGTATCTTTCCTCAAGTGTTTAGGAGCATACAAGTATACAACTGATGAGTACCTTTCCATGCATTCCAATAGGAGATCCTTGTCAGATCTAACTCTTTCTGAAGCATAATTGAAAATCTCGCCACCTGAATTTTCAATCACTGTCTTATCATCCCTCATCTTGTAGGTCAATAAACGAGGATCTATATTGCTCAAATCTGAAGGATATTTTTCTCTCAAGATGTCAATTGGTACCACTCCATACTTCAACAAATCTTGATTCGATTCAAAGGCCATACTCCAGAAAGTTTTATCCTTACGAAGCTTACTACTCATGAGAACGTTTGTAAATGCTGAAATTTCAAGCAAATGCAACATAAACTCATCATCTTTCAAGTATTCTGCTGGAATGAAATTTTTAACTGCATTGTAATTCATAGCATAGTCGATATCATCATTTTCCATATTTCTCAGTATTTCCAAGATTTGATTCATTGTCAATTGTAGTCCACTGACATATGTCAAAGCTGTAGGATTTGCTAATATTTTGACATCATTCTTGAGAGAATCACCAATGAAAAGAGCACTTTTTTCATTGATTTCAATACATTCTAACATGAATTCCCTATTATTTCTCAATTCAGGAGAAGCAATACTTAAGAAAATTACATTTCTATTTGAGATTTCCTCAAGGATTACATCTCTATCTTCCAAATATTCATTAGTCTTGTAATTTCTATGGAAATGTTGATTGATAACTTCAACCATGAGTGTTAAATTGTTCAACAATTCTGGCTCTACTGATTCAACATCCAATGTTACCTGCAAGAACCTTAAAATGTCCTCCTTTGTCTTGATTTTGAATGCACTTTCTTTCAAATCAATAGTATAGACCCAGTGTTTAGCCACTTCTGGATCATTGACAAATTCTGTTTGAACACGATTTGGATCTACTGAATAAGGGTACTGTTTCATTAATCTGATTGTAAAATCCTTATCCTTTCTTAAGCTATGATGCAAGAAAATGTGAGAACTATTGATATTGAACAAGTCAAAGTAAGCATCCTTATCCTTTCTAATCTCAGAAGGAAAAAACGCTGGAATATTTTGAAAATAACAATCTGGATCAGTTTCAAACATTTTCTTGACTGCTCCCAATATTTCTGGATCTCTTCTCAATTCAATACTGAGATATGGATAGAAATTAGCATTGGCTTTCAAAAACTCGACCAGATCCTTCTTATCTCCTTCTTGCATAATTTTCACATACTTTGTCATATTTCCTATCATTTCCTCATCTGGATAAAGTTCATTACCAAACAATGAAATTGGTTTGATTACATGAATTGGAATACTTTCAATCCAATCTTTGATATGCCCAATGCATTTCAATGATGGGAACATTGAAGTACCTGTAAATATGAAAAATAAGCCATTTCTCTTATCTAAAAGTGTCAATACTGAAGTGAAATGTCCTTTGTGTACCATAATCAAATTCTCTTGCCATTGATTTTCACCAAATTCACTATTCAATATCAAGGGAAAGGTTGAGTGTTCAGAGATTGGTGTTTCTGCAATAAATTCCCAATCATCAACTGGGGCAATAGAAATTAAATTAGAGAAGTGATATCTGCCACTTGCACAATTAGTCAACCAAACCTTCAAGTGAAATTGCATATTGGTAAAACCAAATTGATTAATTAAATTGGTTAATTGTTCATTGCTGAGTACAGGAGAATCATAATCATGGGCAAGTTCTTGGCAATATTTATGCCACTTGTCAATCAAGTCATTCTTCTCTTCTGTTTGATAAATTGCATCAAAGGTTGAATTTATCAATCTGTTGTGTGCTCTGTCTTCTGTTGAAAGGAATGGGAAAATCCTAACCACAACCTCTGGGATGTTGAAGATATTCATTTTTTTTAATGCTTATCTCACAGGGAGTTATGTGTCCATTATTTAAAGGTTACACCAGTCTATTCAAGGTTTCATATCTGTTTATAATTTCTTCCAAATTTACTGCCATGGATGGTAACATCTTATCAAATGCAAGTGTAAAAAAGCAGTCTTCAATCATAATAAATGTGAATAGAATAAAAATCTCAATTTCCAAAAATAAATTCATCTTCACAACCATCCAAACAGAATTGGATTGCCAAGTCAAACCCCCAAGGAATATTATTGATGATAAAGCAGATGAAGGAGCTAAATATTAACTATTCTTTATATTGGTGACAACTCAATAAATCTTTTTTCCCTTTTTCCATTACATTAATTTACTAAACTTTTAAAAATAAAAATCACAGTTTACTAAGGCTTTCATGATGAAAAAATCAACTAATCAATACAACAAGAATAATTATCATCAAAATATGAATAATTCAAGAAGGCAAATACCTCAATCACAACAACATCAATCGGTAGTTTCTTCTAATAATAATAATCAAACAATGAATAGGATAAACAATATAAATAATATGAACACCAATAGTGCAACAATTGGATCAAATTCTCAAAAGCCTTCAATTATTGTTCATCAAAGACTAAGATATCCTCCTGCTAGAAATGAGTTGAGTAAATATTATTCAATCCGAAACGCTGTTGATGATGAGCAGATGGCTGATGTTATATTTCCAACAATGAGATTAGCCTTCATTATTGTTAGCATTGATCATATTCACTTCCCTAATGAAAATAACAAGGAACACGGAGTTGCATCAAATACTGTAAATAATCAGAGAAAGGCTACAATAGAAGAGCTTGTCTCCATTGGATCATTCTTTGAAAGACCATTTGTAATATGTATGATTTCAAATCCAACAATGCTTGGAAGATTTACCGAATTGCAAAATATATTCACTTCAAAAGTAGTGGAGAGACAAACTGTGAGAGAAATCTATGTTGAAAACTCAAAGAAAGAGAATAAGAAAGTGGTTGTTAAGGATGATACTTTTCCACCAACTCTATTCAGACCTCCTCAACTTCTTCTTTGTAGCTCTGTGAGTGGTATGATGAATTGTATTCAAGAGTTGACCAAAATAGAAAGCAGAAAGAGCAGGGTAAAGCAAACTGAACAAGAAATGTTAGAAGCTCCTCAATTTGCTCAACAAGTTGCAGAGCAGATCTTTACCAATTCTGAGATTGGACATGGGTTGTCCTCTTACGAAACTAGCATCCTCTTGCAGGGAATGGGATCTGTCTCCAATGTCATTCTTTCACAAAACTACCAAGAGATTATCAACAAAACTCCACTTGAAACAAGGAAGGCCAAACTTGTTTTTGAGTATTTCAACCAATAAAGCGTTACAGTTTATTCATTCTTCTTCCTTTAGCAGCTTGGCCGCTCTCTTTCATCCAAGCAATTGCCTTAGAGTTGAGAAGCACACTATTTCCCTTTATCCAAAGGCCATTATTAGGTCCAATGATAACTCCCTGCAATTGTTCATATCCTCTTGGTTTGTAGGTTGGAATGGAATCTTGCGAAATGGATTGAATAATTTGTGGAAGAGCTTGATAAACGGTTTTTGCATGTTTGTGAGCACAAGTAGCAAGTTTAGTTTCCTTAACATTGGTGGCATCTCCAATTGCAAAGATATGATTGTAAGGTTTACCATTTTCATCGAGTACTTGCATGCTTGGATTGACTTTCACGAATCCCTTCTCATCCAAACATTTGGAAAAGGTTGACTCCATAAAATCTGTTTGAGGTTTCATACCTGTACAGATAAAGCACACTGAGAAGCTTAAATTTGATTCCGTCTCCTCACCACTCTCACTCTTTGTGCGTACAGTGAAGGTGTATGGATCTTTCTGAGCTACAACTTGGCTCTTGAGTAGCACCTTAACATTACCCATTGTTTTGTAAATTTCAGAGACTGATTTGTGAGCTTCAGTGGATGGACGCATCAAAATGTCAGATCTCTGTATCAGAGTGACATTTTTCTTTTGATATTTTTCAGCTAGGAATCCAGCAACTTCTACACCAACATAACCTCCACCAATTACACATATTTCATCTGCATGTTCTTTAGCATTTGAAATGAATTCATGAGATTCTACCAAGCTATCAGCACAATATGTATTTACAAATTTGATTTGGGAATCATTACTAATTGGTAACTCATTCCAACAAGTACATCCAGGTCCAACTACCAGATAATCATATCTGATAAAGTAGGTATTCTCTCGCTTACTTATTTTTCTAACATCCTCATTCTCATTGATTATTTCCTTAGTTTCAAAAAAAACTCCAAACTTTGTGACATTGGTTGCAATTCCCTTAATACAAGTCACTGTTTCTGGGAGAGTTTTTTTGTGATCTACTGAAATATGATTAACATTATTCTTATCAGAAATAATTGTTGGATAAATTGGAACCAAATCAAGAGTTCCCTCCTTATCAATAACTGTTAAATCGAATATTTCATTCAGAATACTCTTACAAATCTTATAACCGCTCATTCCTCCTCCAATTAAAACCAATTTGGGTTTTTGTAAAATCTTGAAAATATCACTCTTTGATATCGTTGTACTATTTGATGATTGTGCATGTCCAATCCATCCCAAAACATTCATAATATTTACAAAAATCATTGAATCCTTCTCATTGAGATGCAACTGTGTACCAATCCAATCAATTAAATCACTCACTAAAAAGCAATGATAGGTCGTACTTCCAAACCATTGAAATCTCTTCTCTGACATTTTAACTCCACTGTATGGCTTTTGAAATTCCTTAAAAACAATCATTTTGAGAGCTTTTACAAATTTTCCATCGAATAATTGTTCAAAAAATTCCTTTTTCATTTCTATTGATGATGATTTTTCAATAATCATCTTTTCTATAATTTCCTTATCAATTAATTGTTTATATTCCGAAATTATTTGATCATTTAAAAATTCATCATCTTTTTGCATTCCGTGACTCTGATTTTCACTCATTTTCAATTCATTTTCATCAACATCTTGTAATTGTTCGGAAAAATCCAACACTTCTGTGGCAGCAGATTCAGTGGCCATGGTTGTTGTATTTTTTTGTGTTGTTGTAATGTTCTGTTGCAATGCATCCCAATATTTCAAGAGAATTAAATTTGTGCGCACGAAGAGGAGTTTTTAACGAATATTTTGCCATCCGATTTAATAAGTGGACATTTGGCATGGATTGAGATTGGTTTTGGAAGAGGAATTGGAATTGCTGATGACATCCGCTTTCCAATAGCCATGGGATTCATCTATTGAGTCTGTGCAAACACTTCTCAACACATTTCCCGCGCTTATTTACTGTTAGCTTTTCAATCATGAAGCTGTGGTAAAGTATCACCAAACATATGTGTCACAGTAGAAATCTTAATAATAACGATTCAGCAGCATAAATGAACATCTTATTCCCAGAATGTCAATCTTGGTCTATCTTTGGATCTCTCCAAATTTCTTAATAAATAACAAAATATCTAAGGGAACCATCTCCCTTTTTAGTAATTGTACAATGTGAACTATTTACTGTGAATGAACTTGTTGAGAGATACAGATGTGATGAACCTGCACAACACACAGTTTTGTAAACTCATACAATGTAGTGAGATGTAGTGAGTGTTGTGGTTCTGATTCAAAATATCATTATCTGATTATATTCTTCTTTAACATTGACAGTAAGAACTCCAACTCTGATCTGCTCCTGCTTCCTCACTTGCTGAATTTTCTGGCGTTTTTGTCACTCCTGGTATTATTATTGATTCCTTAGCTTTTGGCTTTAAATCATTATTCTCTACTTTGGTCAAAATTAGTTTTGTCAATTTGTTAAAAACATCAGAAACTCCATCTGAATTTTTTTACAATATTTTTTCAATATTTCAATATCCAAGATTACAACATTTCAAATAATTGAATTAATATTGAATTAATTGAACTTGGAAACATACCTCCTGTCACTGCAGAAGCTTCAAAAAATGCAGCATCCATATCATGTGCCAATTGAGATCCTCTCATGAAATTAACCTTTCTTTCATCTTCTTTATCTTTTTTATTTCCAACTATAATGCAAGTAACATTATCATCACTCAATTCACGTGCATCCTCAATCCATCGTTTCACATTTTTAAATGATTCTTCATTGGTTATATCATAAACAACAATGGCACCAATTGCATCTCTATAATAACTTCTCACAACACTTCTATATCTTTCTTGACCTGCACTGTTTAATGTTTCAATGTATAATTTGTAAAAATTGTGATTTTTTTGTAAATTTTCAAATAATTTCATTTACGTACGTATCCCAAATTTGAAGTTTAATTCGTTTTCCTCCGCAAATCACATTTTTTGATCCAAATTCAACTCCGATGGTGTGTGTTTGGTCTTCATAGACTAGAAAATTGTCATGTTAGTTAAATAATAATGGAAAACTTACAATTTGCTTCTAAATATCTTCGCATGACACATGACTTTCCTATAGTTTGATAATGTTAATAAAATTGATGATGGAAAATAAATTTACCTGCACCAGAGTCTCCGATAACAATTAATTTAAAGCAATAATCCAAAGCGTTGGCTGTTGTCATTTTTTTGAATTTTGGTTATTAAAATCAAACTGGCACCTGACAGTTAAAAATAGGAGGGATGACGTAAGAGCAGATTTTTGTTGACCTGCCACAATAACCATTATTTTTGCTATTTCACATCAAACATTCTCGATTCATCCAATATTCAACAATCCCAAAAAGTTTTCTAACATGTTAATTAACATTAAAAGCTAATCATGCCTTAATAAATGCAACATAAGCGATTCTCCGAAACGGTAAAGATTCAAATACCCTTTTTTACCTTTAACAAACTCAGTAAATAAAACCAAAGAGAGAAACCATATCAAAATCCCATTAGGGCATTCACACATTCCTCCATAGTGGAATGGACTCTCTTCTAAATCACTTGAGGTTTTTGTCTCTGCGCGCAAGGTTGATATCCTGGAAGGATTCAATTGACAATGAATTGTTGTTGTTGAGGCCGATAACAACAGAGTAAGGACCTCATCAGTAATGATAACCTTGATTCAGAGTCAAAATCTAAAGGCTTCCTCTAGCGGATAGAGTTGCGCTGATGATGGTTGCGTGATGGTCCACTTTATATTGAGGTTCAAATGGCCGGATTATCAGCAACGCTCTTGGATGCTTAAAAAAAACATCAGCAATACATTGCTTTTCTCACTTGAAAATGGGTGTTTCATGTTCAACAAACCTGCAACCATCAGTATCATCAGGATCAGATTTATCTAGCTATAAAAATCATAATAGACACACTTCTCCTGTTAAACTTAAAAAATCAAATTCTACAGGAAATTATAATTCTAGTTCTTCTTCAAGGAGAAGTTCTTCGAGTAAACACAGATCCTCATCAAGAGGGGGAACAGCCTCTATGTCTGATAAGGAGAGAAGAAGAAGAAGGAAAGAAGAGGAAAACAGTGCACCAGATAACTTCTCTCTTCGGGAAACAATGAGAAGAAGCTCGTCAGCTTACCTTGAATAGTTTTTCATTCAAACCGTTTTTTCTTACCCTTACTTCCTTAATTTATTCCTTCTGTAAATATATCTTCACTAGTATTATTATCAATATGATACATTTATAAATCGTTTATTATAATAGTAGAGCTTCCCTTTTATCCTGATCAGACAGTTCTATAGAGTTGTACATGAAAGAGACATAGTTTTCACCAAATAAACCATTATCTTCAGAGAATACAAGATGGTCGTATTCTTCAGAGTTTTGCCTCTTCATTTTGGCAACCATATCCACTGATCTCCATCCAAAGCTCTTCCACCAATTGAAATAGTTATCAGCATGGAAATTTTGAATGTTATCACGAATCTTTTTCATTTCTGTAAGGTATTCTGATTGAGAGATTTGAATTGTTGCATTCAATGATTGAATCCAACTTGTATCTGTTAGGGTTGGTCTCACATGGAAATAAATATTGTTAACAACCAACATATTTGTTGTCTTCCATTTAAGTGGTAGTTGAGGAAGACAGTTTTTCAATATTTTACAAGAGTATTTACAAAGTGCTTCTATATCTTCAACTTGAAGTACCTTTTTGAGAGTTCTCTGTTGTAAAATGTGAAATTAGAAATTAAATTTTGAAAGAATGATACTTACATGCATTTTGTGTTTTCTGATTAACTTTGACATTAAATATTGATCATCTTTTGTCATTTGATGAATAATTCTTAAGGCTACTGTTAAAACATAAACATTTCTCCAATTTGGTTTAGGGAAATTACTACTATTACTACTACTGGTGCTAGATTGGGTGCTCCTTTGATCGCCTCTCATAAAACTTTGAATAATTTGATTCAAAATTTCAAATAAATTCAAGACTTACCTTACGTCAGCATTACATTCATCTTGTACAATGTAGGACTTAACCTCCAAATCCAAAAGTCTAAATAAGAGCACTTGAGTATCTGCCTCTTCCAATAGGTGAATAAAGTATTTGGCTTGCATTTGGCAACTCTTTCTCCAATTCTTAATCATCAATAAAACCACTGATAGAATAGATTTCAATAAAATATTGCAATATCTTCTCTTTTGTTCAGTTCCAACAAATCCTGTTCCTAATTCACCTTTTGTGGTCTTGTCAAGCAATGTAAGAATTGTTAGAACAAAATCTGGTAAATCCTCAATCATTAATCTCTATATTCAAGTTAGATGTCAAAGGTTAAAATCAATTAATGCCAACTTACGTATAACGTCTCAGTTGTACTTGGAGATTCTATCAAAGCTCTTGGAAGAGTTACGTTGGTCTTATTATTTTCCTTCTTTTCAGGAGCTCTGTTATAGATATCGATGGCTTCTTCAACCAGTTTTGAAGAAATATTATCTTGATTTTGCTTAATATAGGCAGCTTTGGTTTCTGTGCTCACCTTCAATTTGAGAGACTTGGCTCTTTCTTTTTCTAAAACCTTGGTTAGTTTTGTGTATCCCTTCTTCTTTTGAATATTGTCAACGTCACAAAGGAAGAGAATATGAAGAGTTTTGTGCATTAGCATACACAATTTTTTCAAACTATGAATATTGTAAATATCACTAACTTCATGGAAAAGAGTTTTCTTAACAAGTTTCACAAGAACCAAAAAGAAGTGTTCAGAATCTTGTTTCTGTCCATACTTGGTTCTGTTAACAACTCCTCTCTCAAATAAATCATACTTCAATTCTTCTAGAACATCTTGAGATGGATTCCAAGATTGCATAGTAAGGAAAATATAAAGAATGTTAGAGTAAAGGTTGAACCATTTTTCCTTTTCCTTACACTCCTTTTCAAATTTCTCAGTATCTATGAGTCTTTTGATTTGAATGTCAGCCAATACAAATGCGTGATGTTTAAATGCCATAAGAATTGTTGGCAATGCATTTGATTCGAGTATAATATTACAATTTGCTTTTGCAACAGATGTACTTCCTCCAGAACCTTGAGTTCCAACATAACCCATAACAATTGCCAATAAATGATATCCATATTCCCAGTGAGATCCCTCAATTTTAGAAATAATTTTATCCAATTCCTTGTCAATAGCTGTTGCACCTATACTTTTTAAAAGGTCAGAACCTTTACAAGTGTGAAAAGTGAGCGCCTCACTCTTATCAAAAAATTCATCACAAGCTTCCAATAATAGAGCATGACCTCTCTCAATATCACTTGTATAATCCTCAATAACTCCCTTTTTCATTACTGTAATATTTTTCAACTATTATAAAATGTAAACACCTCAAAATCATCATACATACATTTCCTGAAAACTTGGAAAATGAAAGATTCTTTTTTCTGGTTTTCAATCTTTTAAAAGCGCTTCCAAGAGCTTCTCCAGTTGATGGTTTTCCTTCTTCTTGTTGTTGGTTACTATTATTTTTAGGACTCGATACATCTTCCATTATTGGTTTGTTGTTGGTGGGTTTTGTATTCTTTTGTTGATGTTCTATTGGAGGTGAAGATGATCTAGTTGGAGCAAAACTCTCAACATCTCCATCCACAATTGATGATAAATATTTATCTTGTAATTTTCTGCCATTACTACTTGTTCCGATATTATTTTCAGAGGTAATGACCATATCATCATCATCCATCATTGATGAGGAATTTTGATCGACACTATTTGGACCAAGGGAAGGTGATTCATCACCTGTATTCATATCGGAAGGATAAGCCAAATAATGTTGATCTGCTTGCTGTTTGGCTAGCTGTTTAGAGAACGCAGCAGCAAATCTTTTCATTTTTTAATAATTGAAATCTTTCATGTTTGTTCCTTATTCAGAAATCCATTTACTATTTAGAGTTCTTTAGAGAGTTTCTTAATGAAAATTATTACAACATTGCAAATTATTTATTGTTCTGCTTTATAGGGTCCTGAGTAAGCTATGCCACTAACTATCAATACAAAGAATATCGGAACACTCACACATAACAAGAGTACCAAGTTAAGAACACACAACATGTTGAATATTACAACACTGACATGACCTAGAGACCTAATTCTTGCAACACTTGAATGTCTGTATGGGAATAATAGAAGGAAAGGAAAACAGGAAAGAAATGGTAAACCTATAAAGAATAAGGCTACACTAATAATTACTGCATTGGAAAATCTCTTCTCCACTGCTGAAACATAATCTCCATTTTCTTCAGTAATATGTATAGTGATTGTTGGTTGATTTACAGTTCGAAACATTGAGTTTTCATTGTTTGATGGGGAACCTTGAAGAGTTGGAATGTCTGGTAATGGTTGGTCAAGGGAAGGTCTGTATCTGTTAGCTGATGGAGATGCATGTGGGTCTGGTTTCGAATATGGGCTGCTTGTTTGCTGAAACGACATTGTGTCTGAAGCAGTGGATCCTCTTGGAAACAATGGATTGGAAAAGAATGGCTGAGTAGAAATAGAAGGACTTGGTGTTGGGCCTCCCAAATCAATATCATGAAAGTCATCATTATGTGAGACTGGAGAGAAGTGTTTCTGAGGTGTGGTTACGACTCGACTTGAAATATTGTTTGCATCGTTGAGTGTAACCTGATGATGAGATCCATACTGAACACCAGGTACATCATCTATGATAAGAGGAGGATGTTGATTATTTGAGCTTATTTCAATTACTGTTGCAGGAGCTTGTGTTGATTGTGAATTAAATTCGTCATCTGGGATATCAATATTATCAGTGCCAAATGGATCTTCTTCATCCTGAACAATTTGTTCGGTTTCTCTGTTTCTTGGAGTAGCGTATGGGTTCTCGCAACCTACATATATTCCATTTTGATTACTGAGTACTAGATGATTAATAGGCACTCCAACGGGTGGTGGAATGAAGTTTTGTTGATGTGGTTCTCCCACTGATGATGATTGATTTAATGTATCGGATGAGGTTGAAAAGGTAACTCCCAAAGGATTAAGGATACTCGTTGTTGTAGTCACCGTTGTCAATCCATCAACAGAAGTCGATGAATAAACAATAGGAATATTATTAGCTTGTTGATTAATTTCCCTACTAAGTGATTCATCATCATCGTTCTCCACTACGAGATTATTTGCTGAAGTCAAAGATGAAGATGACGATGACGAGTGAGAATTATTAAGAGGGTCAAGTCCCATTGTTTTGTGTATTATTAAAATAAATATGCGTGCGTGAACATGGGTTCTATTGAGCGGCTTAAAAGAAATCTACTTGGTTTGAAAACCCATTTAGAAGCTATATCCTTAAAGATCAGAATACATGAAAGATAAAATGGAAAGATTGATTCCCTAAATCACCATTCAAGATTATTAACCAATTCATTTTCTTTAGAATACTTATAAGCTACATAAGGTTTAACACTGAGAAAATGCATATAAAGAAGCACTATGGATTATTGGTTATTAAACATATTCGTTGTTAACAAGTAGTAATTTATTGCTATAAATGTTGTCAGTCTAGTATTTGAATAGAAAGTTATCATAGAAATATGTTATGTCATATCTTTTAAATAATTCAAAGAAATATTTGCGCCAGAATTTTGAAAAAATGTCTATTGATGCATCCCAAGAAATATCACCAAATGATGATGGAATAATCCAACTAACCATTGAACCTCCTCCAACTTTAACTTTGGAAGACAGCATCCCATCAAATAATCATCAATCTTCATCACTACTAGGAGAGGAATCTCATGTGAGAAATGAGGAAGGCTTACAAGTTGCAGTGCAAAATTCCAGTACCTCGGATTTAGGAAGCATTGAAAGGTATCACTTCAAATGATGTACTGCTGGATACCAGTAGCTCCATTCCTGGAAACAATGATGAAGACTATTCGAACGTGAAGCAGGAACAAACAATAACGAAAGAAGAAATTTTGGAACCAAAAATAGGAGTTACCTTTGCTGAGCCACTCGAAAAAGGAGATGATAAGGTAGAATTAGAGGAATTGAAAAGAAAACTCAGAAAATTACAACTCAAGCACATGTTTTCACGATTGGTGTTAACTGTTGCTTATTTCATAATCATGTTTGCATTTGGAGCATCACAATCAATAGTTGGGCCTTGTTTGGCATTCCTTACAGTGAACGTGGGAGCAACCCCAGCAACAATAGGTTTTATTTTCACACTTAAAGGTCTTGGTTCAATAACTGGTACTCTTTTTGGTGGAAAAGTTTTGGATATAATTGCTGAACAATTGTCAAACTTTAGAGGATTTCTGTATGAATGGAAAAAGAAAAGGCTGTTAAAGAATAATCCCTATTCAACAGATGCTCTCGATAGCGAAAAGGAGATTGGGAAAATAAGAGGCCTTACTCCATTCAAACAATATATTGCAAGAAATTATGCAATTAATTCTTACTTTGCAACTTGTGTGCTTGTGTTGGTGGGCTCATTGGTGGCAACTCCTTTTGTTAGAAATTATGGGCTGTTGTTGTTTGTTTATTTCATGTTTGGGTTAGGCTCTGGCCTCACTGTTATGCAAGGAAATGTCTTGTGTGTAAGTACACTGTAAATTGCAGGTTAATAATCTCTGTTAAGGCATGGCTTTGGGGACAATACGCTGGTACAGCTCTCTTACTGAACTCAGCCATTATTGGTTTAGGGGCCTTCCTCTGTCCAATTATTTTGAATGGATTGATCGCATCTGATTCGCCATCGTCCACAATCACTACGAATAGTACTAGTTCATCATTCAGTTTTGCATTTGAACAAACAATTTTAGCAACCTTTGAAAATTCCACCTCAAACTCTACCTCAATTAATGTGGATGCAATAGTGAATGGTAATTGGAGATTTACCTATGTAATTATTGGAGGTGTTTTATTTGCATCTGTAGCTATTCTATTACCTTTATTCCAAGTTATTCTAACCAAATTTGAATTATACAGACTCCATGGAATTATTTCAATTGATGGAATGGAAGAGGAAAATCTTAAAAAAACAATCGAAGCATACACAAAGAAACCAAAAGAGGAAGAATATGAAATGAAACAATCTCCAAGTATGGTTACGAATGAAATGATTCCTTCCCAGAGTACAGTAGACTTTTTAGAAAAAGAAGAGGAAATCGAGAAACAAGAAAAAGAAGAGGAAATGAAAGAGGGATTCTCTTTTGGTAAGATTATATCCACTCCAATCCACTGGTATAACAAGCTTAGAACCTACAGAGCCTTTGTGTTTTTTGCCTTGGGATTTTTCTTTGCATTTGGCATAGAGACCTCAGTTGGTGGATTGATTTCAACATACTTGGTTAAATATGTTGGTACTACTGACATTTCACAAGCCTCTCTCATGGTCAGTATCTATTACTTGAGCATGACAATTGCCAGAATTATATCTGGTATTTTCTCTTACTTCCTTCAAAAGGTTTTCAGATTTACTCAAGTTGTAATCCTGAGTATCTCATTAATTGGACTTTTTTCAGGTATAATTGTCATGTTAGCCATCCCTCAAAACAGTATTGTTGGTAGTTGGATTGGTGTAATTTTAATTGGTGCAAGCATAAGTACATTTATTCCAAGTTACATTTCCTTCCCTGCAGCAACAGAAATGAAAGATGTTCACTTGTCTGGATTTTTGACATCTTTTCTCTTTGTTTTATCCTCAATTGGTGAAATGACAATTCCACTTTTAATTACAAATTCTTGGATTTGGTTTGGCTACAATTCATTCTTCTGGGTCATTTTGATTGTAGCTCTCTTAATGTGTGTCACTACAATATGCTTATTCTTCATGTCACTCGAGTTGAGAGCAAGAGTATACTCCCTATTCAATAAGAAGAAATAAATAGTAATGTTATCGTCATAAGGACGAAACCATTCATGATTTTCCTTACTATCTCACTTGAGAAATTCTCCACTGCTTATTTTATGAATCGGACAAATTTCAAAAATTGCAAGAAAAAACCAATATTATGTTCGATAATAATTTATTTAACTAGCACGATCAGCAGCAGGAAATATTATGAAAAGAAAGACAACACTTTATCCTCTAGAGTCTCCTTCTTCACAGTACTCATAGAGAACGGAATATCTAGGCCAAGCCTTTTAAACAACTCGAAAACATCTCGAAAATTCCAAGCTTTTGAACCCTCATCAAAAGTATCGCATCGACACCCACACAGTCAAAGGAATCCTTCCTCAAGAGGACTCTGTGGAAGAATCACCAAAACCTTTTAAAAAAGTTCGAACATCATCTCATCATCAAGGGTGATAAGAGAAAATCAAAAAAAAATGGAAGAAATATTGAAACAAATTAATGAAGATTGGTCGGAATGTTCAACTGACCAAGAAAAGATTGAAAGTAGTTTTGATAAATTGATAAAGGAGAAGAGAGCAGATCTTTTCTATTCGGAAAGTGATGTAAAGAAGAAGGCTGAAAAACAAAAAAAAAGACTTCGATCATGTGTAGCCATGATTGAATCTGTAGAAAAGGCTGGATCATCAAATGAAGAATTAATCAAGGATTTACAAGAAAAGAAACTAAAGATTAAACATTATATCAAGAAACTTGACGTGATCAACAAGCAAACTTTGAATACAGGAGGTAAATTTGTGGAACTATTTCTTGGTAAAGAGAGTAGTGCAGTTCTTGTCGGAGATGATTCTAAAAAGTTTAATTTCAAGAAGGAATATGAAAGTTTCAAGTACAAGTGCACTGTTTGGAACATTCCATTCACATTATTGTTATACTTTTTCATTCAATCTCGTGCAATTGATACCCTCTATCAATTGTATTTGACCTATTTTTATTTAACACTTGCTCTTAGAGAAAATATTTTGGCAGTGAATGGAAGTAATATCAAGGCCTGGTGGATTAGACATCACTACCTCTCTATCTTTTTAGTTATTACAATGTTAACATGGCCAGAAACAGCATTCTATCAAGCATATCGTCCTTACTTTTTACTTTACGCTCTATATGCCTCAATTGTCCAAGTTCTGCAATACAAATATCAAAAGGAAAGATTGTATGTTAGAACAGCTATTGGAAAGTCCAACATGATGGATGTTGCCAACTCTGATAGTTCTCAAGTTGTCGTCGAATCATCTCTTGCTCTTGTTTTCCTCTTACCATTCATCTTTATTGGACAAATCTTCCAAGTTTATAATGCTTACAAATTATTTGATTGGGGATTATTACATCCAGAATCATTTGGTGGTATTACTGTTGAATGGCAAGTTTATGCTAATGGTTTACTTTTCCTTATTTTGGCACTTGGTAATTTTGTCACCACTACTGAAGTTTTGGTAAAGAAGGTTAAGAGAGTCAAAAAGAGAAAGCAAGAAAAAGCTGCTCTAGCCAAGGCCTCAGAAGAAAAGAAGATTGAATAAATTGTAACTTTTCATGGACTCACAAATTTATTTCTCTAAGCATAACAAAATTGATGCAAAATTATTGGAGAATTGGCAATCTATTTACGCTTATAGATGTCAACCTTCTTATTTCTCTTTCCACCTCTTCTTCTAATCTTTCTATTCTTCTTTCTGTAAGTATCAATTCTTCTCTTCTTATTCAATCTTCTCTTCTTTCCATATACATCAATCTTCTTTCTGATAATTCTCTTCTTACCATATCTCTTCCATCCTCTTCTCTTTCTTCCATAGGTGTCAATGTACTTGTGGAGCTTTCTATTGTTCTTTCTCTTCTTGAGTCTGAATCTCTTGAGATTTCTCTTCTTGTTATTGCTCTTTCTAATGTACAAGGAGAGAGTTGAAGCTTGTTCTTCATTGGTAGCACTAACTCCAGTAGTGAACGAAAGAGCAAGAACTGCCAAAGTCAAGGCAATCAATAGAATTGAAACGATTCTTTTCATTTTTGTTTGTTGAATTCAAATCAATGGAATAAATGTTCCTCAATTTAAAGATTTTAGAACCTGGTATATTGATCGATATATTGATCATTTTGGTAAGAAAGTTGATGATTCCTTTGCCAAAAAAAGAGTTGTTTTGGATTTTAGACATTGTTCATTTGGTCTTTCTTAAAACTCACAATTGTTAAAGAACAGAATCAAAGAACTTCAAGGTTTGGATTGACCATAAAGAAAAAAGTTTCCAATATCTATTTAACGATGATTGTATTATAATTATCAAGAAACTTACTGTAGTGTTTCCTTGATGGTTGTAACTTTTCTTCCAAAACAGTAGCCTTATAATTCACCTTAACCTTAGTATTGTTATTAGTAATCTTTTATAATAATATCTGCCAATGATTTTCTTCCTTCTTCCACATATTCATATAAATGTTTCCTCAAGTTATTCTGTAAAACAGATTCAGTATGGCAAGACTGAATATAGCACAAAAGAGCTGCACCTTTGACACTAACTTCTGAACCAACCAATACTACTCTCTCACTTGAATTCAAGAGACTTCCACCATTCTCGATTAGAAGGGATTGTGCTGTTTTGGATTCAGCAACTTCTTCATCACTAAAAGCGTAATCGTATTGAGATTCAAATATTTGAATTAATAAATCATTCCCCTGTCCAACACAACATAAGAAGGATGAATTATTTGCTCCAATATTCAACACCCTACCAAATGTTCGTTCTTGTAAATCAAGAGTGTCTATTTTGAGAGGTCCATTACCAGTTGTGTAAACCTTACCACTCTTTGTAAGTACAATTACACCGTAGTAACGACATGAAATATCAATGGCAGGATCTGACACCAAGTACTTGTTAAGCTCTGTAGATGGTTGGAAAGCATCTATAGAATCACAAATCTTTCCAATAGCCAACTCTCCATAGTAATTATAACCAGTACAATGAATTAGACCACTCCTATCGAGTGCAACAATAGTGTGGTCTCCACAAGCAACCTTACAAATAAACAAATCAGGATTACTTTCAAAATATGGACATAATGAAATGCTTGAAACATCTTGATATCGTGGAAATCCACATTCACCAAAACCATTCGAACCTGTGTTATTGTAATATCCATAATTTGAATTTCAGAAATATTCCAATAAAACTATTTCAGAAAATATTTAAACAAACCTAGTACAAATATTCTTCCATAATTGGTTAGAAAAACAGATGAAGAAGAAGCACATGTCATGTATGTTATAAACTCATTTTCTTTAAATGAACTATTAAATGGCAACAGATACGCATGTAGCACCTCTTCAGTTTTGTTGATTTTCAATTGAATTGCATCATTTCCCAATAGAACACTACTCCAAAATTCAATCCGAATGCAATAAGTGATGATCGCTTTGGCACTTGAATTGTCTGACCATTTGGCAACTTATTAATATACATTTCATTCTATAATTCCAGTAATATTATAATATTAAAACATCATCATTAAATTATCTAAAAAACCTACGCATTCCTTGACTTGGTATTTTAATTCCGAAATATCTTGATCATCATCATTACGATCAATAATTTCATCCACCAATATCATACAATGAGTATACGACGCAGCCACATAATAAACCCTCTTCACTCCAATACTCTGATCCAATCCAGAACTTGTTAATAAATCAAATCCTTCATTCTGATCACTCGACAACTTGCTAATATGCAAACGATAATCATTGGTGATGGCAAATATACAATCCCTTCGCAATAGGCACTGTACAAGTGAATTGTACCCTCTTTGATTGCAATATTGTTGTATGTGAGTGAGAAAATTGTTAATTTTTGATGGTTGTGCACTGCAGGCAATGAACGGAGGTGATTTCAGTGCTTGCATTTTTTTTTGTAATGTTTTAATAGATTTTTGTAATAGTAATCCAACTTGGAAAGTTTGTAAAGGAGGTTCAGTTAGAATCTCAACATTGAATTGAAATTCCAAAAACAAACAACCTTAAGGCTCACTTTACAAAAAGTCAACTTGAACCTGAAGTAAATTTAAAAAAAAATACGCAAACATGTCGTCAGCAGCATCATTGGATGAGGAATTTATTTCAATTGTGAAGGGAACTGTGATATGCTTGAACGTTCCCGAATTATTTGAATTCGGAATTAATAATTATTCATATAAATTAGGAAGGGAATTTAGAGGAATTAATCAAATACCACTCCATACACCACACTTTATTTATTACAATAGAATTGATCATGAAAAGTTTGGTAATGGACAAGGTCCGAGAATTAGTTTTTTCCACATCTTTACCGAGGAAATTCCCTTGTTGATTTTAGAATTTGATGAAGAGGAAGATGATTTTAAATTTACTTCATTGAATGATGAAAAATTTGCACAGATAGCTTATCAGTATAGGAATGGTGTGTTTTTGAAACAGATTGCTCCCTATAATGAGGATATGAGTAAGAATTGGAACGAATTGGTTTCATATGTTGATTATTCTTTCTTGGAGAGGATTGAACCGATTAATAAGAAGATTAATTCAACATTGTTGCAGGAGGAACAAGAAGGTGATGAGAAGAAACCGAATATATTGCACTATACCAATGTACCACAAAAATTAACATCTAAGGGACTCACTCCTGAACAAATTACGAGATTGAATTTTGACAAGTCACAATTACTGGATAGGATTATCAAATCGAAAAAGATGAGTGAGGAGAAAGCGTTTAGGGATTTATTTGCAGAGATTCAATTTTCATTTATTTGCCTTTTACATGGACAATGCTTGCACGGATTGAATCAGTGGAAGAAACTAGTTCACTTATTTTGCAATTGTGAGGATGCTCTGTTGGACTATAATGAGCAATTCATACTTTTTGTACAACTGTTGAGAAACCAATTTGAAATGTTACCACGTGATTTCATTCAGGATATGGTAGAGCACGATTTTGATTTGGATGAAGAACAATTGCTCGATGTAACAAAGAATAGAACCAATCTGGGAGATGAAAATCCACAAGAAACACAACCAAGAAGAAAACCACAAGCCCCTTCAAAACGGGATCACTTTCTTCAAAAGACCCTTCTTCAACTCTTCCTTACCACTCAATCTATTGAGGAAGACGGTGATTATTATGAGTGTGCAACTTGGAAGAATTTCAGCAAAACCTTAAAACAATTCAGATTATTTATGGAGAAGGAATTTGAAGGGTGTAAGGATATGTTTTGTGAAGACGATGAAGATATTCCAACCTACGTTTACAAATAGAAGAAATGAACATTGGTTTACATTAAAATATGTTAACTTTTACAAGAAATATTTACAAAAAGCATCCACTTATTCAAACAATAGAGCAAGGTGAGAGTATTGACATGGGTGAATTTGGTGTGGATGTTGATGCTTGGTCAATTCTAGAATAAATTTAGCTTCAATGTCATTTGGTAGAGCTTTGCTTAGTTCTTCAATCAGCTCTGTCTTGGCTTTCTTAAGAGACTCTTCTTTATACTTTGGTTCTGAAATATGAAGAGCATCTTTCAACTTGGAAAGTTGTTTGATCATCATCTTTACAAGACTATAACCCTTGATGAATGGATTGTGGTCACGATCTTGTTGTGCAGCATCTGAACTGCCCATTTGAGGATCATCCATAAAGTATGATTCTTCGTTCAATGATTCACATCTTTCATTACCAACTTCATTGAACAACATGGACAATAAATTGCCATTGTTTGGATTGAAAGGATCCATGAGTGGAGAGAATGAAATTGAATCATCAAATTGTTGCATTGCATCGTGTTCATGATCATTAACCATAACTTGTTGTTGTGGTGGCTGTGGCTGGGTTGGCATTTGTTGTTGTACATTTTGGAAAGCATCTGGTAAATTGGCACCAAATAATCTTGATGAATTTGTTTCGTTCATACTTTGCAAAAGTGTTGCATTCTCAATTTGATTTATCAAATCTCCATAAAGCTTTTGAACAACACCATAACGTGTTGACAAAACTTTAAGAGCTCTCAAGTCATCCTTAAAGTCCACAGATGTGTCACCTGTTTGTCTCCAATATTCTAAACGAACAGCAACGGCTTTGGCAATACCATTTGCAATGACAAATGGAGCAAAAATGTACTTTTCTGTTTTGGTATATGAAATTATTTCATTTGCATAAGAAACCAAAACTGCTGCAGGAATATTCTCCACCTTACTGTATAAATCTAAATAAAATTCTCTAATAAAAACATTTGAGAATAAACAGAACAAATCACCTTGTGCTTGATACATGGTTTCGAATAATAAACTATAATATGTGTGTGCAATTCTAACCACATTTTCAATAAGAGGCAAATATTGACTACTGATTTGACCCTTTTCAGCCTTATCAAAGAAACTGGTATCGAGCTTGATTCTGGAGGCAAAAATACCGAATAATTTAGTAGCACTACTTGGTTTACCAGTAACTTTTGACATGTAATCAGATAAAAATGTTTCCTTATACCTAACTAAAATACGTAACAAAAATTTAGGAAGTGAAGGACTGTCTTGTGCTGAATAGCTTGCTTGAGTTGCTCCAACTTGTTGATCTGTTGGTCCTCCATAGCCATGAAGTCCAATCATTTGTTTAACCATGGCCAAGTAGAGAGAAGTCTTTCTCATGTCTCCTTCACCACAAACATAGTCAGTCAAATAGTGCAAAGCTACAGCAATATAAATATTATCCATATTATCAAAATATTTAGAAATCTTTTCCTTAGCAAGATTGTGCATGTACTCCATAAGTTTTTGTCTATAGTCACCCTTAAGAACATAGTCACCACTTTGTTGAAGTGCTAATGCTTGAATCGAATATAAAATTGAAATCAAACCATCTTGTGTTGTTGAATCCAATTGCATATGGTTAAGTATCATTGATGCATTAGAATTACCATCATTTCCCATTAATTGTTCTATTAATCCTTCCATCAAGCTCTTGTCAACCAAGGCGAAACCTGCGCACAATTCTTTATAATACAAATCTAGGAGTTTGTGCGCAGTATATCTGAAATTGATTGAGTGTACAAAAGATGACAACATAACTGAAATTGAGTTTGGATCTTTAAAATCTCTTTCAGAATATGCCATTGGATTAAATTGATGTGTTAAAAGTGGGGAAGAGCCATGAAGGGATGATGGCAGAGGTGACATTTCATTGTGATTCGAAGATCCAGAAGATGAGGATTGTACAACACTATGAGGAGTATGAGTAACTGGATTCGAAAAGTTTGACGACGTGTTCATAGAAATTGAAGGAACTGCTGGAGAAGCTGTTGGTATTGTAGTTGGAGGAATAGCAACATTTACATTAGTAGTAGAGGGTGGTGGACAAATTGTTTGTGGTACCTCAGTGGTAATTGGATTTGTTGGTGGTACACTTTCCTTATCCTTTTTCTTCTTCTTTTTCTTTCTATTTTGTTGGTCTTGTCCTTTTCTACTTTTCAAATAAACACAATCCTTTCCCATCTTTTTACAATAATTACAAACTGGTAATTCTCTACTACATTTCTTGTGTCTTGATCTACAATTGGTACAAGCAATTTGAGCAAGTTGGAAATTACCTCCTTGCTCATCAATAGCAGTCTCTGTGAAAGTAGTATTCGTTGGTGAATAAGGAGCAGTAGTTGAAGCAGCATCATATGATTCAGCTATCTTTTTCTTGGACTTTTGCTTCTTCTTGCTTGGAGGTGGTTGAATACTTTCATCACTTGAGGATTCACTAGATGTTGAGGAACCACTCGATTTGTTTCCATTACCTCCATCAGTATTACTAACATCTTGTTGTTGTTGAGTTGCTGCTAACATTGCCTGAGTAGCATCGGTAGAATGTTGTGGTTGATAGGAATGACTCATATATTGATGAGAAAGATCTGCCCGAGGAGGTGGAGGTTGAAAGTATCCTTGATGATGAGGAGGTTGATAAAAACCTCCATTTGTAGTCTGGTTTGGATGATGATAATAGAGAGGATAGTGAGGTGGCAAAACTGGTTGTTGTTGTTGTTGTGGATGCATCATTGAATGTTGTTGCTGATGATGCTGGTGATTTGGAGGTGGTGGATAGGAATGAGCAGTTTGTTGAGTGTACATGGATGGTGGCAATGTAGATTTACTTCCATCATGAAGTTTAGCCCAGTCTGCCATGCTATGTAATCCTCCTGCTCCTCCCAGTGTTGTACTATTATTGGTAGGAATGTTTGGAAAATGATGTTGTGGATAATGATTATTACTTGTTGGGGGTAGTGAATGAGAAGTTTCATTCATTTTCGGATCTAAATTACTACTACTAGTATTGCTATTATTTGAAAAAAGGTGATTGGAAGGGGAGGTAAAGGATGAAATACTATTACAATCCAATAAATTTAGGGAGGATGTTGTGGACAAGGGAGATTGAACAATAGATGACGACAAGGGTGTGGTTGTAGACGGAAGTAATGTACAAGAACTCTCACAATCTAACTGTGTTGGAGTTAGCACTGTTGGTTGCTGTTGATAATATTGTTGTACATGTTGATGATGATGCGGAGAAGTTATTGTTGTTGGAAAATTATCATGATAATTGTTAGTGGTCAACATTGTGAATTCAATTTCGCTACCAACCTTTGAATCAACTACAGAGGAGGAGTTTTTGCTCATTTTTAAAAAGGTAGTTAAATATGAAGAAAGGGCAGCAAACGTTATTTGGGCAAGTGACGGCTTGTGAACAGTTAAATGTTAATAAACTGTAGGATTTTGTCGTTGTTGTTGATGACAATCTAGCACTACCAACATGCAAGGTGCTGTAGGGTTTATCGTAGTATGAATATTCTGTTGGACAATAACTTCAAGCTTGAAGAGGATTGGCACTAGTTACTGTATTGATGAGGGACTTTCCAAACGGAAGTTTTAAATATTATAAAGACCTTCTTGATGTTCAAAAAAGGAATTAAATCTTGGCTGTAGTGGTTGTAAGAATAATTGACTAGAACAATGAATGTGTATCAAGTATTGCATGCAAAATCAAATGATGATAATTCTTTTGACAACTGTCCTTAAAATGGGAATATTCTGTTTTGTAAAACGCGAATCTTTCTTAGGTGTCCAATATTGATTTTATGTGCGAGATTTTAATAGTGAAGATTGTCAAAGGTTCTTTGATATCTTGACAATTAAACAACACAATGATACAACAACAAAACAATCAAACGAATAGCAGGGGTGATAGGGTTTCCTCCTTTTTTTCTTGCTGAATAAATTGTTCGTCCTTGATGATTCTTCGGAGACCGATCCTAAACGCAATTCTCATCACTTTGGTGGACTTTAGCACTTTGATTCATGCTCCACAGGCTGTGTTGATTGTTTGTGAATTGTAATTGCATATTAAATAGAAGATGTTTGGAAATGAAAAGTCCTTTGATGATTTCCTCAAATCACCTTAAAGGTTTTAAATCAATTGATTTTCTCTGAATTCTTATTGAAACCATTTTTGAAAGAGCTTGAGTTGGTTTCTAAAATTGGAAAACCAAGTCAGCCTTTTAATTTATTGTAACCTATTTTTCAAATCAGAAATGACAATGGATAAAAGTTCAGTTCTCAATGAAGTAATTCTTTCTGTTGGAATCAATTTGAATCGATTGGAAATAAAAATTTTACAATAACTAAATAAACTTTCAATATTTGCAGTTTCTGCCAAATCGAATAGTTCACAAACATTATCAGTTGTAATGTTTGGAATAATAAAACGAGTGGCAAGATCTTCCATTTCTGTGAGCATTAATTGATTTCCCACTTGAGTTAATTTCAATAGAGTTTCCATTGGAATACATTCACCATCCTTAGTCTTGATTGTTCCAGTATAGATATATTCGAGAATGTACTTCATAATTAGATATTCAAACTCAACTTTCATAACAAATGGATTTTGTGAAGTGTATTCCTTTGAATTATTCCATTGAGTTGACAATAAAGTCTTGAAATATAGAGATCTAGCAACTAGTATTGCATGATTAGCATACAGAATTTGATCACTATCTGAGCAAGCAATATGTACATTGGCAAATTCTTTCATTTCTAATAATTGTACCAAATCTCTTCTCAGAAAACTATCTGATTTTGATTCTAATGCTTTTTCAAGTCTTGTGCTCATTGAGATTGGAAAATCACTCTTCATATCTTCCAAAATATCAACATCACACAGAGCCATATTATACATTCTGAAATTTTTGATCTGTGCATTGGCTCTATCATAACCATAACCACTTTCGAATAGATGAAAATTTTGATTATCATTTCTCTTCAAATATTGCCCAAACTTTTCATATTTATCCAACTTTCCATCGATAAACAAGAATTGATAAGGTCCATAATACACTAAACCAACATGAGTCCACCTATTCAAATCAATCTCTTGCCTACTATCAAATCCTGCATTATCTGCAACAGACGAATCACATCTACAATGCAACAAATTACTTCCCGGACACAACCAACAAGCAGGTTGTCTAACAGTGTTGGCATTTCCATGATGAAATAAAACTCTCCATTGTCCATGTCCATTTCCTAGTAAATTAATTTGAAAAGTAATGGAATATTCACGTAGGAGGCTCTGTTCAGAATGAATATCCTCACCTGTGATGGTTGTATTCTCAGGTGTGGTGAGAAATTGTGAAATGATTGGATTTTCATGTTTGATGGATGGAATAAATGATGGTTTTACATTGAGCTGCTTTGGGGAAATAACTTGGGAGTGAGTTTGTGTGTTGATCGGAGTGGTGTCTACGAATTCTTGGCTATGAATTTGCATTTTTTTTGACTAGTTTATTTATAAATTTGTGAACTTGATATTTTGTAATGGATGAACTAGTTCATACTGGTTTTCATAGTTCATTATTGAAAATTTGTTTGGGTCATATCATGTAATGAGTTAATTATTGAATTATTGCTTGAAAACAACTGAGCAATTTATTTGTGTATTCTTGTTTGAATCATTTCACTGAAAAGATCACTCACACTGAATCTTATGAACATGTCTTGAAGTACGGAAGCAGTCATTTCATTCAGTACTTCATCAAATAGTAATGGTGCTTGTGAAAGGAAGAAATCTTCCTCAACTTTATCAGAGAATATTTCAGATATTTTGAATTTCACATCTTGCCTTAATTTGTCTCTTGTGTTTACGTACATTATCGAAGATTCATCAAAAAGGAAGTACTTTCCAATTGACTCTGCAACAATTTTTGCCTTACTGAAATTATTAAACTTGGAAGTAAGGGGTTTGTACTTTAAATTAATATCCTCCCAAAATATGATATTTTCAGAGTTATATTCCTTTGAGCTCATTATCTTAAAGTATTTTCTAAAGTGATCTGTTTGGAGAATCATATTTACATCAATAGTTTTTGGATCAATATTTTGATAGAATTCAATATCTGCTGCAAAACATGATCTAGATTTGGGTATATTTCTTTCTTTTGATTTACAAATATTGAGTGAATCTTGTTCCAAAGATTGTTTCATTTCTGTGCTTAGTGATTGTAAATCTGATGTTCCTGGAATCATCTTATATCTTGGTACAGTTGAGAAGAATGATTCAATGCTCTTCATTATTCCTCCCATATTTGCAAAAGTCGTATTAACCGTAGTGACCTGATCAGTGGTAATTGGCTGTGCTGACTGCTGACTGGCCCCTTCAATTTCAATCATTACTTCTCTTTCTGAACTTGAATGGTTATTTGAATGACTATTTTCCTTATCAGTTGCATTTGCAAGAAGACTATCAATGATCAAATCTGAAATTGGGGATGCAATTGTTTTATCCATGTGAAGAACCAAATCTTTGATTATATTTGGACATGCATCTGCATAGTTGTGTCTCCATGACTTGGCAACCTTTCCATTTCTAATGAGAAACATACATGGTTTGATTCTAAATGAATTGTTAAAATACTTGCTGTCCATTCTTACACTTTGTTCGAACCCCTCCATATGAACCTTAGCCAGTTGAGGCATCAGATGGGATATATATGTACTAATAGGTGGTAAATTATAGAAAATATTGAATTTTGATGCAAATTGCTGTTCTGGATCATTTATCCTCACCAAGTTTTGAATTTCTGGTACTTTCCACTAATTTAGTTTTGATTCGCCACAATTTTTTGAATAAACTATTCATGTGATTCAGTAATTGCTTACCTTTGCAAAGAAACTCTCTCCCTCCTCAACATCTTCAGGATAAACAACAACAGGAATAATATTGTATTGCTTGAGAGTTCTATAAAATTCCATCAATTGATTCATTCTTCTATTGCAGAATCCACATCCTTGAAATTTAACATATCTTCTGAAAATTAACAAGATATTCGATCTACAAGACATGTCATGAATATTCTCACCATAATTTGTTATCATTTGTTGTGTTACTTGTGCAATGTCGAGTGAAAGATCTTCTGCTTCCATCTCTTTACATCGTTTTGCGTTAGGGAAGGGCGTTTTGTTCGGCACTGGATTGTAACTCTTCATGATGGTGATGCAATTACTTTGATATGTGGAATAGTATTTTTTTTTGATGCAACAAATTGAAACTGTTGGCCAACACTTGTCATGTTGGGAAAATAGTTCATTGTTGTATGATGTTTGAAAGCATGAACTGCATGTTGGTTCATCAGCATGTTGTTGGGATAACAATTTAAAGCATTCACACAGATGACTTTTGTAAATAAATTGAAAAATGGGAACTGTCTTTGTAAAAACAGTCTCAGTATACTCTTTATCTGTTTAAAATTCGAAAATCAAATGAAATTCTTTCAAATAATTCCAAATTTCAGTAAAATCTATTTAAAAAGTTTAAATTTCTTTACAAATTTAGCCACCAGAGAACGAGGATAAGGTTTCAAAGCAATTGAAGTTGGAATATTTTCTGGTTGTTCCACCCACAATTTATATTTCATTTGATTCTTATCCAAATCATCACGAAGGGAAAGTAATTGTTTCTCCGAAGGACATTCCAAAACAATTGTATGCATTTGATGGATAGCATTAGCATCTACATAATTCAAAGTAATTGGATCCTTGTCAATAAGTAAACTTTCGGAAATGATGGAAACACTGGCATGACTTCCCTGAGAGACAATTGAACCAATAGCATAGGAATAAGGTGGTTGCATTAAATCTCTTCTAATGACAATGTATTGAACAATGGTATCGATGGTGGCATTGGCTTGTGGTGGAAGTTGAGGTTCCGATGTTGATTGATTTTCGCTCATTTTTTTATTATTAATTTTAATATTTAATATTCTATATTATTAAATAATATTTAAATATTTAATGTTCTTTAAAAAATTTGAAATTATTAAAAAATGAAAAGAAGTAGAGAGGGAGGAAATTCATCATCCTCTGCTAAAAAAACAAATGATTTTTCATCTCCGAAGTCACTTGTTGATGTTTCAGCCTCATCCTCATCAACAAACACAAATTCATCAAATAGAGAAAAATTCTCTCAACAATTAACTCAAGGAAAGGACCAAAAACGAAGAGGAACATCATCAAGTTACAGTTCTAAACAAACAAGTGGAAATTCATATGGTGATTCTAAATCTATGGTTGATAAAAAGAAGAGAAGTGAATTAATTAAACATTTCCAAGCAAATTATAATAAGAGATATGCACTTATTCAATATAGACATATTGATATTAAAGTGGATAAGAGTTTGACTAAGAAATCAAAGGATGAATCTGAAAAGGAGTCTGCTGATGAAAGAAAAGCTACTTGTGATAATTTATATTCCCTTTGGAAGAGGAATTCTTTTATTTGGGAAATGATTGAGGATTTTACAAAGTATTCAAAATCTGGAGGAGGTGGTTTTGATTTGTTTAATTTCCCTAATTTATCTATTGAATTGACCCATTATTTGCTTTGTTTAATTGACAGCAAAAAGAAGCCACAAGATTTGAAATCTTTGGATTATAAGGACGTTGTTACAAACAATGTTCAATTACCATCAATTTATCACAGAGGTGCTGAAGATCAAGCAACTCATAGATTCCAATTGAGTTTTGTCAATTCGATGAGATCTGGTAAAGAGATGGTTCTCTTGAGAATGAGAGCTTACAATAGTACAGATGAGGAAATTAGTGAAGATTTGAGAAAGTTGGCAACTCATTCATCATTTGCCATTGCTAGAGCAGTATCTGTTTATCAGCTCTTTAATGATGCCAAAGTTTTACCTCACTCCTTTGAAGAGTATGGTAATTATACATGTCTATTCTCCTCTCCTTCCTTTAAAAAGACCAGTCCAGCAACTTCCTATGTTAAACATAAGGCAGAAGCTTTCAGCTTACTGAACTCTATTGCTCAATCTAACAAGGTCATTTCAAAGAATGAAGATTCCAACAAGAAGAAGAATAAGAAACCATCCACAATCTCCAAGGATTCATCCACTACTGCTACTGACCCACAAGAAAACTCCCAACAACGTCCACTGCTCAAAATCAAAGAACGACTTCGAAGAAAGAATGCAAACCATTTCTCTCACCAACATTCAAACAAAAATAACAAGAAGAATACTTCTTCAACAATTGCAACTCCAACCAAAAAGAAGAGAAAGATGGATACCAGTGATGATACAACGATAGTAGTAGAAGCAACAGCAACAACAAGTGATGTAAATAATACAGCAACAACAACAACAATAGAAAATCAACAATCATCATCATCGGAAGAAAAGAAGAAACAAGAAAAGACCAAACGAAAATATGAAGAATATTTACCACTGAATGAAATGTGGAAGGAATATATGAAAACAACACTGGGACCTTCCTCTCTAGTGAATAATGAAACTTTACTCAAAGTTGATTATCATGGCTGTATATTTAAAGTTGTAAAGAGTAAATGTGGTTCCTATGTTGGAAAGGAAGGAATCATGATTAAAGAAAGCGAGAATACATTCCAAATATTATCTAGAGAGAATAAGACTTTTACCATCCCTAAGAATGGATCAATCTTTCAATTTACATTTGAGAAGGAAGTCATTAACAAATCACCCAAAGTGAAAGACACTCCAAAACAACAACCACAATACAAGCACTTCCAAGTAGAAATAATCGGAACACAATTTTGCTTTAGAACCTATGATAGAGCTTCAAAGAGATTCAAACGAAGAGACATTATTGATTTATAAATTTATTCAAGTCATTTAATTTATATAATCTCTCCTTCATCATTTCATTCACATATATTAATAGAGTCAACAATTTGGATCATTATTATGAAATTCATCATTAATATTCACATATTATTATCAAATTAATTAATTTAATGAAAATTCGTCGTTCAAAAAAAATGATGCAACAACAAGGTTTGCCAACTCTTGAACAAATCAAGACGGTGCTTTTGAATACCTTTAGTAACAATCGGGCTCAACAATTAGAAGCTGAAAATTTTCTTTCTCAATTGAGACATGTTAATGGGTTCTGTAGTTCAATTTTACAATTAGTTTTGCAATCACAACAAGAAAATAGTCAACAAGCACTTTATATTCAACAGGCAGGTGTAATTTTCTTGAAGAATTTTATTACTAAAAACTATGACGAAAGAGGAAATTTCTTTGGAGAGGAAGATAGCGAACCAACTGAAAAGTTAATTCCTATCAGTGCTGAAGATAGACAATTTTTGAGAGAAAATATCTTGAAGGCTTTGGTAATGTCCTCAACTGTTATTCAAAGTCAATTGTGTGTTGTTTTACACACAATGATTTGTACTGATTATCCAGTTAATTGGGTTAATTTGGTTGATGAAATTGTTAATTTGTTAAAATCTAATGATGTTAGATGTGTTTATGCTGCATTGTTGGCTTTGGATTCTTTGTTAAAGAGATACAAGACTGCCCTTGAAGATCATTATAGAATTGTTGTCAATGATATTGTTTCTAGAACCTTTGATATTGTCACTGGTTTGTTCCAATACTTGTTGAGTCAAAATACTGATGAATTTGCTGTTATGAGAAAGTTGATCGTTAAGGTTATTTGGTCTGCTTTCCAAAATGGTGTTCCTCAATATTATACTTTGGAAGTTAAAGAAGGAAAATTAGATAGATTTACCAAACTTATGGAAATGTTATTGGAATCATACAAGATTCAAGTTCCACCTCTTAATATTGATAGTGTTGAAAATCCACATTGGAAAGTTAAAAAGTGGATTGGTCACTTTGGTTATAGATTACTTTTAACATTCTCTGCTTTGGAAGTTAGACCAAATACTTCTGCTGAAGAAGCTAAAATTGCTGAATATTTCATTTCACAACATGCTCAAAAATTCTTACAAATCTTCCTTCAATTAGTTCAATATAATATTAAGGGATCATATGTACCATATCGTATCATTACACTCGTATTTAGATACTTGGATGGTTGTATCTCAAATCCTGATTTATACAAGTCAACTATTATTTCTAATTTGAAGGCTCTCATTGTAGAAACAATTTTCCCATATCTCTATTTCTCATCTGGTGATAAGGAACTCTGGGAATTTGATCCTCAAGAATGGATTAGAATTGGTTATGATCTTTCTGAAGATTTGTGGAACACTAGAATTAATGCCATGGGTACCCTCACTACTCTCTTGACAACCAGAAGAAAGGATTCATTCGGTATCTATCTTCAATATATTACTGAAGTTTTGACCAATTATGCAAATGGTACTCACGTTAATCCATCTCTCAAGGACGCTGTTCTCTATACTATTGGTAACATGTCAAAACTCTTCTCAAAGAGTGCTATGACTAAGGATAAGATTGAAGATTTATTGTTAATGTTTGTTTTCCCAGAATTCACAAACACTCAACAACCATACCTTAGAGCTAGAGCTTGTTGGGCTCTTGGTAGATTTTCCGAAATTTCATACAAGAATCCATCTACTATGAATGACGGTATGAAGCACGTCTTGAACTGTCTCCAAGATAAGCAAATTCCAGTTAGAATTCAAGCTGGTTTGACTTTGAGTTGTTTGTTGAATTTAGAGAATTCTATCCAACAAATTAGACCAATTCTTCCACAACTTTTGGATGTCTACATGAGCATTATGAACGAAATGGAACATTCAACAGTCGTTAGAAGTATTGAACTTTTGGTTGGAGCATTTGCTGAAGAAATGGAACCATTCGCTGTTTCTATCTGTTCTAGAATGAGTGCTACCTACATTAGACTTTTGGATGAAGATGATAACGATTTGGACAATGCTGAATCTGATATTCTTATGGAAAACTGTATCCAAACTATTCTCACACTCATGCAATCCTTCACCTCCAAGCCAGGTGTTTATAGACAATTGGAACCTGTCATTTTACCACTCATTTTGAAGATTTTGGAAAATCAAGAATATGGTTACGATTTTGTTGAAAATGCCATGGATATGCTCACATATTTGACTTATTATTGTGAAAATGGAATGGTTTCTGAAAATTGTTGGTCAATCTTACCTGCTATTTATGAAGCATTCAATGGATGGGCTTATGATTTTATTGGATATTTGGTTGCTTCATTAGATAACTTTATTTCCAAGAATCCTCAAAGATTCTTACAAAACCCAGATCATGTCACTATGGTTTATCACTTGTGTGCTAAACACTTGGGTAAGGATGCTGAAACTGTTGAAAAGGAAGCTCAAGGCGCTTGTAAGATTTTGTCGAGCATGATGCAAAATTGTAAAGGTGCTATTGATAGTGAAATTCCAAAGTATCTTGAAATGGTTATGTGTCAAATTGATTTGGCTGAATCACCTGCTTTCACTGTTTTACTTTTGGAAGTTGTTGCTGATGCCATCATTTACAATATGGAGCTTGCTCTCAGTTTTATCGAATCCAAACAATTCACTGTTAAATTATTCTCCAAATGGTTCCAAACTTTACCTAAATTCATGAGAGTTTATGATAAGAAGATTGCAGTTATTGCATTCTCTAACATTATTGGATATCCAAACTTTTCATCTCTTCCACAAGCTCTTCAAGCTAATGTTGAATATTTGGTTAATGCCTCTATTAGACTTTTGAAAGAAATTTCTGAACTCAAGAAGAAGCTTGCCGAAGAAAAGGATAAGGAAGAAGACGATGGCGATTTTGAGGATGATTATGATAGTGAAGAAGAAGAATATAACAATGGTGGATCAACAACTGATAAGCAAATGACATTGACTGTTGACTCTTTGAAGCATAATCCTCATCTTCAAAAGCTTGTTGAAACTCTTACCAGCTCATCATATGATGTTCAAGCTGATGAAGAAATTGATGAAATGGAAATCTTTGATTCCTTACTCGACAAGTTTGACGAAAATGTTTACTTTGGTAAAGCAATGGTTTCCTTCTCCTCCTCTCCTTCATTCCAAGCTATTGTTGCTAAATTGAGCAATGAAGATAGCAACTCATTACAACAACTCATGCAAGCTTCGATGCAACAATAAATGTAAATATTAATTTATGTAACACAAATTGTGAATTTTCTAAAAATTTAATTCCCTAGTTCAATTAAAAAATGATTTTTTGTTAAATAAATTGTTTAGATTGAATTTTATTTAGGCCATGTTGACAGTGACACCGAATTTGAATTCAGATTTAGCTGGATTAGCTTCAATTGTAGTGTTAATATTTGTTGCCATGGATGGAGCAACATCGAAACTGGCAGCAATGACGAATTGTTGATTGGCAGTAACACGGAGCTTAGCAGTTTGGAAATTTTGTTGGAAACCATAAACAAAGTTAAGAGCACGTTCGGAAATATCATAAGTAGCTTCTGTGCACAAGTAAGTATCAATAGCAACTTGTTGGAAGTAAGAAGCCTTCAAGTTATAGGTGTTAATTTGAGAGAGAGCACCAGTCACCTTAGCTTCACCAGTAATAACAGTTTGCTTTGAAGGTTGATAACGACAACAATAACCCAATCCACTAACTCTATCAGTGGTTCTAAAGAAACCAGAACAACCAAGTTGAAGGAATGGTAAAACACTTTGCATGTAGGAAACTTGTATTTTACCCTTTTCAAGATCATATTGAGCATCAATAATATAATCCTTGTCGGTAAAATCACCCTTGATGTAGAGAGCATTATTAGCACTCACATAAGTAATTTCACTGTAAAGCATTTCCTTGAAGAATTTATGTCTCAACGACACATAGTGAAGAAAGTGTGGGAAACCAATTTGGGAGAAAAATTGTGTCTTCTTATTGGAAAATGAAAGTGTTGTGTTATAATCAGGAGCTCTCATTCCGTTACCTCCAACGAAAATACTGTGTCCCATGGAAAACTCATGTTGAGCTGAATGATTAATATTCTTGTTTAATTGAACAGTGAATCCTTCTCCAACATCCGATACAAATAATTCTTTGGCTTCCTTGTTATAATCTTCATATTTACGAGGTTCCTTCAAACCCTTTGCTTTACGAACATTCTTGAGGTAATTATTTAAATTATCGACCAAGCTTGATGATGTATTGGATGATGTTGTTGATGCTGCTTGCTGTCTATTGTTCATTCTCTTTTTAATATGATGATGAAAAGGTTAAAAGGCAACAAATACGACGACGATGAAAAATTCTTGTTGTGTATTTGCAATATTTTTTTGTCGGCACTTGTTTTGAGTCAAAGCAAGAATTAACGCTGAACCCAATCAACTTTTTCAAATATTACAAACCAAAAGCACAGTAAAAAGCTTGCCAAGAAAATTCTAAAGAAAAACAATCAATAATAATTTAAATTGAGACAAAATGATCATGAAGCACCCCAAAGTGAAGAGATGGTAAAAATCGATTGATTACATTTTGATAGAATTAAAAAACAATGAATTCCGAACATGATGAATTTGATTGATAAGTGGTGTGGAAAATTCTCATGTATTTATTTGAATACGAATCAAAAGTTTACAGTAATAGTACAGGCAAAATTGTTAACTTAATAACCTTGTTGCTGTTCAAAAGATGAGTTTTCTCCATCTTGGCGTTCTTCAGAGGATTGAGACAGTGAAAGGGCATTAGCTGTTTGTTTCATTAATTGAGTTACGGTAGCAACTTGTTTCTTAACTTGCTTGGCTTGCTCTTCCATATCTTGTGTTTCAAACACTCCAAGACTCTTATAGATCGAATTCATGTAAGGAATCATTTTAACTTCAATAATCTTACGAAGGGCTTGTTTTTCCTTCTCCTTAGTTCCTAGCCCCGCATCAGAAACTCTTTGTAAATGAATGAGAGCAGCTGTCTTTCTGTCAAGAGCATCTTCCAACATTTTTTGATGGTGATCATAGGCATCCAATTCCTCTTGAAGGGAAAGGATTGTTTCATCTCTTTCGTTTAATCTAGCTGTTAATGCAATCATGATATCTCGTTGTTTTAACAATAGTTGCTTATATCTGTCAACTTGTGCCTTATCTTCCTCTATGGATTGCCTTTCTCTCTCCAATTCTTGTAATTTTTTCTCATATTGTTTGTGAACTCGTTCATATTCTTGTTTAATCAACTTTCTAAAAGCTGGGGTTTCTTCAATTTTCTCACCACCAACTAGTAATTGGGATTGTAAGTGAGCAATCTTTTCTTCCAATTTTCTCTTCAAAGTCTTTTCGTGAAGGAACTCTCTTGATCTGGATTCCAATGCTTCAATGGCTGCCAATTTATCTTCTTCTGCTCTTCTTCTTTGTTCTTCTAATTCTAAAATTCTTTGTTTTCCAACAACAGTTTTACTCTTCTTTGAGAGCTCTATTCTGAGCTTCTTCAATTCTTTTTCGTATTTTCTAAGCAAAGCCCTTTGATCTAAATCCTCATTGACAGTTACAATATTCTTGATACATTTAGCTCTCTTGGCAAAGTGGAGAGTGGAGAGAGATTCACCGTGGAATTCCATAGCCGGAGAAACCATGGCCAACATGGTAGTCCTGCAATTACCTCCCAAACTGTCAGCCAATAAACTTGTAAGCTTTGAGTTTCTGTATGGAACATAGTTGTCTTTCTTTGTGAGAGCGGAAATAACCATACCCAAACAAGTCAGAGACAAGTTGATCTTTTTAGTTTCTTCTAAAAGTTCTCCAGAGGCACCACTTACTGACACTCTTTCACTTCCAGCCAAGTCAACAAGATTAAGCTTACCAATACGATAAGATTCTTTAACTTCCTGCACAACCTCTTTTCCAGTGATGGCGTCTGCATTGGCACAATCGATATCTTCCTCATTTGAAATTGTTCTTTCCAAATGTTCTGCAACAATGATAAACACTGCGTGAGATCTACTACTTCCTTCGTTGAGTTTTGTAGGGGCTTTAGCTCTTCCCTTTCTTCCTTTGTCAATCAATTGATAAATTTCTTTAGGTGTTCTTACAACTTCTTCAGTCAACCCTTCAACGCAGGTTCCTTTCTTTTTATATTCTCTTATTGTTAAATTTGTTTTTGTTGGATCCAACAGATCATAAATTACTTCCTTATAAATTTGTAAGTAAGATGCTCTGATTAAAAAATTAACATTTGAAGATCCTTTTGTTTCAATATCTGATTCTATTTAAGAATATCGGAATCAATAAAACTTACATTCAAAAATGTCCTCTGTTGCTCTTGGAATAACACCTCTTAATTCCCTCTTATTTTCGAACCCTTCCATAGTATAGGTCTTGCCTGTACCAGTTTGACCGTATGCAAATAAGGTTGCCTGATTGAAAGTAAGATAAAATCAATCCCTTAACAACTTACATTGTATCCTTTAAGTACTGATAATACAGCTCCTCTGGCATGATTTTCATAAATTTCGTCTTGTCTACTATCCTCGCCATAGATATGATCAAATGTAAATGAATGTCCTACAGAGTAGTTTGCATCAGGTGAATCCGAAATCACCATGCTCTTCCTTGAATCACTAATCCTAATTGTACTGATAAGAGGTTCACCTCTATCTTGACATCCCTTTAATTCTCTTGGAAGGAATGGTCTAACACGAATAACAACGGTAATGTTTTCCTTTGGTGAATCATCATATTCAGCCTCGGCAACTGTGAGTTCTTCATGGTATTCTTCGTTTTCATCCTGAGCCAGATTATTTGTACTTTGACTTCTGTTGCCACTTGGCACAGCTCCTGAAGGCAAAGCAGTAATACTTCTTCTCAAACTTCCACTCGACTGACTTCTATTCATATTTTTTTTTAAAAAATGTTTTTTGTTTGAGATTGGCGGGAAAGTTTTTACAGTTGGTGTATGATTCATTATTGGATCTAGATTTTGGCGGCCTATTTTTAAAATGGCATAATTGTTGTTGAATTATTCCTTTGATTTTACATAATTTTTTTTGGTTTTTTATTTTAAAATACATACAGAAATAATTGTCGATTATAAATTATTTGGTCTTGATCTTCTTGGCACCAACCTTTGGGAAACTGGATTCATCAGCTGACTTTCCTTCTTCCTTTTGATTCCAAGTTGCAGAACTGCTTGAAGATGTTGTTGTACTAACGAAAACCTTGGCAGTTGAGGCTGACTTTTCAGTACCCTTCTTTGGTTTAGTTTCAACAACTTCAACAGGTACTTCCTTAGTGTTTGAATTCCAGAAATCATCTTCATTAGCATATGGATCTCTGACAACAGTACGTCTCTTTTCCTTATTAACTGTTGGTTGAGCAGTTGCTACTTCTTGTTCGGAATCAGATCCTTCACTGTTACTGTCGGCTTGTTTAGCTTCAACCTTCTTCTTGGTTTCTTGTTCTTCATCGGATTCATCCTTCTTGGTATCAACAAACTTTTTAAAGATGGACTTGTTTTCATCCTTCTTTTGTTTCTTTTGTTCAACCTTTGGTTCAGCCTTCTTTTCATCCTTCTTACGACCAGTTGATTCAGGTCTCTTGACAACTTGGAAGGTTGGATCTTCTTCCTTTTGCTTCTTGGATGACTTTTGTTCAGTAGTGGCCTTCTTGGAAGTAGTAGCCTTCTTCTTTGATTCAGTTTGTTCAACAACAACTTCCTTCTTCTTGTTCAATCCATAGAGTTCAGCAACATCAATGGAATCAAGTTCAGAAGCATCTTCATTTTCTGAGGCAGAGGAAGCAGCAGTAACAGTAGCCTTCTTTTCTGACTTATTCTTCTTCTTCTTACCAGCAGTGGTTGGCTTCAACAATTCACTCTTGTTGACACTAGCAGTTCCGGAACCACTTTTAGTATTAAAGAAGAGGAAAGCAGCAGCAACCAAAACCAAAGGAATGATCAAATAGAGCAGCATTTTCAATAAATTAAGAATATTACTATAGAGTATAATGATGTGAGGGAGAACAAATTAATCCACAATATATTATTGTTAATATCTTGTTGATGATGCTGTTAATGGTAATCAAAAAAATCCAAAAGAAGCTTGCTCCACGTGAGGTTTTCTCTCTTTTTTTTATTCTCTGCTGGCTTGAAAAGATTTTGTTTTCCTTGTGCTGAATAAATGTTAGCTGGCATTTTTGCGATTACGTGGGCAGAGTTTGTTGCTGGCAAGAACAATTTCAAGATTATTGTAATCCATCATTGTTACCCTATGATGATGAAGAAGAGGAGAATTTGGTGTTAGGGATGATGAGAAGGTTTTTAAAAGAGTCTTCCGATGATGAAAAAAGAAAGAAAGGCTATTGTTGGATGATGATCTACAAGTACAATTAGGGAAATGTAGTTGATGAGTAGACTTGGAATAGATTGAACAATATTCAATTAATTATTATTTATCTAAATAATATTTCCTTCAAATTAATATTAAATTTATCAAGTGATTAATATATTATTTACCCTATGTAACACACATTAGAAATGTATATTCATTAAGGTTGATTTCTTCCTTGAGTTTTATCAAACAACAAACGAAAAAAAAATACAGCAAACGAATGTCTCTGCAACCATTCCACAATTTCACAACTGTAGCCAACACGCTCACACAAGATTCATCATTCGCATTCAATTTGAATGTAACCATCGTGAGACATGTTAAATGGATTTCAGATTCATTGTTGACTTTCTTTGTAGAGAATACCTATGCTTCGGATTGTGTTAAAATCTATAGAACTTGTCCATTGCAATCTGGTGGTATGAAAAATTGTGAATTGATCGAGAGTGTGAAATTGGTAACTGATGAAGATTGTGCTGCAAATGTCAAGACATCAATTGGCTGGTTGGAAGTTGCATCATTTCCAACAACTGGATCAATTTATTTGATGACAGTCATTAAGAAAGTTAACGGAGAGGAAGTGAAATATGTGGAAAGAATATTTAAATTGCAAAATATTGGCAGTGGCAGCTCGTTGGAACAATTATGTCATTCTAATGAGTTGACTGTGAGAATGGCCTGTTCAATAATTGCAGATGAGGAAAGAGAATGTGTCTATATGATTGGAGGACTGAATATTAGAAAAGATGCAGAATTATATAGAGATGACATTTCACAATTCAATGTGAAAACAATTGAATGGTCACTTTTAACAAATGTTGAAACAGTAGCTCTCTATTCTCATTCATCTCTAATGTGGAAAAACAAGTTCATTGTAATATTTGGAGGTTATATCTCATCATGTTCAGTATCTAGTAATATCACTCTTTACAATCTTGAAACAAAACAATGGCTCACTGCTTTCCATCTTTTGGAAGATAGTCCATCAAAATCTAAAGCAAATGGTAGAACCAATTCAGGAATTGCACTACTTCCCAATGAATGGGCGTGTAAATTCAATCGCTCCATTCCGAATAATTCAGAATGTGATACTTTAATTATTTATGGAGGCAGAATTTCAAAACTGGTTTCAAAGAGACTTGTGTATGTAGAATCGAGTGATATATTGCTCTTCCATTTGAACGAATCAGAATTGAAAGTGAGACAGAGAAGAGAGGAATATAGTGTGGAGTTTCCATTCGAGTTGAAACATTTCATTTTGGCAATGCCAAAGAATGAATTTAGTTCATTGTTTGTTTTTGGAGAGGAAACCAGCAAAATGTCATTGATTTTTTGTGGTTGTAATAATATTAGCAAGGCTGACTTGTTTTCTTCTCCAAATGTTAAGAAGAATTAAGATTGTAAATTAGTTTACAATACTATTATTGGAATATTTTAGAAAAAAACTTTAAAAAAAATGAAAGAACATTCTCTGTTAAATTTACCCACGGAAATCCTACAATTAATTATTTCCTTCCTAATCTATGAATCTACATCAGAAAATTGGAAAGAATTACTTTCGAATGATTCGTGTTTCTATCGGCCAATTTCTATTCCACTTGAGAGAATGAAACAAATTGTCTTGAGTTTGCAATCTGTTTGTTCATATTTTCTAAAAGATTATTTACCTATTGGAAAGAAATTAAACGAATTTTGGTTGCTTGTGATGCAAAGAGAATTTTACTATACGAAACAAGTGATCGAAAGTGAAAGGGAAAAGATGAGATGGAAATCTAAACGATGTTATGGATTATTGAAAAGAATGGTGGAAATTAAATTTAATGATGCTTGTTATCCTATTGGAAACATTCAAAAGAATAATCAAGATTCGTATAGATTCAAAGCATGTGTTATTGGAGAAAATGCTGGAGAAGAAAAGTTAACTAAAAGATACACGAACGATGACAATAATCAAAATTTTGACATTGAATTTATGTATCTCAATGATCGTGGTAAGTTTATTTGAGAATTATTGAGATTAATTTAAAGTTAGATAAAATAATTCGAAACTGTGAAGTTTCCATAATTGTCTTCCCATCGATTCATGAGTCGGATGATGCACTTGAGGATAGTTTAGCTCATTTAAGTTCTATAATACGTCAAGTGTTGAGAATTAGAGATTTTGATGATGCTCCATGTGTGATTGCATTCTCAAAAAGTGATTCATTAGACGAATCTTCTTATTCTCAATTCGAAACAAGAACGAAAGAACAGTTTATTAGGAGAATAATGGCACAACAAGACATGCTTAATTGTGGAATTGTTCATAGGAGTGCTGAAAATGGAGATGGAATTGATGAGATTGTTAAAGAAGTTATCAATAGATATTTAACTTTGGTTTCGTCCAAAAGTAGAACAACTACTAACAAAATTTACCAAAATTGGCATACAGGAACAATTTTGCAAAAAATTATTTCTTCAGAAAAAGAAATTTACTCAATTGTATCCAACGAAACAGGTGGAAGTTCAAGATGTGAATTGATGTAATATTTGGTCAACCAAAATACTTCTTAATTTAAATATTTATTTGGAAAGTTTCAAATCTGCAAAGTAAGGATCATTGAGGAGATCGATTGTTTGTGGTCTAACATCTGGATCCTTTTCTATCATTCTAATAACTAATTGAAAAACCAAAACCAGCCAAAACAGTTGAAATATTCTCTTCACCTAAATCTCTAATAAAGATATTCGAAGGTTTAACATATTGGGAAAATAAACGAATGTTGTTGAACATGATAAAAAAGACTTTACAATTAGTTAATACTGAAGAGAATTATAGACAACCGATTCAATATTGAATAATTAAACTTTACAAAAAAAATGCATCAAGATTGTTGGGCTGAAATTATTCCATTTTTGCAACCGATTGATGTTTTAGCTTCCCTCCTCACAATCAATCATAGCCTTCACAATTTAATTAAAAAATTGTGTATTGTTACTTTTGATAGAATTTCCCAATTTACAGCTGGTTGTTGTTCTGAGTTGAAAATTTCATTTAATTGTCATGATGATTTTGAAAATATTGAAAAGATTAATCATGATGTTCCAATATATGGGAATGTAAAATATTTCATCCGATTATACTTGTTAAAATTATCCTTAAAATTAGGAAATCAGGATCCTGAGAACGGAGATCTCAATGTAATTTCAGACATTTTGAATAGTTCAGAATTGAAATTGTTGAATTTCTATCGATCTGTCTTTACTGAATTTAAATTTCCACAACAGAAAAATCCATCAACAATTGCTTATTGTGTGGTGGGAGAGGCTGGAGTTGGAACGTGCTACTTTTGTGAATTTGTTCGGTTTGGAAAAAAGTCATATAGTTTGCGATATGGATTTGAATCCTTTTACAAAAAATTTACAATTCCAAACGAGATAGAATGGCAACAGCAAATTTGGATACCAGATGGATCTGAAAGGTTCTATTCGAAACAAGATGTTATCCAAAGATACAAAAAATATGATAAGAGCATGTATATTCTTCCATGTTTTTCAATGAATTATGAAACGTCATTTCAAACAGTAGGAGATTGGGTTTCAATTATTAGAGATACTCTTGGAATAATTGTTGGACTCAGTACTACAGATTTCTCACTAGATCCTCTTGAAGAAAAGAAAGTTAGTTTGAACGATGCTGTGAGGAAGGCATTCGAACTTGGATTTTCAGTATTTGTGGAATCTGATGACAATCACATATTTACTCCATTTTGGTTCATTCAATTGCAATCCACCTATTTCACTTTTAATAAGAATGATAATTGGGATTGTTCTCTAATGTAAAAGTAATAAATAGTAGATTAAATACGCAGTTTAGGAACTTGTTTGATATTCCAAACCTAATTAGAGCAAAAGACTACAGCACCACAGGTTCCCAAGTTGTCTCCAACCTCAGTACTGATGTGGCTCGACGATGCTTAACTTCTCAAATCGGACGGGATGAGGTGCATTCATCGTGATATGGCCGTAGCCATTCAATTCATTATCGCTATGAATATAAAGAATATGGAACTTCTTTTGCATAACTTAATGCAACTTAGTAATACTTAAGGTGGTTAACCTATTAAGCTCTGTAAAAAGTTATCCTTGATCAATCGATTCTCACGACCAACTCAATACAAACTTTTAGTAATTAAGTTATAACAATTTAGTAACATTATTTTTGGATATTCTTTTTAGTTTCATTGGACGGGAAGCCTGCCAGGAATATGACTGTGCATACAGTTGTATGAACAGTGAAGGCAACGAAGACAGAATCTTGTTGGTTCAGGTTTTGTTTGAAGAAATTGATTAGGTTGATCACCCTTCTATAAATTGAATATTTGACTGGTAAATTGATGGATGCAAGTTTTGGTTTCTCATTTTCTGATCAAATCGAAATTGAAACTTCAAACAGTAGCTGCCTTAATTTAACCATTCTTAGCTTAAAATAAAATTTACAAACCAAGAAAGATGAAATTCTAAATTGATATGCTCGATTTTTAAAAAAACAACCACTAGTTTTTTTAAAAATCGCATGTACTAAATAATTGTTCTGTACCATTACATTTTGTAGTTGAACATTTGCATTAATCACTTGATTATCATGGTTTTTGTTGTCTATTAAATTATGATATTTAAAAAATTCATAAACATAAATATTTTCAATATTAATGGCTAGTTGCGAGGAACGATGCAACGTTAGTATTTCGACAAATTGTAAACAATAAAATTGAGTTGATAAATAATTTTTATGCTCAAAAAAATTAAGAAACATGGTAAACACACCAAGCAAAATCATTGCTGACACCCCTGGCAAAACAGTGACTGCTATCAGAAAAATTATTTCTGCTAGTAAGTCAGCTGACAGCGTTTCAACTTACAAGTCTGGATATCCCAGCAATTGATGAAGGTAGTTCAGTGTCATCACAGACTAAACCTTTAGATAATAATCAAAGTGGTTCTGGAAATAACCCAGTTTCATCGCAAACTAAACCCTTGGATAACAACCAAGGTGGTTCTGAAAAGAACCTAGATGCTATTCTTCACGCCATCACTTTATTGGGTGAGAGAATTAAACATCTTGAAGCAGTTCCACCCATCCTTCAAGAAGCTGATCAACTTGATGACAACTCTGATGAGGATTCTGCTGAAGATTCCACTGGTAAACATTGGGGTATGTCAACAATCAAGGAGATTAGAAGACACTACGAAGTTGGCGACAGATTAGCCGATGGAGATGTCTTAAGTTTTGTTTCAGCCAAAACTCTTCGTCGTTATCAAACCAATGATGCTCTTTTGAATAGAGTTCAATCATTAATGGCTAGATTTGAATCCGTTATTCATAATCATCGTACTTATCCCCGTTTGCAAGAAATCCAATCAAAGGGCTTGCAAAAGATGATGGAAATGTTGCATTTGAAATCTAGACTACTCCATTTCGCTTTAAGTCACCCAATGAACGTTGCTAACATCATTGAAATCACAGAATTAGTTTATCTTCTCTGTGAGGTCGAGAAAATTTTCTTGGAAGAAGGTTTGTTTGATAGTAATTTTGAGGTTGCCACCAATTTCATTCAACCATTCGTACAGAGCAATACGTTCGCTGACATAACCGAAAAAGCACGTAGTAAGAAGAGAGAGAAAGCTGTTATCAAGACTGCTTTTGTTGGAAAGATTCAAAAACCCAACAAAATGAAAGAGAAGTTGAACAAACCCTACACTTCTCAACACAACAGCTACTCTAAGTCTTACAAGAGTAACTCCAATTTTCAAAAATCAGGAGACTCAAAACCAAAGTACAACAACAACAACAGTGGAGGATCCTTCAGCAAGGACCTCTGACTTGGTGGGTTGTCGTCTTGGCAAGTTTGTAACTCAGTGGGAGAGTTACAACTTCAACCCATTCATAGTGGATTGGATTCGGAATGGAGTTCCAATCTACTCAAATCCCACCCTTTGGAAAGAATTCAAGCAAAGGAAGAATTTCTCTCCAAAGGAGACCTCTTGGATGGATCAAGAAATCCAAGAGATGTTGAGTTCCAATGTCATCGAACTTGGAAACAAATCTACGGTACTCAATCCAATAAACATTGTCCCCAAGAAGGGCTCAGATCAGTTTCGTTTTATTCTGGATCTCAGGAAAGTAAACTTGGGGATCAAGGATACTTCGTTCAAGATGGACAACATTCAAAAATGTTTGAAGTTTGTTCAGAAAGGAATGTGGGCAACAAAGATAGACCTGAAGAAAGGCTATTTTCATGTTCCCATCAGAGAGAGTCATCGACACCTTCTGGGATTCAAGTACAAGAGCCTTGTATACCAATTCAAATGCCTTCCATTTGGTCTAAGTCAAGCTCCCAGAAACTTCACCAAGATAATGAAGGAACTAATGACCAAGTGGAGAAAGCAGGGCATCTTGGTATTCATTTACATCGACGATATATTGATTCTAAGCAACCACAAGGAAACTACCCAACAACACACAGACATAATCTTGAAAGACCTAGAAACATTAGGATGGATTATACAGAAGGAGAAAAGTGTGTTGACACCTTGTCAATGCATAGAATTTCTGGGTCTGGAATTGGATTTAATATCAGGTTTGGTAAAAATTCCACTCAACAAACAAGCCACTGCGATAAAACTGATCCAAGACTTCTTGTCAGCGAACCAACTGAACAGATATGTAGCTTGCAAGAAAGTGGCTCAGTTTCTTGGGAAGATGGAATTTCTAACCCTATCAAACCATTATTTTGCACCATTTCTGGCTCGTCTTCGAAAGGATATGGTGAAAGTAGTAAACGACAAATCCTGGCACGCATCGATGAGAATATTCAGAGGTGCAACCAAAGACCTCAAGATATTGAAAACTCTGATTCAGGAAAACAGTGGAGTTCCATTCGAACTGAACTCAATGAACCCGATTCGAGTGAATTCAGATGCTTGCCCAACAGGTTATGGAATTCACGCAGAATCAACCATTACAATTGGAAGATTCAATTCCTCAGAGCACATCAATGTCAAAGAGTTAAAAACACTCCTCATTTTCTTCACACAAGCAGATCAATTAAACCTTTATGGTCCTGGTCAGGCATTCGAGATAAGAGGCGACAATGTAACAGCAATATCTTATATAAGGAGAGGTTACGGAGTCATCGAAGAACTCTCACAAATAGCCAGAGATCTCTACAAAATTCTAATGAGAAGAAAATGGTGGATTTCCAAAGTGATTTATATTCCCTCAAAGGAAAACATTTTGGCGGACAGACTGAGTCGTCTAACAGAATGGAAATCCTCTCAAGAACTATTGAATCTAGTTCAGACAGAATTTGGAGAACACCACGTGGACAGATTCGCAACATTGGAATCAACCACAACAATTCAATTCAATTCATGGATAGAGAACGACACATTTCTGAACCCATGGGAACAAAATCTGATGAGCTATTGTGCTCCTCCTCTGGGTCTGATATCTCAAGCTCTAGTTCACTGCATCAAGTCAGGAGCCAAAGCGACATTTGTGGTTCCAGATTGGCCCTCTTCGATATGGTTTCCAGTCTTGCTAAAGATATCAGAAAGAATGATAACTGTTTCGAGAAAGATGCTTATAATAACGCCCTTATCAGAGTTGCAAGACAAGTTCGAGAATTCGAATTTCCTGGTTGTTCAAGTGCATGGCAAGTTATTCAAACAATGAGAGAAATCAGTATTCTCTCTTCAATAGGTGAAAAAACCTTCAGAACCTACAACAGGATTTATGGTGGTTTTCTTTGGTTTATCAATGTGTTCGATCTTACCATTGATAATCCTTTAGCTATTGAATATTACATCTCTTACCTTCTGGTTAATGTTCAAGGTTACAAAGCAAATACTGTGCAAGCAGCTATTCAATTCTTTGCTAACCTTGATGGCAGAACAATTAATATTTCTGTCTCTTACCCTAAAGTTAAAAAAGGTGTCCTTAAGCTTTATTCACTTTCGGATAAAGTTTCTCTTCAAAGAGATCCGATAACAATCAAACATTTGACTGATTATTTGAAGTGCAAAGACAAAGTGGATAATTTCACTTTCCGTCTTACTTCTGCTATTCTAGTAATTGGTTTTAGGCTATTTGCAAGACCTGGTGAGGTTGCGCGACTAAAATGGTCATATATCAAGATGCTTAAAAAAGGAAGAATCAAGATTGATCTCAGTGGTCATAAAACTGACTTCTTCCTTATTGAAAAACCAATTACTATCGAAAGGAATACTAAAGATCCTAATCTTTGCCCAATTTCAATACTAAAATCATACATGGATTTGGTTAGGAATTTCAAAGATGCTGAGTCCCCATTATTTTCCTTCGAAAACGACAAATTCTTTGATTCAGATGGTATTTCAAAGATACTAAAGAATGCAGTGGGTATAGTAGATCAAGGCGTAACAGTCTCAGGTCACAGCCTTAGAATAGGTGCTATCACAGAAGGACTCAGAAAGGGTATGTCTACAACTGATCTAATGGTCGGTGCAAGACATAAAAAGGAAAAAAGTTTATTTCCTTACCTTAGATCTGAAGGCCTAGCTGGCAAGAATTTCACTAACACTCTATTTTCTCTGGACTAACCCATTGGTTTATCAACGAAATTCTTTATTGTTTTATTTGGAGAAATATGGCTAGTTGCGAGGAACGATGCAACGTTAGTATTTCGACAAATTGTAAACAATAAAATTGAGTTGATAAATAATTTTTATGCTCAAAAAAATTAAGAAACATGGTAAACACACCAAGCAAAATCATTGCTGACCCACCCACCCATTCCCTTAATTTCATCAAGAATTCCTTGAATTCTTTCAAATAGTCCTTCACTCCTTGAGTGTTTTTTCCTATTTGTCTTTTAGTTTGATCTTGGTAAGTGATCCTTCTAAGGATGCAGGATTAGTATTACCTTGTGATACAATAATTTTTATTTCTAACTAACATCATTTGAATAATTCGAAATATGCTCGTAAAGTAAGCCAGATTTATTTTTTCAAAAAATATTTCTGATAGAAATTACCAGGCATTTTTTTTCAAGCAATTCACTAGTTAAAATAGAGAACTTTAATGGATTGGAGTTTTTACCGATTTTTCCTGCAATGCAGGTTTTTTATAGGGGAGTTGTTCTACTTCAATCTCGATTTTGTAAACAACTTTATTAACTCGGGACAATGCTGAATAAAGTCAATGACCTAAAAGGCAGCATTTCCGAGCAACATACCTCATCCTTTGGATGAAGAATATGTTGAGTGAGCTTCTACCCATTGGTTTATCAACGAAATTCTTTATTGTTTTATTTGGAGAAATATATTAATAATATTACTTTCCCTTGTACTTTTTAATAATGATATAATGATCTTATTATTATTCACATCAAAATTTTTAATTAGGTGTTTAGTATGATTATTATTAATTACATTTTTAATATTAATTAATAAATTATCATGATTAACTTGTTGAATAATTAATTCTTGAATTATTTTATCTATTTTATCTAGTACTATGTTATTATTTGGAGTAATTGATGAAGTAATAATAGTATTTCCAGATTGTTGAATATTGTTGGAAGATTCAATTGTAGAATTATTAATAGTACTGATTGGTATCGTTAAATTAATTGCAGATTCTATTGTTGTTGTAGTAGTGTTTGTAGGTTCTATTGTTGTTGTTATTAAATTATTTGATGTTGTATTTGTAGGTTCTATTGTTGTAATTGATGTAATTATTGAATCTGTTGTTGTACTTGTTAAATTATTAATATTTATAGTGTTTGTAGGTTCTATTATTGTATTTGTAGATTTAGTAGTTGTTGTTAAATTATTTGATGTAGTGTTTGTTATTGGAGTACTTATTAAATTATTTGTAGGTTCTATTGTTGTTGAATTATTTATAGTATTTGTAGATTGTATTGTTGTACTTTTTGTAGGTTCTATTGGTTTTGAATGTCTTATTATTCTCTAAATTATGTTAATGAAATATAATTAATAAAACAAACCCGTTTTTTTGTTGTTGTTAAATTAGTATGTTCTATTGTTGGTGTGGTTGTTATTAAATTATTTGATGTAGTGTTTGTTGGGTCTATTGTTGTTGTTAATTTAATTGTTGAATCTGTTGTTGTTGTTGTTAAAGTATTTGATGTAGCATTATTCGTAGGTTCTGTTGTTTTTAGTTTTTTGTGTCGCTTTGATGTTGTTAAATTATATTATATTTAAAATTAAAACAAACCCGTTTCTTATTATCACTATTATCATCACCATTATTCTTATCATCATCATCATTATTATCATCATCATCTTGTTCAACCTTTCTTTTACCAAACATCTTCTCCTCTATCGTAGTAGGAGGAAACAAAAAATGTTCACCATAAATAAAATTATCATTTGTTAAATCAATACATTCCATATTAACAAACTCTTTTATATTATATGAATGTATAATGTGATCAACATGGATTCTAATAAATTTTGCTCCTTCGTGGATTTTTAGGTTTATGGATTTTGTTATTGGTGGACCTTGTATTCTCATTTTTTTTTAAAACATTTAAATCTATTAATAAAACATGCCGGTAGGTTTTATTTTTAGATCATCATATAAAAGTTGATCATAAACGTTCTTTCCAAACTTTCTTTCCTTTAGCTAACTGTTCATTAACTAATTGCAATTCAAACACAATATAATCAAACTCTATTCTGATCTTGTGAGTTTCTTGCAAATAAACCAATTTTAAATTCACTACCATTGACCTCCACTTCTTCTTTTTATGTTCCCATTTATACAACCACCAATATCTATTATCCTCAAGAATAGGAAGAAAGGAATTTGGAGCATCATTAATCCATTCTAAAGTAGTTCTATCAGCTTTTCTGCTACTTCCAGCCTCAAGTCCTCTATCAAAAATCCGATAATTGTCTTTGCTTTTACTTCCGTGAAATGATAAATCCATTTTCATACATAAAGCTTTCCATTCTATTTCATCACAACTAATTGTATTGTAGGTGTTAACAAATCTAGATATAGAACGTTTAGCATCTGGCACCATTCTTCTTCTGATAATATCCACAATCTCAGCCTCCATTACCATCACACGCTTCAAATAATAATCAGCATCAAAAATAAAAAAACTTTTTCGTTTTCCAATTAAATTATCGTCCAATCCTTCATTAAAATCACCAAAGAGATCCAAATAATCATCTAAACTCCCATCATCTGCTTTTTCGACAGTAGCAGCAAGCTTTTGTTCAACTTCTTCCAACACAGCCCTCTTCGAGACTTTTTTTTTGATCATTCCAAAATTTTAATCTCACGCATTGTTGTTGGCATGGTGTTTTATTTGCTGGTAACTTGCGGCAAAAATAGTAAGCTAGTGATTAAAACAAATAAAAAATGGCTAATGATTTACATCCTTACACCACAAAAGAGGTTGACGATAGAAACATAACCAACCAACCAACAACGGATGCAGATGATGAATTAAGTATTTTTGAAAAATTAACAGATGCAGAAATTGCAGCTTTGAAACAATTTTCTGAACGCACAGGGTGTACAATGGAAACAAGAACACTGGAGGAAATACTCGAGTTATAATATATTAAGCAGGTATAGGATTCAAACAATTAGAGAAAAACAAAAACAATACATATTTTTCTGATATGATTTTTAGTATAATAATAAATTTTGTAATAAAATTGTTGGATATGTTGGAATAAACATATCATTAAAGGGATCTATATCATTGGGAAGAATGAAACTTATCGTGGTTCATGGGAAATTACTAACACAACCCTAAAAGAAAAATATTCAAAACAATTAGAGGATAAATTGTTGGTAAACTATCTAATAAAAAAGTGAGGTCATTAGGTTGAACTTTTACTGGAATTGGAATATATTTAGGTGTGTACTTCCAATTAAATTATTTTCAATTACAATATGATAAGTACCTGCTAATAATGGACATAGTTTCTGCTTATTTTTCATACAATTACCAATCATAGATAATAAATTAAACAATTTACAATGTTCAATTATTTAATCATTCTAAAAATGTATCAGTTTCATATGTAAGAGATAGTTGGTATAAATATTTAAATGGAACATGATTTCCTTACTCGAAAGTGGTTCTTTTTTGAGTATAATTTCGCTTAGAATTTTTAGGACATCGTCGTGAGTTAATAGAGGTAAGTTTTCTTCAACTATTATAAAATTAGGCTTAATTTTCTTTAATGAAGGATCTTCATCAACAGAGAGGACTCTATCTTTCCTTTTGTTGGCATGTATTTCATCGTTGGTAGAATAACCAGTATCAGCTACACAATCGTTGGTAAGCTGAAATATGTGAGAGAGATTCTCAATTTTGCAAATTACTCCTAAAAGAAAATTCTCAAAAATAGTTTAGATCGAAAATCAACTATAAAAAAATAACAAGAATTAAATTTCCCTTCTTGTGCCGTTTATTATTGTTGTGGCTTTGAATAATACATTCATTATTCTACTATTTTTATAAATTAATAATAGTAATAATAATAATTTTGTATTCGATCTTATTTTACAATCAATAGCAAAAATTGCTTCCGATCAAGGGCAATAACAAATTATAATTATTTTGATTTTATCGGAAAATGTCGAAAGAACTTGTGGAAATGATAGATGAGTTGAATTCGTCCCTCAAGTCTATGGATGAGGATTTTAGTGATGATTTTAATAAGAATAATAATAATAACAATAATATGGAAATATATGATGATAGTACAACGTCGATACCAATTCATCACAATTCGAGTTTTTATTATGGAGAGGATGAAAAACACCCGAATACACTGTCTTATGATTCTCATAAATTTAACAAGATTATATTCGAAGATTCGGAATATTTGTATAGAACAATTACAAGAGATGATTTACCAGCTCTTAAAAAGTTACAACAAGAATTATTTCCAGTTCAATATAACAAACCTTTTTATTTGAAATTATTGGATAAAAGCAAGACGTATACATTGCTTTCATTTAGCAAGGAAAATAATGAATTGATTGGAGTTTGTTCGACATCAATAACATTGGAGGAAAATACTGATGGTGGATTTTGGCAATTTCTATTTGGATATCCAGACAAGTACAATGTTTGTTATATAATGACCTTGGGTGTAAAAAAGAAACACAGAAGAAAAGGTTTAGCCTCAAGAATGTTACAAATTCTGGAAGAAGTTGTGTCGGTTGATCCTTATTATTGTACCAAATTAACTCTGCATTGTAAAGTCGATAATCAACATGCTTTATCATTTTACAATCAGAATTCCTTTACAGTAAAGGAAAGGATAGAGGGATATTACGACTTTGGATCTCATTTCGAAGCTGCTTTCAAGTTGGATAAGGTTTTGTCAGCAAAGAGAAATGAAAGCTTTTCAGATTCAATCTCCTTCTCTGGATTACTAACATCTGAGAGTCATACATCACTAGGATCTCAACCAACATCAAACAGACAATCCACTAATGAATCACCCATTCGAAATAACTATAACACCAGTTCACTTGGCTGCTTGGCAGTGACATTTCAAATTTGTAAATTTTTTATTGAAACCTTTAAAGTGGTAGCAATAGAGTCTTATAATACCATGAATAATATTCTCTCCCCTTCACCTCCTTTAAATCCAAATTCATCATCTCCACAACTTTCCAATTCCACCTCAACCAATGCTCTTTCACCCATTGCAATTCCAAGACCTAGAATTGTTTTACAAATTCAAGAGAAGGATTGTGAATAAAAGATATTCTCTCGCTTACATGACAAGGCAACCTCCATGTGCTTTGAAATTTTCACTTCTTGGACATGGAACACTTTTCAAATGTGAAACACTATCAATAGATGGCTCTGTTAATTTAACTCTAATTTCCAATAAGCTATATTGTAAGGCCCCTGTGGTATCTATAAAACCAGCAGCCAATTGATTGTAATGTAAAATCCAAAATCTAGCCACAATATTGCCATCCTCATCAAATTTGAAAGTTGGTTCCTCATATTCACTTTTTGATCCTCTAAAGAAGGTATCCCAAGATCCTGGAATCATACTCTTGGGTTCGTACACAACCAATCCAGCAACTGTGTTTGGATAACTTGGAAATAGAACTCTATATGTATAATATTTGAAAAGGATCAAGTTAAATTGGGGAGAAAACATATTCCATCCCATCAATTCCAAACAAGTTTTCATTTGTGAAATTCTGTCTTGACAATTACACGTAAATATATTTCCCAAACTAACTCTTGTCAGTATTTTGAAATTATTTGCTGCTTTTCGAACATGAACATTGATGTATTGTTTATCGTTATTGTCATGATACCCTGGAGGGTATTCACTGCTAATTTCCATCTTTAGTGAGTTGACCAACTGTTTGAGATAATTCAGTAACTGTTCTTTGTATGAATATTCTAAATCAACCACATGATGAGTAGCACCTTCATCGGAATCGTGATGATCATCAGAAAGTTTATATTTCAACAGTAAATTCCATAAATTTCCAAACAATACTGTGTCATATTGTTTAAAAACAATCTGTATTGCCTTTCCACAACTTTCCATCATTAAAATATCATCCAAACACAGAAATGAGAGAATGTTAAACCAACAATCTGATGAAATCATTTTTTTTGTCGTTTCCACAAACCATTTCAATTTATCCGAACTTTAAAGAACAGATTTCAAAGTGCACCATTACAAAAATATTATTGTAAAGTTTATTAATTACAACGTGATTGTATTGAAACGTGATGTATGATTACAGTGCATTCCTGATTTTGCAATTAAAAAAAAATGTCATTACACAAAGAGAACATTTTCTTAAATTTGAACCAATGTGCCATCAAATATTACAAACTCAAGAAATCAAATGATGAATTGAGAGGTGCCAATGTTGAATTTCCTACCATTGTCATGACAACAATTTTCGTAAAGGGCATACAAGAGGAATTAACCATTGATGATTTAAAGAAAATACTATTGGCCGATATGGAATGTAAATGGAGACAAGTACACGAAGGAGACTATTGTAAATTATTTATTTGTATTAAAAGTATGGATAATTCACAAATGAAGGATAGTTTTAGAACCGTGACCTGTCAGACATTGGAAAGAATTGGAATTAATATTCATGATGATAATATTTATTTTATTGATGATAGAAATAGTTTATATTTGGAGTCGTTGGCTAATTATACATTTAAACGAATGATATCGAATCATCTTATACAGAATATTCCAACATTTGATATCAAAGTTGGTCAATTTGTAAAGAAGGAATTCCTAATTAAATTGACACTATACAAAGATTAAAGAAATATGATAATGATAGTAAATGTATATATATTGTGGCTAAAATTGGAGATTTTTATAAGGAATCAATATTTTCATGTAAATATGTTAGTATTAATGATGGTAATTATGGAATTTATGAAACGAATGAGGATGCTGAGTTGATTATTTGTGGTACAGACATGATACAAAATTTATCTTATCAAAATAGGACAAAAACAAGAGGTGAATTTACTTGTCTTGAGCAATTCAATAGTTCTGAATTGAAAGAAGCTAAAATTTCATGTTCAATTATACCTAATGAATTGACAATTAAGGGTGCCAATATTTATAATACTATTCCTGTTTGTTTACCAGAAGACTATGAGTTCTATGTATATGACAAGAATAGTGAAAAGCCCTCAATTGATTCCTATTATTCATATATTAACAGTGAATTAATTGATTCTGACTTTGAAAATAATCTTTTTCGTAATGATAACAGTCAATCCAATGTGACTATCCAGTTAGACGAAAGTATTAATTGTAAATTATTGAAAACTAAGCTTTCAGAAAGAAGATTAGACTGTTACAATATTTCTGATAAGATTGCTTCCTTATTCACCAAGAGAGGCCTCGGATTTTACTATGCATACGATGATTCAAACAAAATAGCTTTAGAAAATAGATGGTGTCTCGTTACTAACAAGCGATGGATAAAACAAATCAGTGAGAGAATGAAAAACCAAACCATTATTGATTTGATCAACTCAGATTTAAGAGATATTATTCTTTCTCGTTCACAAGAATTTAACCCAGACGAATATGCCAAAAATTATATAATATCCAGTACTTTTTTACTGTGTTTGCAATTCTTTAATGAGAGGGATATTGAAATTGATGAATTGACTGAGAAAGTTTGGGATTATATTTTGCAAAATAATATTCACAATTGTGAATCGTCAATAAGTAGTAGATTCGAAGCTCTTCGCCTCAGAATCCAAACTCAAAAGAGTGTCATTTCAGTGGTGAGTCCTCCTGTAATTGGGGCTAGATCAGTTTTCTTCTCCTCCTTCTTGAAAAAGATACCTGAATTTATAATTCACGATAGATTTTATGAATTCGACCTTGATTTCAAATTACGGCGTTTTCCTAACTATAATAACCTATTTTACCTCACTCAACATTTCCCAATTTTAGAGGAAACAATTTCTGATGGTATTGTTATGGCCATTAATTCTTCATCAGTTAGTAATATATCTACAAGATACAAAATATACGAGTCAAATCTGATTTCGTTTTTCAAACAATCACATAATCTCAATAGAGAATCGCAAAGGGATTTACCAATCAGAGAGTGTATTCTTGATGAATATCTAATTAGTCAAGCCATCAAAACCCTCCACACTTGCAAAAAACATAACCAATCTGAAAAAGCCGAATACATTACCAAAGCATTGCCTTTTATTCAAGGAGTATCAACTCAAATTGAAAAATTGAAAAAGACTTTACAACATGATTTTTCAAATAGTTGGAAAAAGTTTATTGAAATAATGGTCATATCATTGTTCCCAGTAGCCCCAAAACTTTCCATCTATTTGTGGACTGAAGTGTTACAGAAACAAGATGAAATACGAATCAATCCTAATATGATTCTATATGACGATCTAGAATGTGAAGTTATTTCTACAAAATTTTCATTCCTATCAAGAATATTTAGAGATATTGAAAAAGTACTCAAGACTAATCGATTACCAAGTGAGGATAAGAGAATTTTAAAAATAATCATAAGCGGAAAATCTAATGATTTCAATGAGGAATTGTTCCTAAATGAACATTTAGATGTTATTCTACAAAAGTATAGAGAAAAGATAGCAAATGTTGTTGTGGAAATTTCAGAGGAATTATTTGCTAAAACAGCTCGCATAGTTTTGAAATAATATTTACTAAAATCTTGTATTTTATGTTTATATATTTCTGATAAAGTGGATATTAAGGAAGAGGATGTAAGGGGACTTGGCGCAGTCGGTAGCGCGTAGGTCTCATAATCCTAAGGTCGTGAGTTCGATCCTCACAGTCCCCATCTTTTGCCTTATTCAAGATTGGACATTTAAATCTCCACATATCTGTTGGGAGTGGAAATGTAATTTCTTGTTTTAGGTCTATATTTTAAACATGATGCATCTGGTACTTCTTCCAACTCCTCTCCTCTGTGTTCCATCATGTAGATGTCAAATGTTTGAGTCATTGATTGAATAATGGATTCACTCTCTTTTCTTAATCATCTATCTCTCTTTTCGAAAATTGAAATTGTTTTTACCGTACCATCAATTGCATCAAATAACAAATAATAAGCATATTTATTTTGATCATTGCAATTTTTTTGTCTGTGGTCTTTAGATTAAGGGTGCATGTTGTACTGTTAATTATTATTTGGCGCAATTTGATATGATCGAATGCCAATTGCATCTGTTTGTGGCCACTCCTTAATTCTTGAGTACGGTTGGAGCATTACTCAAGGGCTGTTACTCCGCGAATGTTATATGAATCAAATCGTTCAAGGTTATTAGAACCATTCAATATCTCCTTTTGTTTCTAGTTTCTGGTATAGACTATCTTTCACAATAATCGGGGTCTATCACTTCCTCCAGGAGTTGTTGATTTGAATATTTGATATGGTAGAGTCTGCATTGATTATATTCTCGTTGTTGTAGAGCTTTCTTTGAAATGACATAGTTTAGCATGCTTTTACCATCAAGATGAACCAAGAGTAGAATGTCATTCTCTTTTGAACATCCTTTTTCTAATAGGGGTTTTGTAATTGGGCACCCAATGAAAGCATTATCACTACTTATATTGTCAGAAAGAATGGTAAATAGATTTTTCTCATCAGGTAAATATTCAACAATATGGTTGATTCTATTTGGGAAATCAAAAGAAAAACAACAAGTTTCAATCATCTTTGGAGTTATTTCAAATTTCGACGTCGGCATTTCTTCATAGTACTCAACCAAACATTCAGTGTAATCATAATTTGAGTAAAAAGCAATTCCACCTGTTGATGGGAACAAATAGGAGGTCAATAACCCTGAAAGTGTTCTACAGTCAATGAAACATGATAGTGTATAGCCCTCCTTTTCGTCTAATTTGAAAATTCTGTGAAAAATTCGGTAGGAAAATGTTGAAAAGGTGTTGTAAATCAAGCAGAAGTGAAAAGTCTCTTTCATGATAGGTTTGGCAAGATCTGCAACTTCTTTAAACTCAAGCGAGTACGGCTTATTTAGAATAAAATTAGCTATTTTCAAATAGTGATAGAATCTAATCTTGAAAATATCAAACCAATTAGTTTCCTTTCGAACTATCTTGTGTCCGTATGCAGAGAAGAAATATGAATCGTTAGCTAGAATTTCATTAGCTATCATCGAATATTGATGAAACAGTGGGTTATTTTTGAGTGTGTAATAAGTCAGATATTTCCAAATTGAAGGATTTTTGACTATCAAGTAGTTCCAATATTTACAAACGAGCCTCATTCTTAGAATTGTCTCTAAAGTGTCAAAATGCTTCACCAACTCTTCATGAAGTTCAAAAGGAATGCTTCTCATTAAAAACCATTCGGGATCCAATTTTCTTTTCTTTGTACTTGACTCCAATTGCTCTTCTTCCTGTTGGGATGGTTCATTACTTTCCACAGATTGCAAATTAATTGATGGCATTAAGCCATCAATAGAAAATTCAGACAAATCAGATAAATCCAAGCAAAGTGGAGAAAAATAGCCAATGCAGCGAAAGTGAAACGTTCCCACAAGTTCAGGATCGGTATGAATCGCAGCCGTCATACATTCCAACGTACATATACTATTGTTAACTGCATTCAATGTAAGTTCTATAATTTCAGCATTTAAATATTCAAAAATTCGATAAATATGTCTTGATAAAGTAAGCATGTTCATTGAATTGTCGGTAATTTGAAAAAACGTTTCCAAGTAATCATGTAATTTGCCAATTTTCTCACTTAGATATATCCTTTCTCTCAATACTGCATTCTTGGCATAAACTGACAACTCTCCTAATAAAAACCTGTCAACAGTCTCAAATAATGCATCCATCAAATTAGAATTCTTAGTTTTCAAATCTCTAGCCAATAGTGATTCATTCTCCTTAGCACCTTCCACCATTCTCACATATCTATTCTCCATTTCCATCATTCTCTTTACTCCATAATCATACATTATTTCACCATATTTTTCTTCATCCTTCAATACTAGGAATGGTTTTAAATTTAACAAGACAAGTATCATAGCCTGATGAGTATACAATGAAAGACGATCCATTATGATCGGATCAAAATACAAAACACCACCACGATTGGACGATACTTGTTCAATGATGGTTTCAATACTTATGAAGGATCGGGTGAGATCGACAGATAGAAATTCACTAGGGAATGAACTAGTGGGAAGGAGTGATCTTTCTCGTTCTTTCATTTTTTTCCTATTTATTGTGTAAATCAATTCCGAAATTATTTAAATATATTAATATTCTAATATTTATTATTTACAATAAAACAAATTATTCAAAACAAATTATTGTCTGAATATCACAGATTCTTCGGTGAATCTATCAATGACAGCCAAACTTTCCAATTTCACACCTTGTTCTCTCAATTTCTTTCCTCCCTCTTGGAAACCCTTCTCAATTGAAATACCAACACCAACAATGGAAGCTCCTGCCTGATGAATGATATCAATTAGTCCTTGTGTGGCCTGTCCACAAGCAAGGAAATCATCAATAATCAAAACCTTATCATTTGATTGTAAATATTTGGCAGAGACACAAACATCGTATTCAACATTCTTTGTAAAGGAATGCACTTTGGTGGCATAGATTTGTTCTGTGAGGGTTGATGGTTTGACTTTTCTTGCATAAACGAGAGGAACGTTGAGGTAGAGAGCTGCCATTAATGCAATTGGAATTCCAGAAGTTTCCAATGTCAAAACTTTAGTGACACCATCAAGAATGAAACGAGAGGCAATGTCCATTCCCATTAATCTTGACAATTCTGGATCAATTTGATGATTGAGGAATGAATCGACCTTCAAAATATTTGTTCCTTTAATTACACGACCATGTTGAAGAATCATTTGTTTGAGAGTTGATTCACCACATCCTTTTGACTTGATGAGTGAGTCTACTAAATTCATTGAATTATCAGTAGTAGTAGTTGATGCAGTATGGAAGTGATTAGCACAATGATTAGTATTAGAGAAGGAGAGCATCATTTTGTCAGTTTGTCAAAGCGTAGTTAAGAGAGGAAATTAATAAGTGTGTGTGGTTTTGGTGGGGAGTTCGTAGTTGGGCTATTTTTTAATGAGCCCCTTTGAAATCATTCTACAACCATGCCTCTATTTATCTTGTTTTCGTTCCTTCAATTTATTGGTGCACAACTTCAGGCCAAGTCAAATGATTGGTTGGTACCTCATATTGGTCGCTCGCGTATTTTTGTAAACTTCACAAGAGAGTACCCACCAAGGACCAAGGGATAATATCTCTCCTGTCAGATTGGGATTTTTCCATAACAATAAACCAAAGTGAGTAAGCTTCTGTATACAACAAGAATTACAATTTAGTAAAATTACTTTTATTGCTCTGAAACTGTGGTATTTCTTCGAGATCTTCTTTTCATTTGAATGTATTTCTCAATTTTCATTTGTTTTTGGAAAGCTAATGTTTTCTTGAATCTTCTGTGTGTATCAACGAGTAGCTCTGCAATTTCTCTTTCAAGTGTATCAAACAAAGTATCTGGTAAAAAGTCAACCTCACCAGTTAAAAATCCATCAACCATTTCCTTAATTTCCTGAACATTGGCCTTGTTAGTATTAATAGTATGGTAACCATGCATATCTAAAAATTTTTTGTAAATTTCAAAGGCCTTTTCATATTTTTTCTGCTCCACAGTGTCAATATCCTTATCACTCAACCATCCAAATTTTTTGAGTACCTTAGCTCCTTGTAAAAATGTACCAGCCTTTTCTGTCACTTGTTTGAATTGCTTTTGTTTCTTGGATTTTGTAATAGAACTTGTTGTTGTGGAGGCAATACTACTAGAGGCTGATCCTATTTCTAAATCAGCTCCATACATTGCATCTTGAGCTTCAATAGCTTTAATACATAAATCCTTATATATGGAAACTTCTTGTAAGAATAAGAAATTTTCCAAAGCCATTTCCTTTTCACAGTGAGCTCTGAATAAATCTCTCAATCGATCATCTGCCATAGTATCCAATAATACGATAGCATTTGCCTTCTTCCACCTTTTTCTATGGAGAGCATCCTTGTTAAGAGACAATGTAAATGAAAGTATTAGGGCTGGAATTACAATTATCAAAGAGAGCACTCCTAATATTAGGTTCATACTCGTTGACACATAACTAATTTTATCATGTGTTGAAAACAAAGATAGAGAATATTCTCTAAGAATGCTGATAGAATCTGATACGTTTCTACTTCCTCCACAGTCCTCAAAGTCTTGTATTTGGTCAATCTTTTTAAAATTATTAAATAGTGTTGAGGGAAATAAAAACTTACAGCCGAGTCTGTTTGGTCATAATACATTTTGTTAACAATTTCTGTAAACGTCCACAAAATCTGTTTTGTAGGTGTTTCTATCAAGGATTTATAATCAGCTAAAGAGTACTGAGTAAACAAGTATGGTTTGTTTTCGTACTCATACTGCAAAGAATCAGATAAATTCCATAGAAAATTCCACGCCTGAGTCCTTAATGACATGTATGACTGATACCTTTTTGTTGAAAATCCTAAATATACTATTTGATGAGTTAAAATATGCATATCACTAAGAACTGCTTTCAAGTCTGATGCTTGAGCATTAAGTCTTGCTTCTGTTTCCGATGTCCTATATATAAAGCTTAAAGTAACACAAATTAATAATGAAACGAGAAGAATGATAGTTGCACTCAATCCAATTATGGAAAATAATTTCCAACAAGAGAGCTCAATCGTACCCCAAGGTGTATGTAGCTGTTTGGGTTTTTTGATATTGGTATCGTTTTCTTTTTCCATATCAAAGAGAATAGACCTGCTCACTGCCTTCAATTTTGATGTGTATTGTGGATTTTGTAGTGGTTGATTTGGAAAAGGATTTACAGTAAGATAATTGTTTGGTTTCAAGGTTGGAATAGGTTGAGGATTTGTTAAAGAGGAATGATTTGCAATGGTATCCCTCTCTGCCCTATTCATTTCAACAAAAGTTTCATCAAGATTATTCAGTATTGTTGGAGTAGAGTCGTGTGTCTCTAGTTTGGGTATTTCTCTTGGTGAGCTTTTAGGTGACTGATTGAGTCTTGAGGGATTAAGATTTGGAAGAGATTTCATCTTTTCAACTCTAGGAGACTCCTTAGGTTTTTTAGAAAGGCTTTGTGTTGTTACATCAGGTTGTTGTATTGGAATGGCAATGTCTACCGATTGCACAGTATTAGTTACTTGATTGATATTTGATTGGTTATTGTCATTAGAAAGTGAAGAGAGAGGTAATTGTGGAATTGCAGCATGATTGTTTACAATGGTTGAAGTTTGTTGTTTTGGAGGAATTACAAGTGTTGGCAAATTAATTGACAATTTGAAAGATGGAATATTACTTGGGGTGTGTTTTTGATGTTGTTGAGAAATTTCCTTAGACCGTTCTGATGTCTCCATTCCTGTTTGTATCAATGTTGTGGATGCTGATGGTATTTCAAGTTGTAAATCCTTATTTGTTACAATCTCATTAGTTTCAATTACTTTAACTCTTCCCACATTATTACTTGGAGTTGGATCGAGTTGAATGATAATTGGAGTGGCTGGCATCTTTCTTGATGAAAGAGAAGCAATTAAAGACCTAGTTGAAGTAGCAGCTGCCATTACCAATGACCCAATAATTGATGGTCTTCTGTTCGATGTTTCTGGTTTAATAGTATCTGTTTGATTCGAAGCTGTTGTATCGGTATCAATATTAATTTGAATAAGACTAACATTATCACTTTCTTTTGGTGCTTCAATGACAATTTCTGGTATTTCAAATTCAATGTTTGTTTTCTTAGTCTTGGCTTTAGGTCCTTCCTTCTTTTTAATAGGAGAAGCAACTCCCAACAGTAAAGAATTATTAGTAGTAGAAGATATTGCCGAGGGTGATAGTGGTTTTTTGAAACCACTTGTTCTGCTTGTATTCGATGAAGATGAATTCCTTGGAGAGGAAAATAAGTTACCACTGGGCGAAGCAGGAGGACTTCCCATTGTAGAGGGTTTCCTTTTGCTAGAAGTGTTGATGTTGTTTGGTTCCGGCATTGGAATAATAATATATTCAAGAATAAGAATTAATAAGAATTATTTTCTTGTTATTATTATTATAATTAATAGTATAATTGGTTGATGATGGATGGAAAAAGAGTCAATAAGAACAATAGACGTTTTTGTTTCTAATATTCATCAAACCGTTATCCTTAAAACCTTCAGTACATTATGACTTCATAGAACATCATTGCTTGTCAGAGATAAATGGCTTCGGCCTTCAATCATTATGTTTTAGACGGAACCCACTAGAAAAAGTTAATTGATTAGGATGGCATGGTGTAATTAAATTTTTTAATATTAAAAATAAAAATATTATTTTATTTTTGATTTGTTGTGTAACCGTTACATTATTTGGATCAGCCAACAAATTATCTTTAAATTAAGGATGTTAAAATTCTTGAGATAACCAATAACTTCCCAAAATCAAAAAATAAGTCCTCAACAAAATTTGATTTACCTCAATAACCTTAAAAAATGGCTCGAAAACACAAGAAGAAACAACAATCCAATAAGAGAAAAAACAACGTAAGCCTCCAAATGAAACTGTTCTGAAAGTAGCACCAAGACCCTATCGACACTTTCAACCAAGTAATATTTCCAATAATTAAAAACAAACCAATTTCATTATTTTCAGATTACTTAGCAGAGAGAAAGGCATCCGAATCCAAAGTGATTGTCATACTGGATCAAACAAAATCCGATGTAAGAATACAGAAAATCTTTACACATCTTTCAAGAGAGAAGGTAGCCAATACAAATTACAAACACTTTCTTTTGAATTTACTAATGCAGGATTCTTATGGTTGGAATATCGAATGGGAACTAGTTCCAAGAGAGTATCTAGCAGACAAATACTTTATCAAAAAGGTTGTTTCGTTTGGTGCATCGAGTATTAAACAAATATTCTGCAAAATACTTAACCATATTCCAAGTAAATTTTGGGAAGATCAGAAATTCATCATTCAATTGTTGACAATTAGTGAAGGACATTGCTTTTGTTACTTTCCAAAACATGTGCAGAATACTCATAAATTTGCTGAAATGGCAATTCGTTTTCGAACAGCAAATATGGAAGAAACACCTTGTAAAAATAATGAAGAATTTGTTAGAGAGATGGTAAAACAAAATATCAAAACACTCCCTTACATTGGTAAGAAGTTATTGTTTGATCAGCAGTTTATGGTTTCTCTCATGTTGGAATTGAATATTAAGAATCCAGATTTTTTTTAATAGGAATTCGTAATGTTCTGAGCTATTAAGTGCACAATCTTAATAAACACTGTGCTTCCACTATGTGAAACTGTCGTTTGGGTGAAACACTTGACAAGCACAAGTTCACTGACGGCGATTTTTTTGTACCAAATTGTTCTTCTATCATACTTCTATCCAATCTTTAAATTTTTCTTTATTATAAACTATACGAAACTTTACAACATGAAAAACCACCAACACCAATATTGCAATTAAATTCATGAACCTCACCTATTGTCTCTCTTCAGCTCAGTTTTTTTCAACACCCATTTTTGTCTCTTCAGCCGTCACTGAATTTTCTCTATCATCAAAAAATGTCAACAATCAAACTAAAGGCCAGAAGCTCTGTCATTAGAGGTGGAGGACGGAAAGCCTCTGTGATTAGTAAGAATGATGATCTCGATCCATCAGAAATTAAATCTACAGCCCTCTCCAAAGCCAATGACGATGATGGTTATGATGATGATGGATATGAAGACCAAGCTTCTTCCAATACAACAACGACAACTACAACATCAGCAGCAGTAGTAGAACAGCCTTCATCTTCTTCATCTACAACAACAACAACAACAGCTGAAGAGTATGGTGATGATGATGGTTATGAAGACCAAGAATCAAAACCAACTTTATCTGAATCAACAACAACAACAACAACAAGCTCATCATCATCTATTGGTGCTGCTACTTCTACAACTGAAGAAGGTGGTGCTGAAAAGGAAGGGAAAAAGAAAAAGAAAGACAAAGGAGAGAAGGAGGAAAGTGGTGTTTCTGGTGGTGACTCTGAAGAGGAAATCAACAAATTGAAGAGACACTACAAAAAGAAGAGGAAAGAATGTGAGGAATTAAAAGCCAGAGTTGATGAATTAGAAAAGACTATTGAACAATTGAATAGTACACCTTCTTCTTCTGTTGTTGTTGCACAAGAACCAAGTGTTGTGGAGAAGATTGTCGAGAAGGAGGTTGAAAAGATTGTTGAGAGGATTGTGGAGGTTGAGAAGATTGTCGAGAAGGAGGTAATTGTTGAAAAGATGGTAGAGAATACTGAAAAGGTTGATGCATTGACAAAACAAGTTGAAGAGATCAAACAGGCAGAAGAGAAGGAAAAGTTACTGAGAGAGGAAAAGGAACGTTTGTTGAGCGATTTGAATCAACAACTCGAAACTGCAAAATCAAGTTTATCACAATTAGAAGAACAGATCAAGAGTGTTCAATCTGAAAAATCACAAATCGAACAAGTGAAAGCAGAAATTGAGAAGAATCTCACTGAGGAGAAGAATAGATTGAGTGAGGAAAAGGACTCACAAGTGAAATCTCTGAACGAGAAATTAGATTCTGCAAAACAAGCTCTCGAGGAAAAGAATGCAGAATTACAAAAGGAAAAAGAGTCTCAATCACTTCAGGCAGGTGCTTTAGAACAAGGTTTGAGAAGTGAAATTGAAAAACTCAAATCAGATATCGAAAATTCTAACAAGACTGCTCAAGAAACTGAAACTAAATTGAAAAGTGAGATTGATCAACTCAAGAATCAAGTCGAGACAGAGAGGAAAAATACATCAGACGTCACTTCAAATAAGGAACAAGCTGAAAGGGATCTGAGTGAAAAGATTAGCCACCTCGAAAAACAATTGAGTAACACAAATGAAACTCTTGAAACATCCCTCAAAAAAGAGAGAGAATTCCTGCAAGAAGTTTCAGCAAACTTGGAGAAGGAGAAAGCATCGTCACAATCCAAGATTAAAGAATTGGAAGAATCTGTCTCCAAGTTGCAATCAACACTCGATGAATCTAACAATACTGTTGTACAAAAGAAATCAGAAATTTTAACACTCGAAAGTGAGAAACAATTGGCTGTGCAACAAAACGAAAATCTCAAGAAGCAAATTGAAGAAAAGGAAAGAGAAATTTCCGAAATTATCAATAACAAAACTGGTGAATCTAATGATGAGCTGAAGAAACAATACGAAAAAATCAATGAACTTCAAAGGAAGGTTCATGATTTGGAAGAGTCATTGATGAAGGTACAAAAGGAAAGAGATCTAGTGAATCAACAGAAGAATTCAGTAGAAGAACAATTAACCTCATCCAAGGATGAATTGCAAACTTTGAAGAAACAAATTGCTGAAGAGGGTAAAAATCTAGAACAAGCAAAATCGCAATCATCTCAACAAGAGGGTAAACTCAAGGAATTAACCAAAAATTTGGAAGAATCTCAATCCGAAATTAAAAAACTCAAGGAAGAAATCAAAAAACTCGAAGAAAACTCAAAATCTTCCTCACAACAAGGTGAAGGTAAACTCAAAGACCTTTCAAAGAACTTGGATGATGCACAAAAGGAAATTAAGAAATTGAAGGACGAACTTACCAAATCCGAAGAAACATCTAAATCCCAACTTCAAAAGGAAGAAACCAAATCCAAAGAACTCAATTCTAACCTTCAAACTGCTCAAAAGGAAATTGAAACTTTGAAGCAAAATATCAAAAAACTCGAAGAGCAATCTAAATCATCGGGCTCCCAACAAGAATCTAAACTAAAGGATGTTACAAAACAACTCGAAGAATCACAAACAGCCATTGAAAAGTTGAAGCAAGACATCAAGAAACTTGAAGAAAATAACAAGTCTGTCAACACATCATCCAGTCAAAAGGTTACAGATCTCGAAAAGGAAGTATCATCACTGAAGGATGAACGTGACAATCTGAAGAAGAAGGTTTCTGAACTTGAACAAAAGGACAAGGAAATCGCCTCTTTGAATGAAAAAGTTAAGAGCGTCGAGAAGAAATACAACAATGAAGTTGAACAAAAGAGAAATCTCAATAATCAAATCAAAACTCTCAAGACTGAGAATGAAACATCATCTGAGCAAGTTTCCAAACTCAACAGAGAACTCATGGACAAGGATCAAACCATTTCACAACTCCAACAACAAGTTGCCTCTGCAAATTCTCTCCAAAATGAAATCAAACAACTCAGAGATGAAAAGAAGCAACTCAGATCCGAACTCAAGACCAAAACTGAGGAAGCCAAGAGTTTATCAAAGAGATTACACCAAACAATCACCAATATGCAAAATGGTGGTACTGTTGTTGATATACCAAAGGAACCAAAAGCCAAGACATCTGTCCTGTTAAATTCCAACCTTAACGATAAGCAAAGAATGTTCCTCGATCCAATTGGAAGTGTGAAGAGATCAGTATTGGCAATTATTGAATATTTTGATGAAAATGTTGAATCAGTTCAAGGAGATTTGGAGAAGATTGGAGATTCTTCCAATTCAAAGGATCTTAGAAGAATCTTGAATGAAAGATTGTGTGAATCTATCGTTCTAGTCTTCTCACACTCCTTCTCCCCACCATTTTGGTTCTTCTCTACCCCTACTGTGTGGCATTTTGTTGAGGAAATTAATGAACAACTCTCCAAAACACCTGGACTCTCCACTTCAATCATCATGGCTACAAAGCAACTTTCCACCATTGTTGTCAGAGTAAATTCAACAGTGAAAAATCTAATTGATAATGAAGTTAAGGAAAAGGGAGCTCCTCCAAAGGGCAAACACCATTTTGATCTTCCTTTTGATGAATTTGAATTTAGATTCCGTGCCTTGATTTTAGAATGCCTCAATTCAAAATGTTTAGATGTAATAATAAGTCTCCTCTTCACTCAGCCAAAGATTCTCGAAAGATACTACAAAGAAGAGGCCTTTATAAGAAAAGCAGATTGTCAACAAAAAATTGTAACATGTATCAAATGGCTCAGCAAACTTCCATTCACAATTCCTCTCAACACACCAGCAATTACTGACATTGAGGATGAAGATGATGACGACTTGGATATGCCACTCACTAATGGAAATTCTGACCACACCAATTCTGACGAACCAGCAACTGTTTCAAATGTTGAAGAATATTAAATAATAACAACTAATACAAACTGAAAATAAAATTCGTATCTCACTAATTTATTTGTGTACAGGCAATTTGTTAATTGGGCAAAATTGTTGTTCTCTTAAAATCGATTAGAGAACAAAGTTCAAAATTGTAAAGAAAACAAAGGCAACCATAGCATAATTGACGGTAGCAATTGAGCCATTATTTGTCTTCTTGGTTGTGGAGGCGACATAGTCGAAAACACGGTAAGTAAGGGATTGAATACTGTCTTTGACAGCCAAAGCACTTCTGATATTATTTCTACTTGAGTAGGAACTTTCAATAGTGAGGAAACATCTTCTGTCAGTATCATCTCTGATAGCCAATGGGAATCCAAAGTCGAATCCATAAGTGGTGTTAGCAGAGAAAAGCAAATCAGCATCGACACCTCCAGCTCTAACAGCTTGTCCAGAAACGAAAATATTATCAGAGGTAGCATCTGTTCTGGAAGCATTTCTACAATCAGGATTTGATGGAATGGTTGCAAAGTTGGAGTAACAACACAAAATAACATTGTAAGGAATAATGCTTTGAGTAGCAAGTGAAGGAGCCAATGGAGATTCAACACGAATGTAAATGGTATCAGTTGGACCGAATTGAGTACGAACTTGAGTAAAGGCACTATTTGCATAAGATAAGGCACTCGTACTAAATACCAATTCTTCCTCAATTGCAGGATATGGCACCAAATATTGGAGAGTGTAGGCAATACTGTATGTATTTCCACCATTTGTTCTAAATGATAGAGAATAGTCGCCACCAAAGTTAGTTTCTGCAGTAATAACATTAGATTGCATGACAATTTGGTAGTACATGAAACCACCAGAGAGACCAGTGAAAACAGCATCAGTAACAGTGAAAGCATAAGGTCCAGTAACAAACCAAGAGGTTGCATTTTGAGTGATGGTTGTCCATACTTCCAATCTAATTTCCAAACGATTCAAATCGTTAACAAAGATTCTCTTTGGTTTGAGGAAGGTATTTGGAGAGGATTGATCAAAGTTAATACGAGTAACTGCAAGAGTAATAGTCAAAATATAACGTTGTGTGAAAATTGTTTCGTAACAATTCTTTTGACTAGAACCTCCAGAAACAATATTGGTTTGAATCATGTAATCAGCAAACATAACAGCAACCAAGTCAACCACACCACCATTTGAAACCCATTGTACGTTTGGATTAGAAGTAAATTGATTCAAAGTCAAAACTTGTTGATAGACATTGTACCAAGCAGTTGATGTAACGAGTACAAATCCATCTCTAATTAAATCATTGGACAAACAAGTATATTGCTTTGACAAACCAATATTGAAGAATACACCTGTGGTTGAGTTATCACTGAATACACCTCCTGTCTTGAACATGGTAATTCTCAAAGTAACATTCAAAGTAGAAGGATTGACAGATGCTTCAAAAACTGGACGAGGAGCACCAATGACATTTCTACTAAATGCAGTAAAGGTAATAGTTGCAGTTGATGCAGCACTAGTTACACCAAGAACAGGATCAAAAGCATTGAGAGTATAAGATGGAACAGCTAAATTACCAGGATGGATAAATCTCACATTACCCAAATTAATTTGATCTTGAGAAAATTGAGTTACTGGAGTGTATTGGTTTGTTCCAACTCTAACTTGAAATTGGCCGTTAGTAATAGAAAGCACATTGTAAACAATTCTGGCTGGTGAAGGTGATCCATTGAGTGTTGATGCTAATTCATTGCTTGTAATGGTAACATTATCACCATTGAACAAAGTTAGTCTATTGACAGTGATCACTAAACTTTGAGAGTATGCAAAGGAATGCAAAAGGAGAACTGATAGCAATAAAGTCACAAGTGTTATTACTCTTGTTTTCATTCTTGATTTTTTTGATGATTTCGGTTGACTGTTGGTGAAGCAAAGCTTAAATACCATTTTGCCTGGAGCATATTACTATTTTCATCAAGGTCAGGTTTGGGAGATCTATATTATGGTGAATTGACCTTGAGAACGATTCTTTCCATTATTGTAAAATGTTAATTTTTTGGTAATTTCCAAAAATGTATAAAATAGATATTTAGTTCAACTCTATTGTAATGAGGTAATAATATTCGTTCTAATTTCAATCTGATTGAATTAAATGTTTTTGTAATCGATCCGTATGGTTTTCTCCAATACGTCTTAATAGGATTCATAAATTTCACGTATTATTAAATAATAAATAACTTCCTACAACCATCAATACATACAATCATCTATCGACTTGGATATGAACAATAAATAGCTGGTATCTTCAAAGTATTGTTTTAGGTGAGCGATTATTATTCTATATGTCCAGCTATCAAGTACTTGGAAATGGTGATGATATAATTAATTAGTAACTAATAATCATCATCCGAAATACACCATCTCTAATACGGAGAGATTTCAATTCATTTTTTTTATTTTTTTTAGTTAATGAAAATTATTAATCTTTTTATTGAAGCTCTTTAAACTGGATAAAAAAGGCGGGAAAGTCATATCTTCTCTCCCTTAAAGTAAATTGACCAAAATAAGAAATATCAAAAGGAGAGAATTAATTTACCATCACTCTAATCCAATAATTTTCCAAAGAAAATGAATCTATCACATTACTTTACCAACTCAACCAAGGATCGACAAATTCCTTCAGTCAACCCCAAACAAACAAAGAAGAAATCAAAGAAAGCTAAGAAATCTAATGCTGTCCCTGTGAAAGTTGAACATCAACAAGCACCAGTATTAATTCCACAACCCCATCATATAACTGAGTCAGTGATGATTTCTTCCACTCATCCAATTAATATGACTGGTGGTTATGGAATTCAAGATGTTATGATTCACAAACATATGAATAATTTGTATACTTATAATAATAATTCTGAGTTTTAAATTATTTTGTATATTTCAAAATAAAGTATAAAATTATTTCAGAAGTGTGTAAAGTGCAAAGTTGTAGAGAAAAAAAGTTGTAAAGGTGATGATTATATACTTGTCTGGTTTTGAATATGAACATCTTCCAGGTCGATCATCTTGCCATTTCCTCTGGATTCTAAATAGTGGATGTGAGTTTCTGCTAATGTTTCGGTTAAATCATTTGCTAATTGTTGGAAAAGAGTTGGAGGGAGAAGATCAATTTCTTCAAATACATCTTCTCTATTATTGTAATTATCAATGATTCCTGAATCCACACTTGAAATTTCATAAGTATCCATTATTTCAATTACAGTTTCGTATTTCAATCTTTCTAAATAACTAATTGCTTTTTCAATTTCATTATATGCTTTGGTAATTGATGTTTCATTTGGTCCAACCTCTTGCTTATCAAACAATTGATGTGCTATTTCGAATAGTTTCATCTGCATGTTCAAAGATTCATTGGAATAATCCTTGTAAAACTGAATTTTTTCCAAAAGTAGGAATTCATTCAATAAATTACTATTTTGACATGAAAATTTGAATTTCATTCTAGAAAAATCATCACTCATAGTGTCCTTCATCAGAGAATTATTGGCATTGTGAAAATGAATCTTATTTCGTTTCTCATTTCGAATAGCAAAAACAAAGAGCAGAATTATTGTTGGAATTAACACGACAACACTCAAACAAATCAATGAAATGGATACAATCAACGAATCCTTTCTCAAATAATCTGCTCTAGTTGAGATTAAACTTGCCGAATCCAAAAAATCAAACAACAACGCTTGAAATTCATTGAAATCTGTTGCATATCCAGGAGAATACAATTCATCTCTTGCTTCCTGTTGGAGAGTTTCGTTAAGATAAACATAAAGTGTTCCATTCACCGTAATAAATGAACAGGTTTTTTCAATCATGTGATCCCAATGTTTTTCAAATATTGGAAAGGTTTCTAATTTCCTTTCCAAAAATGGATGAGTGTATCCAACAGGAAACAGTTTGGCCATTTCAGCTATTGAACTATTCAAATAATTTCTATAGGGCAGATAATAGTAATAACCAGTTTGAATCGAATAGCCACCTCGATTTTCAATAGCCAACCGAATTAAATCTCTCAACACAACATAAACAGCATACAAATCAGTTCTCTTCCCCATCAAGTCAACCGAAGGAATTTCCTGAGCAAACTGATTAGGAATTGTAATTAAACATATAATTGCAATTAAGATTGCAAAACTGAACAAAATAACCAAAATATTGCAAAAAGTAATAAAATTTTGACCTTTCTGTTCTCTGATTCGTTTCTTCTTCTTGTCGTCGTGAGAATTTGGTGCAGTTTCAATGTGTTTGATTGTGATGGATGGTTTGAAATCATTGTCATCATCATCTGCCTGCGCACTCAAGATATCATCGAGACCGAAAGTATCAGTGTTGTTGGGAGAGGTCAAGTCACTTTCCATTTTTTTTCAAAGATTGCGCAGGTCAGAGAGACCGAAACTTGGCGATTCTCATATCTGTTCAGATTCCAACAATGGAAGGCAATAAATTGAAGAAATTTACAATAGGTTTGTTGACAAGTTTCTGCATCATTGTATCCAGCTATTGGAAACCAATTGCCTAAATTCAATAAATCTTCTGTACTAAAGGATCCATCAAATTGTCAATTGACTACAAATTTGGGAGATATCTAAACGAAAGGTATTTCATAATGCCGAATAAAAAGGGCACAAGATAACAATAACACCTACAAAAAAAATCAAACAAGTTCCTGGTTGACCACTCACTCAAAATCACATCATGGACATTGTCTCGCAATACAAGCAGAAAACTACTGCTTCCATCAAATCGAAAAAGACACAAACATTATCTCAATATTCGAAACGTTCATTTATGCATGTCGAATGTTGTGGAAAGATGGTCTTTAATTGTACAAGAATAATGTCTGTTCTTGCACTGATACTATTAATTATTGCATTTATTGTTGTAATTATTTACTCAATTATGACGTATGCAGTTGTCAAGTGGCCTTTATCGACGGCTCTTATTGAAATTGGAAATTGTTATCATTATTACAATGAAATGATAATGACAGAGTATATTACAGTGTTTTCAATGAATGGAACTTATGCGAAAGAATACGAAACTGCAAAGAACTCACTCATTACTTCTCTCAATGTTGTCTTCTCTATTATTTCAAGTGCCAAGTTGACCAATTTGACCAATGCCAACGATATTCCAATATTCAAATTACAACAAGGTGTAGTCGATGCAATAGTTGCGAAAGATTATACCACTGCCAATGAACTATTCAATCAACCAGAACATTTAGAAGGGATGGACACATTCCTGAGCTCATATGTTAATTTTTTGCAAGATATTAAGAATATTAGTGCAAATCAGGATCAGACGATTCAAAGTTCAACCTCCACACAGATTATTGTGATTGCTGTTTGTCTTGCATTGACCTTACCGATTGTGTTATTCATTATTATCACATCAATCAGATCTCAACAGCTGTCCGCAAGAAAACTCAAAAATACTAGATCAATAATGGTGCTCAAAACCATGACAGATCCAGTTTTGAGATCTCTTTTCAATGAATTCTGCGTTGGTGAGACTGAACATCATTGTTTTGAATTTTTGGAAAGTGTTCAACTATTTAAGGAAAAGAAGGGAACCTATCAATCGACCATTCGTCAAATCATGAAACAAGTTAAGGAGGGAAATTTCATAGATGATGATACCAGCTCTTCAGATACCAATACAGCAGTCACCACACGAACAGATTCCACAGAATTTGGTTCTATAGTTTCACTCAATGATCAGGAGCAAGCACTTCAAATCTATGAGCGATTCTTAGCTCCAAACAGTTCCAAACGAATCCATTTCAAAGGTTATTCGGGAATTCTATCTGTAATTCAATCAAAAGAATTAGCTGCTGATTTACAACATGTATTTGTGGATGCTCAGAAATTTGCAAGTGAACATCTCATTCCAGCTCACAATTCCTTCTTGGGGAGTTTCACCAACATTACCTCTCATAAAATTGAAATGATGAATGAATTTAGAAAGAAATGGTTACATTTCAAATCCACTGAAACTTCCAAAAAGAGAAAAGATCCAACCAAATTCCAGCAACAATCTTCTGGTCAAACTGATTCAAAATTGATTCAATAAATATAAACAGTTTCACCAATAGCATAGAATTTATCCTCAATAATAAAGTAGATTGAATAAAATTAAATATCACACATTGGAAAGATGAGGGATTAAGGGACCACATTAAGTTAAAGATAAAACACAAAAAAATGGCTTCAAAGGATATAGTGGTAAATACACCAAACACCTCTCCTTCGAATATGCTATCCTATGCCCGAGACAATATTACTAGCACTAATACAGTCATAGTTAAGAATCACTTCCAAATGGCAGATGAAAAACAAGAATTTGATACGCTTAGTGAGAATAACATCTTTGCACCACATTCAACTGATGAAAAAACACTTTCTGAGCAAAATCCCAAACTTTTTGCCGAGTTTTGCATTGCTGTTCAAAACAAGTCCTATTCGTGTGAACTGAGGTCACTTGCTGTAAAAATATTGCTAAGGGTAAAGGCCTTTGAATATTTGGTTTCAGTGTACTGTTGGGAGGGAGAGAATCTTTTGGAAATTAGATATTTGAGCCAAGGATCAGATAGTCGAAGTGGTATTTATGTCCAATTTGAAGCTGATAAATCTAGTAACTCATTCACAGTGTTAGTAAATTTGGCTCATAAATTCCAACAATACAGTTTTAGAGAGGAAAATCAAGAAGAAATATTTGAATTCTTACAACATGCCCTCATTTAGAATACTCTTTTCAGATCATATATCAAAATTGAATAAATAATGAAATTGGCGGGAATGATGAACTTTAAAAAACAAAAAAAAAATAAAGGTATTATCTATTGTTTGGAGTGACCAATTAAGGGAGGATACGGTTTCTTTTACAGTATTCCAGAAAGGATCGTTAAGTTGGTGATTCCATGCTGCTAACGCAATATTGCTTGTGATGGTGGATGTAGAGTTGAACATTCTTAAAGCGGTGCACACTGGTTCAATCGTGTAGAGATAAGAGGGCATGGTGAGTCCTAATCCACCTTCAGCTTTGGAGCCGTAAATGACTGTTTTAGAGGTCATGTTGTCTAAGCCAACTGAGGTTCTAAGGTGTGTTCTGCGACTAGGACGTCCAGGTGTTGAAGGTCTTTCAGGTTGGCACCACCAAACAAGAATATTTTGGAAGTGACACTATTTTGGACATTGTGGTTGTGATAATGGTGTTCAGTTTGAGGTTTTTAGATTTCTTATTCGCCAAGCGTTCTTCAGCTTTAGGAGTTCATCTGATGTCCAGGCCCTTTACGATAAAAAACAAAAAAAAATGGCAACAAAGGAACAAGTTCATGGGTGCATTATAAAGGGAGATGTTGAAGGTTTACGTAATTTGGGTGATTTATCAGCTGTGATTAACGAGACCATTCCGACAACATGTCCCGAAGGTGCTTATTCCTTGTTGTTTTCTGCTGCTGGATTTGATAATTTGGAAATTGTCAAAATATTGTTGGATACACAAGGTATTGTTGTTGATCAAGGAGTAGGTTTGATTGTTTTTTGTAATTTTTGTGGATTTGAATTTGTTTTTAGCAAGTAAGTTTGATGGAAAATTGAAATTATTAAAGATCTATTGTAAAGTGGGTATGTTGAGTTGGATTGAAATATTAATGATTTGTGTTATAGTTTGTAAGTTGTTGTTGATTTCTTTGAATTTTGATTGGAACGTTTCAAGTCTGTAAGTTTTTGGGTTGAAGATTTGTTTCTAATGATTTTAGTTTGTAAGTTTCAGAAATTATGAGATGGTTTATTAATTTTAATAGGGAAATGTAAGTACTGCTCAATTATTTCATAATTTTAACTAATTTAATTTAGGAAGTAAGTTTAATTTGAAAATAATCGTGAAATAGTTACTTTGTTTAGGATGTAAGTTGACAAGCTCACTAAATTCTCATTCAGATTTGTTACAAGTTTGTAAGTAATCGCAATGCAATTACCTTCTTAAACTCAAATCAAACAGTATGAGGTGAGTATTTATTGAGCATAAATATAGAACATGATAAGTCTCCTCTCTATAATTCATTGAGAAGAAAAAACTTTGCACTTGCTAAACTTTTACTTCGTGCTGGAGCTACAATTGATTCCAGTGTCAGATCCTTTATAGATATTGATATTGATAAATTGAATGAGGAAGCTTTGGCAGAATCTAACTAGTTGTCATTCATTACCTAGTTTGTCTAGATTTGAATAATGCTCAATAAAGTTTATTTAGTTTCTCTTTTCATAATCAAATATGTATGGTTCAAGAACGGTTCTTGTAACAATGTATGTTTCCTTGATCTTAGCTTGTTGTTCCTTTAAATGTTCTGGAACCTTAATTCTATATTGTTTCAACAAATAGACAAGGATTAATTTGATTTCCAATAAAGCCATTCTACGTCCCAAACAATCTCTTGGTCCAATCGAGAATGTGATCAACTCGTCTTTTTGGAAATCCATCGATAAATTACCCATAGTTCCCTTATCCATCTTATCTTCCTCTGTTTCAATCTTTTCTGGATTGAAGAAACGATCGAATTTGAAATCATCCATAGCATTATTATGAGAAAGCTTATGTTGTGCATATAATCCCACATTAACAACAGTTCCTTCCTCAAAGAATTGTCCACCAACTGTTTCACCTCCCTTCTTGGTAATGACTCTTGTGGCACCACCAACTGGAATCTTGACACGGAATGCTTCCTTCATGAATGAGGTCAAGTATGGAAGCTTTTCAGTGATATCTTCAAATTTAATAGAGTCAAGTGATGGAATATCTCTATCAATTTCCTCAATTAACTTTTCTTGAATTTCTGGATTTGTGGCCAACAATCTCAACATGAAATTCAAGGATGTTGAACTAGTTTCAAATCCAGCAAAGAAGATAATGAAAATGGCACTGACTAATTCATCATTGGACAAACGTTCCTCCTCTGACAATTTCAAAGTATTGGCACTCTTCAATAATAAACTCAATAAATCTTCATCATCTTTAACTTGATGATCGAGTTCAGCTTCCTTAGTCTTTTTGAGAACCATTGTCATGGCAGTATCTCTGAATCTATTTTTGGCATCTTTAAATCTTTTGAAAATACCAAATGGAACAATTTCGAATAGATATTCAGGGAAGACGAATTTGTACATTAATCCAGTTAGTAAATCAGAAATCCAACCATGGACTTCATCTCTGTGTTCTGGAGTCTTGTCAAAAATTTCAATATCATAATCAAAAGCAACTCTGTTAATGACAGTTAAAGTGACTGATTTCAATTCTTGAGTTGTGTTAACATTTCTAATATTTCCATTCTTGTCTGCATCATAATATTTAGTCCAAAATTGAATCATTTTTGGCAATTCTTCCATTGTAACTCTGAAAACATTTCTCAAATGTGAAACATTACTAAAGATTGGATTAGACAATGTTCTATGCTTTTTCCAAAGTGGATTATTCGAATCTGCAGAGAATACATTAGGTCCAAACAATCCAACAGGTGCCAAGAATTCACCCTTTCCAACAGTTCTATACTTTCTAATAAGAACTTCCTTGATCATTTCCTTATCCTTTGCAATGGTGAAATAAACATCTGGTCCTTGTTGAATTTTAATCATTGCCTCATTTGGATATTTCTGAAATGCCTTCATTCCACACAAATAACCATGAAAGACGAACATTTCTCCATCAATGAGTGAATCAATAAACGAAGGAAAGAATGAAACATATCCAGGAATGTGTCGATACTTGAAATAAGTTCTCAAGAATCGGAGAATATAGGTAATCAAATAAATAATCAATAAACATGACGAGATGGAAATCAATTGCAAAAATCCAAACCCATTTTCATCACCAAACAATGCACGAATTAGAAATGATCCTCCACCATCATCAGATGCAACAATATTTGAAGTAGTCATTTATATATTGGATGGTAAAATTGTTGTCCAATAGTAACGAACGGGATTTTTTTTTCAAATTGGTTTTGCCACTTGAAGTGGATGGGATTTGTCCAAGTTGAAGAATTGAGTGGCGTAGGACTACTGATGGATTAAGCGCGATAGGATCTCCTCTAAAGAAAAAGCAAAGAAAAAATTGATGAGTGTGGGATTTGAACCCACGCCCTTGCGGAACACGGTATTAATCATACCTTAACGTGTCGTCTTAGACCACTCGACCAACTCACCGTTACAAATTATAAAAACATACTTTATTATGAGTGAAACGAAAGCAACTGCCCCAACGTGGTTAGAGAAAACTATCGTACATGATATAATTCATCTAACATAACTAGCCATTCATTCTTGATCCTCCATTTCCACATATCAAAATGCTTAGTATTTATTGATTGAAAATTAAAAAAGTTGTATGGATTCTGAAATTCTTAAAGTCACCTAATATCAAAATAGGTTTATTTCCAAAAGATTACTTAAAAAAAAATGTACCTTTCCGATAATGAATTGTTTCGAATAATACAATATTTCGACTTTGATAGGGACATTATCAATATAATGTGCTGCAGCAAGAAATTAAAAACCATGGCGATGGAACATTTATTAAATGGTTATCACAACTCGGAGCAATTTGTCAAATATTTCATTTCATACAAAACTTTTAATTGCAAAATGACTTGCGAATTATTAAATTTCATCGTGGAAACATTAAAGAATGAAAATGAATTATTGAATTTGAATAGAATTAATTTGACAAACTTTGGAGGAAGATTGACCTATGCAATGATTGATAAAATTTGTGGATTAATTGCGAAATTTAATATTAGAGAGGTTTTATGTTGGAGGATGAGGGAGAGTGTTTATTGGATTGAAGTTATTGTGCCAACTAAATTGAAGATTGTGGAGAGGTTTACAATTTTGGAGAGGGATTTGAATAGGTTCACTCCTTCTCTAAAGTATTTTACAAAATCTAGTGCATTGCAGAGTTTATCTGAATTGAATGGGTTGACCTTGCAAAAGAAGGAGGATGTTGAGAAGTTTTGTCAGAATCAATTATTGTGTGAATCTTTGAAAAGACTAACTGTCTATTTGCCTCAATCAATTTCAATATTTGATTTTGCATTCAGAAAAATTATCAAGAATTGTAAGAACCTCATAGAGTTGAATGTTTTGATAGCCTATTGTATTGAACCTGTTCATTTGGATTTGAATTTTGATGAAGAATTAATTACCCTAAGCACAGAATGTAATACTTTGAAAATTTTGAGAATTGACAGCATGTACATGCATCCTCAAAATAGATTTCTAAAAAAATTATCACCCGAGTTGAGATTTATCCCAGAAATACCAGAAAAAATCTCAAAGAATTTATTTCCCAATCTAACCGAGCTCTATATCCATACGAGAAATAACAATCAAGATCCATCACTTCATGCATACAGTGGGAAACTAGCTCTTCAATGTCTCATTCCCTCACATGAACTCAGTTGCATGGATGTTACTAACGAATTCTTCAATATTACATTTCCAAAGTGTAATAATATAGCCCTAAGTGGAGATTTTATTGGAATTGCTGACAAGATTCCAAACTATACACATGTCCAAAGTTTGAAATTGAATAATTTATTCGATAGACCAGATAGATACATTTCGAGATTTCACAGATATTTGAATTTGAAATCGTTATCACTTTTCCGAGTGAACGTCAAACATGGCGAGCATTTAACCATGAGTAAGATCAAATTTGCAACCTTCATTGAAGAACTGACCGTCAAGAATTCTCTCCTTCATCACAACTTTCTTCAACAATTAGTAGTGAGCACTTCATCTTTGAAATCGCTAGTGTTGGAACAAATAGATACGTACAAGGATTCTATCAGTATTGAAATAGATACTTCCAACACATCTTTTTCGAGTTTGAATACTGTTCGAGTGATTGACTGTTGTGGAACCTATGTGGAAATGTTGAAATTTATTCTCAACGATAATCCATCCTCTATCAACTATTTACAATTGAAATCGTGTGACGATTCTCTAGATTATGAATTTTTGGAAAGTCTCTTTTCCATTGCTTCCAGACCAGAGAATGTGTTTATTGAGGGAATTGAATTTAATGATGCACTGATTGAAAAGTATTTGAATTGGAGAGTATTTCCATCCACAATAGATTTTTCTTTTCAGGGAAGAAGCATTACAAGCAAATTCTTACTCAATCCAAAGAATTGTGACACAATTCACAAAATATCAACTCTTTCGCTCCCATTTTGTCCAATTGAAAATGATGATTTTTGTGAAATTTTGGATTACTTGAATAGAGATCGAGTTGAGAAGATTGAAATTAATCTGGGAACATCTGGTCCTACTGTGGAAACTTTTGAAGAATTGTCCAATTTCAAATCACTTCAAATATTGGACATTCGTGGAATGGTAGAAGATTTAGACTCCAACAGCCAATCTCTCCTCAATGATTCCATTCGAGAATTAATTATTGAAATGCCCAATCTCAGAGAGTGTAATTTGGATTGTTGGAATATGACTCCACAAGAAATAGAGGCAGTCAAATTAACAATAAGATCTAAGGGGAGATCAGCACCCAAGTTGAATAATAATATTAACCTACCAAAACCTAATCAATGCTTGATTTCCTAAATAAACAATTCTAATTTGACAAGAAACATTGTAACGCATTCCAGAACTGAACTATTAGTACAAAAGTCAACTCAAAAAAATGTTAAATCATGACACGCTAGGAATCATTGCAAGGTTTATCTCTCTTGCTGATTTACCAGCATTTTGTCTCGTCAATAGTGAATGGAATTTAACTATTGAACTACATGAAGATTATTCAGTTTTCTGGGTGGAAAAACAAATTAATTTTCTTGAATCTAAAATCTCCCTGTACGAAACTTCCATTGAATACAGCAAGGACCAAGCTCCCACCATTACAAACGAATGTCCAAGCAATGGTTTATTTTTCTTTGGAATTCAAACCTATACGTATAAGTATGGACACACATGGGCACCCCAAGGAATGAAACATCCCAAATTCTTTCATCACAGATTGCAAAAGAGAATTCACACACTCGAAAGCAAAATCTATTCCCTGAAGAAATATAAAACCTATGGATATGAAGGTTTCTCGCGGGAACATTTGATGAATATTGTCTATTATGAATACTATTGGCTTGCTAGTAATTTAAATTCCTATCTGGCCAAATCCACTGCTCTGCCACATTACATTGGTGCATTGTGTGAGGATTTGGAGCGTCTCGAGTTGGAACGATGTCTTCTCAATAATACGGAAGACTCTGTTCAATTGGCACTCGTCTATCTTATCAAACTTTTTAAAACACCACCACCTCCCATCTATTTCAAGGATGATGTTTATAGGAAATACATTAACACAATTTTAGAAACAAAACCAATAGGAAGAATCATTATATCCACTTTCAATGTATTATTATTGTAGTGTTATGATTGTCATCCCATAGAATTCTCTCATCAGGACTTCATTAAAATATTTTTTCAATTTATTTTTTCCATTTGCAAAATATTAAAAAATGTTTGGAAGTTCTGGTTTTAATGCCGGTGGTGGCAATCCTCAAGGAAATGCTCCTGGAGCCTTTTCATTTGGTAATAATAACTCTGCTCCAACACAACCAGCTACTGGTGGTGGTGGTGGATTTTCTTTTGGATCATCTACAACTGGAGGTACACAACCATCAACAACTGGAGGATTCGGACAACCTTCTGCACAACCACCAACTTCTGGAGGATTTGCTTTTGGATCATCTACAACTGGAGGTACACAACCATCTACAACTGGAGGATTTGGTTTTGGTTCAACACCTTCTACCCAACCAACAACTGGAGGAACAACTGCTGGAGGAACCACAGGTGGATTTGCTTTTGGAAATAAGCCAGCTACCACTGCAACTACAACACAACCAACCACTGGAGGAATGACTTTCGGTCAACCTTCTACACAACCAACAAGTACTGGAGGAACCACAGGAGGATTTGCTTTTGGTACTCAGCCAACAACTGGAACAACTACACAACCAACAACTGGAACCACTGGTGGATTTAACTTTGGCTCTACTACACAACCTTCCACACAACCTACTATCAGCACAACAACCACTACACAACCATCTAGTGGAGGATTCAATTTTGGTTCCACAACTACTCAACCAACAACCACACAACCAACTACAGGAACAGCTACTGGGGGAACTACAGGTGGATTTAACTTTGGAAATACTACAACTGGAACAACTACACAACCTACTACAGGTACAACTACTGGATTCAAAATCGGAACTACTTCAACAACTCAACCAACTACTGGAACCACTGGAGGAACCACTGGTGGATTTAACTTTGGAAATACTACAACCCAACCATCAACTGGTACTACAACTACTAGCTCAACAACTCAACCAACTACTGGTACCACGGGAGGATCTGGTGGATTTAACTTTGGTTCTACCACAACTACTCCATCAACAGTAGCCCAACCAACTACTACAGGTACAACTGGAGGAACCACAGGAGGATTTAACTTTGGAAATCAACCAAAACCTGTCACAACACAACCATCAACAACTGGTACTACAACACAACCAACCACTACTACTACTGGTACAACAGGAGGAGGTGGAGGATTCAATTTCGGTTCTACTGCTACTACCACTACCCCATCAACCACCAACGCTCCAACTAGTACAGGAACAACAGGAGGTGCTGGAGGATTCAACTTTGGAAATAAGCCAACAACAACTCCAACTACTACAACCACTACAGGTACAACAGGAACTACCAATGCAGGCTTCTCATTTGATAATAAGAGACCATCCGATGAGGGAGGTCCAAATAAGAAGAGATCAGCTGGTTCTGACATTTCCACATCAGGAAATACTACAACTACAGGCACTACTGGAGGTGGATTCACATTAAACACTGGATCAACAACAACTCCATCCTCTACTCAACCAACAACAGGTACCACAGGAGCTGGAGGTTTCAACTTTACAGCTGGATCTGATACAAGCAAAAAGCCAACATTACCATCTTTGGATACAACAAATTCTACTACCACTGCTACTACCGGAGCTACTACAACAGCTCAACCAACCACAGCTACCACAACTCAACCAAAACCTATTACTACCACAACTCCTCAAATAGATACATCACAAACTCTTTTAGGAAATAGTACTGTCGAAGAAATAATTAACAAATGGAATACAGATCTTTCCACTGATATCAAAGATTTCCACAAAGCAGCTAACCTTGTTTCAAAGTGGGATAAGGATATTATGGAAAATGAATCTAAGCTTATTGGACTTAACGATCAAGTTAATAGAATTACAGCAGAACAAAGTGAATTGAAAGGACAATTAGACATGATAGACTCTCAACAAAATAATTTGGAAAATATCATCAAGGGATTAGAAGATTACATTGAAAAGAATCAATCAATATATGATTCTAGTAAGAGGTCACAATCAGACAGGGAGAGAGAAGAAACATACAAGACTGCCGAATCTATTAATTGCCAACTCGATGCCATGCAACAAACTTTAGATGAAATGGTCATGCAACTTAACAAGACCTTTGAACAATCTGTGGATCCACATTCTGACTTTACTCGTATTGTGCAAGTAATGAATAATCACTTGGCATGCTTACAATGGATTGAACAACAAGCATCTGGTCTTGACTCTGACATTCAAACAAGTTCGAATACTTTGAAACGACTTCAATAAACATATTATACGACAATATCATAATACTAGCTCAAATTTAAAGTCCACCATTTCTTCAAGTTCCTCGAATGGATGATTGTCTATCAGGAAATGAGGTCCCTCTTCCAAGGCATGACCTAATTAATCCATAGTAAAATAATTCAAAGATATTGTTGTAAATAACAGTTCCGAAGCCACCCACAAAGTACCCACCTCTGCAATTTCCAAAATGCAATTTAAGGAGATGCACACAGAATAGATTCTGATGGGCAAACTAGAAAAAAATGTCCCAACAACCACAACTCCCATCATCCTACGAGGATAATAACATTGCTACTTCAACTTCTAATGATAAAGTTACGAATTTAGAATTGACTCATGAAAAGATTATCATTATTGATTTCGGATCACAATATACACAACTCATTGGTCGTAAAGTTCGTGAATTGAATGTTTATTGTGAGATTTATCCATACGATAAATTCAATGAAAATACATTGAAGGTGAGTAGTGGTGGTGAGAATGCAGAACAAGATGGATGGTCATTTGTGAGAGGTGTTATTCTATCTGGATCTCATCATTCAGTTCATGATGAACATTCACCACGTGTCAATGAACAAGTTTGGAATGAAATTCATAAGAGACAAATTCCAATTCTTGGTATTTGTTTTGGTGCTCAAATGTTAGCTCACTTGTATGGAGAACAAGTTGTTTCAAGTGTTATTAGAGAATATGGACGTGCTCATATTCAATTGACCTCAAATAATGAAGATACAATTCTTAGTCAATTGAGTGGTGATTCACAAGTTTGGATGTCGCATGGTGATTCAATTCTTATTAAGGAAGAAGGTTCTCAATTGGAAATTATTGCAAAATCTGATAGTATTCCAGTTGCTGCTTTCAAAGTTAAGGGAAAGAAGATTTTTGGTGTTCAATTCCATCCAGAGGTTCATCACTCACATTGTGGAAAGTTGATTCTCTCCAATTTCTTGAAACTTGCTGGATGCTCTTGTACTTGGACTCCTTCTCATTTCATTGACGAAACTGTAAAGAATTTGAAACAAACTATTGGAGAAAGTGATCACGTTGTTATGGCATTGAGTGGAGGTGTTGACAGTAGTGTTGCTGCCGTTCTCTTACAAAAGGCTATTGGAGACAGATTACATTGTATTTTTGTAGATAATGGATTATTGAGATTGAATGAATTTGAACAAGTATTGGAAACTTATAGAGATAGTTTACATTTGAATGTTAAGGGAGTTGAAGTATCTACACTCTTCTATGATGCATTGAAGGGAGAATCTGATCCAGAAAAGAAACGTAAAATTATTGGAGCCAAATTTATTGAAGTATTCGAAAAGGAAGCTCAACAAATTTCCAATGTCAAACACTTGGGTCAAGGAACTATTTATCCAGATGTTGTCGAGTCAATTGGTGGAGCAACTATCAAGAGTCACCACAATGTTGGTGGTCTTCCAGAAAAGATGCACATGAAAGTGGTTGAGCCATTGAGATTACTTTTCAAGGATGAAGTCAGAAGAGTTGGTAAGGAATTAGGAATTCCAGATAACATCTTACTTCGTCATCCATTCCCTGGTCCTGGACTTGGTATTAGAATTTTAGGCGATATCACTGCAGAGAAGGTTGAATTATTACAAAAGGTTGATGCCATCTATGTTAATTCATTGAAGGAAGAAGGATTGTATAATCAAATCTGGCAAGCTGGTGCTATCTTGTTGCCAATTCATTCGGTTGGTGTTCAAGGGGATGGCAGAACTTATGAGAAGGTTGTTGCTTTGAGAGCTGTTACTTCTGTTGATGGTATGACTGCAGATATTTTCCATTTCCCTTGGGAATTCCTTGGAAAGGTTTCGAATAAGATCATTAATCAAGTTAAGGGTGTGAATAGAGTTGTCTATGATATTAGTACTAAACCACCTTCAACTATTGAATGGGAATAAATCTATTATCGATTCTAAACTTTTAAAACAAAGAACTCATTCATTTTGACAAGAAAAGTTTATGCCTTAACCTTAAAGTTATAAACGTCACCATCTTGAGTAATATATTCTTTTCCTTCCTGTCTAATCAGATTCTTTCTCTTGGCCTTGGCATCGTCACAATCGCAATCCAAATAATCCTTCCAATTAATGGTTTCTGCCTTGATGAATCCCTTTTCAAAATCACTGTGAATTACACCTGCTGATTCTTGAGCAGTACTTCCTTTAGTAACAGTCCAAGCTCTTGTTTCTTGCACACCAACAGTGTAATAAGTAATGAGATCCAACAATTCATAAGATGATGTGATAATTCTCTCGAGACCAGTTTGTTTCAACCCATATTCATTCAAAAGTTCAGCTCTTGATTCTGGTTCACATTGAGCAACTTCAGATTCCAATTGAGCACAGACAATAACTGGTTCAACAGTATTTCCTCTCTTCTTAATATGTTCTATAAGTGCTTGTGTATGTGTGTTTCCTCCATCAATAATTGTCTGTTCATCCACATTACAAATATATAAAATTTTCTTGGTTGTTAAAAAGTTAAATTGTTTCAAAATGGCTATTTCAGCAGCTGTCCATTTAACTGTATAAAGTGAATTTTCCTCAATCAATGTTTCATGACACTTTTTCAATAAATCCATCTTATCCTTTGATGCTTGAATTTCCTTTCTCTTCATATTTCTTTCAACAACATCCAAATCACTGAGCATTAATTCTGATTCAATAATTTGAACATCTCTCACTGGATCAACACTATTTTCGACGTGTGTAATATTCACATCTTCGAAACATCTCACCATTTGTGCAATACAGTTCACTCCTCTAATGTGACTCAAAAATTTGTTACCCAATCCCTTTCCTTCAGCTGCTCCTTTAATTAAACCTGCAATATCAATCACTTCAATGTAAGTTGGAACAATTTTCTTGGTTTTTGCCCTTTCAGCAAGTAATTCCAATCTTTCATCTGGAACTGTACAGACACCAACGTTTGGTTCAATAGTACAGAATGGGAAATTGGCTGCTTCTGCCTTTGTTGATTCAGTCAGTGCTGTTATTTAATTCGTATATAAAAAGTTTCAAATAAATTTCATCAATTTCAATTATTTCACACAAGAATTTCAACAATTTTTATCATAATTGTTAGAGAAATTCAGAAGATTAAAACAACATACCATTAAAAAGTGTAGATTTACCAACATTTGGCATTCCGACAATTCCAACACTTCTCTTTGCACTACTTCTAGTCGAATGTGATTGAACGGAAGAATTCAACATGACGAATTGTTGATTAAATTTAGAAGCAAATGTTGAATTGGCAAAAATTGATGCCGGTGTTGATGAACATTGTGTATTTCGGGTAATGACGGAATGAACACCCAATAAACGTTGTTGGAAAACGTTGGTGGTGGAAAAGCGAGAAAGTTTTTGCATTTTTTTTTAAATTTTTTGATTGAATTGCAAAATTTGAAAATATTTTGAAAATTTAATTATTAATATTTAATAATATGCATGTTGGCCATATATCAAATGACAGTGGCAGTTCCAATAAATAAGATACATGGATCTATAATTCAGACGATGTCAATAAATTAAATTCAAAACTATTTCAGCTATTCTACATGTTGTACAATGTCAATCAAGTGACGTAAATCATGACAAATGAAATCTGGCTCATATTTCTCAACACATTCAGTATGCTTATCATCCCAATCAGTTTCTTGAGTATAGAGACAACTGAGAGCTCCTGCCTTCTTAGCACAAACAATATCATGAAATGAATCACCAATCATTATCATATTCTCAATGGGAACATTCAATTCTTCTGCAATTCGAGTAAGACATTGAGGATTTGGCTTGTAAGGTAAATATTCTCTTCCATGTAATATTGTGTAAAAATCCGAATAATTACTTCCCAATTTTTCAATAAATAATTGCAAGGTACTTTGTGAATTTCTTGTAACAATTGCAAAATGTTTCAGTGGTGATTTTTCATCCAATTGTAACTTTTTCAATTCATCCAAAGTTTCAAATAGGTATGGTTGAAATTCCAATTTGTCATTGGCCTCCGATTCTACCCTATGAATAATATCAAATAATCTCTTCTTTTCCTCTTCATCATTCAAACTATGAATATGATCCAACACATCGATAGGAGCACTGATACCAGTCAAGAGTCTCATCTTGGCAAAATCAATAACAGGTACAGTTAAAGTGCCATCCATATCAAAAGTAGCCACTCGGATCAATGGCTTTTTAATCGATTGTTCATGAACAAAATAGTAGGGTTTTTCATCTGTTGAGTGAGAGGTTGAATTAACAAAAATCTTCTTGTAGAGTTGATTAAAGTGATTGTGGTGATGTTTTCTGAGAACGGAGAGGTGGGAAGGACATGTCTTGTGAATCATTTTTTTGATTATTTTCAATCTATTTTCAATGATTCTTTTACACAACCATGTTGAGATGATTGTTAATTGGCACCAAGTTTACAATAATTGTTTGGCAGGAGAAATAATAAATTTATTGTTGTACAAAATCTAGAGCTTAATTTTCATTAGCCATGACATAGGCAATAATGTCTCGGAGAGAAATAACTTTAACTGGATGGAGTTGCTTGTCACAAACATACATTCTGTGAATTCTGTTGGCAGCCAATCTTCCAATAACAAATCCTAGTTCAGTTTCTTCAGAGCATGAAATGGCTGGATGACTTTCATTATATGATTGTTCTCGAATATGTTGGACAAAGGTGTGAACTCCTTGATGGAGAGAATGATAAAGATTAGATGGATTAATAGCCTTAATGTCTCTTGCTGATAAGTTTCCAATCAAAATTCCTGTAGCATCAACAACAGCCAAACCACTGACCTTCATTTGTTGCATCTTTTTGAAACAATCAATAGTTCTATTGTGTTTTTCAAGAGTAATAACTGGAGAGACACCTAAATCAGCAGCACCAACTTTTTGATGAGCAATGTCACCCATTTGTTTTTGATGAAGAGCAAGGAAATTGACAATTTGTGCTTGAGTCAAAATACTGACCATCTTTCCGTGGCTATCAATAACTGGACAACGGTGTGACTTTTCCTTGACCAACAAGGTACAAGCATCATAGAGTGATTTATCATCTCTAATTGGAGTGAATGGATTGTGAGCAAAGTCAGTAATACCTCCTATTTGTTGATCTTGGAATTTAGAAGCAGTCTTCAATCTAGAGAAAATGTCATTACCTTGTCTTGTTTCAGCTTCTCCAAAAAGTTCAACCAAATAAGCCAAAATATCGAGAATATCAACCAAACCGATACATTCCTTTCCCTTCATGACTGGAGCAGAAACAATACCAGAAGACATTAATTTCTAATTTTTCAAAGAGTTTGAATATTATCCGTTTTTTTGATATTAATTAAACAAATGATGAAGAGAGTGATAATAGAGCGTTGAAGATGTGCAATATTAATTCGAACAATTGTTGTTGCCAATATTAACGTTAAGATTAATTATTGTATTGTGTTGTTAATAATAAAAATCAATGTTTTTCCATCATCGTAGAAAATAAAATTCAAGTCATCACGGATCTTCCTATAATACCTACCTCCAAAACATCATGTAATTTATCTTCGTATTGGAAAGTAATCAATTCTGTTGGCTTGGCGACTTCCTTGACCAATGTTTTTCTGAGCAAGCTAAATAATTCCTTCATTTTTTTTTAAAATCTTTAAAATATCGGTTAATAGGTAGATGCGACCCTTAAATGGACTATTTAAAAATATAAAAATGATATTATTTAAATTCACAACGTTGACTTTTTGAGTTTTGTGTTGAAAGGATGGTGCATGAATATAATATATTCATATTTTTCATTACACAGCCAATCTGATTGTGAAATACACGAAAGAGTTGTTTCTGTTTTGTGAGTAGACAAGAAACATGTTCCAGTTTTTAAAGATTTGATTCAATAGAAGAAATATCTTTCAGAGAGATCCTTTGTACAATAGAGACTTTTTTATTGAAAACTACTAAACAATTTCTAATCTGATATTATTATACAATTGTGGTTTTGTGTTCTTGATATTAGGAGTGCTGTGGATTTACAATTCTGCAAATGCTATAAAGTGAGGGGAATAATTATCAGCCCTCTTGTGACTCTACTATTCTCAATAATAATTGAAATGAAAAAGTGCAAGAGGGCTCTCTGAGTCTATAATCATAATAGCTGAAGTATTCATTGCAGTAGGTTTCTTTTTTTTAATTGAACAAGAGACAATCATCACATTCAAGCCAGCTCTCTTTCTATTTATATTTTAGGAAATGCCTCTTTCAAATTTTGAAACAAACTCTTGTCTATTTGTATTTTTGGTAAATGTAACTTTCATATTTTGAAGCTGCTATCTAAATTTTTAATTTTCATGATCATGAGAGTTATATAATCAATAAATATTTATTGATCTTAATTGATTCGAGGATGAATCTGTACTGTTGCTTTTTACTGGCCCTAGTTCAGAAATCAGATGCAACAAGGGTTGAAGTGATTGATATTTCACAATTTAAGATAGTGAATGGCTACGGCCATATCACGATGAATGCACCTCATCCCGTCCGATTTGAGAAGTTAAGCATCGTCGAGCCACATCAGTACTGAGGTTGGAGACAACTTGGGAACCTGTGGTGCTGTAGTCTTTTTCATTTTACCTTATGGATTATTTAATTATTTAGATATTGATCTGTATTAGGTTATAAATTCTACATTTGAAAAAAAGCAACATTCAATCCATGAAATCGTCCTTATAAACAGCCTTATGAAAGCCTTAGTGACAATTTCACTCTTGAGCTTTCGGTTTGTTTCAAGGTGGTTCTTATGTGAAATAACTTTTTCAAAATCCAACATAATGTTTCTATTATTTAACAGAGCGAGAAATCATACCAGATGAATCCTCACAGGAAAAAATTGAGAAGGAGGGCAACAACCACTTTGATTATTGACCAAATTCCATTGGCTAATCATCCTCTGAGTGCAAGGAGGAGAGTTTCCAGATTCACATTTCAGTCTGCATGATCTCTGAAATGTCCTTCAAGGTAAGTATGAAGAAAGCAAAGAGTGTAAATTGGAACAAATCTTTTAAACCTTTCAATATGTTTGGTTTTTGAAAACTGAATTATGGTCGTTGTTTGTTGTTTTATGATTTGAGTTCTTTGATATTGTTGAACATGAAGCAAACACAGAATTGACATAATTACATTGAAAATTAAGTATGATGAGAATTTAACTAGAAGATAATAAAGAATGGGTCAAAAAATTATTGAATATTTACATTTTCAGTTTATTTACAATGATTGCCTAGGTTTACAAAATTTTGAGTTTTATGGAGACTACCACTTTTTGAATTGTTTGTTTCTCATTTCTAAGGTGTTATGTGATTGAGATTTGAAAGTTTTGCTTGTTTCACTTCCAATAGAATTCAATGTTTTGTAATCAATTAAATTTCTTCTTCTTGTTCCACCAACAATATTATCCAGAGAAATTTCGGAATTAAATTGTGAAGTATTATTGGAGGAATTATACATATTTCTTCTTGTTGAGACCATTTTCTAATTGTTATTTTGTTATTTTCTTTTGTTGTTGATTTTCATTAAATTTCCTTTCATCAAAATATTAATAGAAAAATTCAAATTCTTGTGATGAGTGGAAAATCCACCAAAAATTGGAATCACAAAATTAGTGGAAATCATCATGGAAATAAATAGATAATTGATCGGATGATGAAATTTCCACAACAAAACAAAATAACAAAATAACAAAAACTAAGAGCAAAATGCCAGCTAGAAATACCTCATCAAATACTTCTTCATCTTCCGAAGGTAGAATTCCAACAAAAACAGAATGGACAAGATCTAAACCAATTGATTTATCTAAAAGATTACCATTATTTGATATTGATACTTCAAATATTATAAGTGGAACAAGACATCGTAATAATATTGATTATCATCATGCAAATTTAAATGGTAAACAAATTTCAGTGAAAAGATCTTCGAAAAATTCAATTGAAAAGAGAGCTAAACAACAATCGAACACCACTAATAAGAAGATTACCAAATCGAAAAAGATGTAAATTACAACTTGTAATAAATTCAGTAAATTGTAAATAAAATGTTTGAAATATAGATGAAGTTTCAATTTAGAATTGATCAGAATATGAGAAACCAAAATTTGCATCAAGCAATTTAACATGACAAATGTTCAATAAGTATGAGGTTGATCAACCTTTACACTTTCTCCAACAAACCTGAACAAACAAGATTCGTCCAAGAACTCTTGAATTCGCTGTTCATGCAGTCAAAGACTGTAGCGGGATTGTCGCCATATTCCTGGCAGGCTTCCCGTCCATTGCAACCAATAGAATATCATGTTTTTCCCATCTCTCAATATTTACAAATTCTTCAATGCTTGAACATACTGGACAACTAGAAACCGACCTATTGCCCACTCACCCAAGAAAATCGTGATTTGAAAGGTTCCTTCATTTTTATTTAATAAGTGAAATGGCCTAATTGACTAAACTTGAAATTAATCAGAATTTTCTTTGTGATCATGGTGAACTGAATTGAAACAACTGACTCATCTCTGCATTTCTAATAATAATATTAGCGAAACTGGTGCAAAATATGTTGCTGAATTGAAATAAGTAATTCATTCTTGTTGAACTGAACAAGTTGACCAATCTCAGTATTTGCAACAATAACATTAGTTCCAAGGGAGGTAAATTTATTAATGAGATGAGTCAATTATTTTGATATTAGTAGAAATGGTGTTGAATTTCTCAATTTTAATGAACTAGAACAATTGGAGCACCTTAACATTTCTTGGAATTATATTGGTGATGAAGGCATTTGCTATAAGCAAAATGAAACATTTACTTTTTCTCGGTGTAAGGGTACCTCTATTCTCTTTCGAATGGAATGTATTATTATAGTAAAATTCCAAACAACCTTGAAAATCTAGTAAATTTGGTAAATGTAAAATGGATACAGCGAGCGGGGCTTGAACCCGCGACCTTAAGCGTGTTAGGCTTACGATCTAACCAACTGATCTATCGCTGCTTACACTCAGTACAATAATTACCTTAATGAAATACGAGTTACAAATGTGGCAAGAAACAAGCTTAGTTGTAAATGTTGTTAGTAGCCTCTCCAGTTTTACAATCAAATACTAAACAGAGGATGATTCAACACGAAAATCTCAAAATATATTTATTAGTACTTGAAGCAAACCGTTTTTTTAACAGATCAATAAATTAAGCAAGACGAGCAAAGCAAGTAAAGCAACAGAAACTACATATCTATCAGATTCACTTCTTACATTATATGAAGTATCAGTTGCAATATCACTATTGTCATATCTCAATATCATTTCATTATATCTTGATTTTCCAAGGTTAAGTTTGAGTGTACATTGAACACTACTTGATCCCAAAGCGAGAATTGGTTGTTCACACAACACAGTTCCACTACTGCTGTAGAATGACAACTTTTTAATATCAATACCAGGTGTCACTTCATATTGTCCATTGAAAAGTGTGAATGAAATCTTGAACGGAGTATTCTCTGAGATATCTTTTTGTACGGTGATAGTGCCTCTCTCAATAGTAAATGTGGAAAGTGAAAAACTTGGGAGTGGAATATTAGGAACGTCTTGATCAGCACTCGTTAATGCTGAGAATTTAATAGAATATGGTTTACCAGAACTCATTGTTGGAGTGAATTTGAGAATGGTAGATCCTCCAACAATATCATGATAAGTTTGGTAATCTCCAAAAGTGCCACCTTCAAAACTGATTTCACCCTTTTGCAAAGTGTCCAATTCGTTGAACTGATCTAACAATCTGACTTCAAAACTAATCTCCTGACCATAGAAGAAATATGGTACGTGCTTCATGGCTAGATTAGTTGGAAAGGCACCAATTGCAAATTTGGTAAATTTTGGCCTCACACAAGACATTTGAATGTTGAATCTCAATGAAGTACTGGCACGTGTTTGAGCAATCAAATATGCCTTGCCTGGAACTTTTGATGGAAATCGAACACCTTCGGTAGGATTCGATGTACAGGTAAGAAAATTTGAATTGTAGGACTTCAAGCCATTGAAAGAAAATCCTTGGTTGGCCATGGCCTTATTCTTGTTTTCTTCATCAACGAGATAGTAGACGAATCCAGTTGTTTGTGAGGTGGATTGAATATTGACTAAACTAATGGAAGGTACTTGATTGGAAATGGAGCAACTTTCCATTGACGAAAGGACAACCCAACCATCGGCAGCCTTTGGACAAGCTTGTCCATTGCAGCCACAAGCAGGGCATGTACACTGTTGAACATCTCTTTCTTGAGAAATTGTTGGTGAGAAAAAAGTTTCATTAGAAACCTGATGAAAGGAAGTTTTTTCAAGTAAATTTGTTGGTACTTGGAAGGAAATTTCAAACTCGTTTGCAGCAATAATTTGTGCAACTAGCAGCAAAAGAAACGCAAATGTCAACAACTTCATTTTTTTTAACAAGCACCAATCGTCTAGTTTTTACAAAGGGCAATGAATCTCATCAATCTGTCAATTGTTAGGAAAGACGTCAATTACTATTACTGGGACAAATAAAGCTTAATAGAAATACCTTACTATTTTTGTTTTTTTGAAAAGCACCGAACAGGCAAGTACGTGACTGCTTTGATGTAAAAAAACAAATGGCAAGTAAGTTGAATAACAAATTTAGTGCAACTATTTGATGGCCATCAGTTGTTTAATTGGTGAGCAACTGACAGGTTGAATTGGTCCTCCAAAAAGTCAAATTATCGATGAAATGTGAATCTCATAAGTTGTTAAACAACCAAAAAAAATTAAACAACTTGCCATAATGTTCTTGCACTAGCTAATAATATACAAGAGAGAGGCAACTCCTTCAACTTTGATGGTAGTTAACGTAATTCGATGATAAACAATGCATGTGCTTCTAGAAATATTTAGTCCACATGCTACAATGGTTATTTTGTCATTGAAATTACTTGTATCAGTCTTGAAGTTCAACAGTTCTCCTTATTCCTTTTTTTTAAATATATTGATATGCAAAGATTTTGGAACTTGGAATTTAAAGTTAACATTTGCACTAATTAAATTAAATTTAACAAAGAAAAAACAAAACTAAACTTAAACAATGGGAAACACTAATCGTTGGAAAATGGAAGAACCACAGCACCTGGCACCTGTTGTCACAAATGTTCAACGAAAAAGGGAATTAGGTGGAGTGATCAACTTGTCAGAATTCAAGGAATTGCCAATGGAAATTCAGCTACATACACTTACCTTTCTTCCAATGCAAAGTTTGACTGATTTATTACTGGTATCCAAATTTATGAATGAACAATTATTGAAATATGATGAAATTTATCGAGTTTTTTATTCTGATTTCAGAAAACGTGCGGTGCAAGAAAAACTTGATTGGAATACAAGGAGTTATTATCCTTTTAATCACAATTACATACATTATTATCCTCCTATTATACCTGTTTCTCTGCCAACAACAATTATACCAACAACTAGTGTGATTGAAGAACAATTTGACAGAGATCTACCTCTAAAACTGGAAACTCTTGTAGAGAGTCATCTTTTAGAGAGTGCCTATCAACAATTGAGTTATGTTGCCAACACACATATTCAAAACAGGATGAATCAAAAAGTGATGATAGAAGAAATGAGTAATATGACCCAATCTGCATAATAAATAGTCATTCTATCTTATTATTTAAAAATTTAAAAGAACAGAGTAATGAAAATTACCAATATCTACTTCTTGTCTCCTGTGTGGGCAATACCTTCCTCAACACAAATAATGAATATAGGAAAGGGAATTCCAATTTTTCAATAGAATCAAACTTGCTACTGAGCTCGAAATATTGAACTCTGCAATCAATCAAATCTATTCCTCCGTACAAGTAGAATTCTGGTATTATTTCTTCCAAATATTGAGTTATCATACTGTTGGTCACCTTTTTTTCCTTGTCACTCTTCATACCTACCAATCCAAGAAATCGATTCTTATCCAATAGATATTCGTATAAATTCTTTTCTGCTTTCACCTTTTCAAAATAACTTATCATTTGTTTACAAATGTTAAATGATTCAATTGAGGAAACATCAAAACAATAGAACAAAATGTTACACTGTTGCATTTGTCCTACGTTATATGGCACAAATCGATTTATGCCAGGAATCTTAATTAATTCAAGGTTATAATGTTCCGAGTAATCAAATCTAGTGGTCAGATAGTTAATTTGATTACTGAATCTTTTTATCCAAGTTGACTTTCCACAAGATCCGTATCCAGCAATTCCAATTTTAGGTTGTTTTTGTTCTCCCACTACCAACTGTCCACTTTTAATGGCTCCTCTGATTCTAGGAACAAGATTGTCATGAAAATGAACTAGGGCACTATGTACATTCAATCTCATTGGTTTCAGTAGGCAATTTGGTTGTTTCCCTCTATTTTCTAACTGATCCTTCCACAAGAGTGGTTGAAATATCCAGTATTTAGCAAAATTCTTACTCACTCTCATCAATTTGATAATATCTGAATTTGGCAAATATCTCATCACATTAATGACCAATTCATACGGTAGCATTCTCTCCATCAATGATTGATTATTTTCATTAAATACATTAGGATCATTTCTATCTAAATATTCACTCTCTTGATCCATTAATTCCAACTCTTCATAATCAATTTCGATCGGAATGATCTTCTCCAAATTTAAATCATCAAGAATGATTCTATTACTGGAAAGAGTTGTGTGTTGTTGACCCATTTTTTTAGTGTTGGTTGAGAGATTTGTTATTATTAGAAGAAGAATTTATATTCTTCTGTTGTGTGGATTAAAATGGTGAGAAGGTTAATTTGAGAGATTCTAATCTTGTTCCATTTTTTTTAATATTTAATTTTATTAAATATTATTTATAAGATTAAAAATGGAAGGATAAACCAAAATGTCTTCATAAGTCTCTTAAAAATACAAGATTCAAGAGGTTTTAGTGGGATTAATGTATTTTATGAATTTTAAAGTGGAAGATAGATTAATGTGTCGGGGTCTTGGCGCAGTCGGTATTATTAATAGATTTTAGGGTAGGTAACGCTCTCAATCTACCTCAACGTCGGTAGCGCGTAGGTCTCATAATCCTAAGGTCGTGAGTTCGATCCTCACAGACCCCAACTTTTGCCCTTTCTTTTGCTTATTTTGCATCCTATCGAACGATCATCACCATAGTTTGATCACCAATATCTTTACAAGCAAAGGGAGCAATTTCTAGCTGGTTTGTTTTGCTTGTGGTTAACGTTGATATTACAGTTGAGTAACAAACATAAAATAAAAATGCTCAACAATGTTCATCATGTCGATCATCAAATATTGAACGAAATGGATGACTACTTTTCAAGAAGGAACAAACTCTTTGATCAATTCAAAGAAAAACGAAGAAGAGAATTGGGAAATAAAATCGGGAAGGAAATTACCATCACAATAGATAAAGATGTAGTGAAGGGGAAAGCCTTTGAAACGAGCCCATACAAAATAGCATCCGATCTTTCCAATGATCAATCTATGGATCATCTTATTGCCAAGATTAATGGTAAATTATGGGACATGAATAGAGAGTTGGAAGGAGATGGTCGATTGGAATTTTGTTCTGATTGGAATGATTTGGAGGTGAGGAGAGTTTTCAAGCGTAGTTCTGCATTTGTGTTGGGAGCAGCTGTGGAACAAGTATTCAAATGTTTGGTCAGTGGTGGAGCTGTACTTGAGGATGATTATGGCAAGGGAGGTTTCTTTTATGAGAATTTTATGGATGAAGTAGTTAGAAATAGCTCTATAAATGATCATTCGAAAATCAAGAAAGAAATAGAGAAGATCATTGAAGAAAAACACCCATTCGAAAGATTAATTGTGAGGAAATATGAAGCTCTTGAATTATTTGCAGGAAACAAATTCAAAATTGAGCTCTTGAATGAAAAGTTTAAAGATGACGATTTCCTTTGCGTTTATCGTTGTGGATGCTTCATAGATACCTCTGTCGGCCCACATTTGTTGCACACTGGACAAATAGCATCTTTTGAAATTATATCAAATACTCGATTTCTATCTGATACAAAGAGGGAAATTTTACGGTTTTATGGAATTTCGTTTCCAACTGTTCAATTAAAGGAAGAATGGAAAATAATGACCCAAAAACTCAAACTTTGTGACCACAAAAAGGTTGGAAAGGATCAAGAGCTGTGGTTCTTTCATCCACATGCCCCTGGAATGGTTTCACTCCTTCCTCACGGCAAGAGAATATGCAATTCTGTTCAATCTCAATTACGAGAAGCTTATTGGAGGTATGGATTTGCAGAGGTTCAAAGCCCCATTGTTTTGAATAAGGATCTGTGGTATTATCAATCAGGTAGTAGGAATCAGTGGTGGCAACAATACAATTTCGCTCTGGAAATTGATAAGGAGTACTATATACTCAAACCATACAACAAACCTATTCACTGTATTATGTATCGGAACAAATCCAGATCTTATAGAGATCTACCAATTAGATATGTAGAATTTGGCTCAGTATTTCCGGATAACATCAAACCTTTTAGGCTGAATGGCAGGTTGAGAAGTTTCCAAAAAGATGAGTCAACCATTTTTTGCCAGTCAGACCAAACCAAAAAGGAAGTATTGAATTGTCTTCAAATGATGGGAAGTGTATATAACAAATTTGGATTTGAATTCAAGATTGTATTTTCCACAAAACCTGTTAGTTTTTATGGTGACAATCTGGAATGGATCAAGTTGGAAGGTATATTGGAAACTGCCCTAAAATCATTGGGTCATGAATGGGAAAGAGACGAAGGAGGGGCTCCTTCTCTCGGTCCAAGAATTGAGTTTTATGTTTCAGATAATTTGAAGAGGTTTATTTACCTTTGTGGAATAATTCAAATGGACTTAATGACACCACGTTTTTTCAATTTGACTTATACCAGTTCAGACAATTCTGCAGAATCAAAACCCATCTGCATCAGCAGTACCATCTTGAATAACACTGAAACTTTCATGGCTTTATCTGCTGAACGTTATGGTGGAAAGTGGCCTTTTTGGCTTTCTCCTAGACAAGCTATCATCATTCCAATTTGTGAAAAGTGTAGTGAATATGCTAACAATGTTAAAGATAGAATTCATCAGGCTGGATACTATGTGGACGTGGATATGAGCTTTCATACGATAGAAAAAAAGATTAGGAATGCTCATTTAGCTCAGTATAATTATATTTTAATAATTGGCGTCAGTGAGATGGAAACTGATTGCGTGAATGTAAGAATAAGAGATGGCGAACAAGAAGGAGTTAAATCTATTCAAGAATTATTGGAAGAATTCGAAGTTAAAATTAGGGAATTTAAATAACTCTCACAGAAAGCTATTACTTATTGAAAAGAATGAAAATCTTGATAACATGCACTAGATTCAAGAATTTCTACTTGGTTAATCACTTGATCAATTGCTCCCTTGAGTGGTTGTGACTTTTCCACGAAAAGGGCAAAGTTTTTAACTGACTGATTACTGTCATTCCTATAATATTCAATCCATGCCCTTAATTTACCATTCAAAATTCCCAAATGATCAAAAGACGTAAATGGTCTTCCCCAGAATTGACAAACAATTTCATCAACGTTGAATGGTATCAAGTACTCTTCTGGAAGTTTCTTTGATTTTCTTAAATACTCAACCAAAAAGTCATTCAAAAGTTTGATGATAATTTTGTAACAAGTTGCCATATTACCATCAACAATCTTCCACCAATTTTCTGACTGATCTAATATGGAATCACTTGGTCGAATGGCCATTTCCAATGCTTGTTTCAACTCCTTACTCGATTCGAGCTCACTAAAAGCACTTCCAAACCATTTCGAATAAGGATAATATTTTCTTTCCAATAAGAAACACAAACACATCATTTCCCTAACTATTTTCCCAACCAGAACAAAACATCCAAGTCTATCTCCCACAACTCCACATCTTCCAACAAATGGAGCTTCCTGTGAAATTTTGGAAAGTTGTATCATTATTTGATAAATCCAAACAATATCTGGATAGTAATTTCCAATTAACTCTCTAATAGGTTTCAGAATTCCACAATCATGATAGATTCTTCCAGCTTGTCCAATCGCCAATAATTTTTGCTGAGGAATTGACAACCAATACGTGTAATCCCCATTCAAAATTTCTATCAACCATTTCGAATAACTAGTTCCATCATTATTCGTTCGTTTGAGAAGATAATTTGAAAAGTAATCTTCAATAGTTGTAATCTGAATCAGTAAATCTCCCAAATTATCATCAGATGAAGTTCTTGAATTGGGATCTTCTTGATATCTCATCCGACATGGAATTCCTTCAAAAATTGAAGGAACCTTCTCATCTAATTCCATCTTGATTTTATCTGAAAATTCTTCATACTCATCGGTAAGGAATAAAATAACTCTCGGAGCAAAATCATGATCTCTGCTCATCTCTGTATCAAATCCCAACACTTCACTACCATAACCAATTAAGGCAGCTGAATGATTTTCATTGAAATTGCCAAAATCACTCTTGTAGAGAATATTAGTAACGATTTGATGATAAAATCTCTCGCATAAATCCAAACCTTTCATGGAGCGAACGTTTTCAGACATTTTTTTAAATTGCATTTTACAATGAAACAGTTTTCAATTCTAGATTTTAACTTGATATCACATTGTGATGAGACAAATTTCAAAGATCAAATTCAATATTAAATAACCCATGCATAAGATCGAAACCTGGCTTTGCTAGACATTTTTTTAGAAATGGTACAAAATGCATGTGTTTATTTCAATTCCAACTTAATGTTGTTAGAATAACTGTTTATGAAGATCGATAGATCTGTCAAATGTTTGGAGTTTTGAACTGTTCTTTAATAAACAGCTTCTCCAGCATAAACTTGATTCTCAATTCCACCCTCTCCTTGAGCAATTTTGAAATATCCAGACATTCCCCAATTTGGACCCCATGAATTGGCAGCTAACCAATAATTAGAACCTCCCTCAACTCCAAATCCAATTAAGGCAACAGCATGTCCACCAAGAACTGTGTTTTCAATGTGTTTATAGACACCAGACTTGTAACTATAGAAAAACAAAATTAGAATATTTGAAAAACTATAATTCAACTCACCCTGTAAGATCCCTGTAGACTGTGAAACCAGCTTGTACGCTGCCATATGTCATGATTGCAGTCTTGATATTATTGATACCTGAAATATAAACAGTATTTTTGGCCTTATACTTGCTCATGGACATGGAAGCAATCTTGCATTGAGTTGGACAAGTTCCAGAGGAGAAGGTTCCTCTTCCACTAGCATATGGAATACAACTGTCAAGTGGTGTTCCAGTATTTTCCAAAAATGTCCAAGAATATTTCAAATAACCTCCTTGACAGGCCTTATTCATTGTATCGCATTGAACTTGATATTCTGGTGAGAGGACAACATTGGTTTGACCATTGGTGGCAATGCACAATCTATGAGCCAATACATAATTTGCAGCTATTAGTTTTAAAAATTACCAAAAAGGAAATTTAAAATGTTGAAATTATAAAAAGTAGAGAAATTAATAAATGAAATTGTAAAACTTAAAAAACTTACAGAAAGCCCAACAAGCACCACATGTTTGTTGATCTCTAATTGCTGGAACGCATCCTTTCCATTGAGTTCTTGCATCGAAATTCATTGGAATATCAATTCTTGTTTCAATATTTGCCATTCTTGGAGTGTCTTCATCAGAGCTCATCAATGAAAGACCAAATAGATTATCTCTAAGTTGTGAAATGGTCATATTATCAAATCTAGAGTATTCAGTTGCCTTCCATCCATGAGTATGATTGGAATTAATTCTATCAATCAAAGATTTGTCATTGACAGGAGTGTTGGCATGAGTGTGATTAGCAATTGGATGAGTTGGATGAACAGGATGAGTGCTATTGTGCTTTGGTGGCATTGGTTTCTTATTGTTTCCTTTGGAAAGTTCAATTGGAGTGACCATTGTCAACATGAAGGTGAATAATACGAAACAGACAATGCAACTGAGAACAAGGAATGTATTAGAAGACTTTCTTCTAGTAGTAGCAAATGATTTGTTTGAATTGTTATTCATTTTGTTTTTTGTTATTGATTCAAACATTCACACTTTGCATTCCACTATTTATTCGAAACCTAAAAGACCGCAAGAGATAATGAAAATAATAATGAAAATACCCCTCATTACCCAAGAGCAGGTATTATTGTTCCTAATGGGAATGGTTTTCTCTTAAACTTGTTGTTGGAAACTCTTCAAGTTGCGAAGAGATAATGTTTCGTCCCAAATTGTTCATCAGATAACATTCCAATAAAGAAAACCATTTTCCAAATGACAAGATTCAGATAACAAATCATTACAAATCAACAATATTCAATATAATGTTGTTAAAAAACAACTTACAATGCATCTGTGTTATCCACATTTTTTGAAAATGCAAAAAATCGAATACCAAAAAGCTTCATTTCTAGAAGAGGAAAGTGACAAATTTGTATTGTGGATTTGTTGTCCAATAGCATCCAATTTTTTTTTTATTAATTGAGAATAGCCGATTGAGTATCTTATCTAATGAAATTGTAAGGGAAAATCAATGAAGGAGAATATGCACCAACTTGATTCAATCTCTTTAATTTAATCTTGATTTTATCTAAATTGCAAACTCTCAATGATATTTTCAAATTGTTCCAAGGTTCAGTAATTAATATAGGATTTATTAGAATGAATTCCATTACTATTTATTGTTGTCCTGAAACAGCTTTCCATGCAGGTCTTGTTGAAATCTTTTCCCACCAAGCTTTAACAAGTGGACGATCCAACAATAAATTACCCAATCCAATAGCGAACAACAAGTTTCCATATGGTAAGTGATACAAATCGGCTAAGGTGAATTGATTTCCACCAATGAATTCTTGTTTAGCCAACACTCTTTCATAGGCATCCAAATTGAGTGCTAACTTTTCACTCAATTGTTTGACACGAGTTTCATCTGCAGCTCCATATCCCATCATGCCCTTAAATAACTTTTCGAAAACTAAACCAGAGGCATTTGAATCAAAGTAAGCAGTCTCAATGGAAGCACCTTGTTCGAATAGACCCAAAGCTTTGAGCTCGGTTGGAATGAGTTCAGTTCCTTGGCTCTTATGTTTGGCTTCCAAGTAACGACAGATGGCACGAGATTCATAGATCAAGAAACCATCATCTTCCAAGACTGGAATGACACCAAATGGATGTTTTTCCAAGTAGGATGGTGACTTGTGTTCGCCCTTCATTAAATCAACAGGAACAAGCTCATATTCCAAACCTTTCTCCTTAATTGTGGTCAAAACACGTTGAACACAAGTAGATTGAGCAGCACCATAAATTTTGTAGACCATTTTGTTATTTGTTAATAGTATATAATACAGTTAAGTTGTTTTTTTGTGATTGAAAATGCATAATCGTTAGTGTGCCATTTATGGTGGATTCTGTACCGAAACCAAAGCGCTGCCGTGAGCACTAATTATTGATCTGTGGAATTTGCGCAAGAAATGGTTGCCATTTCATCCTCTTGGAAACTTCACAATCTGTCATTAAGAGAATGATTTTATGTATTTCAAAGCATTGCAATTTCAGAAATTTCAGGTGAAGTGATTAATATTTCACAATTTAAGAAAGAGAATGGCTACGGCCATATCACGATGAATGCACCTCATCCCGTCCGATTTGAGAAGTTAAGCATCGTCGAGCCACATCAGTACTGAGGTTGGAGACAACTTGGGAACCTGTGGTGCTGTAGTCTTTTACTTATCAATATTGCTTATTGGTCAATCGTCCAGTTGCTTCTCTCATTCTTTCCATTATTCCAAACAAAGTGTTAACCACTGATAAAACTGCTCCATCATCAATAATGATCAATTAAGATTTGCTACATGTTCAAAATAAATGACATTATTATTTATTAAAATACCACAAACATTTTGCCATTCTTCACTCTAGAACAAACAGAATAAAAACAATGTTCCTTATGCAATTCTGAAAACCATCTTTCTCGGCCAATTGGCTTTGATCGAGTGTAGTATCTGTTCTTTTCAGTTTAATAGCTGAAAGCAGCCCACGGGTTGCATTACTATTAACTCAATTTTTTGTAGGGATCAGGGTTTGAGCTTGATTGCTCACTTTGATTGGTTTCAATCAGACATTGCACAAACCGTCAGATTAGGAGCCACCCAACTCTTTTAATTAATTGAAAAATCATTGAACAAAGACAATCTCAATCAGAGTAAAATTGAGCTTTTTACAAATTCCGAGCATGTATGATGACGAAGATATAGTAAGCATGCTGAGGGACTCAAAACAGTCATTGATTGGTGTTGATATTGAACAATTTCTTGTCGACATTTGAATGCAGTTGGCAAGTGCGAAAAGGAAAATGAGAAGTGGAACGATTTCAAGAATGAATTATTTGATTAATTGAAAGTAGAAACAATTAGGAAATTGATGTTGTTTTTTGTTCTCCTTCATAACATAACTATTGGGATTAGCAACACTTAAAAGCTATTGAGAGGATGCAAAAGTTGGGGTCTGTGAGGATCGAACTCACGACCTTAGGATTATGAGACCTACGCGCTACCGACTGCGCCAAGACCCCGACACATTATAAACCTTTTACAGTTTCTTCATTAACCTTAACTGAGTTCCTAGGTTTACCTAATAGGAACAGTTTTCTTTTGTTCATATTCAATTCGAAAAAAATGTTACAACAAACAGAAGAAACAATTGATGAAAAATTAAGATCAAATACAACAACAAATTGGAAAGACATTCCACTGGAAGTGTGGACTCATCACATTTGGTCGTTTCTTCACCTTCCAGAACTTTTTTCCATTCGTCTAGTTTCTCACGAATGGAACGATTTTTTATTGCATCACGCAAGAGATTATTTGCTTCACGTTAAATTAAATCGGATTCATATGCCTTCTTTTTTAATTTGTTGCAAACATTTGTATTTTAATAATATTGGAAAATTGGATATGAAATTTATAGAGTACGCTCTTGAGCCGAAACATCAAAAACCACTTGACGAAACTGAAAGAAAGGAAATTGCAGAAAGTTTTAATCCCTTAGAATATTTTCCAAATCTTTCCAGTTTGAAACTAACTCTTACTGATGTGAAATCATTGGAAACTGTTTCTCCCCAAATTGCAAATATGAAATATCTCAATGATTTGGATATTAGATCAAATTTAATGACAAACAAGTGTTTGAATACAATTCTAACACAACCTGTAACTTTAATGAGTTTAACTAGATTGGATGTTTCTGTGAATGTGTTGGGAACATCTTGTGTCGAATTTATCAATTCAAATCCTCATCTCTCCAATCTGAAATATCTTAATATGAGTAATAATCAGTTGCTTTTATTCCATACTAAGGTTGAGAGTGTATTCAAAGACACTTTGGAAGAGCTCTATGTCTCTGATTGCTCCCTCAATATAGAATCTATGAAGAATATTTTGGTGAGCTATCCAAAGTTGACTACATTGGATTTTAGTTTCAACAAGCTTGAAAAAATCAAAAATTTATATCAATCTATTCAATTAGAAAACGATACAGAAAAATACTGCAAACTTATTCGATTAAACATGTCAGGATCCAAATTAAGAAATGATCAATTGGAATATATTGCCAAGATTCCAATCTTTTCAGAATTGAGAATTCTAGATTTGAGTAGAAACAGAATCAACAAATTAGGAACTGAAAAACTAGCTGACGAATCAATTAGTGTCTTGTCCAAAGTTGAATATCTGGATTTGAGTCGTTGTGGAATTGGAAAAGAAGGTGCACAAAATATTCGACAAAGTTCAATATTTTCCTCTCTAAAATTATTAATTGAATAAACACTCATTATTCTAATACTTTGAAAAAGATGAATTTGATCAAGTGGGAGTTGTTAACTTTTTGTAAACTGTCAATAACAAACAAGCAACGTTTAAAAAAATGCAACAACAAGATGATATGGAACCCTTCGCTTCCGAACGTAAAGAAAAACTCCTCTCTGAATCACTCTACGATGTCGAACAATGGGCAAATGAATTAATTGATCCGAATACTCAAAAACGATTGACTCCGAGAACTTTCTTCTTGGATCTTTCCATAGAGGAAGGTACTGCAATTTATCATACATTTCAGCAGTTTGTTCTTCATCATCGGAATAAATTTACTTCCACTGATGAGAAGGCTATGAAAAATTTGGAAGGAAGAATTGCTGATTTTCTGAAGGAACATTTTGATGGAAAGAGAGTGTTTTGTAGATTGTCAACGAGAAGTCCGAAAGATGCTAGTTTGTTCGAAGGTTCTCATTCGTATGAGGTAACTAAGGAAATTATGAGAAAGCAATGGATTAGGAATTTTTATTTGAATAGAAGGAAAACAATGAAAGAGGATCAATCCTTTGTTTATACGAATGAGGTTGAAGATTTTGAAAATTATGTAAAGAATGAAATGAAATACTATGAGGAGTATTTGATTTTTATGAAAGCATCTCAACAATCTCTATCAGTTTCGAATGAAAAGGAAGTTTTGGATGTATTAACTCATTCTGAGAGAGTACTCAGAGATTTGGTGAGAGCATTGGATTTTCCATCAGTGTACAATATGAAGTTAATTTTTAGAGAGTGGTGTCCAGAGCTGTCTTACGAATATGAATTTAGAGGATTTATTCACGATTTTGAATTGATGGGTTTAACACAATACGATAATTCATTCAAAATTGATGATTTGATTAATAATAAGGATGAAATTGCTCAATCAATATTGAATTACTACAATACCACTGTTAAGCCATTATTAATATCCAAATCCAATGACCCCAATTCTGCAATTTCAAAGTGGAATGGAAGAGTGATTATGGATTTTGCCATTCTACAACCAAGTAAGGAAGTTATCATTGTTGAATGTAATCCATTCAATGATGGAACAGGCGCATCACTATTCGAGGTTGACAGATCCTTAATTGTTGAAAATTACTCAAAAACTAATCAATTAGATTTTAGAGTTGTAACAAATGAGTTGTACAATGAAATTCTCTCTCATGGCACTCATGTTTGGGAGAGTATCTTCTCCTCAACAAGAGAGCAAATATTGAAAGAAACCAAACAACAAGCTCAACAACCATCCTCCTTCTTATGTAACATTTTATAAATTAGACTAAACGATTGTTACATTGACAGTTAAATAGTTTATTTTTCATTCTAATTGGCTTTATCGAATAATAATTCATTTCTAACTGAATTACAAAACTGTTCAAAACAACCACTCAATCAATAAGTACTATTTTAGATCAATTTCGTTCAATTTTAATTGACAGGAGGTTACATCAACTCAACCAAAAAAATGGGTAACCAACAAACAGCACAACTCAAGTCAAGAGCATTGTCTTCCAATAAGATTCTCCTTGTTGCAAAGGGAATTTATGCGATTGATGTACCAGAAATTACAAACAAGCAAATGTTGCTTGCCTTGAAGGAAGGTGCACCAAAATTAATCAAGTTACAAATTCACTTGAGGGATCAAGGTATGTGTTTTTGTTCCCTAAACCTATCTAAATATGTATTTTGATGTTATTATTGTCGTTGTCGTTGTTTATTGGTGTGGTGTTCAATTGATGAATTAATTATTCTTGTGTTGTGGAAATTTACTGTAAAAAATTGTGATGATGTGATGATGATTTTAATGTGATTATATTGTTGTGTATTTGTGAATGTTGATGATAATGTTGGTAATTTATGCTTGATGATGATGATACGGAATGTGTTTAATAATATTAATATTTTGTATAAATACATAATAATAATAATAATATTTAGATAATGAAATTATTCCTAGCAATCCACCAACAGTTCAACATCCACAATTTACCTTCCCATTGTCTAATGATTTATCATTCTCTTTCAATGATTATCACTTATTCTTGCCAAACTTGGAAAATTTGGCTTCATTGAGTATTGTTGCTACTCTCGAAGTTCCTCTCTCACAAGAAGAACAACAATCCTCTCTCACTAGTGTCTTGAGTATTATTGGAGCTGCATCGGATGTGAATCAAGTTCATTTGGGAGAGTGCATTCTCGATTTGAGAACTATTAGAAAACGTGATGTTTACAATAGTGTCACACTTTCATTGATTAGAAATAACAAGGTTGCTGGTAAAATTGATGTACAAATTGTTAAACCAGGTTTGAAAATTGATATTTTGGAATTACAAAATTCAATTGTTTCCTATGAACACATGAATGGAGTTACAATTAATGAAACTAATTTATTCTTCAAGGCATTTGATAGATTTGTTGAACAAACTTCAGATGTTCAAGAATGTAGAAAAGCCAAAATGAAAGTTGAATTATCTGCCCAACAATGGATCAATTTTCATAGTGAAGAACGTATCTCAGTTGTTTCTATTGACACATGTCACACCAAGAGCAGTTCTGGATATGAAATGTACTCATGCAATGTTTGGTACAAGTACAGATATGAATTCCTTCAAGAAACTCATCAATTAGAACAAGAAAAGGAAGCAAGACTCTTAAAGGAAGCTGAAGAAGCCAAAAAGAAATTGAAGCCAGAAGAAGTTGAAGATGATTTAACTGATTCAGAGGCATCTGTTGATGATTCACCAACCAAGACCACAACTGAGACAACAACAACAACTAATACCACTGAACAAGCTGATACTGCCACAACCAGTACTACAGAAACACAAGAAGAAAAGAAGGAATAAAGTATTGATCTTTAAGGTGCAATATTCTCCCTCATATTTGAATCAATTTATTAAGGAAGAGAACTTGTATATCGGACTTTGAAGCCCTCTCATCTATATCTCCATTACATCTTCTTAGTTACTCGGCTCTTCAATACTAGTCAGCATTCACATCCTCACACAGAGTGTTGCTTTACAAACGTGTCAGGCTATTGAGAATCCAAATCACTTCTAATTGTTACTCAAAAATGTTTCAAATTGGAACTTACCAAGAAACGAGTGTATGTATTACGGAGCAATCACAATTAAAAAACATTGAAAAAATCATCTGTGTAGTCTTCTGTATTATTATCCACCAGACCATCATCAGATAATTATCATCTACGAAAGAAAAAAACGTGAGGTAGTGGTGAAATATCAAGAGTTTGTTACTAACAATTTTTAGCAAGAACAACAACAACGGAAAGACGTTAGATTGGAATCAGAAGACAAAAATTTAAAAAAAGATTTTTAAAGTTGTGTTGCTCTCACTCTCCCTAACTCTCTCAAATATTGTTGGTCTGATTATTTTCTGATAACAGCAAGATAATAACAGGCAACAAAACATCTAACAATATATATTATCTACGTGAGGAATTTTGTGGCTGGATTTATTTTGATGCAAACATATTCTGATCAAATTAGAATACTACAACAATAAGAGCAATTATTCCCTCTGTCTCTTTGATCATCATTATTATCCAGTGTGATTGATTAATGGATTTTTTAGATTATATAGGCTTTTCAACAAAAGACAATCAAATACCGAATGTGTTAGTATCATAATTATTTCAATTATTTTGACCTTTGCAGAGCAATGAAAGGAATAGATTTTTCTGAAACAACAACTCCAGTATGGCTTTTAGGCTTGGAGTATCAACCTTTTCTTGTTTGCTCTGATGAGCAAAATGGAGCCATGTTACAAAGTAGTTTTATGGCTACAACAACAACAAATTCATCATTAACATTTTCTACGGACAATCCTAACCCTGTAAATCATCAAGCCTTCTCCTCAAATACATCATCTTCAGCCAATGATGAAAGTTCTCCTAAAACACCCTCCAAAATCGGATCATTCTTCAAATCAAAGAAATCAAAGAAAAATTACACTGATAGCGAATTGGTGAAAATCTACCAGAACAAGTTGCAATTAGAGAGTTTCATGTTAGATTTTGAATCGAGGTTTTGGTTTTCCTACAGAAAGGAATTTGAACCAATTTCTAACAATCCTCTTGTGATTGAGCCATTACCAGGTGGACCTTCTGATACATTCTCCTACTTGGGAAGTAATAGTAGTAATGGAGGTGGTAATGGTGGACTTTTGAGTAGTCAAGGATCACTTTTGAGTTCTGGAACAAGTAACAATGAGGATATTCCTTTTTACAATGGCTCTCCATCACAATACTATAATAATGGTACCAACAGCAACAATAATAGTTTTTCCAAATCGAATTCAGCCTCTTCCTTGAGTAAGCTGTATAGATATGTAATTAATTATGCTTCTCTGACATCAGATACTGGTTGGGGTTGTATGATGAGATCAGGTCAAATGCTATTGGGTCAGGCTTTTTTAACACACTATTTAGGGAGAGACTTTAGACTGCCTATCAATGACAAGACAAGAAATATGTATGAAATCATTAGATCATGGTTCTTTGATACAGAATCTGCCTATTATTCAATTCATAGAATTGCTCGTGCAGGAACATTTTTCGGAAAGAAAGTTGGTGAATGGTTTGGTCCATCCACAATATCATATGTCTTAAAGTTACTTGTTGAGCAACATTTGAAGGGAGAATTCATTTTGCACGTATCGGAACAAGGAGGAATTTACAAGGATGAAATACTTGCTAAATGTGAATATGATTTTGAGGAATTTTCGATAGATGTCAATAATATCCAAAAGGAGAATACTACCTCTTCCTATCCACAAATCGAATGCATTGGACCAAGGATAAAGACAACTAAAAAATGGAAACCTCTCATCATGGTCATTCCATTAAGACTCGGACTTGAAACATTTAACACTGATTACATTCCATCCATTCAGAAAGTTTTTGAAATGCCACAGACACTCGGTATCATGGGAGGAAAACCAAAGTCTTCCCTCTATTTCATTGGATATCAAGACAATGAGGTTATTTACTTGGATCCACACACGACACAAAAGTCTTCCAGCAAACAAGAGACCTACCACTGTAAAACTCCACTCAAATTACCAATCTCAAAGATTGATCCATCTATGGCTCTTGGATTTTTATGTAGTACCAAACAAGATTTTGAAGATTTTTGTACTCTTGCAGAAACTCATTTAGCTTCACGATCACATCCTTTAATTTGTATTAGAGACCAAAAACCTCAAGAACGAGACTTGGACGTCATTTCATTTGATGATTTGTCAGAGAATGGTGTTAAAGACGACCTCGATGACGACATTGTCATTTTGTAAATATAAAATATAGAAAGTTCAATGATTATTGTAAGAAAGCAACACACTCATTTACAGTTTTCTGTTGCAACCTCTGTAACTGTAGTCTCATTGGGAACTGTAGACTATCCAATACTCTAATTGAATTTGTGTTGGTTGTTCAAAATTATCACTAATTCTCCTCTCGGTCAATCCAAATTTCACAATCCAATCTTTGTCATCATCACTTCCAATAATTAAACACTTTACAACTAGTCCACTTTAAGAAACAATTCAATTTAAAATGTAACAATGAAATATTGACTGAACAAAATTGTTGAACGAATCTTACAGCATGAAGTATGATAGATTCTTAAAACATTTGAAATGTTTGAATCAAAAAGTCAACACTGTCCATTTAGTTCAATATCATATTTCTTTTCCTTTTATGGATGATAACAAGCCTCACAAGGATGTGTTCAAAGTGTTTTTTAAAACTTACGTACTGTCCCAAAGCAATAACATGTCTATAACTCTCAATTCTTCATATTATATTAGCTTAACATTTCATCCTTCATTTCCTCTACATTCTTCCACTTTTCATGATGCACTCAATCAACGGGAGACGATCCTTCATTCACTTCACTTACACTTTACAAAACTTCAACAGAGTTGACTATAGAACAACAAAGTGTTTTAATTCACAGTACTATCAATACATGTTAGAGTATTAATTACAAAAATGACAAAGATGAAACTTTAAAGGAGAGACATTTGTCATTTAATTCATTGGATAATTGCAACACCACCATCCAATCTAGTTTATCAGCCAAAATTATACAAATTTAAAAGTGTATTTTTGCGCAAAGAATTTCTAGTCAACCACAAACTAACCAAAAAATAGCCTTTTATGGAGAGGACACAACAAAAGAAGATTGTCAATGAAAACAAGAAGAAATAAAAAATTAGGAAGGGCACTAGAAGTGTCATGCTTTGATGAGTATTGTCTAAACATTCTATTTGTCTTTAAATAAATCAAAAAAAAGCAACGAGAAAGGTTTCGGATCATCACCTAAAACGAAACTAAACTAATTCTTCTTCTGTTCTGACGATTGTCTCGAGTTAGCAATAATCTGTATCCATTCCAAGATTTGCAAATAGACATTGTCACTAGATCCATCCAAACAAAGACCCAAAGATTCTCAACATCTTTTTTATTCGAATCCGGCAGAAACATTTAAACATTTTAAATTCTGCACTATTTAGAAACGAGAAAGTAACCAAGGACTGCGTATTCTTGTTGAATTGAAAAAAAACAGTTCTTTTTAATAATAAGACGAAACTAAACTATTTGTAAATAATAACTAGAAGACTTTAAAATGCAATCGGTGTGTGTTGAACGATGGAATGAAAAGCAAGTACACTATTGGCTGAGTCATTTAGACGAATGTCAAGTGTGCACCGATAACTTGAAGTTTTTATTAGAAACTTGTCAAATAGACGAAACTAAAGAGTCTCATAATGAACAATTCAATGAACTGCCCACCAACACCACCCACTCTCCATCCACATTATCATCCTTCAAAGAAATGATACCCTTCTTCAAATATCATGCTCTGCTTGGAATTGATTTATTAGAATTAACACTCGACGAATTATTTTCAATATTTTTCAATGAAGAAAACCAAGAAGAGAACGAGGATGAAATTATAGATATTCCATCGAACTGTAATATAGAGGATGAATCAACGAAATTATTGATTCACAAATTGTACTACCATTTATGTATTTTAAAATTTAACAATCAAAATTCTGTAAATAATATTAGACAAACATTTAATTATTGCACTGAGTGCATAGATAGCCGAGTTAATTCGAGGATTCATTAAAATAAACTGCCATAATAGTTTGCTTACCTAATTAAATTAAATTATTCATTGCGAAATGTTGACAGTTGTCACTTTAAAAAAAAATGAAACAATTTCTCACTAGTGTTCTGGCACTGCTGCTAACTGTTGTTTTACTGCTTGTGATGGTAGTGAGTTGTCATGATGCTGCCGACTCGATCATGAATGGGAAGTTTATTTCAATTTCTTCCAGTTTCGAATATTATCAAGATACTCCGTACAATGTAACTTCAACAATTTATGATTTTACCAACATTTCCGAAGTTAATAACACATTCCTCTATACTTATGGATCAGAAATTGGTTTTTTAAATTATGGAATTGCCTTCCAAGTGATTAGTTTAATTTTCGAATTTATTTTAATTGCCATGTCAGCCACACCATTGATTTCTAAAAAAGGAAGAACTTGGCAGAAGAAAGTACTATTGGCATGTTGTTTGAGTGCTTCTGTTATGGAGTTTGCTGCTCAACCTTTTGATGTGTTGAAAGTGTTTCATCCAGTTCAGGATAAATCTATTGGAAACGTTGGTGGTAAGTAGTTTAATTGAATATTGAATCTTTGATCAAATATTTCAGTTCTAATTCTTCCAGTCTTTCTTGCAAAACTTCAATTCCATTCCATTTTTGGTATTTTCGTCTATTTATTCTTCCACATTAATCGAATTATTTTAACAATTGCCGAAAGAATTAACACTAAAAAGAAGAGAGAAGAAATGAAGGAACATTACAAGAAGGCCATTCTTCAAGCTATTGCCTCTAAAAAACCATCTCTTCCAGTTTCCAATAATTTACACGAAAGAGAAAGACCAAGATCCGCCAGCATGGATAGCGTTCATTCAGGCACTCATTTAATCAATGGAACAACTAGTTCAGTACCAGGATCAGTCAACACAACAGGAACTCCTGGAAATAAGACACCACCCAACATGTTTGCCACAATTAGTTCACCAACAAGTTTGACACCTTCAATTAATTCAGTTTCGTCTCCAGCGAATGATGAATTATGGTATATGAGAAAGCAAACTGTTTCTCCAACCTCTAATCAAACATTGATTGTACCAAATGTTCAATTGAGATCTAGTTTGGATATTGCCACATCAAATGCTCATCCAAGTGTTTCAACATTGGCAGTGAGTAGTAGTGTTTCGAATAGTGGAGAATTGAAACCATTAACAAAGAATGCACTCCTTCTACCAAATAATCTTCCTGGAAGTAGAAGAGGAAGTACAGCTTCAAATATTTCCAATTTTTCAGATACATCAGTGAGTGGATTACTAGTTCCAAATGCAAAGAAATATCTATTCGATCCAAATATTTCACGTGAAAGAAAGAACAGCAATACGTCCACTAATAGTCAATTGAGTGAATTGGAAAAGACACTCGCATTGGCTGTACCTACTAATTCATTCTATGAAAAATATCCAAGTTCTAAACTTGTGAAAATGATCAAATTTATCAAGTTTTCAATGATTGCAGTTTTAGTTTTGGATATTATTATTGGATTCCTTGATATTGTAGTGTTGGGTATTTTCTACTTGTGGGATTTGGTTGGACCAGCTGATACTGCATTCTTTGCAACTCTTGACATTTATCCATTGGTAGCTCTTATTCTGGCAGTTATACTTTCTTTCATGATGATTCTGTTTGCATTTGTCAATTTGGCACAAGTTATTGGACTCACTGTAGCTCTCTATCTTCATCCAGATCATGATGATGCAATTAAGAGTGCTATTTTGGGCCATCCATTACCTTCCAATGCTGGATCAACTGGTCCACTTAAAGTAGCTCTGGAATCAATTGAGGAAAATCGTGTAAGATTAGTCATTTCATCAGCAGTGATTATTTCTCAATTATTTGTGGCTGTTTTCGTTGCCATGTATCCTATCCTCTATCACAGCATGATGATTCAGGGAATGAGTTTCCTCTTCCAAATTATTTATTATTTTGGAAGAAGAATTGGAACTTTTGGAGCTATTTTAACAATTTACATGTTATATTCTCCATTCTTTCACATGTATCATAGTATTACAAAAATAGCAACTACCAAAAATAAGAGAATTCTATTCTTTAGATAAATAAATTATTATTAACTGGATATTATTTATCGATTGCTTATTTACAGTATTTGGAAAGATATTGAGATCGCAATGATTCATTGGATATGTACAGATCAAATTCAATTAAACAAAGCTTAAACTATGTGCAACTTTTTGTAAAAATGTTTTTGGTACTTGCTCTTCCAAAAGATCTGGAAGGATTGGTCGTCCTACTCCGTTCTTTTTTCCAACAATGACGAAACCTTTAGGTTCTGATGGATTTTCTTCTGCTTTTGGAATTGTTGGTTTCTTTTCCTTTACAATTGTTTCGGTTTTAAGTTTGGATGAATAGTTTCGAACTGAGTTTCTGCTAGGTGAAAGTAATTTGTTTGACCAAGAGATGGTGACTCGGCAAAGTTTTGATGATAATCTTGTAATAAACGACATTCTCTTTTTGTTGGAATTGAATTTGATTGTTTTCTTTTGTTGTCATAAATATTTTTTACCAAGTTACATGGACAAAGAAGGGTAACATATCTTTTAATATTTTGATTGGATTGATTTAACAAAAATACATTGCCAAAAGTGACAAGATGTTTCATCATGTGTTATTAAAAAAATAGGATGTTCTCCTTAAAGATTAATGATTTAATGAAATCTTGGTTGATATAATTAAGGTGGGATTAATGTATTTTATGAATTTTAAAGTGGAAGATTGATTAATGTGTCGGGGTCTTGGCGCAGTCGGTAGCGCGTAGGTCTCATAATCCTAAGGTCGTGAGTTCGATCCTCACAGACCCCAACTTTTGTTGTTTGTTAATTTTTATTATTATTTCTACTATTGAAATACTCTTATTATAACTTGAATTCGCATAAGAACGAAGAAGCAGAGTTGATTCATCGATTTAACTTGTCTGCTATTTTTAATTTTTGAATTTCAAAAATAAATATCCAAAGTTATCCCGTTTATCCTACTTCTTGATTTGGAAAAAACGAAACCAGCAGTGTCCAAATCCATCCTAATTTTACGAGCACAACCTTATTAAAAACACTAAAAAAAATGTCTAAACACCTCAGCTGTGTCTTGTTATTACTGTTACTTGTCGCCATTGTGCATGCTCAAGTTTTCGAATCTACTTCCAACTTTCGTCCAGGATTATACGAAATTAGTTTCAACTCTTCATTGCCAGTTTCTTTTGGCAGCTCCCCAAATCCACTCCCACCACACGATCCATTGGATCAAAACCATCATTGATTACTCATCCAGAGAAGTCAATCGTCAATTCAAACTTTCTTCCATGGAATATTTAATTTTCAAATCCTCCGCAAACTTTACAATTTCTCATGAAATCAAAGAAGCTTTTGGAGTATTATCTAGCAAGAATACTCACATTTTGAGAATTCCATCACATGGCATTGAAAGATTATTCTCCAATTCCATTATTTTGACCCATTCGAATAAGAATGTTCTTTATTTGAAAAGAAGTTTCGGCTACAATCATTACGGACCTTTCACAATTAATTTAGGATTTAAATTTAGAGAATCTGATGATCCAGAATATACCATGTACTCATTTCCATCTTCAAACATTTTGGAAATTTCAATTCCTATCGAAGTTCCAACTTCCAAAAAATCATCAAACTTTAACACACCTTTCTATTTGTATATTCAATGCAATTCACTATCTGAGGAGTGTCCATTAGAATTGAGAGTAGCCAACACAGAACATACTGATATTTTGACCATTGTAACCATTTGTATTATTGGCGCCATTTTACTTTTTATTGCAGCAATTTCACTTCCAAGTTTGTACATTGCCTGTAAAGGAAAAAAGAAAAATTCTGAAAAGGTAATTAGAGAAGACTCGAGAACACAAGATGGAGAAACACATCACGTCAATAATGAGGAAATGTCTGGTCAAATTTGTAGAGTTAGCTTTGAAATGCCACGTCCATCCATTAGCTCTGATATTCCAGATGATTTGTTGATGAGATATAGATTACAAAACTCTGCTAGAAATCAACAACCTGTTGAGTTGTACACTGTTAGCAATGAACAAGAATGTGTTGAGTTGGAGGGAAATCCCAGTCCCTGCCCAAATCAAACAGAAGATTCTGATGATTCAGCGGCAGTTCCATATCAACAAAAATCAGTTTACAATAAGGAAAGTTTCAAGTAAATTGATGAGAAGGAAACGCTTTCCAATAAAAGAAATGGAATTTAGAATTTTTTTTTTCACTTCTTTTTGAAAATGCTCTTCCTATTGAGATAGCTCCATTTACTTTCCAATAATTGTTTCTTAGTTGACCATTATTCTTATTTATTTGTATGACAAGCAGTGAATAATTGAGCGCTCTTATCTACTAAATTCCTCTTCACCTCTACAAGTCCCAACTTTTTCATCATTGGTCGATAGGTTTCGTATAAATGTTCTGAACTAAACAACACATAAGCTCCTCCCCAAAACACTCCTCCCATAATATAACTCGCAATTCGATGTTTAAACATGATCGTCCACAAGGTTTCTCCCACAAATTGTTCCGTAATAAATCCCAACTCTGACACCACCTCATAAATCATATAAATCAATGCAAGTAAAATAAGAATCAAATATTGAGAAAATTTGAATTGGAGAAAATAAATCTTTCTCTTCTTTTTCAGCATGAAATAGATTTTCAGAGAATAGGTAAAGATAATTGACCAGGAAATGATTAAGGCAATGAAGGCAACTGGCATTGACAGGACTCGAATGTAACCAGAGATGATTTTTGCTGTGAAGGCAGTGACGATACAGGCAATAATGAGAATCATGAGGAGAATGGAAGCACAGAATAGGATTATTCTATTGGAAAGGTTTAAATTACTTTCGAATATAAAAGTATATTACTTACAAGCCATGAATGGAAACTTTCTTGTTTTTTCCGTCCAATTTCAATAAAACTTCCACAAATGATCCAGCAAGTGGAATATTATAAACACAAATGAAAGCTAATGAAGCTATTAGAAAGGTAGTAGTAGGATAAACTGCTGTTCCATTAATACCGTAAGAAGCAGCATGCAATAATGCATTCATGAATAAACAAAAAACACCCATCAGCAAACTGACAACTGTCAACAATTTCATGTCACATAAAATTCTCAATAATTCATGTTGCAAATGCTCCTTCATTGAATTTCTAACTTGTTCTGATCCTGCATTCTTATCCTTGTTTGGTAATTCTTCTTTCGTTTCGGCTACAGGAGTAGAAACTCCTTCAAATGAAATCACAACTTGATCTGATTGAGAACTGACAACTTGAATAGGAGTTGAACAATTTTCTGAAGTAGTTTCTTCATTAAGAATTGGTACTATACTAGCATTGGATGGGCTTGGTGAGCAAATTTCCTTCAATGGCATTATTTTTGCTGTAGACGAAACCATTGGAGAAACTTGAAGTTTCTTTTGAGATTTCTCAATCACTGTCATATTTTGTCTGGCAATCATGTGATCCTTCCACTTTTTCACATTCCTCACCAGAATTGGAATGAAACAAATTATTGTAATGACAATCATTTGTAAAGTGTGAAATAGAATTTCAATTATTTTCAGAGAAGGATGCGAACTCAGTGGAACCCAAAATTTCACATAAACACTTGAACATTCAAAGAAGGATAATGTTTCAAAGGTGATTTCACTTGAATTGGAGCTTGTTGATGTGCAGTGGCATAGCAGTGTTCGGTTGAAGAAGGGAATTGTTGACATTCCACAAGTTTCTTCCATGTTTCGTCCAAATATTACGTCCAATGTTTGAACTTTAGGGTAAGCACTCTGCTGGACAATAGCTGGTAAAGTTTCTGTATGAAATTGTTTGAAATATGGATTATTTTCTTTACAAAACATGAAATAATTGAAGGCGTTCACCAATTCGAATAGATTTGCTTTCGTATTTCCGTTTTGTAGAACTATATCAAAACCATTAATGAAATAAATTCTTTCAATCGTAAAATTCTTCTCGATTAATAAACTATCCAGATACGGCACGAAGTATTGAGTCATTAAAGTGATATTGTTGAACATTTCGAATAATTCTAAAGTTTGATTTCTCATGACAGCATTCGAATTCAAACTAGCACAGTAAGGAGCAATATCAGACTCCAACATTACCAAATTATACTGATAATCCACCAAAGAGGCTCCATTAATAACAAAATTCTCTCGGAATAATGCATTCGGCAGAGAATCACAATTATACGAATCCCAATTCTGCACCATATCATTGGTGTAATTAAAATAATAACCAGCCACCACACTGAGTTCTTCTCCAATATTTTGCAATCTCCAATAGAGTGGACATGTAGAGGGTGATGATGATGAACTTGTTTCAGTCAATTGTGCACCAAACACTGAGGACATCATAATGAGGAGAATGAATGTGAGATGAGATGAAGTTGTCATCATGTTGTGTTGTTGCATCTTTTTTTACTGTGTTATGAAGGTGGGCAACACTGAAAACTATTTGGGCTCAATAATCGTTGATGAGGCAAAATAGAGATAGATATTGTTTTGGGGAACGGAGAAACTAATCAGTTTCCATATTAGTATGAAAAGGAAAGGATTGCACTTTGATTTCACTTGTCAAGACGTCGTTCACCTCAAACACTTGATGACTTGTTGCCTTAACATTGTTAACAAACACAAGGTTGTCTTTATTCTGAAATTATTGTTGCGACTGATTGGCTTTTGATAATTTCCTTAAGTCTTTCAATTTCCTTTTGTTGTTCTTCAATGAGTCTGTTCTTTTCTTTGAGAAGGTCGATGGTTGCAAATTGATTACCCGAAGATTTTCTCTCAAGGATTGGAACTGCCTTTTGTGCTACATTGGTTTTGTATTTTCTCTTTAGGTTGTTTACCTTCTCAAGAATTTCACCTGCTGTTGGTCTATTGTTAGGATCTGTATCAATACATTGCTTAACAATTGCCATTTCTTCTGGGAACTTTTTGACCATTTCAGAAGGTATTATACCATCTTTCAAATCTTTCAAAATAAATGCTCGTTCTGTACGGGTTCCAAATGGATGCAACAATTCAAACAAAATTACACCCAAACTATAAATATCAGCCTTTTCATTATACTGTGAATTGGATAATTGTTCCAAACTTGCATAGAAATATGTGCCTACACCCACAGTGTGATCAATGTTTGTTGGACTACATGGTCTGTTCATGATTATGCACGAACTTGAATCATGAGGTCCATCACAACTTGCTCTATTGTGATTTATAGTTTCAAAGCAATATTTGGCAAGTCCAAAATCTCCAATTTTAACAGTATTGTCTGATGAAAGGAAAATGTTAGAAGGCTTCAAATCACGATGGATAACTCCTCTTTCGTGTATATGTTTGATGCCATCACAAATTTGACCAAAGAAATGCAATGCTTCATTCATATTCAGCTTCTTATCTTGAGTTCTTTCAGTTGACCATAACCAATCATCTAGTGTATGAGGATTGCACAACTGCATTTGAATGAAAAGTACCATCTCGAATTTGTTATTTTTCTCATTGAACATGTCTTTGAGTACTCGGAAGAGATGGCTCGTAGTCTTTTTCTTTTCTACAGCAAATTCAAGATAACTCATATCTGTAGGAGGTGAAAAAGGGAGCTCGAAAGTTGATTCCATATTTGCAACTGATCCAGAATTGAAACTAGTTTCTGGGCTCATCTCGAAAGTTAAAGTGTTAGGAAAAACTGTTTTAGGACTTCTTCTATTGACATCAACATGAGGAATAATATCATTCTCTTCCTCATCATCTGAATCAGTAGCATATCCCATACTGGAGAAACGTTCCAAATTAGAAGTGCTCATTGATGATTTGAAATCTGATCGGTCGTGATTAGTGTGAGATCCTCCAGTTTCATCTTCTTCTGGTGGAAGTTCATCGTCATGCATACCATTGGTGTTTGGCTCAAACCAAGCTTGGTTATATCTTACAATATTTGGATGGTCCAAAGCTGCCAAAGCTCTCACTTCTCTAATTACTTGCTTGTAGACATCTTTTAATTCTTGACTATCTTTGAATGAGAATTTAATCTTCTTGATAGCATAGTAGTGACCATCAATCTTGTGTTTACAAACGAACACAACACCAAAAGCACCTCTACCAATTCTTTGTTTGTGATAAAAATCTGATTTGTATCTACTAGGACTGAAAAAGAGTGAATCAAACAAAGGCAAGGATGTCAGTAAAGTTGAAGATTTGTTTGGTGCATATTCATTACTGTTAGCTGAGAGGAAGGAGTGATAACTTTCCGATCTTGGCAAGCTGCCAACCTTTGGTGCTTTGCTTTTTCCTGTTCCACTCACATCATCAGGTTGTACCTTTGAATGTTTAGTGTTGATGTTATCAGTGTCTTCCAGACTGATTGGCCAATGCTCTATCACATCCTTCACAAAATCCTTACATCTCTTTTTCAGAACACGAGGATCCAACAAGCTAGTATCATTCAGAAATCCACCAGCGTGCAACTTTTTACACAATGAAAGGAAAAAGTTAGGATCTGGATTATATTGCCTTGCCACATGTTGTAATAAGAACAATACAAGGGTATCCTTCTTGTCTGGTTCCACTCCGATTTGTTGTTTAACAGAAGAGAATGAATCTTTTTGCTTTGCTGCTTCCAAACTCAGTGAAGAAATAGAAATGTCAGCATCACTGTCTTCATATTCCTCGTTTTCATTATCGCTTTCACTATCAGAGTTTGCTTCCGAATCTTCTCCAGAATCTTCAGCCAAGTTAGATTTAAACCAAGTTTTTCTACTCTCTTTCATCTTGCCAAATTCCGTCTTTGGTTGGTAGGATTTGCTCATGGATTTGTCTTCATCAGACTGTTCTCCATCAGATTCATCCGAAGAAGATGTAGACTCTTCTTCAGATTCTTCACTATCGGAGCTTGTGTAATACTTTTTCTTTGGGAAAAAGTTTGGTTTTGCAGAGGATGACAAGTATCCTCCTGATGGGAGTGTAGAGCTCAAAACACCAGCCACATCATCCTCTTCGTCCTCTTCAAAATCTCTTCTTCTATGTTGTGATTTGTTTTGCAAAAATTCATACATTTCATTTACAAGTACCTCATCATGAGGACTCAGCTTTTTTGGTGTCTTTTCCTTCCTTTTAATTTCATGAAAATCATTACTACTTCTAACAGAAGGAACAGAAGAACGACTCGTACTTTCATCTTCCAAATCATAGTGTAGCGATGAATCATAGGATCCAAATATTTTAGAATCTGGAAGATAATTTTCGTGGTTCATGATGATAGGTGTGGACTTGGTAGGTGTTTGTCTTGCTTTAGATGATGGAAATGAGGGTATTGGCTTGGTAGTAGTGTTGTTGTTGTTATTACTAAAGTAAGATCCAGTAGGTAGATGATTAGAGGGTGTTGTTGGAGATGCACTCATCCCTTTGTGTTGTGGTGGTTGTGGTTTTACTTTTTGGAACATGTTGTTGCTGTTATCGTGGAATAGTGGATTATATTAATTTACAAGTCTATAGTTGTTGTTTTGTTGTATGTTTTACAGGATTATATATTCATTCGTTTTGTCTCGGGTATAGGTTTTCAAAATCCACACAGATGATACCAAAATCCGATTCTAAATTCAAGTATTTACAAAATGTTGTTATTGTTGTTACTATTATTGTTGTTGTTGTAGTAGCAAAATATTCTTCAACTTGCTATCCAAAGTCAGTGATTGGTGAATGTCGTCGCAGTAGCAATATCAGAGAGATGAGAGAAGAAGGACGGTTGCTTGTCCTTGATAGCCAGAGAGCGGGACAGTATTGAAATTTTTTTAAAAGAAAAACTTCAGCTTCAGATTCTCTCTACGTGGTGGAAGGCAGTTGTAGTACTACAAGAAAGAGAACAAGATATTCTGAACACAATTGAGAAAATGATGGTATTTTGCTGATTTGCGGATGGGTTTATTTTCCAGAGTCACTCAATCAAGGATTTTGATCAAAAAGATTGGTTTTCTTTCTTGTATCAATATTCCGAGAATGATTGGATTTTTTTTTGATTGAAGTTAGCGCCCAAATATTCTTCTCCTCTGAAGCTTTAAAAATTTGAATCGGGAAAGTTTGAAGTTCGGAAGAGATTACCTTATCTACCTCATGAATGGTTCATGGAAATGGAGAATGGACTATTCAATGATCAAATTTGATTGTATTGAGAGATTGCTTCGAGAATTTTGTTGGTTGCATGTGAAGAAAATCTGTTGTGTTTTATTACAACGGTTTTTATTTGAAGTTTGCTCAGAGTTTACAATGACAAGTCATCATGCAAATTTGTACAATCAAAACATTGAACACGTTTTCAAAGAAATTTATTGTTACTAACTGAATGACGGTGATTCATCATTTCCTGAAACGTTGATTTAGAACTTGAGATCTTTTTCAATGTTCTCACCATTAGAAACTAAAAGGAGTACTAGAGCATTGAATGTGTGGCCACACTACAGTTACTCTTTACCATATTTAAATGTGTTCAATTTCCAAACCAACGTAGCTAATTGCAACTTGCATGTAACTGTTATTTGTTCCGTTGTAATCAAGTTCATTTCCATTGAAAAAAATGTCTGATTTGCTCCAGCAGATTGTTGGTGATGAGGACGAATACTATGATGACGATGACGACGATTATGATTACGATGAAGAATACAATGATGAAGAAGAAGAAGGAGGAGAAGAGGAAGAAATAATAGAAGAGAATGATGCGGAAGAAATTATTGAACAAACTAAAGCTAATCTAACATTTAAAAATCACTCCGAACGAAAGCAAGAATTAAAACAGAACAAACATACAAAATCTAAACTAGTTGCTTCCAGTAATGATAATCATCATCACTCAGAACAAGTATTAGAAATTTCGGAAGAGGAAATGGAATACTATAAACAATTGAAACTCTATGGAATTAATGGTCCACCAAAGAAGGAAGATGGTGAATTGAATGAGGAAATTAATTTCAAATTGGATGTTTTACAATCCTCTAAAATGTTTTTCGAAAGTGTACAGCCGACATTGGTTACTATTTATTCTGGATCTAAATTATATGATGATCAGTACAGACACCTTCGTCAAAATTCATATAGATTAATTAGAGAGAAGGGTTATCAAACAGATCAAGAAATGATGGCAGCAGAGTTGACTCATCCAAGATTATTAGTGGATATTATGCCTCTTTCAAAATCTATTGACTATGTGCAACAGATTATGAACAGAACTGAACATTTGAGCTGTTTATCATCCGATATGAAATATTTATATATTTATGGAGGAAAGTATAGAAATTCACTTCGAGATGATTTTATTCAATACGAGATACTAACAGGTAAAATGAATATTTACAATAATTTGAGTTTAGCATCCCATATTGATAATTATCAGGGAACTTGTATTGTAATACCTCCATTATTTGGTGGGGGAATGTTTGAGCATGATGGTAAAGTCTATATTATTGGAAAGGGAGAAAAATCTCCAAGTACTCATATTTACACAATTGAAAATCTTAGAGAACCAATGAAGGTTAAAAACGGAATCAGTGCAGGTTATCCTTGGTCATATCAGCATGTAAATACTATATTTAATAGTAGAACTTTTTTTACTATCCATCATTCATATGAATCAAATGTTTTGGAAGTTTTCTTATTTGGAGGAAAATGTGCAGAAAAAGCTATGGATGAGATGATTAATATTCACATTCCAATACAAAATTCATATGTACAACCTATTACCTATACTGTATTGACAAAACCTAAAGTTGGAGAGTGGCCATCAGCAAGATATGGCCACTCTTCTTGTAACATAGCAAATCTTATATTTATTTATGGTGGTATAAATACCAAGAATCAATTATTGAATGATCTATACATGTTCGATACAACCACTCAAGTTTGGACTGAAGTCAGTGTCGAATCAATGCTTCCACCACCTCTCTTTAAGCACCAATCATTCTCAATTAATAACCAATCTTTTTATATATTTGGTGGTCAAACTCAACACGACGCTTCCAACTCACTATTTAGATTTGATATAACAGACAAGAAGTGGTACTTGATCGAGGTTATTTCAGATGAAAGAAATGCAAAATTGTCAGGTCATCAATGCTTGGCAACCAGTAACAAGTTATTCATTATTGGTGGAGTTTCTGATCAGGAAAATACCAAATCAATGAGAAATTTCAGTGTTCTCTTGAATGTGAGTGATCCAGGAAAACCTATCCCAATCTGTAATTATTTATCTACCAAGAGAAGAGAAGGATATTTGTGTGACATTATTTTTAGAGTTAAGGATATGGGAACCGATACTACAAGTCACATTTTGGCACATCGGTGCATTCTAAAAGCAAGATGTTCCTACCTAACTGAAAAATTTTCAAACTGTGTAGAAACTATGAATACTCATAATTTTGAAGGAACATTTCTAGATGAGGAAATTGGAGTGGTGGATATATCTGAATGTCAAACACACATTTTTGAAAAATATTTGGAATTCTTGTATAGTGGATCTCTTTATTTGGAGAATTTAGAGGTGGTTAGTCAATTTTTGGAATTTGTAAAGAATATTTCTACAGAAAGACACTACCCTTCCCTTCAAAAGATTTGTACATTGGATAGTAGAAAGGATTTGAGTTTGACCAAACAAATTTTGGCCGATATGCACAAGGATTTTGCCACTCTGATTGACGACAATACCTATAGCGATGTAGTGGTAGTTTTGGATCAGGAAAATATGTTTGAAAAGGATTCTGTTCCTATGGAAGATGGGGAATTCAACGAAGAGCTTCTTTCTCCTCTCACTTCAGCCACTATTTCTTCTTCTGGAATTTCTGTACATAGGCTCATCATGTCCAGATCACCATTCTTCTCTAGAATGTTTGTAACATCTGGCATGATGGAAACCAAAGAGAAAGTTGTACACTTGTCAGACTATTCCAAAGAAGTAATGATTGATCTCTTAAAGTATTTATACACAGATATTATTCAACTCTCTCCAAGCAATTGTTTGGGTGTGCTAGTATATTCCCTCATGTTTGACTTGACAGATTTGGCAAGTTGTTGCAGAAGAATGGTAATTTCACTACTGGACAACAGCACTGTGTGGGTGGTTCATGAAATTGCCATTCTCTACAATGAAAAATCCTTAGAGAGCGAATGTGAGCACTTTATTGCTAACAACTTTGTGACTCTGAATTCGAGTTCTGCATTTTTAGACCTGCCAGATATGACTAGAATTAGAATTAAACAACTCTACGAAAGAAAGTATCATAAGAATAAGACTAAATGAACTCTAGATGGTGGAAAGGTTTCAAAGCAGCTTGATTCTCCAAAATAGAATTCTATTGTCATAGCTTGCAGTGGAGAAGCTAATTTGATGAGATTCCTTTTTGAATAGTTGTAAACTGTGAATGTGTTTTGAATGGTAGATTCCTCTTTCATTTTCCAACTTTCCAACAAATTTCCATTCATTGCCATTTTGCAATTCGAATAGAAATGGTGCATTATCATAACCAGCAGCTATAAAATGCTGTGTTGAAACAAAAATTCCACAAGTAAACGCCAATCCACTGTGTAATATTTCCTGTTTCGGATAATCTTTAAAGCTTGGATCCAACTTATCATTCGTATATCTATAAAACAAAATTGATGAATTTGAACAAAGAACTGCCAACCATAACCCATCTGGAGAGAATTCCAAATAATTTGCCTTATTTTCCAATAGCCTTCTCATATAAACAGTACCATACCTATCTTTTGTTCTTTCTTCATTCCACTTACTTGCACAATAGATCAGTAAACTATTCGAAACATCCACACAAGCAATAGTTCGACAATTGGGATGCCAAGCACAAGCAATTGCTGCAGAATTTAATTTCTTTAATTTTGCAAATCCAAAAGCAGTTTCTTCTTCATAATGACAAACAGAAAGAGTTTGATGAGATCCAACAGCAAATCTAGAGCCATCTTTCGCCCATTTGCAGAAGAAACATGGAGAACGGCTTCTTGTTAGGATTTTGATACAGTTTTTTAAAGTGTGTTCATGATTTTCGTCTAGTTTCCACAATTTACACATCTTTCCAATAGAATAGGTTGAACAGGTTACAATCGTGTTGGTTTCTTGATTCCAATCAAATTTAATTTCAGTATCTATGGTTTCCGAATCTTCATCATTCAAAGTAGAATCAATAATATATTTACAATCACTTTTCGAATAATCCATTCCGAATTCATTATCTGAATCCATACGAAACGGATTAAAATCTTGAGGAATTTGATAAATAAATATGAGAGAAGTATTTTTCTTGCTGATTGCTAATAAATTTCCATTCCAAACGTGATGTGATAGAAATTGTTCACCAGTGTTTGCCATTTTTTTTAAATGAAATTTTTGTAAACTTCCCTTTCATTGAATTCACAGAATTATTACAATTTTTTCATTAAGCACCAAATCTATCGAAAAACCTTTTTAAGGTTCAGATGAAATCTATTCTCACAAATAGGAAGTATACAAAATAAATGTCCTATACCTCCGATTTTTTGATGGAACATGTCGGAATTATTTGTTTATCTCCTTCAACAGCAAATCTCTAGCTCGACAGAAAACCTTAGAATAAAATTCAAAGCTAAAACACTGAAAAAAACGCGCCATTTGTTGCGAGCTGCTTGAAGAGTTTCATTTCTATTGTCGTTTTTCTTTATTTGCTTGATAATTTTGATATATTTTGTTGTAATATTAATAATTCTGTATTAAAAAACAATAATGGAGGATCATAATAATTCAATGTTAGTTTCACGTTCGGAATCATCCCTTTCGTTAGTTTCCAATCAAACCAATGAACCACTTCATAAGAGAATGTCGAGTGGAGTTAGTTTGGATGATTCCATTGAAATTCTGGAGGAAGGAGCAAATTCTCATCATGGTGATTCCAATGATGTAGATGATAATCATACAAAAATACAAACAACAACAATTAATGGACAACGAAGAATTGTGGGCAAACAGCAGCAAGAAAAGAAACATCTTCCTCATGAGCCTGGAATGTTCTCTACATTTGTTGATTCGTTTTTGGAATATGTTGAAGATGTGTTTGGATTGGGAGGTGATGCAAATAATAATAATGGAGAACATCAAACTCATGATCCTACTGTGGATGCAAAGGCTAATTTTAGTAGTTTTATCAATTAATGAATATCATTTGATGAAGAGTATATTATGAATATCATATGATGAAGAATAATTTAGGATTTAATTGTAAATATTGTAATTATCAATGAATTTGGATTATGAATAAACACGTCTCTATTGAGAATAGAGCTACGTGAGCTTGACTTTTCTCTACTTTTAAACTTTCAGCAATTAATTGATAGCATTGACTCTTTTTCCAATTGTTCTTTTTCATCACTAGTGAAAGTTGAATTAAATTTGAAGATGTTCATTTCCATATCTAATGATTTCAATTGTTTTGCCTTACTAATAACCTCCAATGTTTTATCATTTGTACTTGAAAAACCATATTGACATCCCAAACAAGTAGAGCTGCATGTTGCTATCTATTCTAACAACACAATAATTCATAATAACACACAATTTGGTTCTGATTTTGCTTTGTAATTTGTCACCTCAACTTTTGTCTTATCAATTAAAAGAGTTTTCAATTGATCTATTTTAGATTCATTTCTAATATTATTTGCTTGAATAGCAAGATGTTTCAATTGTTTCATTTCATTAATGTATTCAGCTCCAATATTTCCAATTCTATTATAACTAACATCAAGTTCGGTCAATTGTGTCAGTTGGCTTAGAAATTTACATCCTTCATCAGAAATATTATTAAGAGCCATGCTAAGATCAGTCAATTGGGTCAGTTCACTAATATTTTTACATCCATTATCGGAAATATTATTTCCATTTAGATATAGAATAGTTAGAGATTTCAGATTGGTGATGGATTTGATTGAATCATCGCCTATTGAACTTGAGCAAATGCGTAAGTCAGTTAATTGTGTCAATGTAGATAAATATTCGAAACTTTCTGCGTTAATCTTATTGTAACTGAATCTGAGACAAGTTAATTGTTTAAATTGACTGATATGTTTAGCTCCTTCACTTCCTATCTCATTATGACTAATATCAAGTTCAGTTAAATTACCAAGTTGACTAATATATTCCGTTCCTTCATTACGAATACTATTATTATTAATTTCCAAAAACATCAACTGTTCCATTTCACTAATGAATTTAGCCCCTTCAGCGCCAATTTTGTTATCATAAATGGAAAGTCTTGTCAATTGTTTGAGTTTTCTAATTTTCTTACATCCTTCAGCTCGTAGATTATTCTCTATTATGGTAAGAGTAGTTAAGTTTCCCATCTCACTAACATATTCGACACCTGTTTCACCAATATAATTGTTACTGATATCAAGATTGGTCAATTGTTTCATTTCACTTATGGATTTAGCACCTTCTTCACCAATTCTATTACAATTAATTCCAAGATTGGTCAATTGATTGAGAGCTACAAGATATTTAGCACCTTCTGCACAAATGTCATTCACACCAATATTAAGAATTTTCAATTGGCTTAATTGACCTATAAATTTAGCACCTTCTGCTCCCAACTCATTTGTTCTAATATCTAGATTAGTCAACTTTAATTTGGTCAAATAACTAGCTCCTTCAGCACTTATATTATTCCCATAAAGATTAGCACTTGTCAATTCTTTACATTCGCTCAAATATTTCACACCTTCATTTCCTATTCTATTGTAACCTATTTCAATACTTGTCAATCTTTTAAAATAATTTAATTATTATTAAATCCAATTGATATTGTCGATTTGTCTTCCACTTTTAGAAAAGTTACATTTTGTAAAAATTGTGATTTTTGCATTCGTGAATTCTTGTTGTAAAGTTTCAATGAAAGTTTCAATTTTTTTACAATATTTAACCACTGTTTGGAAACAAGTGCGCAATTTAGAATTAGAAATTTAAAATTTCGAGAATGACACAAGAAGGAAAGAGTCTCTAATAGTGTATCGTCTGAGAATTGTTTCGAATAATTGTTTGTTTCTTCCGAATTATTAAACATTAATTTTTTACACTCTATTCCGATACGTGGCGATGATGATTCTTGTTCGGAATGAGAGGATTTAAAATTCGAAACTGGGACTGAAAAATTCTTATTGTTCAATTCACTCATTTTTTTCTATTAACTTTCATACTGTAAAATATATTTTACAATTTTGTAAGTGTCTTAGCAAAAAATGATGAATAAATTCTGTTTAAAAACCTTAATTTAAATGGTTTTCAAAAAATGCAAAAAACCTTAAAAAAATGGCAAGACGAGCGAAAAAACGTTTTTCAAAAACTAACCACAAGAGATCTGCTGCAGCAGAAGAGGACAAAACCACAAATGTTTCCAGCAGACTAGTCTCGGGATGCCTTAATGATACAAATAATACAACAATAAAACAAGAAGAACCATCACAACAATTAAAGAAATGTAAAATAGAAGTTGTAGAAAAATCTATAGCAGATGTAGATTTAAGGCTACGAAATATATATCATGATGAAGAAGCTTCACATCGACAACAAGAAATATTAGGGAATTCATTCGTAAGATACCTTCCACCTGTTTTTGGAAAAACAACACACGAAAGCCTTAAAAATCTCACTGTACGAAAGGAGAAGATATTTAGGTATGAATTATTCCCTGAATGTATTTATCCACCAGAGAAACAAGATCTTGGTGAATTGATTGCAAATTTGATAAAAGTTAGTGTGAAAAGTCTTTTGGAAGGTAAATTATCTGAAAAGGAGCAAAAATTAAGAATTACTTTAACTGGAAGATCAGGTGATGGAAAAACTTTCTTACTATATTATTTAGCCAATAAGTGTAATGATTCCTGTATTTTTATTCCAATTCATCTTTCAATTAATGAGTTTTTTTATAGAGCTAGAATTCCTGATGAAGATGCTCTGTTGATTGACTGTGGAGTGTTAATTTGCTCCTATTTGACCTATGTTCAAGAGTTTTTGGAGAGTGGCATTACCAATCCTTACAAAATTATGGAACTGTTCAACAATACATATTCAAGAAAGGTAATGGAGAGAGCAATAACATTTGCAAGCACCAACAGTAATATGTTAGTACGAGTAGAATGTCAAAAATTGAGTAACAAATTTGGTAAATATCCAGTGTTTGTTATTGATGAAGCACATATCATGGCCTCATCTCTTGCCAACAAAATTTCAAATGATGATGGAAAAAGAAATGAATCTGCATTGACTGCAATAACGAGAGTGGCAGGATCAATCCCTGTAATTTGTTGCTCCACCAAGATATCCGGAGTTAATCTAGGAATAGATGTTTCTGGTTCTGAGCATTTGTACAAGTTTAATTTAACAACAGATATTATTGATATACCAAAGAGAGACATTTCCCCAAGCGATTTCATTTCCTTCTTTATTAACCCTTTTGAGAATGAAGATGTAAAACTCTTTACAAATATGCTTCTCTCTGAATGCCCAGTCCGTATTCATACAATGATTATAGATGAGTACTGGTTAGTTATGGACAAAAACTTCCAAACAGATTCAAACTCCAAAACATGGAATCTGAAGAAAGCTATTAAGGGAGTGCTCACAAATCAAATGCCTTCTTTAGGAAAAAAAATGAAAGAGGAGTTTGATAATATTACTAATGAACGGCTAAAAAAGCTATTATTCTTTGTTTGGACAGGTTTAAATCCTAACATTGAAAACAATTCAGATTTTGACTCGAGTTCACTAAAGAGCGTGGTACAAGAATTCAACCTCCATTCACATGATTTGTCTCAAGAGTATGAATTGTTCTCTCAACAAATGCTGCATCTGGGATGTGGTAAACCAAAGGACGGAACTTATAGATTTTCTGATGCTTTTTTTAGGTTTGGATATTTTGAATCCATGAGAGATGATAATTGGTACACATATGTTGAAAACTTGGGGAGCTGTATGAAACACGTAGTACAATCTCATGTTGGGAAGAAGGGATTTCTTTTTGAAAGAGTTATTGGATTATTGTTAATGAGCATTTCAAAATCATTAAAGGGGAAACCACTTACAAGTTGCGTTTTGTTTGCAGGGGCAAAAGGCACTTGGTTGGATAATTACACAATCACCATTAGATCAGTAGAAATGACCCCAAAATATTATGAGCCATTGATTTTGTTTGAAATAACGGACATTATTGCCTGTTCAATTGACGAAAATTCAAGTTGCGATTTATTTCTTTCCTTAGTTCCTATCAGCAAAGATGAAAAGTTTGTTCCTTGTTTAACTTCTATCAAATTTCTAAAGACATTGCTTGGTGAAGAGGAAATTTTCAAGTCAACTTTGATTGAAAATCAACAAACAAATGTTTTATCATTTAATGAGTTGATGATAAGAAGTAATCACCACGCCAAAAGAAGATTAAGACTTGGATTTGCTGCCAATTCTGTAATTGGACATGATGTTAAAATATCAAATGATGATGACATTCAAATATTGTTTTCCCTTAATCACAGATTATTATTTGATTATTTGAAAGAAAATTTGGATTTTCTTCATGAAGCATTGATGAATCTCAATACCATTATTCATCGATAGCCATTTATGATTGTGAATCCACATCCTTATTTGATGAATAATTTAGGATTTAATTGTAAATATTGTAATTATCAATGAATTTGGAGATTACGAATAAACACGTCTCTATTGAGAATAGAGCTACGTGAGCTTGACTTTTCTCTACTTTTAACCATTCAGCAATTAATTGATAGCATTGACTCTTTTTCCAATTGTTCTTTTTCATTAGGATGGACATGATTTCATGAATTTGGAGTCGATAAATTTTACACAATTCACTTGATGGGATGCCTAGTGGTTGACCTTTGTAATATTGGATTTTCTCATCTGAAAACATTTCATCTCTTTGGTGAGCTTCATGATTAAGTAAGCATTTAGGATAGGAAGTGCATTGATACAGGAGTGTACCAACTTTGTACGTATGAATATCAAAACATTTACCACAATGACACTTTCTATATTGCACTAAATCTCTTTTCAGTCTTTTCAAAACCATAGCCTTCCCACAATAGCATTGTACCTTGTATTGGTTAGTTTTCTTGTCTAGAAATGGTTTCGTTTTGGCTAGACCATTGTTTGGCTCTGTAACTTTCAACTTCTTGGCTGGTTGGCAATAATTTTCAGAGTGCTTGCTTGCTCTACTACTAAGCACTGCACTCTCGAATGCCTCTTGTTGACTCTGACCAGAGAATAATTGAGCTACAATGTAAGTTGAATTATTCTTCAATAGTTGAGATAGTGTTGGTTTTTCAGAACAAGTGCTGTTTTTGAGGACCTTAATTAAATCAAATAATCTTGATCGATTTTTCACAGAGGGATCGTTTTGAAATGTTTCAAATTCTTGTTCGTTCATTTTAGAACAGGTACTCCACAAACTTTCTAATTGTACAATTTCCTTTTGGAGAATATTCTTACAGTATTGATATCTAACTTCGAGTTCTTTCATTTCATATTCACATTCGTAGTACTTGCTCAAAACTGAAATGATAAATGGCTTATCGGAATTACTCGATTTCTTATAGTCTTCAAAGTGAACAACGAACGGAATGAGGAATTTTGGAGTGGCTTGAATCCATCCTCTATATTTCATTTTATGAATGAGGAGATAGAATGGATTTTTCAATTTCAATCGCTGATTGTTGGTGTCTCTCATGATGAATCCTTCAATTCTCAATCTTGCTTCTACATTCTCATGAGTAGAGATGAATGTATCCAAATGTTTGAGAGCTTGTTCCAGACTTGAAAAATTCTCAAAACGTTTTGGTCTCTTCCAATTCTTCAACTCGGCTCTCTTTCTCAATTTCAAGCAAATTTTATCAACTTGATCCCTGGAGAGTTCCTTTCCACTTTGTGTCTCTACAATTGTCAGTAAGTAAATGACAGGATTCTGATAGATTTGAACAATTTCATTTTGTGAGGAACACATTTCCAAACAATAGGTCAGTGATGGATCCAAATCCTTTCCAATCTCATTCAATTCTACTCCGCCACAAATTTCCACAAATAGCTCTCTATATGTTTTCTGTGTTTCACTTCCAATTGCCAAATAATCCTCACAAAAGTTGTGTCTCGTTGCAATCATCCACTCTCCCTCATAGCAAAACATTAAAAGAAACGTTCCATCTTCCTTTGTCTCCAAACTGAAATTAGAATAATCAAACAATTTGGATTTCTCCAATGATGGCGACTGATCCTGTTCCAAAAACACCAATTCTCTATCATCATTTAGTCCTCTAATATTCGGAGAGGACGAATACGAATGGTGCTGATTAAAAAACCTGGTCATTCCTCTCGCCACAATTTTCCACGAATTTAATTCCAACACCAAGCCTCTGCATTCATTGACAATTTGTTCATCACGTGGCGATTGAATATTGTCATAATTTAATACAATTAATGGGAAGGAAGTTTGATCGGGATGTGTTGATGAGCGAATTTTGTATTTTTCATGGAGAGTCGTGATGGATTGACCCTTCTGTTGGAGGAATTGTTGTGTTTGCATTTTTTTTGGCTTGATTTTACAATTTCGATTTTGAACTTGTGAGATACTTAAAAGAATATTATTGTGTATTGAAAGAATAAATATCACAACATTTGCTTTAAATGATTTGTAAGTTTAACATCTCTGACAGCTTTGATGTCAATGTTCTGGTGTGAAAATCTTGAAAAAGGTCTTGCTATCAAACGAAGCAATCCTCGGCAACTTGAGAACTCATTATTTCAAAACGTTGTTGCTTGAGTCTTGTTATGGAGTTGTACGAAACTAATTATTGGTATCACTAATGTTATTAGATTCTTGTGCATTTTGTTGAGAAAGATAAACTCGAGTTGAATGTAAATGATCAAATAGGGAGGTATGAGTGAATTCCTCTGAAATCCATTCAGGAATTGCAGTTTCAAAAGTCCACTTGTCTGATAATTCGTAACGCCATGAATGTAGATGGATACTCAGTGGTACAGTGTCATCTTCCTCAATGTTTTTAGAGGTATATTCTGCATTACAGGAAATGCAAACAGTTTCAAATGGCTGTAAGAAGGTTTCCTCTTCAGGTCGAATGTTTGTATGTGAACGTTTGAAAGGACCTGGTTTTGGCTTTTTTGATTTGGGAGCATTCTTTTCAGAGGTCTCCTTTCTCTTGTGAGGATTTTCTTCTGTTGGTATGGAGGTATCTGTTGATGATTCACTATTTTCCAAGGAAATATCAGATGTTGATTCGAGTTGGTGATTGGAAAAGTCGACTCTCCAACTTTCTTCCAAAGTCTTTTTTTGCACTTCCAATTCCTTAATGAATTGTTCGTTATAGAAAAAATCATTAATGATAGGATTTCCAATAGATTCCAAATGAATTCTAATCTGATGTGTTCTTCCAGTGATTGGTTTACACATTATGAGTGAAATATCCTTTTCCTTATTGTAGACAATACCAGAAAAGAGAGTAATTGCCTCAAACGTTCCCAATTCATCATCTGCTGACCAAGTTCCATTCTTGTGATTTTTGCAATATACCTTCTTTTCACATTTCACAAAACTGTTATTTAAATCCTTCACCAATCCACTCACTTCATATTCTCCTTTCCACTTTCCTTTCACAACAGCCAAATAATATTTTCCAATTGCCTTTTCTCTTGTCTTGATCATTTCCACAATTTCTCCCGAAACCTTCTTATTCTTTGCCAAAACAAGAACTCCCGATGTACTATGATCCAATCGATGAACAACATGAAGTGTTCCATATCCATTCTCCTCCAAAATATAAGTCAATGAATTCTTTCGATATCTTCCACAGGGATGAATAGGAAAACTAGCTGGTTTATCGACAACTAATAAATCTGACTCATCATATAAAATTGGAATATTCCTATCAAATATTGGTTTCTCATGAAAATGTACTCGATGAGCAATTGTCTTGCTTTTATCCCACTTTTCCTCTAAATTATTTAAATTTTCGTTATTAATTTTAAATCGACCTAATTCGAAGGCTTTCATCAGATATTGTTCGGAAAAGTAGGGAAATTCCGCTCTATAGACATCAAGTACCTTCTTATCAACCCATCTATCTCGACATCCTGTTTGAAAGTCGAGAAAATAGGGAATTGCATGACGAAGTCCATTCCGAACAAGATATTGTTTGCCTCTTGCTAATTCAATGGTTTTCTTGACGAGGAGATTTGAAGATGATGACACTGTTGGAATTGTTAGAGGCATCTCACTCATTTTTTTTATTAATTATATATTTATTAAATTATATATTTATAAAATATTTATTTAATTATTAAATTAGAAATATTTATCGCCATTACAACTTGATTGATGGTTGTAAATTGGACCACTTGAAGTTGCACTATATCCACAAAGCCAACAAAAATGATTTGGGCAAGCTCTACAGGTCATATGGTTACATCCCTCATTCTTTTCAATAGGTGTGTGGCATTGTGGACAACTCTTGGTATGTCTCCTCTTGTATTCTTCAAAAAGTTTCTCACAATCAACACAAGGTCCTTGGTGTGCATTTTTGTGACATTTCAAACAATAGTCCTTATCACAAACGATGCAATAGTATGATTGAACTCCTGTTACTCTCGATAGATTTTGACAAGTATTACAGTATGTCCATTTAGTCTTATTAGATGTAATGTACTTCTCAAGGAGAATGTTACATGGTTGAGTGAGTTTCTTGGCATCATTATCAAAGGAGCATACGATATCCATAAAAGGTAATGGTTGTTGGCAGTAATTACAGCAAAGAAGACCTGATTCAATGTTGAAACCATCTACTTGGAGAGCTAGACATGCTTGACAACATGTGTGTCCACAAAATGTAAGGTTGTTTGGGTTAATATCATTACAACAAATATCGCATTCATTTGTTGAAGAAGCGCCACTATGGGTTGATTCAATTTCTTCAACTTTCTTCTTTACAGTTTCAAAATCAGCCTCTGAAGAATCAACCTCTAATGTTCTTTTCTTAAGGTTCAAATGTATACTCCCCTTAATACACTTTTTAATGTCATCATAAGAAGATCCTCCATTTCCTACAATTGCTTTCATGTTTCTTAATTTGATTTCTCTAATTTTACTGGCTTGAATAGTGCCAGATATTTCCTTTGCAACAAAATCCCTTTGAGGTCCAAATACTTTGATAGATGATGATCGAGAATCAAAAGCAAGTAAAATCTCAGGATACCTTTTTGTTGTATCCTCCTTGATTTTGGGGAATCTTCTTTGAACGTTAGCTTTCAAGGAGAATGCTATTTTGATTATTGTGTGTGAGATTATCTCATTAACTTTCTTTTTGGCCTTTTCAAACTCTGACAAATTTGAAACTGCTTCAAACTTGATTTTTCCACTGTTACCAGTTTCAGTCATTTTCTTATTGGGTTCTTGAATGATCTCATTGAAAGACACTTTGATTTGGTGCTCATAGTATATGCTTTCAAAAACAGCACTCAACACATTTTTCTTGTTAAGACTTTCAAAAACATTTTTTGGAATAGTAATTGAATCGGTCTTATAATATAATTGTAAACTTCCATTTCCAAAAGTAGTCCCTTGTAATGTTGCAATGGCTGTGTCAGCACTCCTCTTGTTATTATACTTAACTAGAGCTTTGATGAATTTCTTACTTTCCTTTTCAGCTAATGGCAACAATTCCATAACTTCTAATCCTGGAAATTGTGTAAATAAAGAGTGCAGTTGTGTAGTAATCATTTCTAAGTCAATCAGATTGTTACACTCATCTCGGTGGAAAAAAATTTGTGTGTAAGGAAGTTTGTTTTTAAAAAGAACACCTGCTAAATGTGACTCTGTGAAATCGGTAGAAAGTTGATCAAAAGCGAGTTTGTTTTGTTTGATTTGAACTTTCCCAAGTGAACCATTCAAAACTTGATTTGCCTCTATAGCAGATTGGTTGTTAGGAAATTCAACCACTGCTTTTCCTTTGCAAGGAGTAAGGTAATATTTAAGTTGAATAAAGGGAACATTTTCATCTATTTGCAGCTGTGTATTTTCACTGAGACTAGATGGGAAAAGTTGAATAAAAGTTTCATTCTTCAACTCGGAATAAACTCTTTCTGCAACTATGCTGTCTTCAAAGGTAACATAGCCCTCCAATTTCTGTGCGCTTGTATTGTTTGGATATGTCACAAACTCCCATACTGGTCCATATTTCACAAATAGTTGCTCAATATCACAGGCACTCTTCTGCTCAATAGCTATTTTAAAGTTAATTCTTACAAACTCCTTGGAGGTTAGGATTTTTACAACATTTAGACCAGAACCAACCAAGACTCTGATATTCTTTTGATCATTAGGAACATATTCGTATAATTGTTTGGAAATTCTTTCCTCAATCTGTTTGCAGAATTTTTCAATTTTTGGTTTGTTTTCTTGCTCTTCATTTTCAGATAATTCCATTCTCAACTCATTCATTTCTTCATCGACTTCGACCAACACGCCAAGTTCTTTCTCTAATTGTTCTAAAAGCTCTCCACCTCTTGCTTTCAAAAGAGGAAGAGCAGATTTAGGAATTTTCTTGTTATAAGGTTTTTTGACAAATTGTTTGATACGACTATAGTTAAAAGATTGGTTATACTTTTGTATAATATTAATATCTACAGGGGTGACGTTTTTCATGTAGAGCTTTTCAGTTCTCATAAGTTCATAGAAGAGAACATATGAAGGAGGTTTTTCTTCTGAAAATAATACAGATGATGGATGGAGACAAGCTTCTAAATTCAATTCCAATAACTTATAGATGAAATTTCCATTACTACTCTTTCCTATATAGTACGCAAAGTTAGAGAATAAACCACAAATAATAGAATCCAAAATTACTTTCTTTTTGAGTTCCTCAGAAGTGTTCTTATCATTGATACTTTCAGAGTTAAGGGATTTAATACTCTTCTCAAGATCTTTCAAGGTTGCGAAGGCCATATTGAATGCAGAATAATTCAAATGATTGTCCTTACAAAATTGTGATCTTTCTTTAGATTTTTTCTTCAAAAATTGTTCAAATAGCAAATAGAGAGAATATAAATCTCCTTCCTGTTGAGAGGAAGAAAGCTTGCTAATCGAAATATCATCCTTGTCTTTTCCATCCTTAGATCTTTGGAAAACAATGTTAGATACAGTTGTAATAGCAGCAACTTTTAAAATATCAGATGAAATTCCATTTTCAATTCCTTCAATAATCATCTTGGAAACAGATGGTTCCATATAGAGTTGAGATGCAATTTGACCTGATTTGGTAATACGCAAAAGGTTAGCACCAGTAATCTCTACAAACCCAAGACTTATCAGTTTAGCTAATTGAAACGTCAAATCTTTAGGAGACGGTTTTTCAATCAGGTCATAGGCTTTCAATGAATCAATAGAAATAGGTTTAGAGGAATCCTGATGGAGAATTATTTGAAGCAAAACAGAGCCGAGATGAGATCTAAATATTTCTGCAGGTTGTGAGATACTGAATTGCTCAAAGTCTGATAATGAATAAAGGTTATAACATTCACCAGGTTGGGTTCTACCAGCTCTACCCCTTCTTTGCTTTGATGAAGATTGACTAATGTAGTTTACCTTAAGAAGGGAAATGTTTCTGTTTTGGTCAAAAGTTCTTTCTTTTACACGTCCGCTATCAATTATTGTGGTAATACCATTAATTGTAACTGATGTTTCAGCAATGTTGCTAGAGAAAATAACCTTTGTCTTGCCTTTGATTGGATTCAAAGCTCTTTGTTGGCTTTCAACAGGAAGCTTTCCGTGGAGTGGAAGAATTTCAATTTGTTCTTTGAATGACGTCTTGTTTTTAAGCATTGATTTTAATTTGTGACAAGCAGAATCAATTTCTTCAGGATTAGTCAAGAATACCAATATATCACCGGACAACTTATTTCCTGCTTTGGATCTAGATGAGAGAACAGAAACAACCTTTTTTACGCTTTGTTCAACATATTTGTCTTCTGATTTCTCCCAATGAACCTCAACTGGATACAATTGGCCAGGCACTCTAATAATTGGACAATCATTAAAATATTTGGAGAATAAATTTTCATCAATAGTGGCAGAGGTAATAATAATTTTCAATGGGTCTCCAGTTCCTTTTCTTTCCTTGTACAGTTTCTTTAGTTCACAAAGAAGAATGTCTGTAAAAACAGTTCTTTCATGTGCCTCGTCAATTATTACACAACTATAATTTTTCATCTTCTTTTTCAATAATTCATGAAGGAGAGCTCTGTCAGTCATGAACATGAGTTTGTTTTTTCTCCAATCTTCAGGTGTCAACCTCTTGTCAACAGATCTAATTAGTGGACTATCAGTGCATAACATTTCCTCACTAATTCTTTTAGCTAATGATTGAGCCGCAATCTTTCTTGGTTGGGTACAAACAATTTTCTTTTTGAATATACCAGATTCTAATAAATACTGAGGTATTTGTGTAGACTTTCCGCTTCCTGTATGACCAACGATCAAAACAACATCGTTACTTGAAATTTCATCAATAATCTTTTGTCTAAATGCATAAAAAGGAAATAGATTTGTTGCTCTTTTCAATTCCCTTTCAATGGCCTTAATTTTGATTTCTAACTTTACCTTTGATTCCAAAATTCTCTTAGTTTGGATTTCAAAGGTGGCCTGTTGCTCTAACAGTAGGGTTTCTTCAGATTTTATGGCAAGTTTGTTTTCTATGTACTTTTCATAGTCAGATTCTAACAGCTTGACATTTTCCCTGTTCTTACGTTGAATATCTTTAAGTCGTATTCCAAACTGGCTCTTCATCTTGGAAGTTTCAAAGTACGCTTCATCCACCTCTTTGATTTTGGATTTGTTAGAAGAGTAGGTATCCAAAATAAATGAACCAAATGGATCAGGGAGAAGCTGCTCTTCGAATGAATAATCATTGTCTAAGAATTCTAAACCGTTTGATACAACACTACTAGAATCACTGATGACTGACATTGTTTCATCAGTAGAGCTGTCATCATCACTGTCAGATTCAACCAAAGTTTTCCTTTCTTTCATCTTGCTTTGTTGTCTCTTATTGAAAGTGCTAGCATTCGACAATGATGAGTGATCAAAAGTACAGCAAATTTTGAAGCATTCTGCTCCATGCTGGCACTTTTTTCTGTTATTGTGTTCGTACAAGCATTCACGGTTAGCACATTCATCTCCCTTTTCACAAGTAATTGGTACAAGTTTAGGTAATCTTTCATCTCCCTTTGACTTGTTAACAGTGGAAGGAGGATTAGCTCCAAGACCATTCTTGTGGTTTTTGTTCTTGTTGTCTCCTTGTTTTTGGCTCTTTGCTACTCCACTTGCTACATTATTCTTGATGGAAACAGCCGAGCTGAGAGTGTTGCCTGCTGGAGGGGTGATTGTAGAATTGTTAGCTGTGTGATCTAATGTACATTTAATATTCTTACAGCTAGAACCAAATCTACATTTCATTCTAGAGTTATGACGAAAAGTACACTCAATGTTTTTACACTTGTCATCAAATTTGCAAAGGGGAATGTGTGGTAACATTTCTTCAACCGTTTTTTTAGTTTTGAATTACCATCAACTTCATGTCATGCCAACCGAGTCACATTCATGAATTCCCAAGGTCGTACAAGTCAAAATGGCTAAGAAATCTGGCATCACCCCAAAATTAATAATTATTATTTTAGTTTGGTACCAAATTACAACATTATACAAATGACAACTCTCATTGACAGTTAGGAAATGACTCTCTTAACAAGTTAGCCAAAGTCAAGGCATCTTCGAACCTATTGTAAAGAACAATTCTTTTTTTTTGAGGCAAAAGTGTGAAATCTGAAAGCCATGGCAGATCTGTACATTTCATCAAAGACTGATTTGAGCCCCTGTTGTGTTAAGCTTGAACAGTAACCTATTTGTACGAGATGTGGAAAGTTATGAAATTTTCTTTCCAGAGTAAGTTGTCCTGCTAGTGAGTAGGCATCCAAATCCTTTCCTGTTATTATAATGTGAATTGGAATAAGGGGAAAATTCATGACAAGTTTTCTCAAATTCTGAAGAATATGTTTCTCAAATAATTGTTCATCATCCACAAGATTATTCAGTTCTGTACATTTACAAGTAAAAGCCACAACATCAAAAGGCTGTTTGATAACTTCTTGAACAATCTTCTCATTTGACAAGGACATAGACTGCATTGTGCACATTATCACACATCCATCAATCATAATATTTGCTTCAAACAATGACGCCTTTTCTATCATACCATCTTCTGGGAAGTAATTAGTACAATAAGAACAGAGTAAACTGGATTTTCCACTTTTAGGAAGCCCTATAATTCCAATATTCAGCCGTAAAGGGGTTGATGTTAAACTACTTGCTCGTTCCATGACAACAGAAGGTGATTTACCAACATCATATTTTGGTAGAGAACTTTCTAATAATTCTCTTTCAAAATTAATCATTTCTCTAAAGATGTGAAATAATGTCTTGACAGATTTTAATCTCAACCCTAACAATTCTAATTGGTAAATAATAAAAGTCTTATTCTCTTTCAAACTGTTCTCTTTCAATTCTTCAAATTTTGGTAAATTCCTATATAATTGCAATAACTTTCTATATTGATTTACATCTACAATCCAATTAGATTTTGATCCTTCTTCTACAATCATTCCTTCAATACAATTTACTACTCTCCTATAAATTTCCATTCTGCTCTTTATCAATTCCATTCCGAAGCGATTTAACAGTTCATCAACTTGTTCTTCATCTCTAGAAACTGAGAGAAAATACAGTAAATAATACCGATCAGCAGAGCCGAGAAATTTAATCATCTCATTGAAACAATCATGTTGCTCTGAATACAACCGAGCAAGATGACAACTTGACATTTTTTTAAAAGGCTGCAATTTTTGAAAAAAAATAATATTAATAAATTCAAATGATATTCTTAATGAGATCTTGCTTATCAAAGAAAGATCTGAAATTTAATAGTCTATTAGCACATTGAATGAGTGATGTGTTCTTTACAAAAATTCAATAAATAAGGTCAATGGCGTTCCACCCCCATAAAAGGATCTTCGTGCCTCCACTTTCCTTTATAAAAATCTGCTATCTCTGTGGTGCCCTTAATAGCCGCATCAAAACTGCAGAGTTTTTGATGAAAAGTAAAAAAAAACGAAAACTTCCCTCCACTTCTGTTTCTCTGAGGTTTTATTTAACTGTAAATTAGTGTAAAATTTGTTAGTAGGTAGAGAACACAATCATATGATGAAGATGATGGAAAAGAAGAATATTGGTGTTGTGAGTATTGGTACCCGAGGTGATTTTCAACCATTCATTGCCTTTGCATTAGCTTTACAGGAAAGATTGCCCGAATCACAAGTTTACTTGATCAGTAATTCAATCTATGATCAAGTTGCTGCTCAGATTATTCATGGTAGAAAATCAAAACTCTTATTCAGAGGTTTGAGTGGTAATCCGAGAGAGACCTTGGATCATCCAGAAACAAAGAAGGCCCTAAAGACTGGTGATTTGAGTAAGTTAGAATTAAACAAGCCAACGGAGGATTTGATTAAGAAGTGCATGGTCGACTTGATAGATTTGAGCGTGAATCAAATCAAGTTTGATTGGTTTATTAGTGCTCCGATGACATTCCCTGTTGTGTGGATGCTTAGTGAAAAGTTTGAAATTCCAATTGATTGTATTGCTTTGGTTCCTGATGCTCCAACTGAAGATTTCCCATTCTGTGTGGTTTCGGCTTCAAGTTTGGGAGCTGAACAAAATTTGGCAACCTATGAAATGATTTACAGTGTTGGATTTCAAATGATGCAACACTTGTTCAATGAACAGAGAGAATTATTGGGACTCCCAAAGATGACTCAAAGTTGGAATAGCATGAGAGAAAAGCTCAATATGCCTCTCTTGTTTGCATGCTCTAAACATTGCTTTGATAATCAAAAACCATCCAAATATAGAGACAATGTTGAATTGACTGGATATTTAGAATTGAAATCTGAGGGAGAATCACTCTCTCAAGAATTGGAAGAGTTTTTACAAGTTGGCCAAGCTCCAATCTTTTTATCATTCGGTTCAATGCCAGCACTCGATCCGTTCCAATTATTTGAATTGGCTCATGATGTACTTGTAAAACATGACTCGAAGAGAGTCGTCTTGTCCTGTGGCTGGACAAATATTGATTCAATCTTTACAGATTTGAAGGAACATAAATATGAACAAGAACAATCCACAACCTTCTCTGAAGAGGAATCCACCAAATACGAATCAATTCTCTCCAATATGAGAGATTTAATCACAGAGAAGAGACTGCTAATTATTAAGGAAGCTCCATACTATTTGCTCTTCCCTAATTGTGCAGCCATAGCCCATCATTGTGGAGCTGGTACAACTGGAGCAGCTGTTGTAGCTGGAACACCACATTTACCAATTCCAATCTTCCTTGATCAACCATTCTGGGGACAAAGAATGTTCGATCTTGGTGTTGGTTCTTCTCCAATCTTGTTCAAGGATTTGACCAGTGACAAGTTAAACGAAGCAGTGAGTTATGTATTGGATGGAGAGAAGAGTGAATCTATCAGAAACAAGGCACTTGAAATTAAAGAACTCATAGAAAGAGATGAGGCTGATCCTTGTGAAATCAATGTCAATATTTGCTTGAAAAATTATTGTAATCATCCATTCATCGTTCCAAAACAAGAGCTCGAATAAATCTTAAACTCTTTATACAATATGAATTTAGAAAACTTTTGTCAATTTGAGAGCAATAGGAACACCTACAGCCAATAAAATAGCTACAATTACAGTAAATATAACCACAACTGCAATGATAATGTAAAGACATTTTCTACTTGTCTTTTGAACCTTTCTGGCAGTCTTAATATCCTTAATACCCTTTTCTACATATTCTACAGTACAAGCACAGTTATATTCAATATTATCCAGTAATTCATCTTGTTGTTCAACTAACATGGCAAAATCCATAAACATGGAGTGTAATTGTCTCAGAGAGTGTTCAATTTGTTTCAAATCATCGTGTGTTTCAGAAGCTTCATTATAGTAGGCATCGAGTGTGGCAGATTGTGATGAGGTCAGACCATCCATCGATTGTTGAACCAAGTCAGCAGGATTCAGTGTACTCTTGTCTGCCATTTCATCGACAACTCTATCCAATTCTTCACCACTTGCACCTCCACTTGATGAATTGACAATTTTCAAAATACGTTTCAATCTATTCTTGTAATTAGATTTGAATTGTTGTTGTAAATCTTGATAAGTATTCAAAGTATCAATAAATTCCTTTGTCAGGAGAGCATGTTGTTGCTTTCTAATTCTAATTACAGGTGAATTTGCTTCTTCCTTTTCCAATTCCATTGTTCTTTCATTCATAGTTCTCAAATCTGTTTGAATTTTTTGAACATTTCTTCCAGTTTCGTCAATTAGCATCTTTTGACGTCTCTTTAATGTTTTTTGCTCTTCTGCAATAGTTGCCGATAAATATTGATTGTAAAGTTTTTGTAATTCTGTCAATTTAGTTTCTGTTTGTGCAATATTATCTTTAATATCTTGAACTTCTGCATAGTATTCTTCCATAAATTTTCCCAACTCTCTAGTTTCGGATGAGTGAGCATCAGAAGATTCTCTATTTTCCATTTCAACATCCAATGATGAATATTGTGGACGACGCGATAATTCATTAATTCTGTCAATGACCATTTTCTCTACTAGTTTCGAATATTAGTGTATTTTCTGTAAGTAGTAGTAACAGAAAGGTTGATTATTTTAAATATTGGAAAGTTGATTATACTAACAAGTGTGATGATGAGAATGATTTTGTTGTTGATGATGTATTTGTTTTGTAGTTGTTGATTAGAGGAGGATTAAAAATGTATTCGAAACCAACAGGTGCGATTTGGAATTAGTTTCGAATAAAATCCAATGATACAAACCTATTAAATTTTGATGTTGTTTGTTGTGTTCGATTTTCAAATTGATACAACGGATATTAATGTTTTTGCTTGCTGATGGCAAGGAGACGTTTTTTCTTTTTTTTAAATTTAAATATTGAATGTCGCTTGTCATAGATTATCAGTAACGTTCATCAACACCATAAGAAAGGAAGTTGTTCTAATCCTGTTTGATGTTCGAAAACAGAAGAAATAAGAGAACTTAGAATAAATAAATTTTATTCTCAAAATTTTACAAAATATTGAAATTTAGATAATAATTGACATCTAAATGCAAAATCAAAGATGTTCTTCCCTTTCGAGAATGTATGAACCAAACTTTGACTTTTTTTCAAAAAAGTGAAAGAGCTCTTGCGAAGAAACACTTTCACTTTTGAATTATTTCATTCATTGATGATCTACTCTTCAATAGATTCCATTCTGTGAGCAAATGAATTAGTATCATCGAATAACTCATCAGTGGTGGCAATTGTTGATTGAGGAAGGCAGACTTGGGCAAAATAGCTTTCATCTTGCTTTTGGTCAATGAGAGAAACATCCCTGTCAATAGCGTATGTCATGGCATATTCAGTTAATTCTTCATCGTTCATTCCTTGTTCATCAATGTTAATAATATATTCAAAGAGTTCTCTATTGGTGAGGATGGAATTTAATCCTTGCTTTTGGAAGAATTCATTAACGTGTTGACAATCATTCTTGAGGAAAGACTTGGCATTCATGTGATGAGATTCAACTGATTGAGAAACATCAATAAAGTAAACTTCTCCGTGAAGATAGAGGATATTGTACTCACTCAAGTCAGAGTGAATCAAGTGAGCCTTTTGGTACATCTTTCTCATGTTGAGAATGACCTTCTTGTAAGCTCCTAGAAGTTTTTCCATTGAAGTAAAGTTTACATCTCTCAAACTTGGTGCTGGGAATCCTTGTTTTCCAATAAAGCTCATTAAAATAACGTGATCCTTGAGGAGATAAGGAGTTGGGCAACTGACACCAGCATCTTGAAGTTTCTTTAAATTTCTCATTTCCTTTTCAGCATACTTTTTAACATTCTTTTGGCTGTTTGTCTTTAACTTGTCCTTGAAACGATGTTCAGAATTTTGATATTCTTCTCTTCTACGGAATGAAACTCCAACAATTTTGAAAATCTTGATACAGTAATCAATTTCTGCACCAGTAGTTTCTCCAGTGACAACATCCAAGCATCCAACAGCATGATAAACATGAGATTCCTTACCACTAGAAACACATCCATCCATTCTAGTGATAATTCCAGAATTCATCAACTTGTACAAAATCATTGATGTTCTGTGATCCATAACCTTATCGGAAGTACTTTGATCAGTCTTGTCAACAGTACGAATTCTTTGAATTGTTTCCTTCTTATTTCTTCTAGAACTAAATTGTTGAGCACTGGCATCTTTCAATTGACCTTGGAATACTTTAGTATCTGCCTTCATAATGGCATCAATACGATCACCTCCAAGTCCCAAACTATTAGCATTTGAAATATAGGAAACATCATACATTGATTCCATAGCATATTCTTCATCAAGAGTTAAATCTTCATCTCCACGAATATTTTCCAAATCTTCTTCATCGGAATAATCAGAGTCATATTCTGGAGCAATATATTGTGCATTGGAAACACCTCCACCTCCAATCACAATAGCAACCTTGGAATTTTCTTCTTCTTGTAAAATTCTAGCCAATTCTTCATCAGTCAAATTTTCAAAAGATTCCTTCTCCGAGCTGCTTTCTTCTTGTTGAGATGCTTCAGATGAATTAGCTGCTTGTTCTTGAGAGTTTTGTCTAGCAGCCTCTTCCTCTGCTTGAATTTGTTCCAAAATCAAACGTTGTTGTTCAACATCAATTTCATCCAAACAAAAATCTTGTTCATAGGCAGCAGTGCTAGTAGTAGTTTGTGATTGGAATTCAGACAAGGAAATTCCCTTCTTCTTCTTCTGAGAGGCACCATTATTTTGGCCCTTCTTTTGTCCCTTGTTCTTATTACTCATCGGTCAGGAGGTGAAAATCAAATTCTAAATTCTGTGATGAATGATTTAATTTTTTAGCTTTTTTTTTTCCAAATCTATTTTTAATTTCAAATTCAATATTTCCTTCGAATTGTAACTTTTGAGTGTGTCAAGGTGAGAATTGAAGTAAAGGTTGAAAATGATAAAACAATGCAACATGAAATAGGTATGGGAGGTTTCATAAATGAAATAAATTAAATGATGTTTCATATATTAAAATGTACAGGAGAGAGAAACTGCATAATGATCTGAAAGTTGAGTGCAAGGCATGGATTCGGTAATTTTCTCTAATGGTCGAAAGAATGGTTCAATGCAACAATTCTGCACAGAAAGTGTTGGGATTTGAAGGGATGATTCAACTAGAAAGATATAGTCGAGTCTTTCCTTAGTGATGAGAGTTTCTGGATTGGTGAGAATGACCTCTCTTGGTTTCTCTGTTCCATTCTCCACAATGAAATCTCCAAAAGAAATTGGATGATTGCCTTGTTTCTCCAATACTAGATCTGTAATTGAAAGTTTGGATTCTGATTCACCCTTCCTTTCTGATAATTCCTTTACAATGGATGTATATTCATCAGATATGTGAGAACCTTGAAGAGGGGAAATGTCGAGAGGATATTGTTTTTTCAAAGCTTCTAATGCTTCATTATTGTTAATTTCATTAAGACGATCCATCATCCAATTGTACCATTCTGGCTTATTTCTGGCATCGATATTGAAATCACCACAAACCAATGCTGAAACTCCACTGAATTGTTTCATCTTTCTGTGAATGAAAATTGCCATTTCACTCACTTGAGATTGTTGAATTTTCCAATAGCTTTCGTCCTTCAAATCATAATTAGCCTGAGTGTGAGTATTGAATATGAGGAGATATTTCTTCTCCTGTGAATCCTTCTTTGAAATATCCAGCAAGACACTCAAAACTCCCTTTGTGGTATATCCATCAATATTCGATCCTTGTGAAAATATGAAAGAATCTCTTTCAACAATTTGAAAACGACTCATAATAACCAATCCAGAATCAATTGGTTTCAACTTCCAAGTATTTCTCGACAAGTGCACATGTTCAAAATCCGAAAATTCCTTCAATAATTTACTCAATCGATTACTTGCTGTCGAAAATAATTCCTGTAAGCAAATAATATCAAAATTGTCCTCCTTCATCTTGATAATCAACTCATCCAATCGTGCATCTTTATAATCACTCTTATTTGTCTTGACAATTGGTCTCATAAACACATTGTAGGATAGTAATTTTAAATCCATGAAGGCTCCTTGTTTAATGTCGGAGGAATTTCCTTCTTGATAATTATTCTTATCGGAGTAGGATTTTATTTTTCCACTCTCTTCCTCCTCATCAACAACTCTTGCAGCAATAATAGAATGATCATCCTCACTTGTTCCCAATTGCAAATCATTCACCTCAGAAATAATTGGTTGTTGCTCATTCGAGTTTTGCATTTTTTTTAATTTTTGTAAAAATTGCAAATTATCCAAAAAAGTTATTTTTATATTTGGATGGAAAATGGAGTTATCTGGATAACAGGAAGGAAGATTAAGAACAAAAATGTTAGATCTTGTGAGAATGGAAATATTTTAATTTATTTATTAAATCAATTTCAATTTTTTCAATAATTCTTTTTGGAGATTAGTTTACTTTAAACATCAACATCTCTAACGAAAACTCTTTCGGCCAATTGTCTTCCATTGAACAAACTATCCTTATCATTCTTTGTCAACCAAATTCTTGAATCCAAAAGCTTAAATCCATGATTGGCCAACAATGTCCACAATGTCCATGAACCAACAGTCATTGGTGAGGAAGAAATAATTTTAGTATTATTAACCCATTCAATTTCATGACCAATCAACAATGTAAGATTAACTGATCCGAATGGAATCTTGGAAACAACATCACCCTTTGCTAATCCACTTGGATAGTCAACCTTGAAGAGTTGTTTAAAAATTTCAGGTGAAGTTTTAAGAGTGCTGTGGACATCAAAGGAGTCAGATGTGGTGGCGATCACTTCCTTGACAATGACAAATTCTTGTGGCATTTTCGATTTTTGTTTTTTTTTTATTGGATTTGATGGTTGTTCAACTATTTTCATCTGATTGATCAAATAATGTGATAAAGAGTGTTACATGAAAAAGATGACAGGCAAATCTTTCGGAAGAACTCTACTGATCTTGCCTTTAGGAGTTGTTTTGGGTAAATGAGAACCTTAGCTCTGAAAAAGTTGTAGTTACTATCCAACTGTTAACAGTTGTGCAGTAAATTCCTCAAGTTGCATATAAAAAATAAACCCAGATAACGCAGAAATCATGTTTGCTTTGAAAATGTTTATGATGTTTATTTATGAAATAATTGTAAAGCAATCTTTCTTTGATTTTGATTTAATGAACCCTATCATTCGAATATATTGTTATTCAATTTCTAATAACATAAGTAACTACAGTTTTTCAGAAGAATCATTTAACCTTTCAATGTTAAAACAAATTTCTGAAGCATCACCCATAAATAGTGGTTCCCCACCACATTAAGACAAAAATTCACAATTTCAAGTATTCGTTACTCAAATTCTAAACATCCTCTCAAAAAACAACCGCCTTCAATAACAAAAAAAAAAACTCATCACACAGTCTTCGTTCAGTTCCATAGTTTCCTCTGAACACAACTCGTCATTATCAAATATATATAAAAATTTGCAAAAACACAACAAACTGAAAATTTCACAATTTTAGAAGAAAAAGAAAAATGATTAGTGAATTGATGAATAAGCAATTTCTGGTCATTGACGAGACTGATATTGCCAATATAAAAATCAATAATGATAAATCGAAAGGATCATCCTCTCCCAATACTCACTCTCGGTCAACTAGTGGTGGTTTGGCAATTTTAGCTCCGAATTCACCACCTTCTCTGACTCCATTGAGTACTTCACCTTCTCATGGAAATGGATCCCCGAGTAGGTTTTCAGGACATAGGAGAGGATCATCACTTTCGAAAGGTCAATTGGAAATTAGAAAGGTTTATGAAAAGATTTCGAATAGTCCAATTTTTAATGTGAAGGATAAAGTTTTGGAAAAGAATCAGAAGGCTATTCAATTGTCAAATGATGAATCTCTATTGGCACTCTATTTTAATGATTGGTTGGAAGTTATGGAAGAACAATGTGATTCCCATCATTGTAATCAACATGGAAAATCAATCATGGTTAAGAAGAAGGATCATTTTCATGTTAAATTCACAATGTATGATATGGATGATTATCCATTTTACTTTCCTTTGAATTTGTTGGATGATGGAAGATTACACGATGATTTTGTCAAGTTTAGTGTTACCTTTTTCATTCCTTCAATTAAGGAAAGAGAGAAGACATTTCTATTTTTGGAAGATGGGTTAGTACACAAGGTGGAAAGATCAGATTTTAAATTGTCAAGTGAAGGAGCTTTGAATTATAAGAGTGCATCCATTGTGATTCGTGAACATTCGGATAAGTGTAAGATTTTGAAGAAATTGAAAAAGATTTGTAAAGTCATTCAAGAGTTCAATATTGACAAGACATTCCACATGAATAATAAGGGTGGTTCCTTCTTCTTTTGTAGAAAGATTGCCAAGATTTTCTCAGAGGAAGGAAATTTAAAATCATCCCTTTCAGATAACATTAAGAAACTCTTCAAATTGTGGAAAGAAAGTGCTGATAAGAAGAAGGAAGATGAGGAGCATTTAGATGATTTCTATCATGACCCATTCTACAGTAAGAATGAACACGTTCCAATGGATGATTTGTCAAATTTAGTCAAAAAGGCAACACAAACTATTCCAGAAAAGGTAAAGTCAAATGCTATTCATCCATCTGCCTATGAAATTATCAATGAAAAGATAATGACAACATCCTCCATGATGGCCAATGGAAAGGATACATTCCCTTTATTCGAATTTCACTTACCAAAAAAGGGACACTTCCATTTTGAAAGTTACTCTCAATTCAATGAATTTCTCTATGAACATTTCCAAAATGAGGAAGGATTGGAAAAATTGAAGAAACAACATCCTATGGATTATCTCTATCTCAAAATTTTGGATAGAAAATTGTGGTGTTGTAAGATTGCTACAGGATTATTTGATCCTCTCATTTCCAAACCTTACTTGTTCAATATTGGATCGAGAAAACCATTCTTTTCCATTCCAATATCTTTGAAGGAATATTTTGGAAATGCTGAATCTGTTCAAATTGATTATACCAAACTGAAAGAATCCAAACAAGGAAAAACTGTAAAAGTTCTATGTTTGGATGGTGGAGGTATGAGAGGTCTGTGTATTATAGAACAATTAATTGCTATGGAACAAAAAACTGGAAAGAAAATTAATGAACTCTTTGACCTAGTGTGTGGAACGAGTACAGGTGGAATTATTTCATTCTTCATTGAGGCAGGATATTCAATGGAGGAGGTAAAAGCCAAGTACATGCTGATGGGAAGAGATATTTTCAATATTAAGAGCAAATTCTCAAACATGAAGAAGGCTTTTAATTTTTTGAGAGGCAAGAGTTGGTACGAAACTAAAATTATTGAAAAGTACTTTAAAGAAGAAACTGGCAGAATGGATTTGTATAGTGCAACCAATACTAGACCTTTCGTATTTGTGTGTGGTACCATCAAACCAGAGAAGGTGAAAGAACCAGGGTCTGTTGTCTCATCCAAGTTTGTTGAGCAATTCCCATATATTTTCAGAACTTATCCTAATCCTTTCCTCTCCACTAAAGAATTATCAGACAAGATATTGGATCCATATCTTGACTTTTTACCAAAGAATGAATATGATGACATCTTTTATTCGGGAACTACTACAGGACGTGGTGTGAAAATTGTTGAAAGTTTGAGAGCTACTACAGCTGCTCCAATCTTTTTCGATCCAACCATTATTGGAAATGACCACTTCACTGATGGTGGTATTGTAGCCAATAATCCATCTGCCATTGCATTGAATGAAGTTATGAGAATGTACATGGGACATTCCTCCTTTATCTTTGTATCTTTAGGAACTGGTAAGAAGAGAAGAAAAGTTTTTGATTCTGAAAGTATTGATATGAGTTCTACCGCTTCTTCAAAGAAGGGTTCTTCCTTCTCATCGACCTCTTCTGCGGACAATATCAGTGAGAGAAGTTTTGTGGAAAATTTAATTATCACTGCATCAGATCTCAAACTATTGATTGATTTGGTCATTTCCTCTGAGAGAATTCATGCTCAAATGTTGACCACTGTTAAATTATTGAACGAGAGAGATGTTAATGCAAATATCAGCTATTATCGATTTGATCCAGAAGATTTGGGTCAATATGATTTGGATTGCATTCTTCCAGAAGTAATTGAAAAATATGAGAAGACAACCAGAGAATACATTCTCTCGCAACCAGACTTTGATGTCGTTTGTAAGAGATTATTAGATCCTTAATAAATAAATTAATATTTCTTTCATTACACTTATCATGGCTTTTTTGAGGATTTAATTAAGGATTTAATTACAAGAAATTTATTTAATAATATTTCACTCCATATGGTGATTCTTGATCTGAGGCAGATTGATGTACTTTTTGATGTTCTTTCCATGCCAACATTTGATGCTCTGAGGAACAGAAATAAGTTGGAGCTACATGAACACCCTTTCTTCTCAATGAAGCACAAAAGTTACATTCATACATTGATTCTTGACCACAAACAACACACGGTTGATTCACTGGGACCCTACGAGATGATTTAGTAGGAGTAGCTGGGGTAGTAGGGGTCTTGGTTGGAGTGGTGGTTTTAGTTTCTTCTTGTTTTTCACTATTTCCAAAAGGAGAAAATGCACTCTTACCAGAAGAAAAGCTTGGGAAACTGTTAGAGTTAGAAGTATTGTTAGACATGAAAGGACTGTTTGCTCCAAATCCTAATCCTCCACTCGATACAAATCCTTTGGATGGAGATGAAAAGCTTGTATTATCATTGACATTGGCAGGAGGTTGATTCCAAGTTGAAGAGCTAGATTCACTTCCCCATGTACTACCAGATTTGTTATCAAAGTATGAGAGGAATGCAGAGGATGTAGAATTGGAATTATTGTAGGCATTAATCAAATTACTTGAGGTTTTAGGAAGGGGTGGAGAAGGGGATTTTTCAGAGAGTAGTGAGTCAGTTACAGAGTTGGCAACCTCTTGGTGATGGTTTAAGGAATAAGAAGGTGAAGGAGTTGTTGAAACACTCTGGGAGAAATTATGTTGATTGGCCAAGCCAAATGCTGATGATCCAGTCATAATATCCCATGAAAAACCTCTTGGAGCATTATTTAGTGAGTTTGAATTGTCAAAGAGTTGCATTTGTGAGAATTGTGACATTTCATTGGATTGATTAGATATTGGAGAGGATGGGAATCCAAAATTACTTCTATCTTTGACTCTTGGTGAGCTCACAATAGGACTAGCTCTTGGAGTATTACTCATATTCAACCCATTATTAATCATATCAAGAGGATTCAGGGTTGGTGTTGTACTGTTTGATCCGCTTTGGCTCTTTTTAGATCCTTTAGAAAGTTGATCGAGTGAAGGATATTCCTGTTCATATTGTCTAGATGGTGCATTATTTGGAATTCCAAGTACTTGTCCTCCACCAACTGGATTTGGTATATTCATTCCTCCTATGAAAGCATTTCCTGGCATTAATCCCACTACCATATTACTAGGGTATTGAATATTTCCAATAATATTACCTCCTCTCACTAGTAAACCTCCAGGTTGTTGTGCTCCGAAATTACTTGTTGTAAACTGTTGTGGATTAGTAGTATTAGGAGGTGGTTGTTGTGGTTGTTGTTGTTGAACAATAGGAGGTTGATTAGCAAGAGCACCAAGAAGAGATGATGAAGCAAGAGGTGTTTGCCAGGCAATTGTTGGTGTTGTTTGTTGAGGATTTAAGAGTGGCGATGGTGTTGCAGATGTTAATGGAACATTAGTGTTTGGAGAAGGTATGATTACCTTATTTGGGATTGGTTGGGAAGTTGGAGTGGTGGATGAATTTGTTGTAGTCTTATTTGTAGAAGTATTCACAGTCAAGTTGGCTGTTGATTTCTTGGTATTGCTGGCTGTGGTTGTTGGTTGGACCTTAGTTGTGGTTGGAGTTGGTTTGGTATTGTTGGCAACCGAATTCTTTGTGGCATTGGATGAAGCATTTCCCTTTTTAGAGGCATCAATCCATTCCTGTTCGCTTGGTCTCGGAGTATCACATAATTTACATCTACTTAAAGAATTTACATTCAAATAGGTGCATTCACTACAGCTCCACTTGTTTGCAGAACCAGTGCTACCAGTACTAGAAAATGAATTGGTAGAACTTGTTGAACTTGTAGAATTGGTTCTTTTCCTTCCTGTTGAATAATTTGAGCTGGTTGAAGCAGGAGTTGTAGGAGCAGTACTTTTAGCTTGTTGAGCCTTTTTGGTTTGTTTTAATCGTTGTTCCTCATTATGTTCCTTAATATAAGCAGCCCACAAAGATGAAGTTCCAATAATTTCTGACATTTGATCACCAAGTTTTTCCACAGTAGGTATCAACTCAATGCACTTATCTATGAGTAATTGTTTGAGTGTTGCACTGATAGATATTATACTTTCATCATCAGGAGTTTGACTTTCAGAGGTTGTATGTAAATGCTTAGAGTTTAGTGAGGCACCCTTCTCATCATCTGGATCCAGAAGAGTAATTCCTGTCATATTCGTTGCAGGTAAATTCTGCATAAACTCTGAGGCAGAAATCAAATCTTTGTGTAACCGAATTGCAGCATTGTTGGATGTTGTAAGTTTGGATAACATTTTTTCATCGGTTATAGTTTGTATGGACTTTTGAGATCTTGGAGTTTTCCATTCTTTCAACTCGCTAATACTCTTTTTCAAACGATCTATTCTTTCCTTAATGTGTCTCACACCAGCAAAAGCCTCAATTAGTTCATAAATTTGATCTGGTGATAATTCATTTACACTAGCCATTTTACATATCGAATCGAGAATTGGAAATTCACTTGCATGATTATGACTTGATTTGTCCCAATCTTGAATGATTTCCTCAACTCGATCATCAATACTAACTTCTACCAATTTACCATTCTTTTTAGCTTGACATGTTCTGTGTTTCATATTTCTATCACCAACTACAGCAACATAATCAGCAATTGAATTTGTTATTACTTCCTGAAGATGATCAGGCTTAATAAATTCATGATCATCGGGAGAACTTGGTACCTCCTTGGTATAACAACCAAGCTGTGTATAAACATTAATACCTCTATTTAAAAATGTATCTTGAATTTGTTGAGCATAATTTCGTACTCTAACATCTGCAGCAAATAAAACAATAATATGTAATAAAGGTTTTCTACTTAAAAAGGCTTGTGTAATAGGATCTAATCCATTTTTGATATTACTTAAAGTTTCACTATGATTAGAAACATTCATTAAATTATTTGATGAAGAGTAGTGAGTGGAATGATATCTACCACCCGAAGTAGTATTAGAGGATGTTTTTGATAAAATTCTTGGATTATTTGTACTTGAGCTATTTCGTGATGAATTCGAAGAATATGAAGAATGTGTAGATCTAGGGGAAGAAACTTGAGAGGAAGATTGATTATAAGATCCACCATTATTATTTGATGATCCGTAAGAGGAAGAAACATGCTGAGATTGAAATTGGCTTGGTCTTGGTATTAAAGAAGATGAGGAATTGTTAGAGTACTTTCTTGATGATGAAGCCTTTGTACTATCTTCAGAAGTTGTACTTCTTGAATCATTTTCTTCATAATTTTCCTTACCATAGCTACTTTCATCGTCTTGATAATCATCATCATCCTCATCGTCATAATCATCCTCATGATGGCGATAAACTGGTTGTGATGAATAAGTAGTATTACTTCTATAGTTCGAATTATTATTACTATATGAATTATTACTTGAATTTACACGGTTTTGATTTTTCAATATTGTAGGTGGAGTTTTTGTATAGTCGTGAGTTTTGATATTTTTCGATGCTGTTGTTCCACCACCTCTAGAGTTATTAGTTCGGTGCTGAGTCATTTTGTTTTAAAAAGAGTGCTGATGATGAAATGTTGATACTATTATTATCAATGAAGAAAAACCTTTAAAATTGTCGGATGATCAAAAAAGCCTTGTTTTGAATATTATATTGCGCAGCACCAAATATTATTGCAATAACTTTAAAAAGGTGCAAAAAGGCTTGTTGGCTAATTTTTGAAAAATTCACTTGTTGAAAAACAAATCTATTATTTGATGTTGTTATTGTTGTAGAATTTAAAAATTGTATTCTTCTTGTTGATGATTTTTGGAAAATAAATGATGATGATGAATCTCTACAAGCCACACACAACAAAAATCGAATCTTTTTCTATTGGCAATCTTTTTCGTCCTCGAGAGAAAAGGTTATTTTTTACTATTGGTTTTTGCGCCAAGAATATTTTGAGAGTTTTGGTTGTTTCATCAACATAGCCTTGTTTGTCTAATACAGGCCAACTTGGAAGTTTACGTTTTGATCAAAGTTTAAAAAATTGAAAAAGTTCATAAGCTCGCGATGTAATAGGCTCATGATGGTTTTTTTGTTGTAGTTCATATCATTAATTAGAAGAAGGATTAAAAAAGATTAAAAAATTAGGAATGAATAATTGCATCTGCACATATTATATTATTAAATAATTAAATATAATTAATTTATGTGATGAGAAAAATTGCATTCCGAACTATGTCTTCCTCAGTAAAAACAACTGATCACACCTTACAAATTGGGAAGATGATGATAATGTGCAATTGTTTGTGGAAGGTTAATTATCTGACACATCCTAAAAGCGTGGCAACAGGGTTTCTATTCTGGTGATTAATTGGCAATTACGTACCTTAAGAAAATCATAGAAAATGCAAGGTTTGGATTCAAGAATGCTTGGACATTGGATAAGATATCTACAAAATAGTTTCTAATGAGCTACAATCCAACATGCCATATTCAGAAAGTAACTGTATTTTTTACTCTTGACCTGTTGTAAAAGTTTGTTGTACCCGAGGACCTCTCACTTATTGTTGAAATTATTACTGAAGCGCTGCTAGTTGACCAAACATTGTGTTATCCTAATACTGGTCACCAACTAACTGGCTAATCTTTAGGTACAAAAAAGACTGATTACCAAATTGTAGATACGCAACTTTTCTAACGTGCTGAAGAGCTTTGTTGGAAATATTGTTCATAATTAGCTCATACTTTTAAAAGGGCAGCTATTACCAGTTATTATGTATGTGATGACGGACAGCTGTCATTTTTACATCATGTAGAGCCAACACAATCCACAAAAAAGAACGATTAGTTGACAGAAATCATGTGACTTTTGGTATTCAGCACCAAGATAATTATTCCGCAATACAGAAACTGATAGTACGTTTTTGCATCAAAGCTTTCATTTCTTAAGAGAACTGCAACCCCTCCTCACACATTATAATTGACTATTGAAACTGGTTGTAACAAATTGCCTTTTCCTTCACTTGCTTTGTGAGTTGTTGGAACCCCACTTAATTTACCCAAGATTCTGCACGTTATCCTTTCAATATGTTTCTCTGTTGTTGGATGCAGAGCCACAAGGCAACAACATTGAGAAAAGGAAGGAATGCAAATGTGTTTCGTCTATTGAGAAGTAGCTTACCAATTTGCTTCGGACACATTGGTCCAATCATACCACAAAGAGTAGACAGCTACAAACCTTCCATTAAAAACGTAAGAGGCACTTCCATTGTTAACATCACAACTTCTCCTGTCTATTTGTTGTTTCCATCCGTAATATTGACCGACCTCACTTAACAAATTGATTTCAGACAAGAAAAAATTGTGTCAACCCTAATTGCTAGCCTAAATTTTCACACAACACACAATATTTCTCCTACAAGTCCCTCGACACTCTAATTACTACTACTTTGTGTTAACACATTTGGTCCACTTGTATCCAACAGGTTAAATAGCACAAATGTTGATTGTCTCAAATTGACATGTCTTTCCAACACCATCCCTATAATCCCAACTCTTCTAGAACAAAACGAGAACGTTTTAATTGGTCCTCTTTCATGGAGAATCAAGCTGAGGGTGTTGGTTCTTCTTCATCATCAAGTAATTCACATAATAATCAGTTATTGATTACAACTACTATTCAACCACAGCATCATCATCAACAGAATCAACAACCAACACTTTCAGATGCTTCTTCATCCAATAATTCACATGCCACCAAATCATCTCCACATGATAATTCAATTCTGATTCATCAATCCAAAAAGCAACAAGATGAAACCCCTATGAAACAACAACATTCCATGCCACGCTATTTTGGTGACACACCTTTAATGTCAGCTAGCAATTCTATGGCAACCCAACCCTCTTACATGAACGAACATCAAGGGATCCAAATACTACCCCATCCAACCACTATTATCAATCCTCCAATCACACAAACAAATATCTTGAACAGTCCCTTGACTATTCAAGGCAACAACACAATGCCCATTACCATTCAGCAACCACATGGGATTATGAGGATGACAAACAACAATACAGAGACAAGAAAGTCAAACAACAAGAAGGAATATCAACAACATGGAAAAGAGAAAGAGGAATATAATATTCGACTACCTTCCATTTTTGAATGGTGGCATGAAGATAGTCCTCCAACATCATCTAGCTCTCCTTCAAACAATCCTTTCAGTTTTCCTCCTGCTTCCACGAATACCCAATTTTTTGACAAGACTCATTCACCACCTCCTTCTTCTTCATTTGTTCCAATTTCGAATTATCATGACCAACATGCCAATTCTACTACGAGTTTTACTACTTTTCGGAAGAAACGTCATTCCCCAGATTCACATGCAGCCATATCTCACGATTTCACACAAATAGTAGCACATCAACAGCTGTTAGATAATAGTCCTCGTTCTCAATCTCCTCCAAATAATAACAATATTAATAATTTGAATAATTCTATTAACAGTAGTGGAAGACATAACACAGTAACAAGTAATATTTCTTCTACTCTAAATGCTACTCCAACAAGTCAATTATCAAAAAAGAGGAAAACCACAAAACCTACTGCCACTGTAATGATACCCTCAACGAGTTCAATCGCTCCACAACAAGATTCCTTTCTTTTACAAAATGAATATGAACAATTTAATAAGGGAGAGCATGAAATGCAGAAAAAAGGAAGAGGAGAAAAGATTTTCAAATATTCTTACTATCAATATAACAATACGAGTTCAAACAATAAGCAATAACATTTTTGACATTGAGAAAAATTTTGACATTTTCGAGAATTGTAAATAAATTAAAATTTTTATTCGAATATTTCCACATTAATACAAATACCCATATGAAAAAGTAAATGGGCATGCGAGAGCAGCGGAACATGCACAATAATGACTGGTTGTTAACTCTTTCATGTAGTTTCTTCCTTCTTGGATTTAATTCTTGCGATGGCAGTTGCCATCTTTAACATGTTATTTTGTTTTCACACAAATGTTGAGAAGCTGATTTTAATTGGAGTGAGTAGCCAGAGGGTTGTTGTTTGTGCAAGCATTAAATATTTGGGTTATTCTTGTTTGGATTACATGTAACAGAGTTGATGAACAAAATATAAATGGTCTAATTCATACTTGCTGTAAATTAATGATCCTATTAAATATCATATAATAATATTGTTGAACATCCACTTTCTGTTGTTCATGATGTAGAAAAATTGCACTGATTACATTCTCGGAGTTAAATCAATAATTTCACAGCTGTCGTTGTCGTGACATTTTTTTTCTGAATATTCTTCAAGTACCATTACTGTTCAATTATTTTATTTTTAGACATAACAACGAGGCTCATATAGCTCAGTGGTAGAGCATTTGTCTTATGAGAAATGAGGTTAGCAGATGGCCGAGGGTTCGACCCCCTCTATGAGCAGCTCAAATTTTTTTATTCAACTTTGCAATAACAGTGATTTACAGGGCTAATTAAAATAAGCAATAGCTTATTTAAGGATTTTCCAAATCATATGGAACAACTCTACACTAGTATTACATTTCCACCTATTAATCTTTTGAGATTCAGTAAGTGCTGTACCTCTAATGTACAACCTCCTCCTCCTCAATAAACATCACAACATCTACACAACCAATATATTTATCCATCAACTACAGTTGTTTTGCGAATCAAGCATTATTTTAGCCTCAATACAGCAAAAAAAAATGAAAGAGGAAATTGAGTGCGAAATTGGCTCCTCACTGCCAATTTGTTCTGTTGATGATGTTGCTGCAGTAGGTGATGGAAGATTTGAAGAGGCCGGTGCTGGTTGTAGTAGTAGCAGAGCTAGGATGGATATGAATTTAAAATTGTCATCATTAGAAAAATCATCTTTATCAGCACCTTCATCGTCAAGGCAGTTATCCACTTCTTTTGTTGGAAATAATAATAGTAGTACTAATATGATGGTTGTTCAACAACAACAACAACAACAACAGCCGAGGAATAATTTTGACGGCAATGGTTTAAAGCAAGAAAAACCATCAACACAATTAGTGGAATCGAAACCGAGAACGGACTATCCAGATTATCATCAAGACAAGAATGGAAAGAAATATGTAAATAATCAAGAAGAAGAAATTCAAAAGAAGAGTAGACTGCGGAAATTATATATTAAATACTTTAGGAATGTTTTTTTGGCTGATGAAGACGATCAATTGAAATATCAAATGAAAATACGAGCAGCAGAGGAGCAATACAAGATACTAATACTTTTAGGACTTAGTTTGAATTTAATCACGTCAATATTCTATATTGAATGGAATTTTATTAGACAAGTCAACTTTTTCTCATTGTGCTTCCTTGACACCTTTTTGGATATTGTGGTGCAGTTATTACTAATATTTTGTGGAGCTGCAAAGGATTTGCCAACACTGGAATTGGCTCACGTTTTTAAGAATTTAATTTTGGGCTCAGTGAGAGCTGTTAATCAAATCTATTCAGGGTTCTACTCACCCATATGGATAATGAATGGCTTTGCATTGCTTATATTTTCTCATGTGGCGTTTTTCAGAAATTCACTCTCTCTTATATCCTGTCTGACCCTCATTTTCAGTTCCATGTTTGGGCAGTATGTATCTTTCCAAGTAATGTTTTCAGAAGTGGAGAGGGGAGGAAGATTCATCACACTCACTCATCTTGAGAAGCAAACACCACACATGCATATGGTCTTGAATTCATCTATTTATTTACAAACTATTCTACAAAATACCATTATACAGGTGTTCATTCTTGCATTGGGAATCATGTTCTCGAGAGATGTTGAAGAGCAGTACAGTAGAAGTATCCGATTTGAATATCAAATCAAAACTGAAAGGTTTTTAAATGCATCAAAAACCAAGTTTATTGGAAACTTGTCTCATGAGGTGAGTGCTATTCTATTATTTGTACATTTTCAATTAATAACTATTTAAATTAATTATTTTAATTTTGAAAAATAGATGAGGAATCCATTACATGGAATGATTGGAATTATTGAAATTTTGAAAATAGAAATTAAAAAGATTATTGACACACTGAGCCAAACGGATTTTAACAAACATGAAACAAGAGAACCAGTAATTAAGGAGGTAATCTCTGCTAGTGAATCGAACATTGACCTCATCGATGATATACACAGTAATGCAAGAATGCTCTTGAATATATTTTCCAATTCGCTTCAAATAAGTAGTCTCGAGTTGGGTCAATTGAAATTGAATTATAGCCACTTCAACATTCTGGAAATGAGCGATTCCATCATTTCAGTGTTTTCAACCATTGCAAGAGACAAGGGTCTTGTACTTCAGTCATTCTTTGATGTTGAAAATGTTCCAATCGTACTCAAAGCAGACTCGGTAAGACTCTCTCAAATTTTAATCAATATTGTATCCAATAGTGTCAAGTATACAAGGAATGGAAAGGTTATCTTCACTTGTGGAACAGTTGACAGATCAGATGCAGACTTTCCATTCAAAGAAGAGAGGATTTCTCTCGATATTGGAGAATCTGAGCCTATTGAAGAGGATAATATTTGCTTTTTAAAAATTGAGTGTAAAGATACAGGAATTGGAATTGCTCCTGATCAGTTGGAAAAGTTATTTGAACCTTTTCATATTGTTGAGGAAAAGACTGTGAAACAAAATATGGAATTTGATAGGTACTATACCCAATCCGTTGTTAACACTAACAATTCATTCAACGATAGACACGGCCTCGGATTGAGCATCTCCCACAAATTGATTCAATTAATGAGGGGAAAGATTATTGTAAAGAGTAAAGTCAATGAAGGAACGACAATCACTCTCTACATTCCAACAATCAAAATTCCACAAGAGGAATCGAAACAGTATTCTGAATGCATACATAATAAGATTAAAGAATTGGAAACGAGCGATGTCAGAGAAGTATTAATTTTAGACGACGATGACGGAGTGAAAGATGTTCTTCACAAGTATTGTGCATTTGTTTTCAAAAAACCAATCAGAGAACTATCCACTGAGAAGGATGCCATAGATTTTTTCAATAGCACAACCAATCTTAATAATTGTTTGATACTGTACAATTCAAACAAGTTTTCCTCTCCGTTCTCCATGAATATTAATGCGAAGGAAAATATCATCATTCAGCTTTGTTCTCGATCAACAACATCCAATTTGAACTCTAACACACTCTATCTTCCTTTCAAATTTGAAAAGTTTATCAATATTTTGTACAATAATATTGTTGTAAAGAATAAGGAAAATGACAAGTCATTCCATATTGATAAGGTTGCAAATGGCGCCAAGAGAGCTCTCGTTGTCGATGATAATGATGTCAATAGAAAAGTACTTCAGAAATTAATGACCCTTCTTGGCTTTGAAGTGGAAACAGCTGCTGATGGTTTGGAAGCTTTTGAGATGGTGAAAAAAACGTCAAGACCATACGATATTATTCTAATGGATCTGCTAATGCCAGTCCTTTGCGGAAAGGAGAGCTGCAAACTCATGAGAGATTTAAAATGCTCTGCCAAGATTATTGCTGTCACTGCAAACATTTGGGAAAGCATGGATACCATTCAACAGGCAGGATTTGATTCTGTTTTGAGGAAACCAGTCATGCTTAATGACCTCCGAAAAGAACTCTCTAAATATCTTAACTAGATGGAATTTAATGATTATTTAATTTACTGCTTCAATTAATGTGGACGGATCGTAAAAGTAATAACAATTCTTGATGATTTTTCAAAACATAATTAGTTGGATGTATTCTCCAATAATTGATTGACACTATCCGATATCAATTTACCAGTGATCTCTATTGACAGAGTTATATTTTGAATAAGAGAGAAATTATTAGATATTATTCTTGATAATTTACAATGCTATTTCATTTTATTGATTCTTTGCATATTCAATCAAAGAAGTTGGCTTTACATCAAAGAGATTATTATCAAGCTTTTCAACAAGTGACTTTCCAGAAACAATTCCCCATTTCAATTGACTAAAAGCGATTGAAAGGAATTCTTCAGGAGCAAAACCATTCTTCAACTTTTCTTGGATTTGGTTGAGTAAATCTTGAGCTGATCCAGCACGAACCAAAGTTGCTTGTGGACCCACAACAATGTCAGCCACTTCTTTCAAGGTCAATTCATCACCTGCAATGTTAATTGATTTGTTTTTCAAGTTTGGATTCAAAGCAGCTTGAACAACATATTTGGCAATATCAGCAGTGTCAGTCAATTGAACCTTACCATGTAAATCTCCATAATATTTGTAAGAATCACCTTCCTTTTCAAAGAGGAAGTTTGGATAGAATGCAAACTTGTAGAAAATACTTGTATGAATCAGTAAATAGTCAACTTGAGTTTGATTCTTCAAGTCAACAACAAGTTTCTTCTTTGGATCATTGAGAAGAAGTTCACCAAATTCGAAATTTTCATAATTTGAACCAAAGCTTGATGGAATAAACTTGTTTACACCAGCCAACTTGGCAGCATTCAACAATTTCAATTGACCATCATAGAAAACTGAATGATCACCAGAAACTGCACTCACAATGACTTGAATTCCCTTCAATGATTGAGCCAATTCTTCAACAGTTGAACCAACAACATCTCCTTCAATCAAGTGAGCTCCCAACTTGACCAATTCTTCAACCTTTGTTTCACTTCCCTTTCTAACAAGAATGTGAGTTTTAACACCTGATTGACTAAGGAATGCTTTAGTAATTTGAGAACCAAGGAAACCACTGGCACCAACAATGACAACAGATGAATAATTATTAGAGTCAGACATTTTAATATATTTGTTTTGATTGTTTTTTTTAAAGTTTGTTATTTTGTTTGGCAAAGACTTATTGCGAAAGAAATATCTATTTATATTATTGGAAGAAGATAGATTATACGCACGGATCCAGGTCCGTAATGAGGACAGTTTCTGATAACCGGTCAAGAAAATGGCAAAGTTGACATGTCATGATGGAAATTCCTTTCTGTGAAATGTTAGAAATTTCAAAGAACTTAAAAATCCAAATGGAAAATTCCAAAAATTATTTAATAATTCTTTTCATTGTAATAAATTTACATGTTTATTCCATGAAAGATTTAATAATTGTTTGACTGTCAGTAATCTTCTTCTTTGGATCAGCAATTGGAAGAATGGAACCATCTTGACATTGAATATACAACACAGATTCATCATTTGAAAGTTTCATTGCTTGGAATTTGGAAATTGATTCAGGTCTTGCTGTAGATCCATAATTTTCAGAATCCAAATTAATGTAGTGAATATTGTCACTAGTCAAAACCAATAACAAGTGTCTACTTGGTGACATGAACATATCCAATACTATTTCAATTAACAATTCTCATGAAAATTAATCTATGAACACTTACCTTTTTCACATGATGGAATAGTTCTGAAATTGTACATTGGAGAAACGTCACTCATCAAGAACATGAACATGTTGTGATATTCTCCCTTTCTGGACCCATTAATCTTCTTGCAATTAACAAAATCAGGAGTATTCTCATCTGCATGAATAAACACAACATTGGCATCATGTGAAACCAAAGCATGATGAATTCCAAATTCTTTAAACTTGTCAAATGAATAGAGATGATCTTCAACCACTCTCTTTTTGACAATCTTGTTAAAAGTAACAGATCTCAATCGGTAGTCATTGCAGAACATGTAAACCTTATTACCTTTGCCACCTTCGACCATGAAATTGAAACTTGTGCAAGTGGTGGTGCTGTCAGGGAAAATTTTGACAGCTTCAATCAGTTTGACAATTTCACTGCCATTCCAATCAAAGCGAATGTAGGTGGCATCTTTAAGGAAGACGAAAGCAGTTCCAAATTGGAATTTGATACTTTGAATTCCATGCATGGCGATACTGTAAAGTTTAGTCAAAGTTTCGTAATTCCAAATGGCCAATTCGCTCTCAGTCCATGAGAAACCAACTTGATAGTCATCACTGTGGGTGATACCCAAGACTTTACCTTCATGAATCTTGTTTCGAATAGGTGTGCCATGGGAAGCAGCAGAATCATTTAATGTGATAGACGAAAGTGTACCATCTTCTCTACCAATAATTAACTGTTGAGTAGTATTTGAATTGTTTGGCTTGAAAGCGTAAAAGGCAGTGAATGACATTTTTTTAAATAAATCAAAGCAATGATGATCGTTTGATTTGATTTGAGAGTCAATTGAGTGTTAAATACCTAAGGCATCAAATCTCGAGATATGCAAATGAATGTTTCAGCACATTTTCAATGTTGTTAATACGAGTTGTGCAAGGCAAGAATGGAAATATCCAGCAAGATACTGCAACACTGTTGTCGCATTTATACACTTGTTTTTGTCCGTTTTACAATTACAGCTCACCGCTCCAATTAGCCGTTTAAAAAAATAAAAAAATTCTAATATAATATGAAAATTTTAATTTAAAAAAAAATCACCAATGCTCACTGATTAGATCCTTACCACAAGGGATGAAGGTCATCAAAGAGGTGTTTACACCGATAAGTACATCTGAATATTGAAAAGGAAGTTGTATCTTATTCTCTTGCAAGCTTGAATATTATTAGCTGAAGCTGTTCATCACGGATAATACCTCTACTAACACATGGTGATGAAAAATAATAATATTATTTAAATATATCTAATATATTATTCAACAACCTCCGTGGAGATTGAACATGAAAAAATCTTACGAACAAACTGAATTTCCGCCACTAATACGAAAAATATCAAAAACCAAAAAAAATTGGCGCTTTTTCATTGGTTCATCACGCGTATTTTTTGATCATCATCAAATATTATTTATAATTTAATTATTCTTTAATAAAAAACCAAACACATAATTGTTAACAATGTCAAAGAAGGAACTTTTAAAGGTTATTGTCTTGGGAGATTCTTCCGTTGGTAAGACTAGTTTGATGAATCAGTTCGTTAGTAAAAAGTTTTCAACTCAATACAAGGCTACTATTGGAGCAGACTTTTTAACGAAGGAGGTTATGATTGAAGATAAGATGTGTTCCTTGTCAATTTGGGATACTGCTGGTCAAGGTTTGTTTATTGGATATTTAAATTTATTATAATTATTAATAACGAATTTATTGTTGAACGTTTCTAAATATTATTACTAATATTATTGGATAAATACATATTCTTATTGGAAATAATATCAAACAGAACGTTTCCACAGTTTGGGATTTGCATTCTTTAGAGGATCCGATGCTTGTGTACTTGTTTTTGATATTACTGTACCAAAGACATTTGAAAATGTTAATAATTGGAGAGATGAATTCTTGATGCAAACCACTCCAGAAGATCCTGATAATTTCCCATTCGTACTCATTGGAAACAAGGTTGACATGGAAAACATGAGACAAGTCCAACAAAAACAGGTCACTAATTGGTGTAGAAGTAAGGGCAATATTCCATATTTTGAATGTAGTGCCAAGGATGGTACCAATGTAGAAAATGCCTTTGGTATGTAGACAAGTTTGTTATTATGTTGTTAATAATTGTGAATTGTAGTAACTTTGGCAAAGAGAGCATTATCAGTGGCTAAGGAAGATATTATTCAAAGAAATGAAGGGTTGACAGACTTTGGAGACGAACCAAAGCCTCAACAAAACACTGGTTGTTCTTGTTAATTATAAGCAAGAGATTAACTTGTAATTGTATCATACTATCTAATTTATACACATATTTGTACATATTTTCTACTTTATAAATTATTGTTTGATTTTACACGAATTGATAATATTATAAATACTGACAACTTTAATTGTCCTTTAATCTCTTAATATCCCTAAAAACCTAACCCTTGACATGATGAAATAATTACATTTACAATTGTCTCTATATTAGAGAATTTAAGATTTGGATAAACAGTTGTGCCATAACTACTTTACCTGGCTTATGGCTTGTGTTAAAATAAGGTTAAAATCAAAAGAAAGACTAAAATTTCCTAAAATACAATGGATACCTAGTTGGATGGAGGCCATTTCATGCCTTAATGGAGGCATGAATTTTGCCATTCTTCATTTCGCATCTCTTTTACCATTCCAATCAAGTTACCGCATGTGTAATATAGAATTATCACATCCAATATTATACCTCTATAACATTTATAATAATCTCAATAATTCAACAAACAATTAATCATTTAATGTGATAAATACCTCTCCTTAAGATAGTGGGTTCAATACGGGAAATATATTTTACCTGCGATTTTTTGAAAACGCCAAAAACCAATTCACTTCCTTAATTAGCCCTCGAATTTCAAGTTTGGTTTTCTCCTCCTACGTAAAAAACAAAAGAAAAACGCCAAAATCTTAAAAACCCCTTAACAAATCAACCTTAATTGCCGAGTTGAATCTTGAAACAAACTCTAAACTCTATATTTTACAGAGAAAAGTAGCTTGTTAAATATTGATTGATTAATAATAATAATGGAGGAGAAGAAGGTGATTAACAGTATTACCATTTCATCTTCGGACGCCAGCAATGAAGAGTTTCTAGATTATAAAAACCCTCATGAATCCAATTCGGTAGGAGGACATAACGAGAGTGGTAACAATGTAAGAAATACTAATAATACTGTGGGAGCACCATCACACATTGGTGGTGGCTCATCAACAATATCATCGGGTCAACAATCATCAGCTCTCACTGGTAATAACAAATTTATAACTCTGAGAGAAACCCTATTTCAATTCCTAATATCACTTAATGTTAAAACGCCTAAGGTTAATTCCAAAAGAGGTGCCTTTATTAATTTTCTCTTATACTCATACCTATTGTATATAACTGTGATTATTTCTTCGAGCCCTAGCTTGATATCACAAGATCCAACAACCTCTACATCATCATCATTGAATAGTTCTAATAGTATGTTATGGGGAGGTATTCCTGGATGGATTTGGAGAGTACTCTTCTATCCAATCAATCTAGGGGCTGAACATTATCCGTATGAGGCAATTGTTTCACTCTTGGCTATATTTGTGGCCATTGAGGGAATGGCCTTATTTTTCTTCTACTTGTTCAAAGTTTTTGTAGATAGGGGAAGTAAGGTCGTGCCTAGAATGAGGATAGCGCTTAGGATATTCTCTATGGTCGTATTATTCCTTTCTCCCTTCATTGTTTGGATACACTCCATTCCTATGGCTATCTATTCTTCAAATGGGTCATTGACTCACTTTCCAACCATTCAGTACAATTCTCCAATGAACATTGCAGCTATAGTCATTGGATGTGTTGGCATAGTACTAACAATTATTATAACACTGATAGGATCCTATATTGTTGTGGAAACAATACCTCCTTCGTTGAGATATATCTTTTTTGCTGCTGAAAGAGTTTACCCTCTCACTGCCTTATTCATTTTCAACCAATTATCAGTTTTACTCACTGTAATATGTGATGTGAATTATGTAATTGTTGGCTCCTCTTTAAAAATAGTTCTTTCACTGCTATTGATTGGAATTTTTGCTAATCGATTGCCATTCTTTAAGAGATTTGAAAATTCAATATTGATTGGAATTTTATGTGCCCGAGTTGTTGGATCGATTGGTCCAATAGTTAGTCATTCAATATTAGTGAATAGTAGTGGTCTTTCTTCTCAATTGGTGGAGACAATTGGCGGATCTGTTACTGGAGGAACATTGGTGTTAATGATTGGATTTTTCATTCTCTCAACAACAATATTTCAAATTTACCTTATTTTGATGACAAGAGGTGTTAAAAAATCCCTCAGAGAATTATTCAACAACAGAAAAACCTCCAAAACAGAGAGTATCAAATATTACATGAACTGTGAGGAAACACATACTTTGAAAAAGTTGCTCACCTTTATGAAATTTTCCTTAAATAGTTTTGAAGAGAAGGAAGATTCAGATTTTGAGATTTGTAACAATTTAGTTCAGAGCTGTATGAATACCAAAGTTGCAATTGATGTTGAATATTTAATCTTATCAGGAATGTACTTTGGTTTCTTTGGCGATGCTGATGCTAATTTGACGAATTCTGTGATTTCGATTGGAATAATGACGAGAGGATTGAAGCACCAACCTAACATTATTCAAAAATTCCACATTATTCTAAGAACGAGGGAGATTGAATCCATAGCCTCTCAATCCAATGCTTTCAACCTTGAACTCAAGCAACAAATGAGCTCTCTGGATAAGAAACAAGTTCTCATCATGTATTTTCACAGAGAATTCTTCAAAGAACTCTTGAGTGATAAGCCACACATTGTCAAATTGGAAAATATTAACAGAACTGTCACTAAAATGGTGAATGACTGTGATAATAGATATAGAAATTTGGCAGCCATGCACCGAAACAACAAGACTCTGTTAAGATCATATGCTGTATATTTGGAAACCTTGCGTTTTGAAAAGGAGGCAGCTCAAGAATTATATGAAGAAGCCAATACTCTCGAGGAGGAAGAAGTCAAGAGAGGAAGAAGACCCACTCACAAAACAAGTCGTTTCTTTGTCCCTCAAAAAGGTGGTTCTAGAAATAGAGTCTTTCCAGTAACAACCACTTCAGAAATGAGAAGGGATTTCACACCCGCTAATGATGACGTTCAAGAGATGGTTATTGTCGATGAAGAGAATTGGGATTCTGTCAGTGCCATGCAAGATGAAGGAACCAAGAAGGAGATTGTCTATCGAATGGCTCTCAATTCACCAGATGACAATAAGAATTACACAATTTGGTTTGCTCTATTTTGCTTTTTCACAGTCATTGTATTCGTTACTTGTTTGGCAACTTCATTATCAATCAATGACGAAACTTCGAAGAGAGTTTCACTTCAGGAGACAGTTTGCAGTTTGAGTTCAATACCTTCATTGATGGCTCAACAAATGAGAGCCATTCTAGCCAAGTTCAATCACGCCTCACATCCAGAGGATTTGGTTGAATTGGAAATTATCAAGTCAGTTTCTAGAAAACAAATAGAATATCTAATATCCAAGGTACAGCTTGTGCAATATGCTTCTACATCTGGGGCTTTTATTGAACAAGTTGTCAAGACCTATACGGATCAGAGTTGGGACTATTACATTCCCACAAAACAATTTGATGAATTGGCAGATCCATTGTATGATATTGGTAACTCATCGGTTGGTCAATTTGTAGATATGATTATTGATTCAGGAAGTGATATTATTGATGGAATGGAGGATTTAACCACTTTCAATAAGACTCTATCCAATTATCCGTTTCTTCTCATCTTCCTTAATAGAAAGCACTTGACAGAGGCATTTGATTCATTTTGTGTAACTTTTATTGAAGGATCAAAATATAGCTCCCAACAAGGAAGTATAATTTTTCACAGCGTTTGTTGTGGAGTTTTGGGACTTTACCTTGTATTCACCTCTATTTATCTTTTCGTGCTGAGAACAGAACTATTACAATTACACAGAATATTCAATAAGGTTTTCACAAAGGTTCCCAAAGATGAGACTGGTAAAATTTTCCATTCATTTGATAAGAAGGTCGAAGATGAAATTAGAAAAGAGAATAGAACTATTTTCACACCGCAGGCAATGTTCTTGTCTTTCACAATTGCCACTATTGTGGTAGTGGTTATTGTAACCATTTTGGTAATTGTAGAATTCAATATCAATGCTAGATCTGCAGAGTCGACCATGTTAGCAACCAATTCTATGAATACCGTAGTATTAAGCTCCATGGTTGTTAATTTTAACTTGTTAGAAATGATATTAGAAAGTCATTTGTATCCAATACCACAAGAAACCATCAAGAAGATTAATATTGAACAGCTGGCTATAGCGAACTTTGCTTGGAGAGCTATTTCTGTAGGAAGTGAATCGAATAATTACAAGAGTTCCATCTATGGAGTTTATGAAGAAATTGATCAGTTATTGAAAGGCAGTTGTGTGAATGCTACAGGCTCACCTGAAAGGCTGACAAACACTACTGAAATGATGGCAGTTCTAGATTGTATGGGAATGGAAGATTTAGTAGATATGTTTGTTTCTCATGCTACTGAATTCAATCAAGATTTTGCTGTCTCACTTAACGAACCTGAAACTGAAGTGGAAAATTACTTTTCACATATTTATTATGTTTCGATTTATCTTTCACAAAAATTATTTGAATTTATCAAGACATTTGTTTCACATTCAAAGAATGCATCAATTGTCATTACATATGCATCTTGCTTTGGTGGATTGGGTATTGTTTTGGTTCTATTCTACTTTTCCTATACATTCCTTCAAAACTTTTGGGATGAAAAGCATCATGCTAGAACAATGCTCAACTATGTTAAGTGGAATATTTTGGAACAGAATAGAGAGCTTAATCAATTTGTTATTTCACACGAAATTGGTGGATTTACCTATTCCACTGTTGAAAAGATTGCAAATAAGGTAAAGAAAGGGATGAGTAGTGAAGAGGAGGAGGCAGAAGATCCAATGTCAATGACCATCTCAATTCTAAATGCAACCACAGATGGTAGTGTTATTTGTAATCATGAAGGTGCTATTCAAGTGTTCAACAATGCAGCTGAAGATATGTTTGGATGTAGAAAGAGTCAAGTTGTTGGTCTCGATATTTCAAATCTGTTCTCTATGGAGGATCAACCAAGAGTTTTGAAATTTATTACCTTAATGAATTCATCCAGCAATGTAGGAGGAGAGGTATTGGAAATAGATTGTCAGAGAAGAAACCAGACTATTTTCCCTGCCAAAGTCACTCTATGTGTCAGCTACTATAATAAGAAACCAATTTTTTCATGTTTCATTAGAGATGTTACAATGGAAAAGAAGCAAAATGCACTGATTCAAGAAGAAAAGAAGAAGAGTGAAGAACTCTTGTTGAATATTCTTCCAAAACCAGTTGCTCATAGATTGATGGAAGGTGAAAGAAATATTTCAGAAAAGTTTGGAGATGTTTCTGTTTTCTTTTCAGATATGGTTGGATTTACCAAATTTTCATCCCAGATGGAAGCTTCTGATTTGGTCACCATGTTAAATCAAATTGTGGAGGGATTTGATTCTCTCACTGATAGGCATGGATTGGATAAGATTAAAACCATTGGTGATGCCTTCTTTGCTGTAGGAGGTTTATATGCTTCAAAATCGAGCGACCATCCTGAGAGAGCTTTGAAATTCTCAATTGATGTTTTTGGATTTTTGAATCAATTTAATAAGAATGAAAAGAGGAATATTAATATTCGTATTGGACTTCATACCGGACCGTGTGGTAAGTAGTAACATGTTTATTCATGAATACTGAAAATTAAAGTTGGTGGAGTGATTGGTAAACTCAAATTTGCCTACGATTTGTGGGGTGATACAATCAATACTGCCTCAAGAATGGAATCTACAGGTGTCCCGGGAAGGATTCACATGAGCAGATCAACCTATGAGCGTGTTCATGACTTGGGATTCAAGTTTGAGGAAAGAGACGAAATTATGGTAAAAGGAAAAGGCAAGATGAAAACCTATTTACTTCACAGCAAGCACCACTTGCCAGCTTTGGAAGAATATGACATTACAGTTAGTACAGACGCTATTCCAGTGGAGAATAATGGATTGGAAGCAGCAAGATTAAATATTCCAAAAGTGAAAAGCATGTCTGGTCTCTCCCAAATATCAAACTTGGACGACTATATGGTTTCAAATAGGTCTGAAACAAGAAGTTATGGGTCCATGAGCCAAAGAGGAAGCGCTGAAGATTTTAGTAAATATCAATAAATCTGTTGTGGGCTATGAATTATTGGAAGTATTGGGTTATTTTGAAATGAAATGCTTTATTAAACATCTATCTTTCATTTTACAAGTCACCAATGGAAAGGTTGCTAGAACTTAAATGGGATTGTTTGGTTGAGCTGATGTTAGACATTTCGGAAGCCATCTTTACTAGATCTGCACTCAAAAAGGCAACACACTCAGAGAAGGTAACTTGTTGATTATTGTTCGGATCAATGGTGGAAATACTTGTCATCAATTCAGACTCATTACAATTTGGATTTACCGTCATTAATAATCTCTTAATCTCAACTTGGTTCAAAATACCATCTCTGTTGATATCAATTTCTCTAAATAATTTGACAAACTTGTTTAGGAACTTTTCATGTGATTCCAATTGGAAGTCCAATAATACATCGATAAACATCTTGAATGGAACCTTGTTTGACTTTTCAAAGCTCTTATTAGATTGTGAAGATCCTCCTGATTGGTTGAGAGAAGCTTTTTGACCTTCCATAACAGCGTCGTTAACTCTGATAATGACAGTGAGTGAATCTTCCTTATTGTACATGTACTTGATAATGTCAACCCATTCATCTTCATTCAAATCGCCATTCACTCTGTTTTGAATAATTTGAATTAATTCACTATCTACCTTCTTACTATACTTTCCTCTAAGGAATACCTTGAGGAGTTCAACTGTAGTGTCCTTAAGTTGTTTTTGAACAAATCTGAATTCTTCATCAATTTCATTTCTCAAAATCTTTCCAAAACATTTGACATCATTGTCTTCTCTGGAAAATCTCTTAACAGCAAAAGTAATGGCAGTAGCCCACTCGAAAACGAGGCTCTTTAAACCGTACTTTTGATTAAGGTATGTATATAAGTGTTGTTCCATGGTTTCTCTTGGTAATTGATTGTCGTGGCATTTCTGGTCAAATCTTTGCTTAGATTGATATATTTCTTCTATTACTTCTTTTAATTGTTTAAGACTTAGAGGTTTCAACTTAGTTGGTTTTGTTTCTTTTGGTTTGGCAGTACTTTGGTTCAAAACCTGGGTTGGAGTGTTTGTGACTTGAAGGGCAAGTTTCTGTCTATTGACTTGAATTTGATTGAGCCTATTCTTGTATCGTTCAATTTCTACTTTCAATTCTCCAATTTCTTCAGCCATTCTGCTTCTTTCCAGCTCTTGTTGTCTTATAATCTTATTCTTTGCCTCTTCGCTTTCAGATGCTAGCTTGTGAAGAGCTTCAGTCTCCTCTAATAATTGAGCAATGTCCTTATCTGCACTATCCAACTCTTTTTGGAGTGCCAATAATTTTGAAAAGCACTCCCCCGACACTGATTTGATAAGTGAATAGTAAAAATCACACAAATCAGAGTATGAATTCTTAACAATTGTTAAAATACTGGCTGCTTTCTTATCAGTTTGAGCCACCTTCTCGATAACATCCTCGAATGAGATATCAAAGAGTTGCTTCTTGCTATTGAAAAGTTCGGACTGATAATTGATCGAACCTTGTGGTGTTGTTTCTCTTTTCAAGTCGAGCAGTACTTTTAAGTTTGGAATCGAGTCAATTACGAAGGGTGTCTTCTTTCCCAAGTACAAACAGACTGCTTCGTGAAGTCTTTTTGCATCCTTAAAATCCTCAACACCAATTTCTTCACTAGTAGTGCCATTGCTTTGTGGGGTTGATGCTTCTTCTTGTTCTATTGGAGGGATATTATTTGTATCATCATTGTTCCGGTTATCTGTATTGTTGGTTCTTTTTGGTGATGAGTTGTTTTTGCTTGGTGAATATTGGGGAGGATCTGCATCAGGAAGATCTGTGAGTGCTGTTATATATTATTTAATATTAAATTATTACCTATTATCTATACTTACGAGTTCCATTAAAAGATTCCAAATTAGAAAGGGAAACGATAATTTCATCTTCCTCTTGTTCGTCAAGGGTAATATACAAGTGCTTGAGAGAAGGTAGGGAAAACAAGCCTGAAAGAACATTCTGTGATGAATTGAAATTGTTGTTTCGGAGATCCAAATATTCAACTCTTTGAAGACCACTCATATCTGAGGGTAAGTATCTCAACTGATTATTTGCAAGCCTTAAAACTTTGAGGTATCTCAACTTGGAGAGATCGACAAGAATTTCATCCAAAGTTTTTAAACCACAGTGCTCAAGAGAAACCTCCGTAGCATCTGGGTATTTGTTCATAATTTCGTTAACCTTTTCCATGGTTAATGATATATTATGATGATGAAGATTATAATAATTTAGCTGATGATGACTAAAATTCCCGCTTAAACCTTCTTTCGTGGTGTGATTAAGGCTTCACTCTAGTAGGTATTTTTTTTAAAATCATTAATCAAATCAATACTTGCAACGGATGGATTTACAGTGAAACTTGGCGCCACAGTAATCATAGCCTTTTTATTCACTCACTTTGCTTGTGATAAGATACGGTTTGGAAATGGTGAAACATCAAGGATAACAGAGAACGTCTATTACTTTTGATTATTTCTTAGAAGGAAAGTCTATACAATACATAGCAAACGCGATTCACAAATGTTCCAATAAAATCTTGTTCTTGATCATTTGGTATTCTTGGATCTTGAATAGTGACACCCTCAATCTTTGGTGAGCTGGATCGTTGTTGTAATTCTAGTAGTAATTCTGGCTCTTGTAACAATCTCTTCTTACACAAATAACAAGAGATAGTGTTGGAGAGGATTGAATAGTTAATGTGAAGTAAGTAATTTTGGCCTGTTGCACTACTGTCTGGAGTGATAATCAAGTGTTGAGCAGTGCCATCCTTTTTGAAAATACTCCCAGCCCTTTCTCCTCCATAAATATTCCACAACTCTGAGATGACATCATTCCAAGGTATATAGTTGGCCTCAAATATGGACAATGTAAAATCATAATCGGTAATAGGTGTCTTGATCCAAAGGGCGTCCAAGTCATTGAAGAGATTTTCACTAATCTTGAAATTGAGAGCCATTTCCCACAAAATATCAAGCTTGAATGAATCCTTAACGCTGTGGAGAAGGTTGAGAAGTTTTCTCTCATATTGTTGAGCCATTTGAGTGACAATCTTGTACATGTTTTCTTTGGAACCTTCAACATCAGAATCATACGGATGTCTATTGGTAGCATCTGCAAAGACAATGTACATTGTGAGATTCATTGTAGAGTTTTCATACATTTCTTCAGACATTGGACTTGAAGGAGAGATGTGAGAAGTTGAATTTTCAATACTCTTAGTGACAATGACAGAGTATGAGTAGTCTGCCTCATCATGTGAAATATAGGTATCCAAAATAAAGCACTCCTTACTCTTTTGGTTGAACTTGACACGATATCTTTCAGAATTCTTGCAAATATATTCAAAGAAGAAATGGAAAGGATCATTCAATATTTCTCTTCTCTCCAAATTTCCACTAGCCTTTATGTTGGCCTTTTCTCTCATAATATCGGCAATGTCCTTAGAATTTTCAAATACGATATGATGAGAGTGGAGAATATTTCTGGTGTGAGGAGGTGGCTTTGGATAGAATTGAGCAAAGTCCTTCAACAAGCACATAAAACTGAGAGAAGGAGGAAAGCCAGAATAGTCTGTAGTGAGGTAATTCAAAAAGTTTCTCAAATGGAAATCATAAGAAAATGAATTCATGTGGAGTGAGTGTTTGAATTGACTGACTTTCTTCAAGAATTCTCCTCTGGAAGAAGAACGATTATGCATCAATCCTGAAGGTTTTTGAGACACTGTATCGGATACATAGACATTCAAGTAGGCATAAATACTGTCCAATCCAAGCTCCAAAAACAAGACACCTTCATCCATTTGTTTTTGGAAATAAATAGTTGTTGGTTGAAGTTTGATAATTTGGTTACCAACGACTTGAACCAATGGAGTAGGTTGTTTTGGTTGCTTTTCTCTTGTGATTGAAATTTGAAGGTTTGGTTCTGCTCCAGGAGTTGAAGGAATATCGTTCTGCTCGGATGGATTCAAAAACACATCAGAAATATCCAAAGATTTGACATACTCAACATATTCGCTAAGGAAAGATTCAAATACCTTTCTGTGGTATCCAATTTCACGTAAATTATTATTTTGGGTATCTTCAAAGGATGAGGTATTACCAAGATCCATCTGTTGAATAATTGCTGCAGAGCTTGAAGATACAAATGAGGATGGATCGAAAAGTATTCTTCTTAAAGGATTGAACAAGAGAGGTACTCTACAGAAGTGAATCAATCTCGAAGTATTCTTAATGAGTTGGAAATCTTTCGATTTGAGACTAGTAGAGTAGGATTTGTTATTCCAAAATCCATAAATTTTAGAAACTTGTTGTTGTTCCACCTTCTTCTTGTAATTTTGGTGGACAATGTGCTTAAAGTGGAGACCATGAATTAAGAGCTGATCTTTCTTTGATTCTACTGGGGTTCTTCTACTCAAATATCTGCCAGGATTCTTATCTAGATCATAAATTCCTTTCAGCAAGGAACCAAATTGATTCTTGCTGGATTGTGGCTTCTTTTCCTTTCTGATAGGTTTGGCAACTTCACTCTTTACCTCAACTGTTGCTACTTGTATTGGTGTTGTGGTTTGAGGTGTTTTGAATCTATTGTAAATTTGTCCTCTAACATCAGGCATTTGTTTTGGTGCATTCATGGTGGATGGAGTGGAAGGTGTTGTAGTACTTCTCCTGATTGTGGTTGTAGTTTTAGGATCTACTGGTGCATTTTGTTTGTTATAAATCAAGAGGTCAATATTGTTGAAGGCGAATTGAACTTCCTTTTGTGGCTTTCCACTTTGACTTGGATTTAAAGGATTTGATGGAATTGAAACCAAGTTACTAGAGTGTGAGTGATAGAATAAACCAAGTTTTTGATGGAGAATGCTATTCAATAAGTGAGCTCTACATCTCAACCATGAGACAGTTTGATGCAAGTGATATTTGAATTTTTCAAACTGAGGAGACTTCCAGTTGTAAGCTATTACTTGGAGCTCAGCACTTGTGAGGATAATGACAATACAACATTTTCTATTATATTTGAATGAATTTCTATAGTTAAATCCTTCCAATGATATTATATCACCAATCTTGATATTTTCACCAATATTAATAACTCTATCATTATTTTGCACAAGTATATTACCGGCTATCATGGCAAAACAAACATTGTTAGAATCAATCAAGTGGTACTTTTCTGTGAAATCTTCACTTCTAGAGTATTTGACAAAGTTTTGCCTTCCGTCTGTGCTGACAAATGTAACTGGTCTAAATTTAAAGCTGTATACAGAGAGTAAGTTGTAGAGATCTCCAATAAAACGTCCCATTTCCCATAATGGTAAGAAAATAGATGCTCTGTGTTCAGTTAGTGTTGGAGAATCAATTCTGGAGGCTTTGATGGCTTGAGTTTGTAATCTAGCTAAAAAGTATCTGTTGAATCCTTCCAAACTCAAAGGGTTTGTAAATAGTCCACATTCCACAATATAATCAATAACAGATTGGTTAACAGTTTGAACAATCTTTTCTAAAAGGGAAGGAATATCAACTTCTCCCTTCTTCCAAAACTCGAACAGTATCTTTCCATTCTCACTTGACAATGACTTGGAAGATACTTCTGTTGTTGTCCCTACCTCGTCATCCTCATCTTCAGAGTCAGAGTTACTGCCTTCCTTCTTTAAAATGGGAGCACCAAAATCTGTGTAAGGAATGTTTGCAGGTTCTTCTTGCAAGTTTCCAAGCTGAGAGACACCTGTCAAATCGCAAACATATGACTCCTTCATAGGTGGGAAAACTGTAACCATCTCTCCATTTTGATTCAGTAATGTTAATTGTACACAAGCTATACCTCTGCAATTCACTGTTGAGGTCATGGCTCTTGAGAAGGTATTCTGTGTGACAGAGTTGAACAAGAAGGAAAAGTCCCAAGCTTTAAATACCATATCATCATCCTCGTCCTCGGTAAATGACATGTAGGCCTGAGGATTGTTACTATCAGTAGAGTCATCACTACTAGATAAATAGAGTTGATTCATAAAGGTCAACATGTTATTCCTGAGGAATAGCATGAACAAGAGCTTGTTGTTAATAAACTTTGGAATATTGATTAACACACTTTTTTGTGGTTTTTGTAGTAATGGTCTAATAAACTCCAAATCTTCAACTGTAACTTTGAATTGTCTGTTTCTCAATAATAAATTGGAAATAATATTCATAGTGAGAGCAGATAATTTTCCTTCAATAAGATTTCTCAATTGTGCAGTAATTTCCGCACTTGGAGAATAGACACCATAGACTTCCAAAACTATGGAGGATGTCTTATTCTTCAAATCCAATTCAGCATACAAATATTGACCCATACTTGACAAGGAAAGTGAGTAATCTTTCAATTTCGTCTTGAATTCTTGGTCGGATTGTTCAGGTTGTTCTGGTATTTCAGGAGACTTTTCAGTGGTTGGTGACAATACATCTACCTGCTTGTTACCATCAACTAGTTGCAAATAGAAAACTCTACCACTTCTTTCCTTGTAGACAAACATTTCACTTCTGTTAGCAACAATGAACGGATTAAAAACTGCTTGATTCAAGTGATTAATAGCCATAGCAGTAGTCAAACGACTATGAAGAGGGAAAGAAATTTCATATGTCTTTCTACAAGCAAAGTCTCCTTCCTTGAATTTTTCTGGATTTGGTTTTTCATTGTCCTTTCTGATAAGTTTCTTGTCTAGAGTATTGATTTCATTTTGAAGAGCCTTCTTATCCTTTTCCTTTCTGAAGGGTAATAGGAGGGAGCTACAAAGTCTGGTATCATGTAAATTGGAAAGAAGTAACAGAGTATTCACTCTCTTACAAATAACACTGATTGCCTTGAAAACAACACTAACCACATCATTGGCATGTTTAGTGGATAATGCAGTAGGTGAATAAAACAGCATTGACATGGATTTTTTGTTTTCCACCCTTAATATAATCCAGAAGGGTAATTCCAGACAAGATCTTTCCATTTCAATATCGTTATCAAAAATAACCATTTCCAAATCATCCAATTCCTTCTTGTAGAGATTGTACTTGTTATTATCAGAGGTTGCATCTTGCTCACAAGCTTTATCAAAATCCTCAAATATTGTATGCTTGGAACAACAATTTCTCTTTCTAAAGTAAAGAATGTAGTGATTTTCAATATTCTTAAAGACCAAGTTCTTACATTTGGCCATTTCTTGGTGGAATAATTTCAATCCTTCAACAGGGTCGATGAAAAAGAGAGGGATTGAGTGTTTTTGGTAACAGGTGGTTGGCAACTTCTCTATATTATCAAAAACCTTCTTGATTGAATATGAAGTGATTGGATGAGTTTTAAGGAGAGCATTCAAAATTTCTTTGGAAATAAGAGCTTGGAGACGCTTATTAGTTCTAGACATTATTCTTCGAATGTGTCTTGGCAGGTATCCCTTGTCGAGGTAAGGTGCTGCTTCATCTGTTGGTACATCAGCTGATGAATCCTCTTCGACATCGAATACACTTCTTGCATAGGCAAACTGACTTTCAGTTACATGATTTCTGAACATCATGAGTAAGTCCTTCTTGGCTGGTTCGAATCCATTCACAGCCGCAAAGTGTTTATCAGGTGGAAGAGTAATACAATAGAGTCTGAGAGAAGTCTTTACAGAGTTTAAAGAGTTAATCCAGTCCAAATCCATACTAGAACGAGTGAAACTCTCAGGTTCCTCTTCTTCATCTTCACTATCTTCGTCCTTTGAAAATGCAGATAATACTTGAGCAAATTCACCCTTGCTAGACATGATTGTACTGGCAATTTTGTCAATTGGCAGTTTCTTAATAGGTACTTTGATAGTGGAACTTATATTCTCCGAGTCATTATCAAGTTCATTCCAACTATCGTGATCCCTCTCAATTGGTGATAAAACACATTCCATTCTCATGAACACTGGGATGGTAGAATTTTCCAACTCTACAGAGTTGAATGTATCAGTCAGTGAAGAGCCAGAACTATCTGTTAATGAATCAGAAGCATGATCTGAGTGAGGATGAGTATCTGCTCTTGCTCCAGCAGATATACTTGTTGAGATGGAGTGAATTTCATCCTCTTCGCTATGGAAACTGCTAATTTCATCATCAGAAGCTTCAGCGTCAAAATCTTCATTCTCAATTTCTTCTAAATGGTCAAAGCTCTTGGCACTATTCTTCTTCTTGAGAATTTTTGGATTAGTAGTAGTGGTTGTCTGATTCTTAGTTTTTGGTATCGAACTTTCTCTCAAATAGTAATGATACTTAGTTCCTCTGATATCATCAAAGTACTTTTCAATTATAGCCTTGAAGGAGGCTGCCATTGATTCGCATGGACTTATTCCATTTTCTCCCTTCTCGAAGAAGTAACTTCTTGCCAATAGTATTGCTTCAAAGAATTCAGACAAGTCAATTTCCTCCCTATATTCGTAACAAGATTCAACAGCAGATACAATATTTTCTCTATCAACCAAAAGTTTTTGGTTAAGATGCTTATAAACTCCATAAGATAAACTGTAGGAGTGAAGATTAGTAACAAAATCACAATATGAAGCAGAAGAAGAAAATGCTTGCTCCTCCTCGTGCATTAGCATTGGGTGTGCCTTCACATTTAGAGGTCCATTCTTGGAACATACTAACTTTTCAATTGCCTCATTACGTTTCAGATTCTCGATGTTTAAAAGTTGGTCCTCGTTACATTCACATACAATAATGTTGAAGTTTAACTCCTCTCCATTCACTTGAGCAGGAACGATTGTTAAAATAAAGTCCTTTTGTCTTTCAGAGCCAACAGTTTCAAACACTCTTGCAAAACATCTTGATTTGGTATTTAAATTGAGTGGAATCCTATCAATGTTCAATTCCACATCATTGATATTACTAAGGAATTTGATGAGTCTGTCATAGAGTAAAATATTATTCTTCTTGCATAATTCCGACTCTGATTCACTTGAAATTTTAAAGACCTTGAATTGAAGGTCTTGCTTCTCAGATCTATCAACAATACCCTTTAGGTTGAAAGGGGTCGGAAGATTATTCTTTTCAGCTTGGAATACGGCAATATTGTTATTATTTCCTTTCCCGGATTTACATGCCGTAACAACACATTCAAAGGTTGAAAATAGAGAAATAATTTGCAAATCCAAATTATAAAACCAATTATCACACAAATCAGTGTAAAATTGGGAAGAATCAGAGAGAGCACCACTCGAATGGGTCACATAACCTGATTGTGGCTCAATCCAAAGTTCTGTAATCAGCTTCTTTTCTTTCTTGAGGATGTGAATACAATAAAAGACCAACAATTTAGAAAGATATTCCGCATCGTTGAAGGCGTTTCTTTTCATCATTTCCAATTCCTTCACAAATACAATAGATTGTTTTGAAGAAACTAAAGAGAAACCTTCACTAAATCTCTGAGAGAAAATGGAGGACAATATTCCAGCAACATTCAATCTGCCACCAACAGACCATACCCAATTTTTGTGCTTCATATATGAAGTATAGTGTGGAGGAGCAGAGTAGAGTGATTGATTATACTGTGATTCATCCTCTCTACAGTTGGGCAGCCTGGAAGCAATATCTGGGAAGTGTTCACTCACATAGAAATTGGCTGAAATTCCTTTCTGATGGAATGTCCTTGTTATCTTTTCTTTGAATTGTCGAATAATTCTAGAAATTGTGAAGGAAGAAACATTAAAGAATTGGAATTGAATCTCGATTGGTGAATTGAAATTACTCAGCAGTTTCAAAAGGCAAAAACCAGAAGAAACACAGCTATCCTTCTCTTCCATGCTTAATAGAGAAGTATCATCTACAGACTCGTACAGGTAACAGGTGGAATCCTGCTCTGAGAGGAATAAAATGTAAAAATCGTCTGATATTTTTGTTGAAGACCAACTGTTGTCACAAAGGGACCTCAGTATTGAAATATGATTTTGAACAGTGGTAATTTCCGTTGTTCCTGATTGAATTTGGGTCAAAATCTTTTGAATTATCGAATCTGATCTGTGTAAGTGTTGCTCGTCATTGTGAGGTGAGAGCATCAAAGTTTGTCTATCAAATAAAAAGTCTTTCTCATGTTCAAAATTAATATTTGAAAGGTCTAACTTTCTGATAGGTGTTCTGTTGGTGCATGAGCAATTGTCAGCAAGATTATGATATTGCTCCAGCAGCACATCCTCGATATTGATCTTTTGAATAAAGTCCTGCACTGATTTGAAGAAGGACAACTCCTTATTTTTCTTTTTCAAGTACATCTTGAATCTTTCTTGATTGGATTTGTGCATAAATGCTGTGATTGTCACCACAATTTTAAAATTTTTTAGTTTGGTGAGTGCAAAATTAGTAAAATTACTACTCGACAGCATTTGTAAATCTTGTTCTTCATTGAGAACATCTGTTCTTTCTATTTGCATTCTGTAAATAATTTCAATATTTCTCCTATAAAGTAAACTCATTTTGATGGATTTGTAATCGAGTTTTTCCTCTTCTGCCTTGAACTTGGTAAGAGAGTCTGTGTTTGTTGCGTATTTCAAGTCCATAATTTTGAAACCTTGTTTTGCCCTAGTTTTCAAGATGGAATCCACATTGGTCATATTCAAACTGTAGGCAAGGATTTCCGATTCACAATAACCCTTCTTTACATCCTTTTTTATATCGGTCTGTGTGGTGAAAACACTCCCTTCTCCTGCAGAAATGATTAAACTCTCATTCTCAGCTGCCAATACAGGTGTTGGCCTGAATAGCAATGCATGTTGGAGTGCATTAGTCTTTTTTCTATCATTTTCTGATGGAACTTCTTCAATATACTCATAATCAATATAGTAACCATCCACACAAGCGATAAATGACTCTACCAATTCAGAATCAGGCAGATAACTATATAAGTAAGCCCCTTGGGATTGATTGGTGATATTAATTGTTGCAAAACTAATATCCTTTTGATTAATGCTCAGTATTGTTTCAGGAGTCAAATCAGAAATATTGAAAACGTTATCACTAATGAGAAGGAAAATTGGGCATGCATCTTTTGGTAAAAAGTCAAAAGCCAGTATCGAATCAGAAATGTAAGTATTGAATTTAGAATCAGAAGTCTCCGAAAGACTTTTAAGAGAAGGTCTAAGAGCATTTGAAGCCATATTTTCAGTTTCGCATAAATTTTGATAAACCTTTCCTAGAACCTCCACAAGATTTGTCGAAGTAATATGATAATCTTGAAAGAGACAATAAACTGGTCTTCCAGCCATTCCAATAGCAATACAAGAAACATGAAGCTCTGGTAAAATTTCCTCCGAATAATTTGGTACAATAATTGGTTGTGTTAAATGTGTTAAAATATTCGATATTGTCTTGAATACTCTGTCGAATAATACTTCTCCTGTTGTTGTATCAATTGCAAGCATAGAAGGACTAATATCCACAGTAATAACAATTCCGTATTTTGAATAAATAGTATGAACCAATGAAGTTGGTAAAAGTTCTATTCCTAAATCCTCAGTAAATTCCTCTGTTGATGCAGTCGAACTAACAGTCTCAATGGTATCAAGATGTCCATGAAATTGGTTAAACTTTGGTGATGATTCATTTCCATTATAGAAATTTGGTGGCAGAATAACAACACCACCTCCCTGTTGATTACTTCCTCCATAGTGAATCTGATCAATACTAATACTCCTCACAATATTTGAATTTGTGGCTTGATGTAATTGATCAATACTCATACTCCTAGGAATAGAATCATGAGTAAATGGAAATTGATTTAAATAGGATTCATCAGAAATTGTTGTAGTTGGTGAATTTTGCATTGAATTTCTATCCATAGAATATTCTGAAGAGTGCATAAATCCACTCGTAAATGTTGTAGATTCATCCATAGAAGATGAATTATGATGGTGATGATGAGAATCAACATGTTGATGGTTTTTCAAAAATCTATTCTTCCTAACAGATAAATCTTTACAAGTCTTGATAGAGACCGAAATAACCTGAATGTTTTTGCTATTATTATTGGATAGGGAAGGAGAAGTAGGTGAATTTGCTGTTGTTGTTGTCGACAACATTGAAGAACGAGGAGAAGAGGTTACTTGCTCATGTGCAGCACCATCATGATTTTTCGTTATTAATTGATTAATATTAGCATGAAGATGATTCAATTGCCATACCAATCTCTCGGATTTTCTAAAGAGTGAATAGTCTTGTGATTTGAGAAAAACATGTTTTGCTCCAACATTACGTCCAATATTATTACTATGAACCATATGAATAGAGGAAGAAGATAATGCTCTCTTGGACCGATGATGAAGCACTGGTCCTCCTCCATTCTCATCATGAAAATCATCCTGTGAGAGTGGAAGAAAGTCTTCCGAAGTGATCAACTCTAAAGGTTGTTGTTGTGTAGAGGGTGAGGTTGGAGAGGTCGTTAGCATAACATGATGACCGCTCCACATATTTGTGTTTTATATTGTTATTAGTTGGATTACTCTGCAATCAGGATTTGTTGATGATTAAATTGTGATGAGGTTTTCCGTTTTCTTAGTTTAAAGTTTTTTCTTTTTTTTCAAATTTCAAAAATTAATTTTCTTGTTTTTTTATTTAATTTACATGTGATAAACTAATTTACTTCATTTCCATTAATGTTAATGGAAATCTAAGAGGGATTGATTGGCCACTGCTCCATTTCTATGAGCACGAGGGGTTACTGCAGAAATTTTAACCCTCTTACTATCAAATTTTTGTTTGGCTCTGTCCACCAATTGACACATTAATTTGAAATTTTCAACAACAATCATTTGATAAATTTCTTCATCTAAATGATGTTTCTCAAAGTGAGTAAAGAATGTTGGAAAGTCATGACTATCACCAATTCCAAGCAATTCCATAATGGACTTGTTTTCAACCACATACCACTCATAGAAGAGTTTCAACAATTTCACTCTTTTAATTCTACTTTGATTGATTGGATCTTCTTTAACTTCAGGAATATTAGCTTCTGTTCCTGGTTGAGAGCCTTCTTTCTTATCTTCTAATTGAGAAATATCAATAATTGTGCTATCTTTCTTAATGTATTGATTGAAAAGATAGAGATGGTCAATTTGGCTCAAACAGAAAACTGGTGGAGTTTGAGCTTGTCTATTGTACATATTGACTAAATACTGATAGAAACTCATCACCGAGTTCCTTTCTTGACTTACAAGTTCTTGTGTGTCTTTCATTGGAATTGGGACGAAAATTGCATCAATTTTCAATTCCTCTTCCTTTTCTTTGAGATGAGCAAAAAAGTGTTCCAATCTCTCCTTCATAACTCGTGTGAATAGAGCTGGGCAGTCAATGAGAGAAATTCTTGAGAAATCAGACTGATTAATTCGCTCAATGGAAGCCAAGTGATTGGTGTAAGATCTCAAATCTTCTTCATCTTCACTGACACTCCAATTTTCGTTAGAGTTTTGTAAATGAGAAGAATTACCAACAATGAATGGATTGGTGAGATCTGAGTTAAGATTCTTGCACGTCATGTTCAAAAGAGTGGACTTTCCACTTCCAGTTTCAGATAGAGGAATGAATCTGAATTGGTAATCTTTTTCTGGGAAATTTTTCAAACTTTCAATAAGTTTAGTTCTCTGCGCATCAACAGAACCGTCATCACTCAACAATGCCTTAGTAGCAGCTGAGTAACTTTTCGTAGTCAACTCTCTAGTTGACAAACAAGTTGTCTCTGCACTGAGTTCCAATCTGAAGCTTGCGCAATTAGGTGGAGCAATGACAAGAAAACGACGTGTATTAATTGTTTGGTTTTCATGCTCTCCAATCTCAGTGACCTCATCCTCACCAGTGAGAGTGAAGATTTTCTGAGTGACCTTTGATTGTGGAAAGTATACTTTCAAGGTCATTGTTGGTAAACTGGAAGAATCAAATAAATCTCTTGGGAGTGTAACTTCCCAAAGGCAATTACCGAGTTTTTTGATGGATAGCTCCTTAAGGGTTGGTTCTTCTGGCTGGTTGGTTTGAAATTGATGGTATGAAGAAGATTGCTTGTTTCCCATGTTCTTGTTTTCTTGTTTTTTTTGTTTGTTATTGAGATTTGTGGAGTTCAGACTGGTTTCTCTAATGGAGATGGAAATGGCTAGTATTTGCTTCACGTTTTTGTTGTTCCTAATTGAGGTATGTCGCTTCTTAATGGGGTTTTCATTATCGTGCCGATAGATTTTTTCATCACGTTTGCGCTTAATTAGTTTCTTTCATTGACTACTATTAAATTTTCATTTGTTTTACGATTTATTCAATTGAGGAATATTAAGGAATTATTTATTGCAACAAACATTTTAAAGTTTCAAATGCACTTTTCCAATTTAAAAGAAATGACTGTTTAATAGGAAAGTTATTAACAAACGAAATTTATCTAAAAATTGATAACAACAAATTTCCAAATCACGTTTCGAAAAATAAACGAACATTTAACATGTTCCAATAATTCCCTAGATGATTGACTACATCAGATTGAGATTTGTCTTTCAAATTTAAGAAAATTACCAATGTTATAAAGATTTATTCATTATAAACTCTTTTGTAAGATTCCATTTGAAAGTAATTAATATTCATTTTCATCTTGATTGATCAAACGAATGTTATCATTATCAACAAGGTTATCATCATCTTCCTCATTGATAGGTTCCTCTTCCTCAGGATTTATTTCAAATGAAAATTGTAGCTCTCTATCTGAAACCTCAATTCTTGGAAGTTTGGTCAAATATCTTGTAGGAGCAAATTTTAACGAAAGTAAATTAATAAAATCCGAATCATATTTGGCAAACCATTGAATTCCAATTCTAATAGTTTTTTGATTTTCTTCCAATACATAATTTTCCAAAGTAATTTGACAATTAGAGTGGAATTCCTTAATTTTCTTTCCTCTTTGATAAATTGTGAATCCAAATCCAATTGTTGGAACTGTGATCACCACAACACATACCAAAATTGGATAAATAACATTAACATATCGGGAAAGTAATATAATTGCAATAATTGAAATAATTGTAACCACAACCATAATCACAGCATATATAAATGCCGTATATTTCATCAATCTATCGGAAGCATCAACATTTCTCACACACTTCCTCACAATTTTAGAACAATTTTGCAAAAATGATTTGAAATGTTGCCGATTGATTCGATTTTCAAAATTCAATGGATAGGGCGATGAAGGAAACCTCTTACTCTCAAAATTGAAAGGAATGGCATGTGTTTGGTTAGTAGATAGCAGTAGAGACATTTTTTTCTGTTGGAGTTTTTACAAAGGTGAACGTTAATTTCCATTTTCCTTCCAACTCGTCTTGGATTTTTTTGTAGTCAATTGAAAACTTGGTCAATTCACATCATTTCACTTGAAATACTGTAAAATATTTAAGGATAGATTAGCTTTACCTCTGTTTTTTATTTAAATGTCGAGACGTTCTAATTGTTTCATTCGTTGAAGGAATTTTTCTCCAACTTGAGAAATATCATTTGAATAAATACTGAGAATTGTCAAGCTTTTTGATTGACTAATGAATTTCGCTCCATTGTCACCAATGTTATTTTCACAAATATTAAGAGTAGTCAATCGTTTCATTCCACTAATGTGTTTAGCTCCCCTTTCACCAATATCATTACCACAAATATAAAGACTGTCCAACTGTTTCATTTCACTAATGTTTTTAGCACCTTCATGGCCTAATTGATTATATCCAATACCAAGAAATTTCAATTGTTGAAGTGCACTTATTTGTTTAGCTCCATTACTTTCAATGTTACAGGAAAAAATATTAAGATTAGTCAATTGAGACATTGCTCCAAGATATTTTGCTCCATCACCAATCTTTGCATTATTAATAGAGAGAGAAGTTAATTGTTTCATAGAACTAATGTGTCTAACACCTTCAATACCAATAAGATTGAAACTAATATCAAGTTCGGTCAATTGATTCATTCCACTGATGTGTTTAGCTCCTTCATCTCCAATATTATTAGTAAGAATATAAAGACTAGTCAATTGTTTCAGTTCACTAATAGATTTAGCTCCTTCATCTCCAATTTCATTTTTGGAAATATCTAGATATGTTAATTGTTTCATTGAACTAATGTGTTTAGCTCCCTCTGTACCAATGCAATAACAATTCCCGCTAATATTAAGTTTAGTTAATTGACTCAGTTGACTAATGTATTTAGCACCTTCCTTATCTATATTATTGATACTTATATCAAGATTTCTTAATTGTTTCAATTGACTAATGTATTTTACCTCATCTGTACCAAGATTGTTATATTGTACATCAAGATCAGTCAATTGTTTCATAAATTCCAATATTTTACAATCGAACATAATTGTTAAACTTTCCCTATCTACTTTCAAAGTTTCAATATTTTGTAAAAATTGACCTTTCAACTTGTCATCATTGTTACATTTTAGCGAAAGTTTACCTCTTTCCACAACAACATTCAACCATTGTTTAGAAACTAAGGCACAATTCATTACAATAAATTTAAAATCATTGGCGTGAAAGGATAAAATTTCATCAAGTACATCATCAGGAAAAGGAGAATGAAAATTGTTCATTGGCTTCACAGTGGTAGTAGTAGTGGTAGTGCTGGTTGATTCTGCTGCAACAGGTTTGCTTGTTTGATGTTGACACATTTTTTTCAAGTTTTTGGAACTTTATAAAGTTTTGTCATGCACGTATTAAAGATTACAACATTAAAAGAACGGGTAAATGCAATCTAAACATTTTGTTACATTTCCAGTAACAGATTCCCATGTAGAGATGTTTGGTAAATAAGGTTTTACAATGGGTCGAATCAATTGGCAGAAACATTATCATTGTCATGGTGGAAGTTTCATCACCAATATTCACACATGTACAATTTCTAAACATCATGTAGATGCTCTAATAGGTGTTGAGAGTTTGATATCTTTATTTGCATTGATATTCTTCATTTCCATTACAAACACCAACCTTACCATGACTGACTTTAATTCTAGTTTCACACTTATCAATACTTCCAGTAAATGTTTCAACAGAATAATCTGTTGAATTACATGATCTATATCTTGGTCCATATAAATTCCATTCACAAAGTTCAACAACTTCTCCAATTGCCTTAACTATTTTGTTCTTGCTGCAATTTTCATTATCAGTGGAATCTTCATGTTGAACTTGCCACAACATTTTTGGAATGGTTTCTAATGGCAACTTTCCACATACTCGATGCATCATACCAATTCCTATTTTAGCACAGGAAAAGATATTGGAAGAAGATTTTCCAGAACAATATTTACATGTTTCATCACAATCACGATCAACCACGAATTCTCTTTCATTGCAATAGGCCTTTTGGTAATTGTCTGGTCCAACTTTGATACATGATTCTGATGCCTTGTAGAGTGGTTGCAATTCCAGCTTGATTAATGATGCCATTTTACATTCTCCTCCTTGGAAGTAATAATCCTGATAGAAAAGGTCTGTTGTTGAATTATTATTCACTATTATCGGAGCAACATCTTTCAATTTTGATGATGCTGATGATAATGGTGTTGTACGAATATTCAAACCATTGGCAAAGGAAACACAAGACGAGAAACCAATAACGACAATAATCAATAGGAGAAAATTGAAAGTGTTGTTGTTGCACATTTTTTTTTAATAAGGTTCTCAAAAAATCTACGGCGGTTACATTGAGCAGTCCTTCATGAAAATAATTACACAATTCGGTTTCACAGTTACTAATAACATGAAATTGATTTCTTGTTGGAAGAAAAATAGATTGCATTTGTTTGGAGGAGTGATCTTTGGTGCATACAGTTTAGTAAGTTGAAAGACAATTTGAAAAGTTTGATTTTTTTATTTTTTGAACTAGTAGTTAAGGTTGGTGTATCAATTACTTATTGAAAGTATTGTTACAGTAGGCAACATAGTCATAACCGTCACCCTTCTTTGGCATTTGTTGCAACAAGAAATCAGCTTCAGCTGGTTCCATAACAGATCTCAATTGAGCTTCTGTGATAAAGTCCTTTTCACCTGCCAATTGCTTGAATGATTCCATAACGTCCTCATAACCAGAACCTTCAGAACCAATTCTTCTCATGTAACCCAAGAATTCATTGAATTCAACGAAACCATCCTTATCAGTATCAACGACAGCAAAGACCTTTTCGACTTCCTTATCATCAATATCTTCACCCAATGAACAGACACAGGCCTTGAAATCTTGCTTTGACAACTTGCCATCTTTGTCCTTATCAAAGTACTTGAAGGTTTCTCTAAAGTCCTTAATTTGTTCTTCAGTCAAACCTTCGTTCTTATCAGTGAGGAGAGTGGATTCAATTTCGTAGATTGACTTGTCGACGAACTTTTCCAAATTGTCACGAACTGACTTGATTTCAGATTCAGTAACCTTTGACAATTCGAGAATTTCACGAGCTTCCAAATCCTTCAAGACAGAGATCAAGGATTCGTATTGCTTTTCAGATTCAGCTCTGATAACAGCAGCTTGTTCCTTAACCTTTTGCAATTGTTCTTCGAGATTTTCAGTGTTTTGTCTGATAGTGTTCAAACCGTCCTTTTGTTCAACAGCAAATTCAGTGTACTTGTCACACAATTGAGCGAATTGAGCCAACAATTCTTCGTTACCTGACAATCTTCTCTTTTCTTCTTCCAAATTCTTCTTTCTGTCAGAAATGAGGTTACCAGCTTCCTTGAATTGGTTGTCCAAATCATTGTTATTAACAGCAGAGTATAAGTTTGGATCACCACCAGCATTCTTAATTTCATCAACCAATTGATTGATAGCATCCAACAATGGAGCTTGTTCAGCATGACGATTTTCAACGTCACCCAAAATGTCAACAAAGACGTCAACATCCTTAACACTTGAAGCAGTGATTGGTTCGAGCAAAGCAAGGGAAATATCATCCAAGAACATGGCCAAACCTTCAGATTTCTTAGCCAAATCCAAACACTTGCCCAACAATGCTTCCAAGTTCTTCAATCTGTCGTCTAATTCTTGTTTCTTATCATCAGACTTTTGCTTGACATCATCTTGACCATTCTTCAACTTATCCATAGTTGACTTGACTTCTGGAGCAGCTTCATGTCTACCTTCAACAATCTTATCACCAATAGCATTGGTTTCATTCAATGACTTGTTAACACCAGCCAATTCATCTTCAAAGGTTTCGTGAATGTTAATCTTGGCTTGCAATGCTGAGACAGTATCTAACTTGTTCAAATCTTCCTTGAAGTAACCCTTATTCTTACCATCTTGCCATTCAGAAATCTTCTTGGCACGAACTCTGAAACGAGACAATAAGATTTCCAACTTCTTCATCAAAGTGATATGTTCTCTCAAGGCCTTATCATAAGTATCTTGCTTCTTGTTCAAACCGTCCCACTTGTCATTGATGGTGGCAGTTGACAAATCAGTTGGTGGATTGTAGATTGGTAAACCTTCGTTCTTTTGCTTGGTACGAATGTTGGACAATAACAATTCCAAATCGTTCTTTTCTGATGATTGATTTGGCTTTTCTTGATCCTTGAACTTTCTGAATTCTTCCTTCTTATCTTCAGCTTTGGCCAATGAATCACCAAAGTGTTCGAAAGTTGGATCAGAAAGTGAGTCAGTGTTGGTATCAATCCAGTCAACCAAAGCTTGAGCACGCTTTTCATAATCATTCTTCATGTTGTTCAATTCTTGTTCACGTTGAGCAACCTTAGCCAATTTACGACCAGCCTTTTCATTTCTATTACTGGAAGCGAAACGTTTCCAATAATAAGCAACATAGGTCATGACTGACTTATCATCAGGAGTAAACTTGATCATGTCATCAGCATCTAACAATTGTGGAATATCCAAATGCTTTTCAGCAACATCAAAGGCAAGTTGGAGATTTTCCCTAGCATTGGTTGGATCCAAAGAGTCAAAATCTAACAAATCAGGTCTGTGTTTGTGAATCAAGGCACAGAAAGCCAAACCATCTTGCCATGATCCCTTGAAATCTTTAACATTGACATTGTTGTAACCCTTGGTCTTTTTCTTACACCACAACAATAAACCTTCTCTGGCAGAAAGTTCTATTCATTTGGAAGAGTTGACGAGTTGAAAAAGTGATGATTGACAGGTGATTGAATTAAGCCAGCAATCAATCAAAAATTAAAAAGTGTTAAATAATACTGTTAAATACATGATAACAAACATACCATCTTCAGAAATGTCTTGAATTTCAAACTTGTGAATCAAACACCAAATCATACCCAAGATTTGTGTCTTTTCCTTATTGACAATTTGTTCAGCAGAGAATTGCAAACGAATACCAACACTTCCAATGAAACTGTTGACTTTATCAACAACCAAATTCAAGTTGGCAATCTTGTGGAACTTCATACGTGGATTAGCATAGAATTGACCCAAGGTTTCATCAGAAATGACTTCATACAAGTGAATCAATGGGACACCTGTTTCGAATTCTTCAATGATATCTTCGACTTGGATGCTTCTCTTACGGAGATGAGAGTTGACCCACTTGGTGAAGGCTCTCATTTGGATACGTTCCCATTCAGCAGACATTTTTTGTGTTTACTGGTAAAGTGTTGTACAGAGGGTTGGTTTTGTTTTTTTTTAAAAATGTTTACTTCTTGTGTGTGAATTTGATCAACTTTTGATTGATGGGTTTTGATGATTGATGGGAGTGTCAAGTTGTCAATACGAGAGAAAAAGTGATGAGAGCTGGAAAAAACCTTTCACTGCTCTCTTCAGTCATGTGCAAAGATAACCCAAAGCTGTTAACAAGTGGCTAAATTTAATCAAGTTTTATCAAGTGTCAGCAACCATCTTGCTTTGGATGTTTTTTAAGGTTGACTTGATGGTTTATTTTTACAATGAATATTCAATTTGGTAAGAAATGCTCTCGAGAATATCTTCCAATGTTGATTGAATTGCATAATGTCTTGTTGAATTGTTAAAAGATATTGTAAAATATTTAGGAAGTTGCAAAGGATGAGTCAACATAAAAATTTGGAATATTTAAAAACTTGGAAAAAAACAATTTCGATGTTGAATATGACAACCAATTAATGACGACTTGAAGAGGAGTTCGAGTTCATGAGGATTCGTGTCTGTCTGTGAATTTTATGTTATGTTGTTATTTTTTGACATGTAAGTGATGTGTTTATTGTAAAGTATTTAAAAAAATGAATCGAGATGTGTTGGGAGAGATTTTCAAGTTTTTGGATTTTTCGAATGTGATTCCAGTTGCATTGGTTTGTAGGGAGTGGTCGGAAGTGATGCATTCTGAAAATTTGTGGAAAGTTTATTTCAACTCGTTTTGTTATTCGAAAGACCAATTATTATTGGAAAGTCAATGTAAAGATATTAAAAATTATTGGAAGAATCAAATCATGGAACGATGTAGTGCATTCTGCTGTAAATTGCCGGCAAGAAGATTTATCGGATCACAAAAACTAAACCTTTCTCTTTCGCATTCGTATTTTCCTTCATCAGATTCGAATTATTTTAGTTGCTTTTTCAAAGTACTTTGTTCAAGGATAGAGATAGAATCTGCCAAGTTAATTTCTCTAAGTGGCGAAGAAGGATTGTCAGTTCCATTCCTTTCGGAAAGTTTTAATTTTTCACAAACACTAAACTTTAAGATTCGTCTAAAAATTGAAGGATTATCCGAATTGCTCATAGCAAGAGTGTATAATGTTCCTAAATATTCGAAAGGCTCAATATCAAGAAATTATTTCATGTACTTTGCATTGGAATCGGATGATTTATCAAATTTACAATATTTAACACCACCAATGGTAAAACTCAATCAGGTAAAATCACTGAAAAGATCATTCCTATTCGAATTTATTAAGAAGGACAGGTTTGGATCAATAACTGGTCAGGAATATCTCATTGAAAGAATTCTTTCACAAATATTTCCACCACACTTGTTGAAAAGTGAAATTGAGAAACAGGAAATGGCATCCATGTGGTGTCTTATCATTGGTAGAATTCTCTCCTTATTGGATGCAAGTAGGTTGACAGATCATAAAGAGGTTTGGAAGTTTATTCCATTCACAAAATCAAAACAGAATGAGGAATCACTTGTGTATGCATTCAGGAGGGGAATTTATAGAGAAAGAGCAAAAATAATAGCTCATCGAGTGCTACCAAATGATAAATATGTGAAATTTATGAAGGGGAGAGAGTCTGACTCGTTTGCTTCATTCGAAGAGTTGAAAATGCAAAAAGTAGAAATAATTTCAATGGAGCATAGAAAAGTGGTAATGGCCAAATCTCTGGATTATTCAAACTCGGGAGCTCTAGGAAATGTGTCCATCAACAAGGAAATATTGAAACAAATCAAACTGATGGCACTTTCTGATGAATTTATGAAATATTATTTGGACTATAAATTCTCTAGGATTAAGGAATAGCTAATATGATGAGAGTAATTATTATTAATGGATTATTGGACAAGAAATGTAAAATATTCAGATACAAGGGAGAATTGAATTTTATTTACAACATTTGGATCGAACAAGCTTTACAATACTATAGATGGATATGGCAAGCAAATACAATGACAATCCAATGTATAATGGTGCCAAAACGAGAGAATATCTCAGTGTAATCAAGGTATCCAAACGAAGGGAGAGAAGAATTAGGAAGGTTGTAAATGGGGAAAGCAACAAGAATACAATTGGAATGGGAGTAAGAACAGCCAAAACGGTCGTCTTTTTGGCATGAAAACCATTGTAAAATATTTTTGCTGCATAATAGGGAAGGATTGAAATATTGAAATGTATCAATAATAAACAGACATAAGCTGGTGTCAATACTTCAGACCATTTCACATGTTCTGTAAATGACATTTCATCCAGCTTTAAACTCGCTAGCACTAGTGACGTGCCTGAAGAAAGGTAAATTAAATTCACATTCATTACTAAAAGCATGATTGTTAAAAGTTGTGATATTGTTCTCTTAAAGGGTGATTTGAGTGTCCACAATCTAACACCTCTATAGGTGAAATCAACACAAGCAAAGAGTTGGAAAATATATACAGGAATTAGGAGGTATCTCCAAACAAGTTGATCTTTAAAGATCAAAAATCTTAATCCAATAACCAAAACCAAGACAGAGAACCATATTAATTGGGATGGAGCTGCCATTTTGAGTTGATAATTTGGATCATCAATATTCTCCTGCATATCAGAGGAGAAGAAGAGTCTTCTCAAAATGACAAATAGTACGCTTGTCTCAGCATTAGAATCCTCTTCATTAGGATGAAGAAGACTTGTTGATTCGTCAGTAGATTTCTTCTTGTGAAAACGATTGTAACAAGTGAGGAAAAAGGAGGAAAGGTAAGGTACCCAACCCATCATTAAATAGAGTGAGCCAATGAAAAGAAAAAATATTGGAAGCCATAACAATGAGAATCCAGCAGGGCTTACTGTTAGCAGTGTCTCGGCACTTTCCTTTTCCAAGGTATTGTCATAGTAGAGTCCTGAGAAGATTAAACTCAATGTAATAAATAGAAGGGTGGTTAGGGAGAGTATACATAATTGAATGTACATGCAAGGTTGACATCGTTTGCTAAAAAAGATACCAATCTTGTCCTCGGCTCGTTTTCCTCGTTCCTTTTTCTTCACTGTTTTCGAGTGGTGCTTGTAAAGTATATATTGATGTTTGAGTGGTATTCTCTTGAGATGAGAACTGGATTTCAACTCTTGCCCAGCAACTTGATAAAATGATTTGCTAGAAGAGAAGGAAGAATCCCTACTCCTAATTTTGGTAACATTATCATTAATTGATCCAATTTCTGGTATATCGTCAATATTTTCCACTGGATTAATTTCACTCATGGTATTAAGTGGTGTATAAACTGTGTTTAAATCTGTAAAATTATAATTATAATAATTATCGTGAAAATCCAATTGATAGAGTACTGTTTGCATACTAATACGTTCTCGTTGTGGGAGTCTTAGTAGTAAAGATTTCCAAAACTTGTCCTCGATTGTTAAATAGTAATAGTACTTGCTAGTGAGTCCCATATTTAAATTGTCTTCCAATGGAAGGAAGGATATGATAATTTCCACTTCATCCTTACTCAAATTATTAAAATTCATGAAAATTTCACTTGGTTCTATAAAAATATCAGCGCTCTCATGCTTTGAGCTAATATTTGATAAAATCCCCTGAACATCTTCAGAAGTACTAGAGAAGAAGTGAGTACCAGACACTGATCTCTCCCCTTCGGCATGTATCTGTTTGATGGCATTAATTACTTGAAAATTAAATCGTTCATCTATCGACTCATTCACTCTGAGAAATTTCGGAGATGTTGGAGGTCCAGCTGTTATCGTTGTTGGCTGCTCAAACAAACTGTTGCCATTCAATAATGTACTCGAAGTGGCATGTATTAAATTATCTGTATGTTTGAAATATCCAGAATGAAGCGATGAAGCTAAAGTACTACTTCTATTCACTTTGTTTTTCTTTTTTCGTTTGTCCTCTATTTGCCAAGTTGGTAAGGATGATGATACAATATTATTGGTGGTATTAGAATTGGTTATTGTTGTTGTTATTGTTGTTGATGATGATGAAGGAGAATCGGAATGAAGAGGTGATAAAAAGAGGTTTTTAGAATCCTCACTCTCCTCTTCAACATCTGATGATGAATTTTCAAACTCTTCTATTATTGGTTTTCCAACTTCACTTTCCAATATATTTAATTCATCGTGATGATAGGAACTGGTAGGAGCAGCAGCAACTTGTCTATTACTACCACCACTACCACTACCAGAACGTTTCTTATGATTATTCATAATTACGTGATGTTCTGTAGAATATATTACTACTCCTTTTATATTGATGATGATTCCGGATATATTAGATGATGGTGATGATATTATTATTCAAGACAATCTTTAAATTATTGTTAATTATTATTACTATTATCCAAAAATCATTAAAAAAACAATGAAATCTTGTTCTGAACAATAAATAGTATATTAGAACGGCAAGACTTGCCACCAAGAAGGAACACAGCAATAAAAAAAACAAAATCACACTGTGTTCTTGTTGTTGTTGTGTTTTTGAAACAAAATTAAAAGACCGTTATTTTTTTTCTTAATAAAAAATAGCTTGGAAAGTGAAGTCTTTTGCAAGGGTGATGGTTGAGAAGAGTTTTTCGTATCCGCTTTGATGCAGATGGATTTGTTTTGATCTGATTGGGAATGGCTTTGGAGATTTAAAGATTTTGATATATTTCTAATTTATCTTTTTCGGGATCATCAAGAAGATTTTTTGTTTATTATTTCAAAGGCTTCTTCTTATCTAATAATTAATTAATTGTGTGGATAGAATTGTTACTCATCATGATTCAATTAATTAAAGGAAAGATAGTTTTAAAACTTTCCGAACGCAATATCCTCTAAAAAGGAAAAACAGAAAATTGGAAATATTCCAAACAAATAATTAGAAAAAGTTTCTTCAACAAAAAGAAATATGAAGAAGAGAGAAGGAGCAACCGAGAATTGTCAAATACAGCTTCAGCACAATCCAAAAACTGCTCAAGATTTATTCAAGCATTTACAACCCCAAACTATTCATTTACCTCCTTTGGAGAATGGTGAAATACTAATCAAGGTATTATATATTGCCTTGGATCCAAGTTTGAAACCATTACTAGCTGGAGAGAAGATACCATCTTCTAGTGATGGTACTCAAAAAAAAGATTTGGTTTATGATCATCCTCCAAGTAAAACAACCATAGATGAAAAGGGAAGTAAATTGATTATACCACCACCAAGTATTGATATTACTACATGTCAAGCAACTGGAAATACTCAATTTGCAAATTATTTCCCTCCACCATTCTCTAAACAACAAGAATGGATTGAGAGTAATCATCCTTCAATTGGCAGTAATTTGAATACAGATCCTAGACGAATACTCAATTATGGTGTATTGAAGGCGTATGCAGTTGGTGAAGTTATCGAATCTAAAAATCATTTATTCACTAAGGGAAGGTATGTATTTATTTGAGAACATTAGGATGCTCATAATATGAAATAGAAATGTTTACGGCAATTTGGGAGTTCAACAATATTTACTTTCGAGTGGAGGAAAAGATTTGGATGATAATATGGTCCGTGATATTACAATGGATTCTCCATTATCTGCATTCCTCACTCTTTCAAAAGCAGGTTTATGTGCATATTTTGGAATCACAGAGCTTAGCAATGTTGCAGAGGGTGAGTGTGTATTTGTAACAGGAGGTACTGGTTGTGTTGGATCATTTGTTCCACAGGTCGTGAGAGCCTCTCTTTCTGATAAGAAGATTAAAGAGGGGATTAAGAATGACGAAACTCATCACGAGCATGTTCACAAAAGCTCACCATCATCCGTTGGTAATCATACGCACAATAATGGCGAAAAGACATCATTATGCAGTTCTAGTCATTGTTTAATTCCACACCGATCTTGTAATAAGGCCAAATCCCCAACTCTATCATGGCTCTTCTCTTCATTAATTGAAGAAGAGAATGAGGAAGAATATGACCTTTCACACTCTAACAATGAGGATGAAGAGCACTTTCCCAAATCTTCTCATGAGGTCATTTCGAGAGAGGATGAGCCATCTGAAGCAACCCACTTTATACACGATCCAATCGTTACCCCACATGGTCATCTTTACCATTCCCCAGAGGAGATGAAACATGGTCATCATCTTCACTTGCCTCACCATACTACTCATCACCATCCTTACTTACACAATGTAGAAAGATTGAATCTGATGAATTCATCAGCATCTACTCATATTCCTCCACAGATTAAGATTTTTGGATTTTGTTCCTCTGATTCAAAAAAATCACTTATGACTAATAAGCTCAAATATGATAATGCCATCAATTATTCAAATTACATGAAAAAGAAGAATACTTCAGAGAGTGGAGCATCCACTACAGATGATCCACTAAACAGCCCATGCGCCTCTTGCCTTATTCCAGCATGGTCATCGGTGTCTCCATTTACACACATGTATGGTGCCAGTACGGGTAGTTCTTGCAGTGTATTGCAAGATCAACCAGCAGATACTTGTCTACTCAAAACTGGTCAAAGATATGATTATTCCAAAATTGATAGAGCTGCATTGAGTAAGGCTATTGGAGAAATGTGCCCAGATGGAATTGATGTGGTCTTTGACACTGTGGGAGGTGTCTTGCTTGATTTATGTTTAGAACATTTGAAAACAAATGCAAGAATAGTTATTTGTGGAGCCATTGCAAATTCCAATGGAATTCAGTCATTTTCATCATCGGTAGGTAAGAATGAGAATGAAGCATTTGAAGGCCCTCACAATTATGTAAACCTTATCCTGAAATGTGCCAGAATGGAAGGATTTATGGTTGAAAAGTTCCAGTCCAAATTCAAGCAAGCTTCCCATACTCTTGTGAGATGGATTCAAGAGAAGAAGATTGATAGCTTGGAAGAAAATGTTATTGAATGCGATCTCAAAGATCGAACACAAGTTATCAATGCAATTGAGAAATTATTCAGTGGTGAATATTATGGAAAGTTAATTGTTAGAGTAAAGCAGAGTGGTACACTTTCCAGTCCTCAACATTAGTTAACATTACAAATATACTACATTATATATATTTATTCAGTTTTGATTTTGGTTGATCTTACTCTGCAACAACAGAAGCAACAACACAAGCAAGTCAAGAAACGTTTAACAATCAGTGCGAAAATTCCAATTTGTAGAGCAGTTGTAATGAATATGAAACTAGACCATTCCAATGGAAGCTTCATTCCATCATCACCTTCATCAAATCCCCTATGTCCATTAAAATACTTGAATGTAAAATAGAGCGCATTGTGAATTCTCTCACCTGAATTTGATGAGTAATACTTGAATAATGAGCTTGCCCATTGAATTCTTTCAGCCTTTTCTTGACTAATCAAGGTGCTTTCTATCAAGTTACCAAATGTTTGAGGAGTGATCCATTTCGAATAGATCCAATCACCAAAATCTTTATCCTGCAAACGATTACACACTAAAAATTGATCAGCAGTTATTGGAATACCAACCAAGAGCTTTCCATAAAAGATTCCCTCACTCACACTATTAAAACCACAATGAGTGACAAATAATCGAGTTGCCCTATGATTTAGTATAAATTGTTGGGGAAGAAAGTCACTCGAAAGTTTCATTCTCTTTATCCAAGTATTCGAATCTTGCACAGATGAAGCATAATCCAATTGATTACTATTCATTTCCTTTTCAAGAACTGCTTGTTGTTCCTTTTCAACTCTCATCAAGACATTCAAATCCTTATTCGATTTCAACACCTTCGAAAGACCTCTAATAATGTTTCGATTAGTTTCAACACTCAATTTGAATTGACTTCCTGTACTAATAAAAATCAATCTTTCATTATTATTACCAAGCAAATCTAACCAATCTTGAAGGGATTTAAATTCTAGTTGACCTGAAACTGAATCAATGAGAGGAAAACCAATATCAAAATATTTAGGATAAGCTCTCATTCTACTAGATTCCAATACTCCAGGAGCTGACATTAACAAAACTGGATATTGACTCGAAATGGAATTGTAATTTCTATACGAAAAGGTTTTTGTAATGAACTTTGAATTGTAATGTGGTCGAATTTTGAACAATGCAAAGCAATGAACCAAAATTCTCAGAGTTGGAAAGAAAATTTGTGCAGTAAAAACATTCACTAGAATGGAAAGAATCGAATATCTCCAAACTCTCAACTTGAACCATTGAAAATAATCATGTAAATATTCGAATCTTCCTAAAATGTAATCTGTGAAAGTTCCCCAAAGTAATTCAGAAATAGAATTTGGATGTGTCAATGGTAAATCCTCAAAATCAATTGCTTCAGCAATACCAGTCACAAGTGTCATTAATCTCACACTATTATTGAACTTGGCATTTAATTGTTGAAACATGTCAATGTATGAATAATGGAAATCCAAAGAATCAACAATTATAATATCTGGCTTTTCATTTGGATAATTCTCAAATCTTTCCATGAAAAAATTAAAAGATTCAATTGAAAATGAAGCCATGACTTCCAAACCTTCGACAATTGACATTTTCATAATATCCTTCTTCCATTCTCCATATTTATAAAAATATAGAGATTTACTTTGATTTTTAGGTAAACCTTTCGATTGATCAATGATTTGATAATTTTGCAAAGGAAAATCTTGTGGAATCCATTCTGAGGGCTTGGACACGTTTTCGATCCACGCCAACGACACTGAAATTTCATAGAGATTATTTCCATTCTCGTCTTTTGGATTGAATTGCATTAAATTCTTAATGACGGTCATGAAGGGATTGTAATGTCCTTTGGATGGTGCTGGACAGAACAAGATCTTGATGGCTTGAACTTTCGAATAAAAGCAAACGAAAGTGAGAATGAAAAGAAGGATGAGGATTGGTTTGTTTCTAAAGACATGTGTCTTCATCTTGTTTTTTTTTGTGTTTGATTTGAACAAAGTCAATATTAGGATTCTTTTGAATTACAGATTATGAAATTTTTGATTGGGTTGATGATATTTAAATGTGCGTTGCATAATAGGACTAATTAGTGCTACTTGATTAGCGCGCTTCGTTAGATATTGATATTAAAAAACCTAACATAATGAAGTCCAATGAAGAAATGTAAAAATTTGAACTGCTCATAGAGGGGGTCGAACCCTCGGCCATCTGCTAACCTCATTTTCTCATAAGACAAATGCTCTACCACTGAGCTATATGAGCTTCGATTTGATTTTTATTATTGATCATTAAGAGCGACAGATAATATTGCCAACCACTTTCCCATAACACGAACAGTGGAATATTCAATTTAAAGAAATATATTATGAACTATTTAATAGATTAGGAGTCTGGTTTTGATTGACAGAGCTTGGAATCATTGTAATACATTTCGCTAATTAATTATTTAAAAAAATGCAAAGAAGTGGTCTTGCAGTGTTTCTATCAAAGAATGTGAATACAATGATGAAGAATAGAAAATTATCATCATTATTCAAGAATACCAACATGATGCTGATGAATTTACCTCATCATCATCATTATCGGAATGGATTAATGAATAATCATAATAATAATTATCGATATTTTCATAATGAATTATTCGGAAGGAGAAATAATGCAAATAATACAACATCATCATCACTACCAATCAATGACACAGAGGAAGAACAAGAACAGGAAGATCCACAAGTTAGTCAGAATGTTGATGAATACAATTCACGATTATTGACATTCCTATTAATTGGAACACCATTGGCTTATTTAGCTTTATTAGAATTAACGAAATGGTTTGAAGAAGTTTACACTGATTCCTCCTTAATGGCAAACAAATTGAGTGTTAATGATTTGGAAAGGATTTTCGATCAATTCACACTCAAGAATGGAGCTGAATTGTGTAAAGCATATAATATAAATATGCTGGATTGGATCCAAGAGAATGAATGGAATTGGTTTGAAAAGGACTTTCAAAAGAAGAAGGCTACATATGCACTCTATGCCATGCATGCTGCTGGATTTGTGGGATGTTTCTTGTTGAAGAGATTTAATCCTGGCATGTTTAAAAGATTCTATGATAGACATGTGGCGATTAGTTTGAATAATATGTATGAAAGAAGATTTCACACACTTATTTTAGGTCAATTCGCTCATACGAATGTGCTTTCTCTCCTTATTCCATTAATTTGCCTTAACAACTTTAGTGATATCATGGAGAATAACTTTTCACAAGCTTCATTACTTGCCCTATATTTTGTACTTCCAGCATTGGCCTGTATGGCCCACTCGTCACTTGGTGCTTTAATGTTGAGATATCTTGTCAGTCCTAGCAATAGAGTTTTACAATATCGCATTGCCAAAATGGGTCAGTTCAATATTATTCAAGCTTCATTCTATTCCATATTTTTTGCTCCAATTGCTTTAACACTTCCTGATTTTTTGATGACACATGCTGGAATAACAAATTTGGAATTGAGTTATATATTATTTGGATTACAATTTTTATATTCAATTATTTCTAAAGGTTCTCCATTTATGGTTGCAGAATTGTTTGCTTTTTATGGATCATATTTTGCTTTAAACCATTTGATTGAAAGAGAAGGATTTCAAAGATCAAGAATTGTAGAGTTGGAGAAGGGATTTCGTTATTATTTGGGAGAGAGGGTAAATATCAAGAATAATGGAATGGCTATCTTTATTCCAGATAATAGAGAAACACTTGAATTGGCATATTATAAGAATGATAAGAAGGAAAAAGTGATCAAAACAAAGACACTTCTCGGAAAGGATTATACTGAATAATATTTTCAAACCAAGTACAGTCTATTCATTACCCTTTGCAAACCATTCAGGAATGGAATCAATATTGTAATAACATTTCCATTTGAATTAATTACTTAATCAGATATCCTGAATATATTTCTTTTCATGGAACTCAAATGATGCAGTAGAATGTGAGAATTTTAATTATCTTTGGAATTTCTTTTAACCTTTATTCGTAACTTTTGTTCTCAGACCATTTCTGTTGTGGGTGTCTTCTTGGCGAATAGCTTGGTTCATTTCAAGATTTAGTCCAACAGAACTTGCTTGTTTTTTTTGCTAAATCTTGAGCATAACCGCCTTAGTTAAAATTATTCCGCCAAATATTTATTCAAACAATTCTTTGAATAATCCTTGAAGACTCTCTGAAGATGATGTTTAATAATTGAATCCAGAGAATTAGGTTATTCTAATTATCCCCATTCTCTTCTTAATTATTTCATAATACTGTTTAAATTGTAAAATTGAATGAAAGGTCAGCATAGCTTATATTTTGCAACATGACCCTCTGATATTTGCAACTTGCAGCACCAAATAAAAGTTCCCATACGAAATCTAATTCTTCCAATGTTGAGGGAAGATAGAATACCGTTGCTCTTCTTCCACATCTTCCAGATCGTCCGCTTCTCATTCGACTGAGCGCCTTATCGCAAATCACATCAAAATGCACAACCAATCGGCAAAGTGGCATGTCAATTCCAAACCAATCCTCATGAGTTCCAATCATTAATTGTGAAAATTGGTTTTCCAAATTGAGGAGTTAGCTCAATGGATGGATATACTGATTCCTTTAGAATTTTGTAATATTGTTCTGCTCTTGTGTATGTGTTGCAGAATAGGAGAGCAGGCTCAAATTCATACTCATAATTTTGAAAGAATGATTCTCTTAATAGGCTTAGTTTCTGCTCTTCTTTTGGACAATAGACAAAACGTTCTATAATGCTCTCGCTCAATTCTTCGAAATCGCTATCACAATAACTGTTGCATGTTGTAATGAGTGAATCCTTCAAGTGCTCATCGTGCATGTAGCATTCAATGGGCAACGTTCTTGTACCAGTGCATAAAATTTCACATTCCTTTGGGAGTTGACTAAATATTCTCTTGATACATCTTCTTGATTCAGTTCCAATTTCCAACATGAAATTCATTTCGTCAATAGCAAGAATTTCCAATTCACTAACATTTATACCATTCTTGATTGCCTTTTGTGGTGTGGTAATTAAAATTCTTAGATTTTCAGTAACTTCATTCGAAATTCTCGAATGATCAATAAAATCAGCTATGGCATTCATTGTTCTATGTATTTGATATTCCAAATAATCGGTTGGAACAAGAACTAAACCTTGCAATTTACCATCATTCTTTGTAAAATCCACTTCTTTCAATACTTTAATAATTAATCCAACAGTCTTTCCTGCTCCGGCAATCCATTGAACAATTTTGGAAGATTTCACATCTTCTGATTGTGGATTCAATATTACTTTCTGTACGATTAGCATGTTCTCCAAGCCGTAGGTATAAATTCCTCGTAATAGATTATCTGTCAAGTTACAATCATCAAATAACATTTTTTTTTTAAAATTAAAACTTAATTTGCCTTGTTTGGTGCATTTTGAAATGTAAAAATGTTTCAGTGAAAAATAGTGATAACATTTGAATTAAACTATTAGATGTACATCTTGCAATACGTATTTTGAAAATAGTGAGATAATATTTGACATGTACATTTAGAATTTTACAAAATTACTTCTTGTAATATTTAGCAACTTGTTCAGGAGTTGCCTTTTCCAAAAACCACCAACTAATAGCATATAATATTCCAGTAGAACGAACAATTTCCTCATCCATCATAAACTCCTTTGCTTTTGCAAGTGGCAACTCTATTACATCAATCATTTCACCTTCAGATTCCAAACCTCCTCCTTCACTAACCTTCTTTGAAATCAATCCAGGATCAGTCGATTCACTCAATTCCTCCATCACTTCCACATAAAACAAATGTTGAATTGCATTATTCTTTGCAGCTCCAGAATAATAATTAGTGATTGGTTCAATCGCCTTCAATGGTACTTGATATCCACATTCTTCCAAAATCTCAGCTTGCATTGTTTCAACTGGTGATTTGCCATCCTTATCCAACAAACCAGCACATAATTCAAAACTCATCTTGGCTTTTAAATTTGTTTTTTCCTCTTCAGTTTTAGCCTCCATTAATTGTCGAACGAATACAGGTGGTCGGAATTGTTTTACCAACAAGAAACATTCCCTCTCTCTATGATACAACAAGGCTGCAACAGAATCCTTCGTGATGGCCATATCCCACGATTTAGAAACTCCATTCTGTGAGTAGTAAATTCTCTGTAGGGAAATCCATTTGGATCCTGCTCCGAGATTGGTATCAATGTGATAGTCGGTTATATTGTCCATTGCTATACTAGTGAGAGGTGTTGGTGTTGTAAGTGAGGATGATGAAATTTCTCTTTCTGTTGAGTTTGAATATTTTTTTTAATTTTTTTCCAATTTTAATTATAAATTGTCTTGTTTTGTCCTTGTCAAGAATTTGCCAAATAAAATCTTCAATTAATCATACTTTAAAATAATGGAAACTTTCTCAATCATCGAGCTCACCTAAATCACAAATGAAATAGGAGTAAGTCTCGTGGATCACTGATTAATTGTTTGTCTAATACATTGTAATGTGGTGCAATATCCAATAATTGTCTGAGTATAGATCTTAATAGAGGTCTACATTGAGAGACGGAGTCTTTTTCTTCCTTTGACTGACATCTGTAGTTCATTGATTCCCAAGATATTTGATCTTCTCCTACATAGATTCTCCATAATTTTAAATAGTCGAATATGGGATCTTGGGTATTAATGCGGAATAATGCATCACTTTCATATCCATCATGACCATAGTAGAATTGTTGCTGAACAAATAGCTTTGCCTTGGCACTAGATTTCTTGTAAGTAATGTCAAAAGTCAAGTCGACACAAAGTCTGGGCTTTCGTTTGAAATTAATAGTGAGAATTCTTCCAATTACGTTCGATACTGATATCTCAGAATCCTTCTTCTGGATTTGTTGGCTCTTAATGGATGTGAATGCACGACATGCTACTTTCCAAGCCAAATCCAATACTCTAGTTTCCTTAATATTTTCCAAATCATACAAGTCAATTAAATAGTTAGATCTCTCATCATGAATTTCGATATCCCTATTAAATTCAACATCTACAATTGGTTTTGGGTTTTCCTTTTCTCTTTCATCCTCATATTCGCTCCATAGAAATGAATTGAATGGTGATAGTTTGTGCTTTTGTTTGGGAGTTTTCAGTTCTTCATATAAAGAATCATAAAACTTGTCATTGATTTGATATTCCTCAATTTCACAATCAGCATCTTCAAATCCTTTGGCATTCACTTGTAACACTATATTCCTTTTAACATTTGGATCAATGTTCAACCTTTCTTTCCATTTAAAATCACTATGACCTTTCACCACATCTACATAAATAATTATATCTTCATTGATTGAGTAGAGAGCACTCATTTTCAAAGTAGCTTGCTCATTCAAATAGATCATTAACACTACCAACTCTTCCCCTTCTCTAAACAATTTCTCCATCTTTGTAATTCTAATCTTGGGATAGGTGGTTGAACTTATGTTTTCAGATAATAATCTAGTCAACCACTCACTAAATGATTTTTTTCTCTTATTCTTTCCAAACCCGGAAATTACATATTGCCGAGCAAAAAGCCAATGTTTGACACTAACTAATAATCCAATCATATTTCTTTCCTTTTCCTTCTTGCTTGAAATTTCATTCGAATTGGAAATTAAATTAAATTCCTGAACCAAATAATTCTCCACTCTATTAATTAATGCAAATCGAAAATCACCCAACAACAAACTTTCATACCACTGATGACTCACCAATTGCAAACAATGTTTTTGAATTTCATCAAATGGAAGAAAAGAATAAATCAACCCGATCACATCATTAGAAAGAAGCAATTTTTCCCTTCCTATCCGATTATTAACATCCTCGTCGTGAGAAGAGTATTTGGCTAACTTATTGTTTGTGGGTGAATCACTCGTTTCCTCTTGTATTGCTCGTTTCATTTTTTTTTGTAAAAAATCAGGCGGCAAAATCAACCAATAATATTTCATTAAGGTACACTGTGCATTATCTCAATGATCGACCTAATATTTAAATTGTAATCTCTAAATAAGGAACGGGATCGTGAAGCGAACTATTTGCTCTTCTCATCATTTTACCATCCTTAAAAAAAAATTCCAACTATTGAGGGCGCAATAAAATGATCCGAAGCGGTTTTTTAATAATCATGATTGTTATCCTGATGATGATAATGATAAATAATCATTATTATTGTGAGGCAAGCGGAGTGAAGTTAAGGGCTATGGGACCTGATTCTAAAACTCGAATGAGAGAACAAATTAACAAGATGGAGAATATTTGCTTATTGACTTTGAGTGGTTTGGATTGTCCTGGAAAGGGTCTCGATGTGAATTACAAGACTTCATTGATGAGAGGAGCTATGGAAGACATGCCAATCATTGCAGGAGTTGGTTACAATAGAGTAGATAAGAGTATTAATCCTCCAATTCTCAAATCTCCAAGGGCAACACCTGTGAATGAACAAAAGACACTCACTCGTACCATAAACGGAGCTACTGATTATTTCAATATGTTATATCCAAGTGATGGAAGTGAAATATTCAATGGTCTCTACAGTCATGGAACAACTGCTACCGACATGATTTTTAAAAAGTATTTTGAAGGAGATTTGAGAGGGTACAATATCCAGAAACAATACTATACTCACTCTGTTCAAATAACAAATATTGAAGTCACTGACGAATTTAAAAAGATTATTGACATTCTTCCAGATCAAATGGATGAAGATTTGTACAATATGGTCATTTCATCATTCGGTGATTCTATTGCTACTAAGGTAACCTATGGAGGAGTTGTTGATCTGACCACATCAGTTCGATCATGTTATAGTAGTCCAAGTATGGAACAATACTTGGACATTCAATTGCAAGTAACTATTGGTATTAACACTGATACCAGTAAGTTACCAAATGGATACATGAGATATCAAAGAGTTGGTTCATTGGATATTATTGGTGGTAATCCACAAATTAGCTCCATCAGTCAAAGAGTTCAAACTTTTGCTAATAATCCAGTACCAGTGAAATTTGAAACCATTCCAATCTGGAGAGCTTTCCCTAATGGGCCAAAACAAGAAAATATGAAAAAGATTTACAACAAGTTTGTTTCCTCCAATTCCATGAGTGTCGCTCAAATGGTTGCACAAGTTGAGGCCAAGAGACAAGCTGATAAATTAGCTCCTCAACCATTCTATGCTTTCAAAGTTAACAAGGTAAATCAAATGATTGAAAAGTTGGGAAGTGGTAATCCAGCCTTTGTTGCAGCTGGTGGTCGTGCAGAATTCACAGAAGAATACCTTATTCTAACAAAGAAATTGACACATCGTGTCTTTAAAGCAACTGTTGAAAGAAATGCAGATGGATCTTTTTATATTCACTTTATTCGTGTCAAGTGTGATAGAGATAAGAATTGTGTTGAACATCTTTAAAGATCCAGAAGATGAAGACGATTTCGTTTCAACCACCGGAAAGGACACTTGTATTTTCCATCGTTTGGCAGGTAATTATAATGTTGGAGGTGTTTATCTATGTGGTGGATGTATGCCTTCCTTCTCTTCTGATTTTAAGAGTTTGAGTTGCACTTGTCCATATCTTGTATAATCCAATTTAACAATTAAATAAATATTGTTAATAAGGATCAAATTGTTAAGTTTATTAAAAACTTGTAAGAACCAAGTATCTCAGTGACTTGAAAAATAACCATAATTAAGCAATAGAGTTATCAATAATTTATTTACAAAATTTACTTTTGGTTTGGATTAAAGTGCTTTTGAATGTTAATCCAACACTTATAATAATCCTTATCAATATTCATTTCATTCATGGCATATTCTGTTGGATTGATAATGTAGGTAGATTCGAACATGAAGGCCATACTTCCTTCAGAGACACGTTCTGGTTTCAATTCAGCATTGGATGCCTTTTCAAAGACCTTTTCTTCAGGGCCATGAGGAACCATACAATTGTGAAGAGAACCACCTCCCATAACGAAACCTTCTTCTTTAGCTTCATAAACTCCTTCAATTAAACCCATATATTCATTCATGGTATTTCTGTGATAGTATGGTGGACGGAATGAGTGTTCTTGAACTGACCATCTATCCTTAAAGATGACAAAGTCCAAAACAGCAACACCCTTCTCAGCTGATTGACAGGTCAAAACTGTGAAAATGGATGGATCCAAGTGGTCATATGATACAGAGTTGACAACATTGAATAAATTCAAGTCATATTTGTATGGAGCATAATTTCCGTGCCAAGCAACAACATCAAATGGTGAATAGGTACATTTAGCAGAAAAGTATTGGTTTTGGAACTTTTGAATAATTTCATATTCAACACCTTGGTCACGATCTTCATAACAAGCAATTGGATAGAGGAAATCTCTTGGGTTGGCCAAACCATTAGCACCAATTGGTCCCAAATCTGGAATAACAAAGTGTCCAGCATAAACTTCAGACATGTAACCTCTGGCAAAAGTACATGAGCTATCAGCAAAGTCAACTGTGAATTTAATACCACGTGGAATGACACAAATTTCCTTTGGCTTAACTCTCAATTTACCACATTCAGTAGTAATTAACAATTCTCCCTTTTCTGGAACAAACAAAAAGTCACCATCTGAATTACACATACAACGATCACCCATTGACTTGGTGAATTGATATTGCAAAATTGAAAATCCAGTTTTCAATTGTGGACTTCCCGAACCAGCAACAACTCTCAAACCATCAACAAAATCAATTCCTTCTTCAACTTTCTTTGGTGGCATCCAACGAATTTGTTGTGGTGTCACTAAACGTCCCAAATCAATCTTGACTGAATTGAGTGGTGAAAATTGTTCATTTCCTTCATAATTTGTAAATGGAAAATGTACAACAGAAGGTCTAATTCTATAAAACCAAACACGTTGATTACAACTACGTGGTGCAGTAAATGCTGTACCTTGTAATTGTTCAGCATAGAGTCCGTATGGACACTTTTGTGGAGTATTCTGTCCTAATGGAAGAGCACCTTCTAATGCTTCGGTACTGAAGGTATTTCCCCAACCACACATGTATTCTAATCCATCTTGAATACAGGTTGTTTCCTTTTGATGAAAGGATGGAAATCTAAAGTGAGTCGATGATGATGTTGTCCTATTATATTGTTGTTCAATAAATTTGAAGTAATGTTATTATTATTGTTGTTGTTGTTAATTTGAATATTATTATAATAATAATATGAATGATATTTTGATGTAATTTTAGAGAGGATAATAATATCAATATATTGTTGAATAGTAATAGCAATATCATGATGATGATGAAGAGTTTGATATGGACAAAATTTCATCATTATAAAAACAGTAAGATTTTTCATTCATCACACGGAGTAAATTTTGTTAATTATCATCACACATTAATTATCATCTTCAACCTACATCTTTGGTGGTGGAGTGGGTATGTGGATTTTTTTTTGATTGTGGTTTTTTATTAGCCTTTGTACGGTTCCTAATTTGAACAATTTTTGGTGTACGATGAGGAATAGAGTTTACAAAACGATTGAACCTTCTTTCAATGCCACAACAAACAGCATTCAGTGTGGTCACTTTGGCAGTTGGTAAATACCCCAAGGAGGGTGTTTTTGATTATCGCCTTTATTGGATGGGTGGTAATCACTCAGTTGGCAAAATTCGCACTCAGACAAGAGAAATATTTCCAATCAATTGTAGTGTATAGATCGTTACACTGTTTGGCTATTGACTCCTTAATGATTGCATAACGATTTGAAAATCGAGTCGACACTCATTGATTTCGCTCCCTCGTTCGTTGAATTGACTTTCAGAGAAAGATATGCTTGATGTCAATTCATTCAGGATGATTCTGCTTTCAAGCAATTGATCATTTTTTTTGTAATCTTTTAAATACTATATTTAATTATTTAAATAAAAACGGTTTTTATTAAAACTATAAAAAAAAATGGAAAGAAATCTATTTAAGAGGAAGGTTACTGAAAATCAATCATCATCATCATCTCCTTCATCACCACCAACAATGTCTCCACCTTCCCGCCCAACTTCCTTCATCCCAAAACATACATCATCATCATTCTCCGATAATAGAATTTCATCTTCAATACAACAACAAAATGATGAGGCTTTTAAACCAGAAGTTGACTATGCTAGTCATGGTTTAGAGCAACATGATGTAGCAGTGGAGGGAAGAGGAGTTTTCCGAATGTATACAATGAATCATTTGCATCATCAAAATACTAATAACGAACAATCAAACACTAATACAACAACAACAACATCACTTCCTGCTCACTTGATAAAAACAAGAAAATGTGAGAGTGTTTTGGTATTTATTCATGGAGCTGGGTTATCTTCCTTGTCTTGGACTTTGTGTATGCAAAATTTAAGACAATTAGTGATTAGAAGTGGAAATACTAATAATGTAAATATTAATTTTATGAGATCACCTCCTACTCCAATAGAGATGGGAATGGGACAACCTAAATCCGCATCAGAAGCCTTTAATGTTGATGATTATGAATATTGTGCAATGGATTTGAGAGGACATGGAGCTAGTCATACGGAAAAGGATTCTGAACTCAGTATTGATACATTGGTGGATGATATTATTGCTCTTTTACAACAAGTATATAGAGGAAAGAAGAGAAATTTCATATTGATTGGCCATTCACTTGGAGGATCAATAGCTGTACGATGTGCTCACAAAATGGACATCATAGAGGAACAGGAGACCAAGTCTGGCACTGTACAATCACACGAATTAATGACAGTGAAAGGAGTGGTTGTTATTGATATGGTTGAAGGAAGTGCACTGACAAGTCTGCCAAACACTAAGAAATTCATCGAATCTAGACCAAACAAATTCAAAAACATGGAAAGTGCCATCAAATGGTCCATTCAACATGGTGTTGTCAATAATATTTCGAGTGCTGTTATTAGTATACCTTCACAATTGATGCATGTTGAGGAGGGAAATTATTATACTTGGAGAACTAATCTGACAGATTCGGAAGAATATTGGACAGCATGGTTTACAGACATGTCACAGATTTTCCTGGAAGTCAAAGGATTGAAATTGCTCATGATTACATCGACTGATATTCTGGATAAAGAATTAACAATTGCCCAAATGCAAGGTAAATTCCAAATGAAAGTTCTCAACAGGTCAGGCCATTGCATTCAAGAAGATGATCCAGCCCATTGCAGTGAAGTTATCTTTTCCTTTTTGCATCGATTTAGATTGTAATTTTTAATCATCTTATTTTGATAAGTTTTAAAAAGTGAGTAAATATTATTTATTAAGATATTTGAATTGACAGAATTTGTAATTCATCATAGAATGTTTGAATTCTTGACAAAATTCGATAAGAGATTGTAGCACGTTTAAATGTGTGGGTTCTCACTAACATGTTGGCTCACGTTTTAAAAAAAAATGTCTCAAGATCTATTACTGCCAGAGATTGTCTTTCAGTGTCTTACCTATATTGATCTTGCAACTCTTCCTACTTGTATGGTAGTATGTCGGGAATGGCATGATATGATCAATCATTCACCCATGTTGTGGCGTTTATTGTTTGATCAATATTCGGAACAATTATCAACAAATCCTCGACAAGTATTTGCTACTTTTATGAATCTGCCAACAACGAGTGAAGAGGAAAATTCACTACAGGTTAAATTTGAAGAAACTTTTAGAAAGAAGGGATTATTGAATGATGAAAAATTGTTGAGATCCTTGAAGTTAGATGATAATCAGGCCAAGCATGAATTAGGAATGCTCATTGGAAGAATTTATGCTCACTGTTGGCATGTGCATTTGTTGGAAGAGCATCCACCAACCAAATACTTGGATACCTTACTATTTTGTGCTGGTAGAATTGGAAATTTCCAATTATATGAGATTGTAAGATTGTTAGGTCTTACTCAAAAGTGTTATCAACTCTTTAATATTAGTTATAATTATGAAAAGATAGAAACATTGAGGCCTTTGTTTAGTTTGTCTTATTTTTGTAACATTGCTACAATGTTAGTTAGAGAAGTTGAAGCAAAGAAAGACAATTATACCCAGACATTACAGACAATTGTTGGATGGGAAAATTTCATGGTTAAATATTTTGAAGAAGGAAATAATATCATTCTGCCTGAAAATTTATTTGAGAGCGATTCGTTTCAACGTATGGTTTTCGATTCCTTTGATGACATGATTAGATTTAAAGTTATTAGAAAGGTATTTGGTAGCAAATGGCCTAGTGGAGAGGAGGTCAATAACATATTGTTTTCTGTTTTTTTGAACAAGCTGAATCAAAGATTTATGGAGAATAAGGTGAAACCAAATGATTTAGTATCCAATATTGACCAATGCATTGAAATATTCAATATTGAGAAATGTAGTCATGAACCATTTATTCAATTAATTGAAGGACGATGGTATGGACAGATTGTAAACTTATTTAACTCGTACAAACACTTACTTGATGTCAAACATGTAAAGAGACTATTCCAAAGTGCATTTGTTGCCACAGATTATCCAGACTTGATCAAGTATCTCGTTACTGAATATGATATTGACCCATTGGAATTTTTTGATGAGAGAAATATCATTGCTCAATATTTTGAACGATTGCTTGAAAATAATGATTACTCTCTCAGATACATAATGGATCCACTATTATGTGGCAGAAAAATGAACCTTGCAGAGTTTTGTACCAAATGCCAAGAAAATAATTATCCAAATTTGTCAAGTGTGGAGAAAGTTTTCAATATTATGGAATTATTGGCTAAAAGTTGTCCTTCCTATGCATTTGTAGCTCTTATGTCAACTTTGAATAATTTATTTGAACCTCAAATCATAGTTAACCATTCAATCATTTTTGAAAGATTATTAGAATTTTATAATGAAGGAAAAGCTCAATTGAGTGCCTACGAAGAGCTATTGTACAATACACAAATAGTCAGTAATTATTCAGGTATTAAATATCAGTCACTGAAAGAAATGATGATTCAAGAGAGAGAATACAATCCATTGTTTAGTGAAGTTCTAGAGCTTTGTGAAAAATATATTAATGAAAAGAAACAGACAGAACAGAACTAAAATCCCAATTCTTGTTTTTGATACCAAATATTTTTCAATTGTAAAAATTTCTTGGATGTTAATGAATCGGCAGCATCATTCAAGCCCTTTAGGAAACAATAACTGTTCTAGTGTAATTTTTACGGGAAGATTATCAAGCATGCTTCGATACTTGGATATAAGGGTAGATCTTTTTTCAGGACTAGTATTGCTTCTAGTTGCCCTAATCATTACATTCTTTGGTGTATGTTCTGTATCAATAAATTCAATAACGTTTGTCTTGTAGCCCATAATTTCCAAAAGTTGACATCTCAATGCATCTGTGTAAATGGAACAAAATTTTTCATTGAAAATGTTGTGTTGTAATAGTGGTTCCATAAAGTGATTCTCTGGGAGGGATTTCATATGTTTCATTTGTTGGTAGACCTCGTGTTGGCAACATGGAACGGCTAGAATAATTTGACTCTTCCATCTTGTGGCTTGTTCGAGGGCCTTATCTGTTGCTGTATTGCAGGCATGCAAGGAAACAACAATGTCTACTTGGGAATCATCTTTGTATTCACCAGCAGTGAAATGTGAAGAAGCATCAAATGAATGAATGTCTCCTACCATAAATTTCAACTCCTTTTCATAGGAATACTTTTTTGAAATGTTATTGCAATGTTGAATGACATCCTTCTTCAAATCCAAACCAATAATTTGTACATTTCCAATTTTCAGCACTTCTTTCAAATAGTAGTGAATAGCAAAAGTGAGATATGACTTTCCACATCCAAAATCAACAATTCTCAATGTCATATTTTCTACATTTCCCTTCTGGTGTAATAGAGATGATATACTCTCCTTGAAAATCTCCAAAAAGTGATTCATTTGCTTGAACTTGTTATATTTCTGAGCGAGGATCTTACCAGAAGTTTCATGTTGTATCCCCAATTCAACAAGGAAATTAATCAACTTGCCCTCTTCCAAAATGTAATCCTTCTTTCTGTTGTGTGAAAACTCATTCTCCACTGTCGATGATTCTCTAGTGCTTGTTGTTGCCTTAGCCAAATTTGCAATCTTGCTTACTTTCACTTGTTTCATCTTAGTTGTTTCCTTATCATACTTCACAAGCATGTGAATGTCCTCTGCTGAACCTCTTCTCTGAATCAAAACTTGCTGATAACTTGCATTGTCCATTAATTCTTGAATAATTCGCAATACTTGTGATAAATCCTCGAAATTTCTATGAATTGCCTTTCCATCCTTCAAAAACAAACTAAATTGAAAACAAGCCTTTGAATCCATCATCATAATCGGCCTCACTGAAAACTTGAATATTTCAACCTCTCCCAAATTTAATTCCTCTCTAATAGTGGTACCATTATTAATTGATGTTGTCTGTCTTGGTTCACTGAAAGTAGCCTTGATGAATTCCTTTCTAGAATTAACTTGTTCCGAAATTAAATTAATAAATTCTATTGTACTCGTGCTGATTTGTAATTTTGTATTTTCCATTAATGATGATGGTGATGAGGAAGCATTGTGTTGTTGTTGTTGTTTTACATTCTTATCATGATTCGGAGCAAGACCTCGATTAAAATTTAATATGTTCGAAGAATGAAAATTCCTTCGTGATTTACATAAAGATGATGAATTCCAAGCCACTTTTCCCATACCCGCCGAGAATGCTGATGATTTTGCCATCTGCTTCGTGTTGGCACCAACAACAAACTTTGACTTTAATTTCGAAATCTTTTTCATTCCGGACTTTTTTTTTTGTAATAAATCTGAAAAAATTTAAAAATTAAAAAAAGTGAAAAGGAAAATGAATGAGAGATTGCCTAGTCCAGCAGTATTGTAGGAATAATTCAAGGGAAGTGAAAATGAGTTTATTAATCCTGGTTTCAATTATTACTTCAAAATAGGAATTGCCTTCAAAATTCCAAGTGGACTTGTGTATTGTCTCAACTTGTTACTGTCCTTAATATGTTTCACACCATTCACGACACACTCATTGGCATGAGCAATGTTATATTCAATGCAGTCCAATAATTCATCTTGGTGTTCAACGAGATTGGCAAAATCTTGGAATAATTGATTGAGTTGAACCATGGAAAAGTATAATTGTTTGATATCTTCATTACTTTCCTTTGCAAGTTGATATTCCACATCCAAAGTTGCTTCCTGAGATTGAGTCAAGGCATATTTAGTGTCACCCTTCAATAATTCTTGGAATTGCAATTTATCTTCCACAATCATGGTCTCAATCTCTTGAGGAGTTAGGTCAGCATATGGTGATGCTGCATTTTTACCATTTCCTTTAGCATAAATGTCAAAGAGACGTTTCACACGACCAATCTTGCTTTGTTTGCATTCTTGTTGTACAGATTGGAATTTATCCATTTCTTGCATGAAGAGTTGAATGAGTTTTTGCTGTTGTTGAGATCTGAGACGAGTGATGGCATTCTCTTCTTTCATGGCTTCTTTAATTGAGGAAGTTTCGATGGAAATTTCCTTAATGGCCTCTTGAATTGTAGATGAAAGTTTAGAAGTAACATCAACTTGTTCTCTCATTTTACTGAATTTCCATTTTAAAAATTATTCGAAATTATTTGAAACCTACCCTGAAAGTTCATCCAAAACTTTAGAATTTGATTCAGTTTGTACCTTATTAGAAAGACTTTCCAATTTGTTAATTTCATTCACCAGATCCACAGTAATCTTTCTTTCAATTTCATCCTAAATTTCAGATATTTCATTAATTTTCAAATAGTTCCATTTGTTTCATTTAATTTTTCAAAATTCTCAACTAGTACTTACTGCTTGTTTTTTAAATCTATTCAAATGTTCTTCAATAGTTTCTTCCGTTGGACCACTATTACTATTTGAAGATGCACTTTTAGATTTTTCAGAACTTGAGCTAGTGGATGACAAACTTCCAGAACTTGACGAAGATTTCATATCAGAAGCACCAAGAGAAACATTCACAAGTATTTTACCATTTCTAACTTGTTCCAAATCCAACCAGAATGGTCCCTTTTCGGCAAGTTTCGTAAAATCTGCAATGGTTTTCTCGACCTTTCCCATTGCAACATTCATTAACAGTTTATTCTTGTCAAAAACTGCAAATTTCAAAGTATCACTTGGTTTGACTCTGTAATAATATTAAATTAATTGCATTATTATTTTATGGATTCGAATAATGATGAAATTATAAACTTACTGATCGAAAGTAAATTCTTCATTCCATTCCGGATCCAAAGTTTTGTATTGTACTTTAGTCTTTTGTTCATTAGATTTGGAAAATGGCAACTTGATGAGAGAATCATTCGGATTGATGGTTCTTTTTAAAAATTATTATTATTCGAAACTTGATGATATTCGAAACTCACATTACTACAAACTAATAGATCATCACAAATTGTTAAAAATTATAATAATAATTATTTAATATAATTCACATCACACATAAAATACCTACTGGATCACTAGAACCATTCAAATCTTTGCACTGAAGTTGTGATCCTTTCACAACCGAAACTTGAAGTTTTGACATTTTTTTTAATCTATTTTTGATATGAAATCACTGTTTCCAATCACGTTTCAGAGTTTATTTACAACAATACAAATGAAAAACATAAATTAGCAATTCACGTGAATTAAATGTCTCAATTGACTAAAAAATCCAATCAATTTCATCCCATCAGGTATTTACCAGGATACCCAACAACAAATTGGCATGGTTAATATTATGTTTGATATAAGCTATGAATCAACTTCAATTGTAAAGATATCATGTTCAGAGTTATAACAAAGTGTGTGCAACATTAAATCTCCAATTTCATGACCCCAAATTCCATACTTTCCATTGGTAGAACATCTATTAATTAAAGAACAATTTGGATCTTGATCACGCATTGGTTGAGCAGTGATGGATGAAGAACCATCTTCCTCTTCATATATTTCCTTATATCCCCTACAAATCAAGGCAACCAATTGTCTCTGCGTGAAACCATTCACAGGACGTTCAAAAGTCTTCCGAGCAGGAATTGATAATGGATAATCATATTCAATAGTAATAGATTGTCTATTCGGAATCAAATCTGTGGTATCTTCATATCTTTCCAATTCATCTTCATAACATTGAACGGAAACATAGACGTTTTGTTCTTCCATATCATCAGACTTGACCATGTCGGGCTTGACCATGTCGAGGATGTTTGGAGAGGCTAAATAGGCTGGTGTTGTTGCTGATGGAGTTTCTTGTTTCTGCTCTGCTTCGGAGAAAATTTGATGTTGAGAAAAGAAGCGTGATTGTTGATAAATATTATTCATTACTTTCACTTGTTGGGTCAAACAAGGTTCAATGTGTGTGGCACCGACACCTCTAAAGGCAGATACTTGTTGTTTTTGAGAGGAGAGAGCGGCACGACGAATGAGAGCAAGACTTTTTTTCATTTTTTTTGATTGAATTTCTCAAAAAAGATTGAATTTTACAATGAATTTGATTGAACGTTTTGAAAAATTGTAAATTTGGAAAATTACAAATGAGATTATTACAATAATTCGAACACATTCGAAAAAGAATCACGTTTGAACAAATTCAAATTTAAAAAAAATGATTAAAAATTCGATCAGACAATTCATAAAAGGTGCATCTTTAAAGGCGCATCATCATCAGCTTTATTTTAATACTTTTCATTATACGAAAGTAAACTATTCTTCTTACACCCTTCCAGAGATACAAAAATCCATCGAACAAATCAACCAACAAATTTTGAGCACCGAAAAATCCTATCAACTTCATCCGAACATGAAGAATAGACTATTCTTTGAATTATCTGAAAATTACTGCGAAAGAGCTTCCTTTCTTTTTTTACTAAAAGATTACAAAAGTGGAACGAACGATCTCACACAAGCAATTTCATTCAATCCAAGAAATTATAAAGCTTGGCTTTTGAAAGCTCGATATAACTTTGAAAAAGTTGGAGATTTACAAAAAGCTTTGGAAGATTACAACAAGGTACTTGAATTGCATCCACAACATGTTTTTGCACTCATTGGTCGATGTGATATTTATTTGGAATGGAATGAGTTGGATAAATTGTTGAATGATACTTCTACTATTATTGATTTAGTGAAATTGAAAGAAAATCAAAGATTGGAACAAGATGAGAGTGGAGGATTGAAATATGATTCCATTAACATGTTGATCAATTCGTATAATAAGAGATTTATTGCATTTCTTAGAAAGGGAGAGTATGAAGTAGCTTTGAATGAATTAAATGAATTAATTAAGGAAATTCCAATGGAGAAAACAGAAAAATTAATTCAGATGTATTTATTGAAAGGAGTTTTGTATCGTGATCAATTAGCTCAGCCAGATAAGGCACTGGAGGAGTGCAGTAAGATAATTAAGATTGATCCGTCTCATGTAGATTCCTTGATTATTAGAGCTTCTCTTTATATGGAAAAGAAAGATTATCAAAGAGCATTGGAAGATTATGAGAAACTACTTGAATTGGAGCCAACCTCTAAGAATGCCAATTATAGAAACATCATTGAGTCAATCAAAAAGTTGGAAAAAAACAAGTCAAACTAATTTGAATATATTGACACAGTTGTTGGTCAATTTATTCTAAAGTGGAATCTTCTCCTTGTAAAGGAGAGTAATCTTCGAGATTGATAATGTCTGTTGCAATTTTCTCAGTAAAGTATCTATCATGTGAAGTAGCAATGATAATTCCAGGAAAATTCATTAATGCTTCCTCGATTACTTCTAAACTTGGAAAGTCAATATGATTAGTCAATTCATCCAATACCAAAATTGAGCATTTTTGCATGATTATTTTACATAGCTGTACCTTTCTTCTACATCCAATACTCAACGATTTCAATGGTGAATTCAAATCATGCCAAGTATAAACTCCAAGATTACACAATTCAGTAATAACCTTTTGTTTTGTTGCTTGAATACTCGAATCTTCCATCAACAATTCAATTGCAGTCTTGTCGAGTGGCATATTTTCCTGTTCCTGATCTAAATAACCAATCTTGGCATGCTTACTAATATTTACACTTCCTTCATCGGATTCTGTCAATCCCATAATTATGTTCATTAAGGTTGTCTTTCCAGAACCATTAGGTCCTTGAATGATTAATCGATCTCCACTAACCAAAGTGAAGGAAAGATTTTGGAAGAGAGGTTTTTGGGCAAAGGATTTGGACAAGTCCGATAATTCAATACTTAGAGAGGATGCAATAGAACTTTCATCAAATTCGAACGAAATTTTGTTTCGTTCTTGAATTAAATCTGTTCTATTCTCGAGCAAGTGTTCTTGCTTTCTCGTGATTTGATTAAATGCTTTGGAGGTACCCTTGTGAACTCGTTCCTCTTGATTGTTATAACTGAGTTTATCCCTATTCTTTGGATCTCTCAATTTTCTAGCTTTCATGGAAGATGCCATCTGAATTGACTTTTGTTTCAGGTTTTTCAATTCCTTATCTTGAAGTTCACGTTCTTGCATGGCTCGTTGACGTTTCTTTTCCTCTTGAGCAAGATAATTTTCGTATCCTCCCCTGAAGTGAACAAACTTTTTGGTGTGAGGAGAAAGTTCTGAAATTCTATTAGAAACTGAATTAATCAATGTTCTGTCGTGAGTCACCATCACAACTGCTCCATCATAATCCTTCAAGAAATGTTCCAACCATTCAATACCTTGCACATCAAGGTGATTAGTTGGTTCATCCAATAATAAAATGTCAGGTTTCACAATACTTAGAGCACACAGAATTGACTTGGTTTTCTCTCCACCACTCAAACTCTCAAATGGTTGTTCCAATAAATCATTATTCAATCCAATAAGTTTCGTCTGCTGATAAATCTCATCTCCAATTATCGAATTCAACTCATTATACCACTCCTCAGAAAGTGGTTGCAAAGGTTGTTCCAAAAACTGTTGAATATCAGCATCAGGAAAGAATTTCAACATGGTAATAATTGTCGACTCATCACCCTTAGTAATTTCTTCAAAATGTTGAGGCAAGAAACCAATCTTTCCCTCAATCTCCACCATTCCAGTATATTCAAAGTCAATCATACCAAATTGAGATGTTCTATTATGATTATCATCATCTTTTTGATCATGATCATCATTATTTAAATAAGCACTATTCATCAAACGGAGGAATGTAGTTTTGCCACATCCATTCTCGCCCACAAGTGTTACCTTCGCACAATATAGGATCATCAATAATAAGTGTTTCTTGTTTTTCTTTTTTATATGGAGTTGACTCTATCATTAGAAAAACACAAATGGGAGATGATCATTCTATTAGAGTGTTTAATGGTGATATTAAATATTTTGATGTCACTAGAAGAATTAAAGAATCTAATATAAAGTACGACTATTTAAAAGGGAATTCTTGGTTTGATAATAGATTAATAATAGATTACAAAAGTCATAACACTAGAAGTTTCTTGTTTGTAAGAAATTTCACAATCCATTTATTATTCTGTTCACTAAATAATGAATTAAATATCTTCTTGAGCTAATACACTGGAAGCATAATTTTTTAAGGTCTCTACATACTGTAACTGGTCAACTTCAAACTTATCTCTATCATTAGAGAATGTTATTATTTCGATATTCTTCTCTTCATTAAATAGGATCTTCTTTAATTTCATACAAGCTTTCCAGTAATGATACTCAACTAGAAAGATTTGGTAGTTCTTGTAAAGATAATCAAGATCAGAATCTTTAAAAATAATCTTCAGCTCTTTTCTGAAATTGGCTGGTGTGATTATTTTAAAATCAGCAAACAGCTCGAGCTTTCTATACTTTCCTTTAATTTCATTAATATCCTTTTCACCAACATAAATGTCAATAATGAGTGTTTTTTGTCTTCCATTTCCCCTCTTAATTACAAAGTCTGGTGTTGAATTGTTGAGAAGACATTTAATATCGTGTTCTCGAGTAATAATGTTCTCTGTAATAAAAACTTCTTTCTTTTCTATCAACATATCTTGTATCATGTAATACAAATAATCATGTACCATTTCATTATTGTCTTCCATATAGCCTAAAGCCTTTAGTCTTTGTTCGATATATGTAAAGGCTTGTTTAGTATTGGATACGGCATACTTATGCTCTATTAAATCCTTGAAGTGAGCATTCTTCTTCCATTCTGATGGAATATGAAATTTTTTTCTAAAAACCTGAAGTAATGACGAAGTGTTTTGGCTGAGACAAAACTTAAGACATCTCCATCGGATAGTCTATCACCAACTTCGTAGTTACGTCTAATCTCCTTGATAGTAGTTAGACCCCAATGTTTACCAGTGAAATCCTCATCAGCGGATTCCTCATCAGGGTCTTCATCAAGTTGATTAGCTTGTTGCAGAACAGGAGGAACAGCTTCGAGATGCTTTATTCTCTCACCCAAAGAAGTGATGGCGTTGAGAATAGCATCAAGGTTCTTTTCAGAACCAGCTTGGTTGTTATCCAAGGTTTTGGATGTTGGGTCAACCACAGAGGGGAGTGAAGCTGAGCTACCATTGTCAGTTACTGGGATGTAACCAGACTTGTAGGTAGAAGTTGAGGATTTGCTTGCTGAAACTCTTTGACGAATGTTGGAAATATTCGCCTTGCTTGGTGTTTGAACCATTTCAATATACTTAATTTTTTTGAGCATAAAATTATTTATCAACTCAATTTTATTGTTTACAATTTGTCGAAATACTAACGTTGCATCGTTCCTCGCAACTCTACATTTGTCACTACTAATCATTCCCTGTTGTTCAAATGGTACGTCAACTCCTTGTTGTGTCATACAAACTTCATCAATTATTGCTTGTTCAGACATCGTCACTTTGGTGCTTGAAGTTTTTTTTTTATTGTTCTTTAAAAAATTAAAATTATTGTGATTTTGAACATGTTACATTGCAAATTAATAAAAACAAGATTGAGAACAAGTAATCCTCATTATAGAGATGGTACTAAGTGACAGTGAAACGGGGGACGGATGAGACGGAGAACACTCAGTTTCTTACTAAAGACGGGAGAAGAGCATCCGCTTAATACTGATGACGGTAAACCAAAATGGAAAATGCACAACCTTAGTAACACCGATAAATTGAATGATACATTTAATAAAGTTAAGAATATGAAAAAATATTTCAACATCTAGTACGTGATGTACTTTGATGATTCTTCGAGTGGTTTCACATCCGTAAGCTGCCAAACGTTCACATCATCATCTCAACATCATCTAAATAGTAGTAATAGTAGTAATTTTTATTATTGGACTTTCATCATAAAATAGTAAATCAATTTTTGGATTATAATTTTTCAAGTTGGTAAACCATCATCGGAACACTCACCAACCGTCATCATAGATATATTTAATATAGTAGAATAGTATGGGTGATTTCTATGTCTTGGAAATATCTTTATTTTGGTGAAACTCAACATTTTACTAAAATCATCCTCACTGTTGAATCCATTGGAAAGATTGGAAAACTATTAATGTAGGATTGTTGGAAATGGTCAATAGTAGCATAGTAAATTTTGAACAGTGGATTTTCATCAAGTTTTAATAGGGATAGGTACATGTGAATTTTAAAAAGTACATGTACCATTACTCAACATGTACTTGACCAACTTGGAAATCTTCTAGTACTATTGTTTAAATCACTAATAAACACCATATTTAATATCAGTTTTTCATTATTTTGTGTTTTGGCTTGGAGAGTGATTTCTAGCCAAACCTTTTATCATTCACTCCTTCAAGAGTGATTCAAAAATTATCAAACTCATTGTGAACATTACACAATGATATTAAAATAATAAAATTCTTGTTTTTTCTTTTTATTTCATTTCTTTCACCTTAAATCGAACAATTAACCTTATTTCCTTAAACATCATTAAGATCAAATTGAATTTCAAAGATAACCAACTTTTTCAACATCTCAAATCCTACACGTTATAGGGATCACACTCATATCAATTAATCCTATTTTTCATTTTCAGTAAAAAATCAAAATTTGAACTTTCCAAAGTTTACTATTTACCTGAATTGTTTGAGAAGGAAACTTCTCATAAAAAGAAGGGTAGTTACCCAACAGTGTTTTAATCAACTAAGTCAAATTATTTCATGTCATTCTTAAATTTGAGACAGAAAGAGTGAAATCTTTGATTTTAGTGAATATTCCACAACAGAGGTGTTGTGTTTGTTACCGTCACACCGTCAATTAGTATCTCCTCCTAATTATACTAATGGGTATTAAAGCTCAGGGACTGTTTCACCTTTAAGGTGATTCAGCCTTGAGACCTGCTTTAATGGATATAAATCTTTATTAGCAGGTCCCGAGATTAATAAATATGGCTCTTATAAAAAACTTATCAATAGTATTAGTAAAGATAAGAAAAAAATTAGGAGATGCGAATAGGAGGCATAAACTAAATTGAAATTAAAATAAAAAAGATATCATTCGATGAACATTTCAATATGAATGTAAGCAGCGATAGATCAGTTGGTTAGATCGTAAGCCTAACACGCTTAAGGTCGCGGGTTCAAGCCCCGCTCGCTGTATCCATTTTATTTTCTAATTATTTTTGACGTAACCAATTCCAAAGAATTCAACCAACAATTGGACTGCAGTTTCGTCCAATATTTGAATTGTATAACTGAAAGGGTTAATTAGAATTGGTCCCCTTGGTGATTATTTCATGTCTTGTGCTCTTGCTTTTTATTGAATTTCTAATTAGAAAGTACTATTCTTTAGCATTTTTCATTCTCATTGATTGCATTGCTTGACTAATCTCCTTATTGGAAGATTTCAATCTTTCGAATAAATCAGACATGTCCAATAAACAGTGATTTTCCAATTTTTCAAAGAAATTCAAATCCAAACTTTCACTTTCTTCGATAAGTTTCGAATATTCTACATTCTTCTGTTGAATATAAGGAATATTCAATTCGAAAGGTGAACCAATCGTTAAATAATTCTCAACAATCTTTCTCGCATGATTTTTCACAACTTGTTGGTCAACTGAACGTTTCTTGAAAATTTCCTTAAATTTCTGAATATCTTTCCAAGACGAAACACTTTCCACACAGAAAGAACGTCTCGCAAAATCCAAAACAATCTCAAAATATTTTCTATTCAGTAAAATTAATTCAACTTCTGATTTTTCTTCAACTTGAGTTTCGGTTTGATTCGTTTTCTTTGAATTTAAATATTGAGAAACTGCTCCATACACAGCAGGTCCAAACGTATAAATCAAAACTTCACACAATGAATAAACTGTCAGGGTATATCCAAAAGGTAGAAAATAATCAACCAATGATGAAATGACATCGATTCCTGTCATTACTCCAAATGAAATAATTCCAACAAGTTGAATCACCAAAAGTATGACAGTATCTCTCTTGATATTCCATGTATCCTTATCTGAGATCATTGCAAGAATAATGGAAACAAATTCCAATATGAAAAACATTACAAAAACACATGCCAAAAGGATTACAAAATTTGTGCTCAATGCACAGCCATGTGAAAAGTTAAAGAACCCAGTGTCTGGAATCATGATTTTGGGTGATGAGGGATTGGATTGATACATGGTTTCTTCCACAGCTCCCAAAATTATCCATAATAAGATGACGCCAAATGTCAATAGAAAATAACAAATCATCATGAATTTGTAACTTGCCAAGAATGTGAATATTTTCATTTTCAACTTCTTTTTCCTATCCAATAACATGCTTTCTCCATCCTCCTGTTTGATCGATGTTTGAATTGTTTCCTCCTTCATGGTACTTGTCAACTCAATTTGACTTGTATTTTGCATGTCGTGCATGGATGACGAAATTTCACCACTACTCAAAGATTTGACATTAAAACTCTTCAACAGATTCAACCTATACAATGCAAACAATCGAATACATCTAAAACTGGTCGGCATTGTAAACATTGCAGGGATTAGAATAAAAACTAGAGTAAACAATCCACATGGAAAAATCTGTCGTCCAATGGCCAACCGAAACAACAATAATCCTGTCAAAGTACAATGAGCACACACTGAAAAAACCAAATAGAATGGGTCTCTTGCCTTTACATAACCAGATTTTCTATAAATTATTGTCAAAATTATTCCACTCAACCCGAAAATAAACATGGCAGCAATGAACATTGATGAAGTAATTGTGGTGGAAACAAAGTCAGGACATAGACCATATTTTTCGGTGGAATTGTTGGAAAGAAGTAGTGGATGACAAGTGGAATTAGTAGAGGAGGTGATGTTTTGTGTGGTCATTCTTTTTTATTAGAAAGTGGGAGATGGTCAACCGGTGCAGAAATGAAATGGTGGGAGCACATGAACAATGTACTACGAAGCTCTGCAATAGTATGACTAAACTTACAGAATACTAACTAATAAACCAGAGCTCTTCGTTATGCAACAGTTGATGGATGACACTTTGGGAAGAGTTAGTACATTGAAGGTTACAAGATAATATTGCTGACAGCTAATCACAGCAATTAGTTTGCTCACTTAATCTTTTTGAAGTTCAAATTAGATTTTACAATGAATATTGGTTGCTTATTTTTGATTGATTTAGTTCTTGTAAAGAATCACGATTTGAATCTTTTTTGGGTTTTTTCACGTTTCATTTTGCTTTTTTTCAGGCATTTGCTGTTGTGTTTCTTGAAAATAAATATAAAAAAATGTTTTCAGAAACAATTCAAACTCAATTCTACTCTTTCTTGATTGGTATTCTTTGTTTTGCTATGAGTAGTGTAGCTTCATCAGCACTCTCGAAAGGCAAAAAGGAAAGTGTTTCCCACCATAATAATTCTCATACGAAACAAGACGATTCAGATTTATGGAATTTTACTGTCTCCCAAAGAAAAAATGAATTGAGGGAAGAACGTAGAGTGGTCCATAATCAACGTTCAAACAATTATGAAACAGTTCAATCTTTGGAAAAACAATTATCCGAAACTGAAGTTGCCCTTTTTATTGCTAGAGAACAATTGAGTGCTGCAAACAAGGAAAAGGAAGCGTTGGAAGAACAAGTTATTATTCAAGCTTGTCATATTCAAGACTTGGAGAACAAATTTTGAAGAAACTAGATATCAAAACAGTGAGCAATAAAATTAAGTACAAAAGAATATTTACGAGCTAGTCTTTTTATAATGATATTAAGGAACATTTCATTTTGAATGTAAGCAGCGATAGATCAGTTGGTTAGATCGTAAGCCTAACACGCTTAAGGTCGCGGGTTCAAGCCCCGCTCGCTGTATCCATTTTACATTTCAATTTTATTGTCCAAGAATTTATTCTAATCTAATGTTCGTAACTTTACAATTTTTTTATTCACAAATCTACAAATCAGCTTGGAATGATAAATCTTCTTCTAATGGTTGTTCGACAAAGGCATCATCCTCTCCCATGTCTTCTCCAACTATATCTTCCATAGATAAGTTGAGAGCATCAGAGACAATACCCTTTGACAATGCCATTCCCATAGTATTGAGGGAATTGCTATTTTGCCTTACTTCTATCTTTAAGAGCTTGATTGCTTCCTCTTGTTTTCTGTTGGCATCCCTTAATTGAGTGATTAACTTTTCCTTTGCAGCATCCTCTGCTTCAAATTGTTGAAGGAGTACCTTGAGATCGTGAATTTCTTGTTGTAATGTCTTTAATTCACAAATCTTCTTCCAGTACTTGTCAGATCGTTCCTTGGCATCCTTGTACTTGTTCATGTATTTGAGAAGCACTTGGTGAGTTTGTTCCAATTCACTAACTCTTGCTTGTTCATCCTTTCTGCTTTGACGTAAATCATTTTCCAATTGGAGAATGTACTTGTTGGTAAACTTAATGTCTTCCTTTCTCACCACTGTTTGAATGATTGTATTTCCAGATGATTTACCTGTTGAGGAAGGTGGAACTGAAGAAGAGGATCCATTTTCAACCTTATAAGCACTTCCACCAGCCACCGATCCTGCAGCACTGCCTTGAGTTGTTGGCGTTGACATTATAGTTGATGAGACCACTACTTGTGCCTTTCTTGCCTCATCCAATTCCTTACTGAGCTTTTCAATCTGAAGCTTGAGTTGCTCATTTTCTTCTCTAAACACTGTGTTGTCATTTTCTGCTTTTTCAAAGCTTTGTTTGAGATCAATATTGCTTTCTGTCAATTTCAAAACTTCCACCTTCAATTGATCAGTAGTACCGGCCTTGTCCATCAGCTCTTTCTTTGTATTTTCAATGATGGTAATATGTTCTTGAGCATTATGCAATTTAAGCTTTAACTCTTCAATGACAATATCATCTTCCTTTTTGACCTTCTCACAAGCTCTCTTCAATTTGGTTATTCTTGCTTTGTGGGCAGAGTTGAAGAGTTTTGTTGGAGCAATACCCTTAACATCAGTTCCACGACCTGGAGAGAAAACAGCCTCTGGATAAACTTGACCCAGTTCAGAGGTATTTTGATTAATACCAAACATTATATCAATCCATTTGTGTAAATTTTGGGAAACGTGTTCACACTCCAAGGCATCTCTAGCTTTTTGGATGAAATCTTTAGCACTCTCGGCCCAAGGTGGAAGGCTAACGTCACCAGTTCCTCCCAGAGGAAGACTCTTAAAATTAATGAGAACCAATCCTTCACCACTGTACAAATCTGGAATTGTTTCTTTTGGATCACTTCCAGACACTATACCCTCCCAACATTTCTCAAGAGACATGAAAAGCTTATTGGTATCAATGAATTTGCCGTCATTAAAATGGAACATGATATCAGGATAACATCTCACCAAATAGGAGAGGATATTTTCATAAGTCATGCAGAAATTGTCACATACTGGCCTTTCCAACTTTTTCCTTGCGGCAGAGTTGATGCATCCAATATGTTTGGACAAGTCTCTGAATGTGGCAGGGTTTTCAAGATCTAACTTTTCTGATTTCAAATCAGCAAAAATCCAAGGGAAGATTGGATACAAGTAGACATCATTCAATGTACGCCCAGCGTATCTGTTAAGATTTTGGATATATTCGAAAGTGGAGAGATAACCTGTCACCCATTGTTCTTGATCTCTTTTCACTGATTCATTAATATCGATCATGCTGTTTTGTCCATAGCTGATCTTTTCAAATGTTGCATCTCTTTCCTCTTCCTTATCAAAGATGAAGAGTGCAGAGGATTCATTATGTAAATGCATGACAAATGCTTTGGATCCATTCAAATATTCTGTTTTTACAAGTGCCAATACAGATGATGGGGAAAGTTTTAAAATGTGAGGCTCACCACCAAAACAAAAGTTTGGTTGGAAGTACACTCTTTTTGAGGAAATTGCAAATTTACCTCTCAACTTTTCAAATGAAGAAATCATGAGAGCTGAGGTAGTGTAAGAAACACTTTCATCCTCAGTCAGCCATCCAGTATTGAATGGTGTTCTCTTTTCAATCATTTCAACCATGTCTGCAAGTTGTTGATTTCTTGTTTTGTCATCCTTTGTAAGAATTACTGATTGCATTCTTTCTAACAAATCGTAAACCTTTTGGAAGTTTTCTTTTTGAATACCTAATGTAATTTTTGTAATCTGTGTGATTAATTGATGATGAGTTTAAGGATTTTAAAATCATATAAACCAGTAAGAATAGCCATGAACATCATTCCAAAAATAATTGAAAACATACCTTCATCTTACTGTGATCCTTGCTATCAATTAAACAAACTCTTGCAGTTGAAATCGTCACTGTGGAACATTTCTTTGAAAATCCCTTTGCAGCTGCCTTCTTAATGTTCGAAATATCCTTAGTCAGAATACGATAAACTGGAAGTGTAAAATCCTCAGGACAGAAGGTTAATGATTTTGTGGCGAGAACAAGATGACCTCTTGGGTGATCATCTTCCTTTGTATTGACTTGAATATATGTTGAATGACTTGGGAGAATTTCCAATATCTCTTCATCACTCTCCAAGTACATGGATGAAAATCGAACACATGCCGGTTTGGCCTTAAAGAAATCTATAGGTGATGATTTGTCAGAGTTGTCATTGTTATTATTGTCGTTTGCAGAGTTGTTATTGTAGATGTGAGTGAACAATATAGAATTTTTTATTATTAGACCATCATAACGGCTAGTACTTACTCAACATTTTTGTCTCAATAAAAACGTAAGGCTTTTCTAGGGTTGTTTGTCGACAATTTTTTTAATGTTGTGATTTTAATAATTTTTTGGAGGGAAACTTCTACAACCCATCAACAAGACTTCTCTCCACATTGTTATTGGCAGTTGAAGATTCCGATGAAGAATCCTGTTGTGGCTCTATGAAATCAGTGAACGACTGCATTGAGCCTTATTACCATTTCCCCATGAAACGGCTATGTTTGTACTAGCTAGTTTATAGTGGCATTCATTTTCATTATCATTAGGTTTTGTGTAAAATTCAAGGATTTTCTCCTGTATTGTTCCTATTTGTTAGTAGACTAGATCAAATAATTGACAACTTTTTCTTTACATTAAAATACAAGAAGGATTTATATTATTAAAATTATTAGATGTTTGATTATCAAATATACATTTTGTGGAAAATAATTGTAGAATTACAACTATGACAAGTTTGTTGTTGTTGTATGGGATGATGACTTAGATTTTCTCTCGGCTAAACAATTAATAATAGGTTCCCTTCATGTAGTTCTTTGCTTTACGTTTAAAGTCTTCTGGTTGATCGACGTAGTGCTTGGCAGCATCAACATCGAGAGGATCATCGGGATTTGGTTCGAGGAAGAGGAAGTGAAGACCAGTAAAGATGGCATTCAAGTTCAAAACTGGCTTCCAGTCAGCTCTCAAAATATTCAAACAAACAGCACCATTTTGATCAATATTTGGGTGCCATACTTTTGTTTTACAAATAACCTTTGGAGGCTTGATTGGATATTCGTTTGGAATGTTAATTTCAAATTCGTGTGGGTGAGCCTTCCAAATTCCGTCATCAGGAACAAGGACAAGAGTCATCTTGTTGAGTTTGTTAGCATCGTCAATTTTTAAATTATCAGACCACTTCTTTTCAAGTTCATCAAGATCTTTTTGAACACGAATTTGATAACCAGTGCTACGACCACCACCACTGGCAATAATACCTGTTACACCTTGGGTGGCTTGAGGAGTACCTGATTGTTGTTCCTTTTCCTTTTGAATACGGGCTTTGGCAAACATTCTAGTATTTTTTTTTATAATAAAAATAAATTCCTGTTCTTTTGTTAATAAAATTTTATTCAGCACAAGTTCTTTCTCTTTACAATTCTTTAAAAATAGAACAAGGTGTTGTTTTTAAAAACTTGGGATGAACTCTCTTACAATTATTTTCATCATCAGATGACAATAACAGAGGGTGTTATCAAATTATTCTTCTTCTTAGGGAAGTGCTAACTAACAGTGAGCAGTATTATGAAGAACTTCATCACCTACAATTTGTTAAAATATTTCCTGATCATCAAAAACGTTATCCATGACAATGATGATAACTTTTAACATCATCTTGATAACATTTAAAAACCATCAAAGTTAGTATCACTCAAGTAGGATTGTCTTGATGAGCTTCTACTATCATTGACAGGCATAAATTCACAAACAAAATCATTCCACTCAGCAAAAACATTGGCCAACTCCTTGCTCGGATCGCTTCTACCACCAAGAATCATCATTTGGTCATCAGAGAAATCGGATGTAGAAACACCATTAGATTGTAAATTGAACATTCTTTCTTCAATTTCAATTTCTCTTCTGATAAATTCATCTTCATCTTGACAATTATCAAAACAAGTTTCATCATATGATTCTTGTTGATAGGTTGGTGAGGCAACATCTAATTTACATTCGTATGGAACAATGGCTGAACCTTCACAGAGAAGAATTTCCTGTTGGTCAAAGTTGTACACTGACTCGTCAACTAGATCATCTTCCAAGCTAATTGGAGCATTTCTAATATCAAAGTCTTGTCTCTTTTCTGATTTTATGAGAGGAGCTGATGATGGTCTAATGATAAGTTGTTGTTGACTTGTTGTTGAGGTGGTAATCATTTGGAAAGGATCTTCATTACACAATAAATCACCTTCGTTGGAGAGGTGACTATCTGTGCTACTAACATTGGAAACACTTCTCTTCTTTCTACTTTGAATACTGGATGAGGAGCTCTTTTTAGCTTCAGTTTCAAGGGTATCCTTGAGTTTTTCTGGAATTGGAACATTTGAATTACAGGTAATGTTGGTTCTCGAGATTGGTCTACCTTTTCCTTCTTGTTCATACTTTCTAAGCATGATCCATCTGTGTCTGCATTGAATATCAGTTCTTCCTTGGAATGAATCAGCAATACTCTTCCAAGCACTTTCACCAAATTCTCTGACCTTATCAATGAGGATGTTATCTTCCTCTTCATTCCATGGTTTTTTACAAATCTTTGGATTTAAGACTCTCCACCAATGTTGATTACATTGGTCGCTATTCTTTGTGGCTACCATCTTGGCAATTTCATTCCACTTCTTTTCACCATACTTTTCAATGGCTTTGAGGAGGAGTTCATTTTCATTCTTGGTCCATCTGTTGCAACTCTTTCTCTTACCATTGGCACCATCATCAGTTGGTGAAGTTGGTTCCGATTTAACCTTTGGTGGTTTTGTTGATGATTTTGAGGCACTGTTCTTTCTCTTAGTTTTTGATGTTTTAGTGATGGAATTAATTGGTGTACGAGGGAGGGCAGCAATATCAAAGTCTTCCTCTGGTTCCTTCTTTGGTGGCATTGTTGAAACAACAGAGGCCATAGCTTTCTGTTGTTGTTGCTGTTGTTGCAAGAGGATGGTTGTATGATTAAGGGAGCTGTACAAAACTGATGAGGTATTACCAAGGACCATATTAATAGGAGCTGATGTTATAGTCATTGGTGTTATGGAGGATGAGGATATTTCAATCCCCGAGTTAAGGCCGGTTGGGCTACTGGTTCTAGAACTTTTCACCATTTGATTATCAAATGATTATATTGAAAACGGTTTAAAAAGTAGAGTGTATTTTTCTTGAGGGTCTCAGTTTGTTCAAAACAGAATTGGAGGACGTGTGTTCTCTTATTGTGTTACGTCTCTTGTTCGTTGTTGCTCTTTGTACAGCGCGGCAACTGTGTGTTGTACTTTTTTTCTATGGATGAAATTGTGTTCCTTAGGCGGGACTCTTTTAAAACTTAACGTTTATTGAGAAGTTGAGGAAACAATTCTTGAACAAACCGCTCTACCCGAATGTCTCTGGCGCCAAATGAAATTCTTAACGCCTCAATGACCATTATGGACTAGCATCTCACCTTATTTGTCTTATTCTGCTCTTCAATTTGTTTTTCCAAGTTGTTGAAAAATTTTGGAGGTAAAAGAAAAAGTGATGGTGACTGCCGTTGTAGTTTTACTTCTTCAAGAAGAAGCATCATCAATGATCATTAAATTTGATGGTTTTTTATTATTTTAAATGTGAGGTGATGAAACAATGTAAATGGGATTTGATGGTTCTTGATGGACTAGATAGGGATGAAATGATTCGGAATGGAATAATTATCGGAAGAAGAGGGTTTAATGGCACAACTATTAAATTCTAGATTGTTGTGATTATAATTGAAAAGAATGTGTTTGTTGGGAATTCACAAACAATATTCTTCTAAAAATCCCGTATTTGATATTTATGGACATGGTTTGGAATTCACAACTCAAACATTTTGAAAAAATTCATGGTGGAGAGTTGTTCTCTCACAAAACAGTTTCAATCCAACAAAAAAAGCAACACAACAACCTTCTACCTTTCTAAATCCTGCAACTAACAATGAGTCAAACTCAATGCGCAAGAAAATCATGTGCCAGCTCTTCATCTTCCAATGAAGGAGTTTCCAACACTAAAGAAAACCAAAAAGCAATTGAGTTGGAAATTATTAAAAACAATATTGCAAGATATCATGAAGAAGCACTCGATCAATTGAGAAGATTGATTCCAAAACAAAAAGAAGAAGAAACGAAAACAACATTCAATCCATCAGATATTTGGCAAGAGTTGAAATATCCAGAATTTGCTTCTTTGGAAAAGCCAAGTATTATCACTCAAGCAGATGCTAGTAGTAGAGTGGATAGTGATGTGTCTAGAATTGCTCCATTTGCTGAAACTGAGAGCATGTCCAGGTTTATTGATAATAACATTGAAAGAGGGTCTCGTGTCATTGACTGCATGGGAGGATATGGACATGTAGCTATGGCTTGTATCCACGGAGGAAAACGTACAGATTTGGCAGTATTTGATCACTTTGAAAACGATGAGAAATCAAGAAGTGTAAGAATGAAAGCAGTACAGAAGAATATGGATCAATATCATACCAAATTTTCAGGAAAGAGAAAGGCCAACATCTATGAGCATGGGATCCATTTAAAACAAGAGATGAGAATCAACAATGTTTTACTACTGGATGCAAGATTGATCACTGAAAAGCTTGAGAAAATCATTGAAGATTTTAAGAATTCTAATGCAAGAGAAATAGTGCTCAAGATTCCAATTCATTTCACACTGGCTAATGAGTTTGCTAGTAGGAATCCAGAGCTGAGAGGTATTGGAATGGTCATGAAGTGTCCAAGTACTAGAATTCACAATGAGACAATGCTTGGAATGGAAGAAGATTTCATTCAATTGCTTATTATTAGAAAGTTGGTTAAAAAGCAAAACAAGAATGATAGACAACAACAATATTATAACAATGATAGAAGTAAAAAGCAAAAGTATTATTAATAACTAATAAATTGAAGAGATAATGATTGTAATATTATAAACTGTAAAAAAGAAACAAAACCTAGAATTAAAATTTAAATAGTTTCATCAAAAAATTGTTTATTTCAAATGAACCAAAGGACCTGACTGAATGAGTTACATTGAGGATTTAATATTGTTGTTTTATCAAGTTTCAATTCAAGTAGTTGTTTATTTACAAGTCATTTGCCAAATGTTTGATAATAATTTCTTCATTCTTCTTTCCAAAGTATTGAGCCAATTCATCAAGTTTAACAAATTTAGCTTCACCATACATATCACTATATCCCTTTCTCAACAATTCTTGGTCCTCATTGGAAAGTTCCTCAAAGATCCAAACCTTTGTGTGAGTGAATAAAGGTAGCTCAACTTGAGATTCTTCAAATGATTCCTGACCTGGATCTCTGACCACATAATCATTCAATCTTCCCAATCTAATAGCTGGTAATTCCTTTTTGCCATCAAAATTATTGAGAGATTTGTTCTTTCCTACATTTGCATATTTCAATCTAAAGAGTTTGTAACACTTATCAATGCTCTTTCCTTCTCCCATTTGTTGAATCTTTTTAGCATTTTCGAAACAATCGAGAATTTCTGCTAGGATTTGATTGGCCTTGAACTCTTTGAATTTTCTCTCCAATTCTTGAATTCTCTCAAAACTCAAACAGGAAAGTAACAATTTCAAAACGTTACAATCAAAGGTTTCATGATTCAAAGGCAATTTTGATTTGGAAAGCTTTCTCAAGGAATAGTCCAATGAACCATATTCGATTGGCTCAGTTTCCTGAACGAGAAACTTTTGGTCCTTCTTAATGTAAACTAAAGTACCTTCTGATTCAATAAGAAAGTTAAATGGACTTCTTTCCAACAATTTCAATGACTTTCCAACTTGTGTCATTCTGGAACGAAACACTCTAACTTTCAATTGAATCATTTGACCAATCTTGAGTCTCTTGTTGGAATTCTTCTCAGAGCAAACTAATCTAACCGTAGCAGTATTATCAGAAAGGTAGTAAGCATATTCTTCTGCAAATATTTCAGAGATTACACCTTTAACAAGGAAAATCTTGTCAATTGCCTTTGGTGCTTGGTCAATCAGTGAAGCCAAGTTTGAAACCTTCTCTACCAATGGAACAGTTGAGGTTTGCTTGAAATGCTTTCTTTCAGTTACAGTAGTGAGATTATTCTTGTTATTCGAATCAACTTTTCTGGTTTCAAATTTTTCTTGTGACTCTTGTCTATTAGAATCTTGCTTTTGCTTCTTCTTAATATTCAATGGTTGATTGCTATTCTTATTGTCTGACATTTTTTTAAAGTTGAGAAGATTTTCCCTTTGACTTGGTCGTTAATTTTATGGCAAAATGTTGTGAATTCGTTTTTGAATTGTTTGCGTTGTGAATTCTAAACCTTCAAATGTGAGTAATAAATAGGGATTTTGTTGACATTTTTGATTTTGTTGATTTTTTACTGACAGGTATGAAGGTTTGGAATTCACAACGCAAACAATTCATTTTTAATATTAGAATTCTTTTGCCAGAGGCTTTTTTATTCAAAATTAACAAAAAAACAAAACTAAATATGCTTGCTGTAGTTAATGAAGGTGTCGAAAGATTGATAAAGGAAGCTGAGAGAAAGAAAGAAGTGGCTTTGCAAGTGAGAAATCTATTCGAAAGTTCAGATGAAATCTCTGATGAAATTCTCAAAGAAAGTAAGCAGCTTTGGGAAGAGTTTGGATTCACAGAGGAAATGTCCAAGATTACTAATAGAAAGTTGGCAATTCAAATTTTGCAAATGTTTGAAGATAAATTGGATGAAATTCTTCTTTTACTTTCTAACAAAGTTAATCCAACACAAGAAGAAACTAAACGAAAGGATAGAGATCCAAAGGTTTCTGATTATTTCCATAGGAGAATTCGTTTCGGTATGAAAACAGATAGTGTTGATGCACTTTCGTATGTAACTCCATACAGACAAGCAAGAGATGTTTCTCATCATATTTTGAAACAATTCGAAACTCAATTTCATAACATTCCAACTCATATCTATGATGCCACTGGAGGAATTGGCGGAAACACCTTTGGTTTCGTCGATATTCTCAGAAAATACTATTGCACTCAACAAGTGAATTTGAAAAGTTTCGAAATGGATTCGAATAGATGCAACTGCTTGAGAGATAACTTGAAAGTTTATCTGAAAGAATATTCCAGACAAGACATGAGAAAAATATCAACTCAAGTACTGGAAGGAAATTTCCTTGAGTTATGGAAAGAAATTCCACAAAACGAAAGAACAAATAGTTTAGTCCTAATTGATGCTCCATGGGGTAATTCAGATTATTCGAAACATTCGATTATTTACGATTTGTATCTATTCGATAATGAAACTCAGAAGAGTGTTAATGAAATTTCACATGAATTACTTTACAATGATGGAGTTTCTATGGTTGTGCTGAAAGTTCCAATGCATTATAGTGAAATGAATTTAGTTTCGAATAGTGAAAAGGTGAAAGTTGAAAGCTATCTCTTGAGAAAGAGTAAATATTTAATCATTTATAAATAAATTTCCAAATAAGATTACATAATAAAATCATATCCAAATCCACCATTAAATATATTCCTCTTCATTAGTAATATTCTTTAATATCCAAAAGGGGAAGAATTATCTGTCCCATCAAAAACATGTACAACATTATTTTGTGAGCTTGTTCAGAATCATTAAACTGTTGTTCAAAATAGAGAGAGGAATCCATAGTTTCGTATGCAAATTTCTCAGCCACTTGTTTAGAAATCACTCTCTTCGTTCGTTCTGCCTTATTTCCAATCAGAACAAACTCTGCAATTTGATCTCTCTCTTTATACATACTCTTCAAACTTTCATACATTGTTTTGGCTGTTGTGAAGGACTTTTCATTATCAATGGCAAATATTATTGGAATAGTTCTGGATTGACGACTAGCTAATGTCAGAGATGGTACTGAAGGGAAAAATAATCCATGCTCGTATGAATTATTCTCTCCAATCTTGTAATCCACTTTTAAATATTCAGTCCAATTTCTATGGATTTTATATTTCGCCTTATTGTAAACAACTGTTTCACAAAATGTTGATCTTCCAACGTTGAAATCTCCGGCAATATATGAATAATGTTTCTTTTTCTCTTTTGGTTGTTTGGCTTGGTATTCATGAAAGCAAGTGCAGGAATTTTTCAATTGTTGAACTTGTTTCTGCCACAAATCAGGATCAAATACAACTGACATAGGGCTCCTCACTGTCCTATTATCATTAATTAAGCAACAGGCAGCTTCATAAACATGAGTTTTGAAATATCTCTTCAAAATCTTTCTGTCCAATATTAAATTTTCATCAATTCTAATATTTTCCATCATGAACAAGTCCATCATCATTGAATTATTGAATATTATCCCTTTTCTGTAAATTAATTCTATAACGACTTTCCGAAATGATTTACAAACTCTTAGCAGAGAAAACCAACTCCCTGAAATGTATTCGAAAATTTCACATAAAATTTCATTTGGAATTTGAATGATTTGGGAGTTTTCTCCGATTGGAGTTGAAGAGAATGAACGTAATGTTTCTAAAATACATGAAAATGGACCAAGTAACAGTTTGATCATTTTTTTGTTGATTTTACGAGTAAAATAGTTGGAAAGAAAATTGGTGTGACAGTGAAAGTCAATGAAATAAGGAACCTTCAAATTGTTTTTCTAGTAGTTTAAAGTTAATTTATTTCTTTGAAATTTCCTTCAAGTAATCCACAAGCAACAAGCCAACATCATGTTTAATCTTATCAGTGGCAATCTTGAAAGAACCTAATTTACCCAAACCACCAAATCCTGACTTGGATAAGGTATCATCATAATTAACAGGAGTCTTTGGTTTAAAGCTCTTTTCCTCAGTTTGTTGCATTATGGTATCAATCAATGTAAGAGAAACCTCGGCAATACGAGTAATATTGGCCTTATTGTAAACATTGATCATGTGTGGTAAAATGTCTGGATAAACTGAAATGAAAACAGATGGCAATTTGTGGAAAGCTTCTTGAAGAGCAGAGTAAATGGCAATACGTTCTGTATCCATATCAACATGTTGTACAGCTGTGATTAAGAATCTAGTGAAGAGAAGTGGAGTGAATGAAGATGAAGAGAAGGTCTTGTCATTGAAGAATACCTTTCCACCCAAAATTTGGCAAAGTTTTTCAAAGTCTGATGGAATCAAGAGAGCAATGAAACCAAGAATTGAATAATAGAATTTGATGCTGGATTCACTGATAATCTTTGGTGTGGATGGAAGTGAGGATCCTTCCATAGAAACAGGTGAGCTTGCAGTTGAGAGGTCTGATTGAGAGGAACTTTGCAATTGAGGTTGGTCAATAGAGCTCAGACCATCTTCTTCTTCTCCCAACATTAACATACGATTGTGTTGCAATCTGGCAGATAAGGTAATGAGATTGGCACAAATGTTGGCAGTGGTGGACTTTGTTTGTGCATTGGTGAGACCTCTCATCAACAAACAACTCAAAGCAAATGAAAAGTGAGTACGGAAACTAACACCAATGGAAACTTCAACCTTTGTAATCACGTTATCAATAAGGGAACCAGAAACACGACAATAACTATTAAAGTATTCTTCGATGGAAATACATTTTTGGAATTGTGGACTGGCACCAACAGCATTCAAAACACAATCGAACAAGTGAACTACAGCAGGGAATAATGATTCATCACTCAATGCCAATAGCACAATTGGAATGGCAAATACTTGCTTGAGAATTGGTTCATCAGGTGAGAGTTTGTAACTGTACTGACCCAAGCACAACAAGGTGGCAATCTTATAGTCAGTACGGAAAGCAGCAGTATGTTCATTGTTTGCAGAGAAACTATCAATGAGACGTTCAACAACAAATGGAAGAGTTTCTTGTGTTTCTTCGCCTGGTTTGATGAGTACACCATACATAGCCAAAAGTCTTGGAAGGAAGACTGGATTAGTCTTCAAGGCCTTGGAGTGACACATTTGAGTGAGTTCCTTATGCCAACGTTTTTGAATTTCTGGGTCGACCAAATAACAAGTCTTGGTAACTTCATAAAAGTAGTGAGCAAGAGTTTCCAAATCCCACATGTTAATTGGTGAAATCTTGAATGGCTTTTCCTTCTTGGCAGGTGTTGTACCATCATTTTCAAAAGAAACAAATGGATCCATATCACGAGCTCCATCAGTACCCATAAACATGAATTGGAATTTGTCAGAGACTAGGGTATTCAAATGTTGTTGCATAATCTTCTTGTGTTCATTCGTAAAGTCCAAACTAGTGGAGAGTGAGTGAACAACATTGATAGCAAAGCCACGAATAGTAGCACGTAAGAACATTGATCCTCTTCCAATCATCATTGAAATAATGTAGAAGAGAGTTGGGAAGTTGTCCAAAACGGAGATTCTGTTTTGGAAACTTAACATGAGCAAGAATCTGCTATAGATAATAACCTTAGCCCAACCTGGATGTTCTTCAAGAGGTTCAACAACTTCGTGAATTTCATTATCCATAACATCCAACAATTGATCAACAATCATCTTGACAACAGCAGGAGCATGACCACCTGAAGCCAATGTAACAACCAAATCATTCAAAATATCAACCTTCTTGGACATCTTTGGTCCTGCTTCGTGAGCAGCACTAATAATACATCTCATGGCAATATCAACAAGAGCACCATCCTTTGAAAGTTCTCCCCAAATTTCACTCAAAACAGCAGGATAAATATCTTGGAAGTCAATGGTGGACTTGACCAAATCAGGGAACCACTCAGTGGTTCTATCAATTTGAACTTGAGCTTCAAAGTTACTCATCATACTTCCACCAATGATAGACATTTCATAATTTGCTCCCTTCATTTCAGAGTTCATTTGTTGAACTGGTTGTTGTTTGGAATCATTAGCTTGAGCATAAATCATGGACAAATTCTTAATCCATGGCTTCATGTACTTCAATACCAAGTACTTGTATGGCAAACTGACCTTGTTGAAACCACGCAATGCTTCACGAAGGAATTGAGTGGTCAACAAAGGTTTAGCCTTGCTGACTTGTTCAGATAATGCAACAACCAAGTCACCAGTATTGTGAGGAACACAAATAATATCAGTTTCTAATAAGGTAACTGGGAATTCAAATTGTTCAGCAAGAGCAGCCAATAAATTGTAAGCTTCGGATCTAGTTCTTGGGAATTTAGATTCCAAGTTGAGGAAACACATGTTAAGTAAAGAACCTGGAATATCTTGTTGACGAATACCTTCAGCACGTTCTCTACCAACTCTGTCGTCGAGAGTGGCTTCACTCTTTTGTCTGAAAATGGAATTTCTAATATTCATCAAAAGCAAGTCATTCTTTTCGGCCTTGATCATCAACTTGTTATTACTACCATATTCAACAGAGACATGTTCAGTGTTACCAGCATTTGTTGAAATGGTGGCATGTGAAATTGAAAGTAATTCAATAAAGTCAATTCTCTTGGTATCGTGGTTGAGAATATTATCTGAGGTAATAACACACAAATACTTCTTTGAAACCTTAACGACAGCATCCTTCTTTTCACCACGTTGTGAAAGAATGAAAGCAGAGCTGAATGTTGATTCAACATCACGTTCATAATCAAGAGTTGATTGTGGAAGGTCGATATTCTTTCTTTCAATATATTCTTCCAATTCACGAACAGAGATACAGAAAGAAACCTTCTTCTTGATAGCCTTTCTCTTAACATAGGAGAACTTTTGAGAGAGGTGAGTCTTGAGATAGGAATTTGGATTAAAGATGATGGTTCTGGCGCAATTCTTACGAGCACCAGTTGGTAAAGTCTTGAAGAAGTTAACAATGTGGCCAGCTTGAAGACCTGTTTCTTCACGTAAACCAGTAACATCAACAACAACTTCGTATGGTTTAGTCCAGAAATTCATCAAAGTCTTAAAGATATGGTACATGACCTTGTCATCTTCCTTATCTCCTGTACTTTCAGCAAAGTGAGATCCCAAGTTTTGAGTGATAAAGTAAAAGACTGGTCTTGCTTCCTTGCTTGCACCAGATCTGTAGAAGATCTTACGTTCTTCAATTACGCTCAAATCCTTATCCTTATTGTCACTAATGAGTTGAATGAGATGAGGAGTGCTATATTCTTCAGAAGCTGAGGCCATAGTTGTCTTCTTGACTTCCTTTTCTGGAGGTTTACCCAACTCTGTCATTATAACTTGCATACGTTCAATAGATTCTGCCAATTTCTTTGGGTCAGTAACTGGAGAAATGATTGAAAGATCACTATCGTCAATAGTCTTTCTGGTATCCATCTTTTGAGTAGATTGTTGACCTGAACGTTGGAGTTGTACCAATCTTTGTTGCATCTTTTCCATGTTATTGAAGAGGAATCTGTGAACACACAAGAAGTTTTCTTCACGAACTTCATCTTCCATAATAAATTCAGCTTCTTTGAAATCATCAGGGCACTTGGAAGAAACAGAGTCAAAGAATTGACGAGCTCTATCAAAGTTCTTGGCAACGAATGGATCCATCTTGACCATGAAAGCTTCCTTATTAAAACTCTTGGCATCAGAGGCACTTTGTTTTCTTTCAAATTTGATACCATTGGCAACGTTTTGCAACAATTTGGAAATCAACAATAAACATCTGGAAGCTTCAGCAGTTGGTGATTGATCTACGAGACCAGAAGTCTTTGGAGAAACAATAGCTGGATTCAACAAACGCAAGAACAACAAACCACCAACAACAACGTGTTTGGTAGAGTGTCTTTCTTCGTCATCATAAACTGGTGGGAATTTGTTATTAACAGATTCTGCCAAATAATTACAAAGATAACGAATTTGAAGTGGGAGCTCATCAACAGAAGTAAAGACATGTTCAAGGAAAGCTTGAGCAGTGGCAGCTAATAATGTAGCATTCTTTTCAACAGCTTCATTTGGTTTCAACTTGGTTTCATCTACTTCGAAATTACCAGGATCAGAAACAACCTTTTTTACAAGTTCAGACAATGTATCAACAATATACTTGAATCCAACAGAGTTACAATAAGCTGTCAACATCTTCGAAGCAGAACTGTTTGCTCTGAAAAGAGTAGAGGAAGAAGATGTTGCATCAACCTCCTTATCAATAGATCTCTTCAATAATTCCAAAGCTTTACCTCTTTCAGCAAATAATCTGATGAGTGCCTTACACAAGTCATCCATTTCATTTACAGAAACACTTGATACCATCAAGAAGACCAAATCCAAGTTTGGATCTTGAATTAAGAGATTGAGAAGCTTGTCGTACTTCTTTACACTTTCAGTATTTTGCTCTTCTTCCAATTGAATACCTTGTTTCATGACACGAGTTAATACACTCAAGAAGGCAGAACGAGTTTCTTGATCTTCAATATAGGTCATCTTCATGAATTGTTCGAGACCGTAGTTAATATTAGACTCGAGCAAATTACCCAAAGACAAGATGGTATATTCACGCAATTGTGGATGAGCATCCTTATCAACCTTGGATCTTGTCAAGTATCTTGAGAGGAATGAGAAGTGCTTGATGAATTCACGCTTGTTCATATCATCATTCTTTTCACCATTTCCAGCCGATTGTTTATCACGAACTTTGGTAAAGTTCAAATCCTTGAGAACAGCAGAAATTGCCTTCATACACAAAGCATCCAAGTTAGGGAAATCAAGTTCAACAACTGATGTTGTACTACTGGCAGCTGTCTTGTTGACGAATTCACTAGTCCATTCAGTAATGTGTCTCAAAGCTTCAAATCTGAACATAATTTCATTGTTAAAGGTGATATATTCCTTACGCTTCATCATGATATCAATCAAGATACATAATTTACACTTGATAACGTTATAATCCTTATTCAAAACCAATTGGGAACAATAACGAATAAAGCTCAAAATGAGAGTTTCAAACTTGGCCATGGCTAAATCTTCAGAATTTTCTTGGGCTTGTTCAAGGACAGAACGAACAATGTGAATGGCCTTTTCTACGAATAAAGTAGAAGAGGAAGAAACACGAACAATGGAAGCACCTTCTTCAAAACATCCAGAAACATAACTGTGCAAAGATTGGAACAAGACACCATATAGTGAAGGAGCCAACTCTGTACCAATAGTTTGAGCAACATTGTCACGAATGAGTGGAACATCACTCACAACCAATCTCATCAAATTTCTAATCAAATCATCCTTCATGGAAAAGTCCTTCTTTTCCTTCTTGAGAGTGGTACCACCACGAACTCCTCTAGCAGATAAACTACCATCATTAGTACTGTCATCTGAACCTTGATCCTTGATTGGAACTGGATTGTTGGATGGATTCAATAAAGTTTCACTTGATTGTAAGCAAACACCACCCATAGAACATAAGAATGCTGTATAGTTCTTCCACAAGTTCTTCAAACGAGTATGTTCAACTAATCTGGCATCATCAATGAGTTCCTTATTTCTAATTGAACCTTCCTCGAGAGTTTTGGTAAAGTCCTTCCAACGAGAGTACATTTCAATGAAAGCAGCCAAGTTGGCCTTTGTTTGCAATTCAACACGACGCAAGAGACGACGAATTGATTTTTGTTGGTGATTTCTGGTTTTACCTAGTTCATCCAATTTAGAAATCTTACGATAGAGTTGATAATTTTGAGCAATACCATTGTGAGTTTCCTTATTTTCCAAAATATCAATCATGTCACACAAATCTCCAAAGACACCAGCAGCAGTTGTCCAAATATCTGGATCAGTGGAACATAAAAGAACCAACAAGGTTGATTCAGCTGATTCCCACATTTGTGTACGCTTTCTACTGGCTAAGTTTTGGTCGGTAATCTTATCTTTGTGTAAACTCAAGAATTTGTTTGATGCAGTACAAACATCCTTGACTAGTTCTAAAATGGTTGTAACATTTTGTCCCTGAGATTCCTTATCTTGGAATAAGATGAAACATAATCTAGAAATAACAGAAGAACTCAAATCAATGAAACCTGTAGCAATATCTTGAGGACACCATTGCATAATATAGTGAGGTTGGAACAATTTTTGAAGTAATTTGTAAGCTTGAGCTTGAACTTGATAATTTGATACGCCTTCTAAACAATTGACCAAACCAACAAAGAAGTACAAAATTTCGTTAATGTGGCCAGAAATATTGTCACTAGTATTTTCCAATACAAGTCTAGGTTCAGCAAAGAAGACAGCCAAACAAGCTAATAAAGTCTCAGTGGAAGGAGGGGTAGTAGATCCAGAACTTGAACCACTTGGTTGGGCAACTGATTGGCCACGCTTATTGTACAAGAGACTTTCTTGTTGGAGTAATTCTTGGAACATGTTACGAACAAATTTTGCAATATGTTTGTAACTGTGAGCAAGAGTTGGATGCCACTTGAGGGATGTAGAATTCTTTCTAGCAAGTTTTAACATGGCTTTAGCAAGAGCCAATTTAAAAACTGTATTCTTGGTTTTGAAACAGTGTGGGAAAATGTAACTGGTTACGTGTCTTTGATTGATTCTATAAGCAGAAACGAAAAAGTCAACCATTAATTTCACATCAACGTCATCTGTACCATTTTTACGAACTGGATTATCAACATTCATTAAACGTTCATGTAATGCATTTTGAACTTCACTGTTTAGGAAACGGAAAGCTGTCAAATCACGACTCTTCAAATAGGTACTGGCCTTGTAAAAATCTACAAAACAAACAACTGCAGTATCAGAATTTACATCACGCTTAGTATTCTTTTCCTTGAGAGCTTTGAGAATATTTTCCAAGAATTTGTACTCCTTCTTTTCAGATGGCTTTGGTTTATCACCTTGTTTAACAGCCATAATTGTATTGGCAAAAACTTCAGGACACAAGAGAAGAATCATTGTTTGGAGTGGCCAAATGAATGGAGCTTGTTTCTTCAATTTTCTCTCTGCAATAACATTGAAAAGTTTTTGTGGACCTCCTGGTAATTCAGTTTTGTTTTTACAATTTCTAATGAATTGATGAGGATAGTTAGTAATCCAATTCCAAACTGCTTGTCTCAATGGACCTGCAAGAGCAACAAAAGCTTTTGCCTTCAATTTTGCTTGAACTTCATTCAATAATGAAATTAATCTAGTTAATTTAGCATTGTCAAAATTAATATATTCAATCATTTGATAAATTCTATCATCAACTTCGTCTGATTTCATCTTTTTGAAAAAGTCTTCAACTCTAACAAAAACAACTTCAAAATTAACAACAGACAATTTGAACAAGACACGAGCAGCCAAATGTTTAAGATATTGATGTGGTCCCTTCGTCCTTGTCGATTCATCAGTTGAATTATTGTTGGCAGTATTTACATTACCACCACTTGTACTTAATGACCTAATATTGAACAATGTATCAATAATTTGTGTTAAAAGTGTTTCAGAGTAATCATTGCCTAATTTTGTAATTTCACTTTCATTAAATCCAGCTGGAGGTGCCAATTCTTCATCTGATGTTGAACCAGAATCATCAACAGTTGGTTCACCAGATTGATCAGAACTTGGTTCACTATAATCAGAGGCAGTAGTAGTAGCATCTAGACCTCCAGTACCTGCATCAACATTGGAAGAATCAGCTTCAATCATTAACAAGTGATCATCATCAAATCGTAAATCTAAACGATCATACTTGATTGCAGCACTTAGGGTTTTCAAAAAGAGTTGGAAAATGATGATTTTTGAACGAATGAAACGTTCAGAAACTTCCTCTTCAATAGCATGAAGAGTTTCAGGTGGAATTTGTGAACCAACTCCACTTCCTGTGTTATTATTATTGTTATTATTTGGATTGGCACCTTGTGCAATGTTTTTAATACCATCGAAGAGGTTTAATCTACTTTGGGTTGTTGGTCCACTATTAGGAATGAGGAAAGAACCTCCTGTTGTTGTTGTAGTAGTATTATTATTATTCGTAGTGTTTCCACCATTACTTCCCAATGATGAGGATGATCCAAATGTACCTGTTGTTTGATTAATTATTGATGGATTTGTTGAAGAATCACCTGAAGCACCTGGTGTAAGATTACCACCACCAACAGACAAGGCTAGAGTTTCAGGTGAAGACATTACATTTTGATAATTCTTCTCCAATGATGTATTCACGTGGAGTAGACCATTGATTACAGTATCAAGTTGATAATTGGAGAGTTTGATCAGGGATGTTGCTGTTTGACGCAAATCTCCCATATTATTTGTAGTGGTACGAGAATTGAATGGAAGCTAAATATATATATTAAATTGTGTTATGTTAGTCATTATATTTTCATTATTATTATTCATAATAATAATATTGGTGGTGAGAAAGTGGCACAGCGTTATTGTTATTAATTATTATTGTTGTTGTTGTTGGAGGTTACATGTAATATATTCATCGTTATGATGATGATTTAATAAACAAGATAATATTCATCATCATCAAATCATTTTTTGTTGTTATCGTCGTCATCGTAAAGATTGGTCCATCAACCACCACACAATCAAGTTGATTTGTTTGATGTAATAATAATAACAACACAAACACAAACAACAACATGTTCATCATGATGATCATCCGTAAATTAATTTACAGAGTGGTGTGAGAATCGACAGCAAATTCACCATATCGCAGAATATAATTATTATTTAGTTCAACTCGTTGTAAAGAAACGTACCAATTTCGCAATTCTGTCCACAAGACCTTCAATTAGAGTATCCATCTTTAAATTGTTGTATATTTGTAATCTCTTGTTGAAAAATCAACTTGGTTTGTATTGATTATTGACTTGATGTTTTCAAAAAATGTGAATTTTATCAAAACAACAGCAACAAGAGAGTGTTTGTAGTTGGGAGGATGAAATTAATTTTTTTCTGATGGATTGTTGTTCACTTATCCACTAGACGATCAAATGTCAACAATGACAGGCCGTTTTTTAAATCTCTTCTTTTGTACTGTGAAGGTTTCGTCCTTGTAACCTCCGATTTGAGAATAGCTAGGGTTTCCTGTTGTTTAATATGTTTCACAAGTCAACATCTTTTTCTCAATAATGTGCTTAATATTATTAGAAAATGTTATATTCGAAAGGTTTTTGCATTTCACCCCAATTATTTCATGATGTATTTTACCATTCCTATCTAAGACCACAAGATGATTTAAAAAACAAATTTAAATGTGTGTAAATTGGTAGAGCAATTTTTTAATAAGACTCGATTGAAAATGCTTTTTTAATAAGACCATCCTAATAGGAAAATCAACCAATTTCAATTCATCTCTCGACCTTACCCGCCAGTAATTCTTTTGCCAAACTATTTAATATAGATATTATTTTAATAATAATATCTGCTGCTGGAATCATAATCAGTTATGATGATGGCAAATGTCACGCCCAATACAAAACAATCAAGAAAAAATAAAATGGCCAACAATCGATCATCACCCTCTTCCGTTGTCATTTGGTGGGTGGTAGCAATAGCCATCTCTTCCGTTCTCTTCTTTGTTCCACTCATTTACTTGATTGCCACAATTCCCCATCTCATTGCAATTTGTAATTCACTCTTTGCCTTTGTAGTACTCTCACTTGTTGGTTTCTTCTTGATTTTGGCAGTGTGGGTTGGAATAATGATCAGAGATATGAATAAGAATGTTGTCAACAAGACTACAAAGAGGAGTGTATTGGAGGAGGAGGTGGATGAAGGTCGCTTGAATGATTATCAGAGAACCTTTGGAAATCAGGCTAGATTGTTGAATGGTGGTGGCGATGATGAAATGTCGGGAGAGGAATATGATGATGATGATGAAGAATCATTGATTCAACAACAACAGGGAAATAACGAATTAGTAATGGAGGAATCGAATAGAGCTGCCAATTTGATTGAAGAAACTCGTAGAAATCAACAATACAAACAAACTACAGAGTATATTGTACAGTTTTTGAGAGTTGGCTCCTTTTTGATTTTCATTGTACTTTTAATTGGATTGTTACTGTTTTCTATTTGGATTGGAACAACAAAGAGTAGAGCAGAAGGTCTTCTTCGTGGATCCATGTCAATTAATGAGATTGTGACAAGAGCCAATGCTGGAGATGTTTCCTATAAGGAAGCTCAACCATACATTCAGAAATTTTTGGAACAATTAGGTCAGTCTACTGTCAAGGTTGAAAGAGATTCAAATGATGTAATTCACATCACTGCCCCAAATGAGTATACACTCTATTTCACTCAAGGTTTTGTTCATGCTCAAGAGAGATTGTGGCAAATTGATACTTTGAAGAGTACAATCAAGGGAGAATTATCCAGCTTGTTTGGATATGGACTCATCTTCTCTGACCAGTACTATCTTACCATGGGATTATATGAAGCTGCTCAGAGAGATTGGGCTAATTTGGGTGATGATTTAAAACAAAGATTGGAAGCCTATGCTTACGGATTGAATACCTATGCCAAATTATTGCCAGGTCTTCCTGTTGAATTTCAACTTTTGAGTTACAAGCCAGGTGTTTTCACTGGTGTTGATATTTTGGCTCATCACAAATATATTAGTTTAACTCTTGCTGGTAATATTCACTCTGAAATTGCTAGATATGGTCTCGAATTGGTTGGTTTATCATATGATAGAATCAAGACTATTCTTCCAAATTCTTATCCAAATGGATTCCCAATTATTTCATCACCAAATGCTAATATTACTTATCAACCAAGTTCAACCACATCATCCACAACTAGTAGAAGTAGTAGCAGTTCAACTAGAAAGAAATCACTCTCTGCATCCATTTCTGTTTTGGCTGGACAAATTATCTCAGGTCTGGAAGATTTGGTAGATATCTTTTCATCTTCATCCACTATAAGACAGAGATTTGCCCTCTCCATGTTCGATCCACAAAATCACTTCTCCTCTCCAGAACAAAAGAATGCCTTCCTTCAAGCTAGTAATAATTGGGTCATTGGTGGTGCCTACACATCAACTGGAAAACCATTACATGCCAATGATATTCACCTTCATTTCCAAGGTCCAAATATTTTCCTCTTGATGCACCTCAAGATTGAAAGCTCAACAAAACCAATGCAAGTTATTGGAGCTTCAATTGCTGGATTACCATGTGTTATTGTTGGCAGAAATGGAAATGGAATTTCATGGTCAATTACCAATGCTGGAGCAGATACAATGGATACTTATTTAATTGATGAAAATGCAGATGGTCTCACCTATAACTATGGTGGCGCCAAAAACAGTTATACTATCAAGACAGTTACACTTTCAGTTAAGGGAGGCTCCAAGGCCATGTTTAATGTTACAACTGCAGGAAGTTTTGGACCTCTGGTTGATAAATTGTACAATATTCCAAATCTCCCAAAGCAAAAGCGTCTAGCCCTCAGATATTTGGATGTTTTATTGAAAACTGATAAGAGCACTCAAACATTCTTTGATTTGCCTTATACAACCAACTATGATCAATTTATTGAAGCTTTTAAAAATCTCAATGCTCCAGTTTTGAATATTCTCTATGCCGACAATAATAATAATATTGGATATATTATGGCTGGTAAACTTCCAAAAAGAGGTTCGACCACTACTGACAATTTAGGATTGAGACCTGTCAAGACCTATGATAGCACTGAAAAGTCTTACACATGGGAAACTGATGATAGTGGAAATTACAAGACCAATGCTTTTGATGATTTACCAGATATTGCTCCAGAGGTAGCTACTTCACGCTTTATATTCTCTGCCAACAACAAGGCTGAAGCTAATCCTGTCACTACCATTACTAATGACTATAGCTTGTTGTATGGAAGAAGTATGAGAATTCAATCCTTGGTTTCCTCCCTCATTGCCAGAAAGAATATCACACTCTCTGATATGGCAAAAGTTCAAAGTGATAGTGTCAGTGTGCTCTACTTGATGAATAGAAATATTTTTGCTCGTATGAAACCTTTCACAGATACTTATAAGGAAGGTGTCAGAAATGATTTGGCCAACAATTGGGATGGTGATATGAAGCCAGATTCCAAGTATGCAACCATTTTCGAGTACTGGATGACCTATCTCACTAATTTGGCTGCCAATGAAACCAAACAAGATAATGACTTACCATTCTCCAAAAAGAAGAGTTTCCCTCTTTCATTGAGATATGCCCTCTCTGCTATTCAAACAGAACTCTCCACTGGAGTTACCGATCAAAATTGTAAGTCATTCTCCAGTGACAAGACATGTCTCGGATACGCCAAGGATCAATTGGAAGCTGTTCTTGTTGCTTTAAGATCTAAATTCTCATTCGTTCCACTTTACAGTTCCTACAGAATTCACCAAACTAAATTTACTCATCCAATCTTTGGCGCCTATGGTTTAACAGGATGTTTGGGAACAAGAATATCGAGAAAGAGTGGTGGTACTGACACTATCAATGAAGGTGGTCCATCTGATGCCAACTTGTCAAACAATTTCGGTCCAACCTATCGTCAAATTATTGATCATGCCAATCCAGAAAGCTCAGTATTTATAATGCCAATGGGTCAATCAGGAAATATCTTTTCTGACACGTACGATAATTACTTACAAGCATGGGAAGATGGTAAATACATTCCAATGAAAACTAAGGATTATATTGTTAGGGATGTTTTGATAATTGCCAAATAAATTGTTGAATTTATTACAAAATATATTGAACATTTTAAATGAACTTTCATTAGCTCTCACATTAAACAAACTTAAATCGCTTTAACCAAATGAATAGTTTATCGGCGCTAAGGAAGAATTTACATCACTCAACTACAATTTTTTTCAATTTTGCGAGAGATTTAATTTCATCTCCAATCAAAACAAAGATTAGAGACAATTCCATCACGCTCAATCAAAACTAAAACGTACCAACTGGGCCATTTATGAAATGTTGGATTCTTTCAAAGATCCAGTGGAGAGTGCCAGTACATGCAGTTTGTAATTAATTTTCTCTAAAAAAACTATTCGAAACCCTCTCTGTTTCTTCTCTCGAATAGTCTAATTGAATAAATTGCAATACTGTCAACAAAAAATAACCTGATATCATCAACATTATCAATTAAGGATTTTCAATAAACTCATAACTCAAAAAAATGGAAACTCAACAAATGACTCCCGAGGTTTACCTCTCACTCTCAAGAAGACGATGCTCCACCATACATGCACTTCCACAAGATCCACAGCTAGGAGAAAGTATGTTCAATTCCTTCTCATTTCCACCTAGAAAACCAGGTCATGATGTGGTGGATGATGTTTTGGACGAAATGGAAGAGATGAATCTCCATGAAGAAGAATCGACGGATGAATAATATCAATTGTTACATATGATGATTCCTGTAGTATATATCAAAGTCTATCTATCCTCGAGAATTTTGTAAAATAACATTGTAAGAAAAAAGAAAAATCGCAAAGACCAGATTGTAATAAAAAAGCGCAATTAGATCTAGAAGTCAACAGTTGTCTCCAATTATTCCCTCTCATTAACAAAACCAATATTCCTTCATGGCAACTCCCAATGCTCCTGTCTTGTGAACTCTAATCACAATATGAGCGAATTTCCAGTGCTGTTGAAATAAGGTGGCACAATTTCCTTACTGTCCAACAACACACACCCACACCATATGTTTGGTTGAAGAGTATTGAAAGTTGTTTATGTTCAAGTCTTCAATTGTCTGATGTGATTACAGTAAATATTATAATCGGGTAATAGTGGAAGATCCAAATCATGATTTGTTTTCAAACGATCAATATCATCAATAATTGATATCAAACAATACTACCAACAAATATATTATTATTATTTAATTGATATTATTTAATTATTTACAAAATTTCCACACAAATTTCAAAAATTCTAAATTTCCATCTCACTGATTTAAAAAATTCAAATATGATGTGTTTCATTAATTTCAAAAAACTTTAAAACTCTCTTATAAATTTCACCACCACTTCCTTCCAATCTATTTTCCAAAACTAATTGCATTGTAACTTGATCAAGGAAATGCTGGAGTTCTGTTTTTCTCTTTTCTATTGTTTCTGGATTTGTGTTTCCAAAGAAGATTTTACCTGGAAAATCATATTTAACATCAGTTGCACCGATTGTTTGCATTTGTGAACTGTCAGATGTCTCGGAATGTTGATGGGTTATTGATGACAGTTGTTTGTATAAATCTCTTAATTCTGAATATCGTTTGGCTACAGAAAGTGTAAAAACGATGGCTTGGGATTTTGTTCTTGTTAGTTTACTGGGTGATTGTGAATCGACAGGTAAAATTGATTTGACAGTAAATGTCACATCATAAATGACAGTGGCATGTTTGTCTTTTGTTGTTACTACGTTATATCCGTCAATTGTTAGTGAAAAGGAAAGTTGATTGGTCTTGTAGGGTGGTAATTTGTTTGATGGTATTTCGTCTTGAGATTCGTACATTTTTTTTAAGTTTCTAATAAAAATTAAAATTGATGATTTTTAAATTTCTAGTTGGAACTTGATGATGAAATGTTGCAGAACTTTGGAGAGATATTTTTTTAATTTTCCAATTCATCATACTTTTATGGAAAGTTTAGTTTATCAGTTTAGTTTTGACATTCAATAAATTATTATATTAAATATATATTATAATATTGTTATTCAATATTATTGAAGGGAATGTGGATTACCATTCATGTTCTATTGAGATAATTTCCATTAGAAAGTTCAATAACAGGATTCGAATAAAAAAATATTCATGAAGAAAGAATAGCTTTTTCGATAAACTACAATCCTTCATTTCTAAAATTATTTGAAGAGAGAAAAACTTCATCCAATATCAATTACCTTTTGTAATACAGTGAAGAGATATTCGAAACTACGTAAGTTCAATTAAAAAAAAAGTTGTAGTATCGAACATTAGAATGAAAGTAAAGATCTCATTTCTCTTGCTCAATATTTTATTCCTTCTCTTCCTGTCAATATTTCTTGACACTTCATTGAGTGCTGACACCTTAACTTTTGTTTCGAAAGGAAATGCGCCTCAAACAGGTTCTTCTTTATATTTCCATAAAGCTAGTAACAAGTTGTATGCGTTTGGAGGTACCACTGATAGTAACAATGTTGTAAATACTATTAAATCTGTCAGTGTCACGTCAACTGTGTTACAGAGCTTGTCAAATCTTAATTCTAACTTCTCAACGACTAGTTTGTCCATTAGTACTTCTTTATCATCTGTAGGATCAGTATCAACAGCGTTTTCTTATGGAGCTTTTCATATTTTGACAATTGACAATCAAGAATATGCATATATATTTGGAGGATCAAATAATCGTATTCAAAGAGCAAATACTTCCTCATTAACATCATTTACAACACTTTATAGTACATTACCTGAAGCCTATTTTGGAGGAGCTACCTTTAGAACAGAAAGTTTCGTCTATTTGATTAGTGGAAGTGGAACGAAGGCAATGTATAGAGCTAGTGTCAGTAATCCAACAAATTGGACAAATATTGGTAATTTTCCAGTTACTATTGTGATGCCAGGAGTTTTTACTTACAAAAGAAAAGTTTATTTGGTTGGAGGTTCTTCTTCCTATTTAGGAGGAACTAATTATAATACTATTTACTTTGCAACTTTTGATGCTCTTGACAAGATGACAAGCAGTTCGAGTGGAGTTTGGTCCCTATCCACTTCCAAGTTACCAGTAGCAGCAGGTAGCTCAACATTCTTCATGACTGATACATATGCTTACATGACATCTGGCACTCTTGGTACAAAACTTTACCGAGCTCCTCTTTCTTCATTAACAACCTGGACAGATAGTACACTGACCACCCCTTACTCAGCCTCTCTCGTCACTTCCTTCACAAGTGGTAATACTCTTCTCTACTATGCTGGTTTGAAATATTCGACAATTTTATTTTGGACTTCAATTTCATCACTTGATAATTTTTACACTTCACAAGTTGAAGAGTTTAAGGGATGTTTTAGTGTGCCAGTTTCGGATTTGACTGTTTGTAATGGAAGAGGAGGCTGCGTTGCAAGGGATGTATGTCAATGTAGTGATGGGTTTTATGGAGATGCTTGTCAGTTTGAAAGAGTTTGTTATGGAGTGACAGCTGGCAGTTCGAATGTTTGTTCTGGAAATGGAGTTTGTATGGCTGATAATACGTGTGTTTGCAATAGTGAAAGTACTGGTTCTACATGCTCTGATTTTACTTGTTTTGGTATTTCTCCAACTGATTCGAATATTTGCTCTGGAAATGGAAATTGTCTTTCACATGACAAGTGCCAATGTAAAACTGGATATTCTGGACAAAATTGTGATTCTTTCACTTGTTATGGACTCCCACCAAGTGATCCAAAGGTTTGCTCTTCCTTAGGTCCATGCATTGGTTACAACAATTGTTCATGTCCAAATTCTCTGGCCGAAGATTGTTCTGCATTTGGATGTAATGGAATAAGCGCCAATAATCCGAGTGTTTGCTCTGGAAATGGGATTTGCACTTCTTTGGATGTTTGTGTTTGTAATGAGACAGTTAGTGGTCAATTTTGTAATGTGTTTTCATGTTTTAATGTTTCGAATGATGATTCGAATGTTTGTTCGGGAAAGGGAAGTTGTTTGAAATCAGATATGTGCTCTTGTCAGAATGGATACAGTGGTAGCCAGTGTGAATTATTTTCATGTGGTGGAATTAGTCGTTTGGACAGTTTAGTTTGTTCTGGAAATGGAAGTTGCATTTCTCCTGATTTGTGTAAATGTAATGAGGGATGGAGTGGTGATAATTGTGAATTTCCATCATGTTTTGGATATTTATCAACTGATGGATTAGCTTGTAGTGGTTATGGAACTTGTGTTTCGAATAATAGCTGTCTCTGTGCGCAAGGATTTCGTGGTCAATCATGTGAAATTTACACTTGTAATGGCAAATCAAATCAAGAAATTCAATGCTCTGGAAATGGTCAATGTTCTCCTCAAACTCTCACTTGTAATTGTAGAGAGAATTACTTTGGACAAGATTGCGAATATTTCACTTGTTTTGGTGTGCTAAATAATCAAACAAATGTTTGCTCTGGACATGGCATTTGTTTGGGTATTAATAATTGCTCTTGTGAGAGTGGTTATTTTGGATTTTCATGTGAATTGCATTCATGTGATGGTATTCCACAATTGTCTGACATTTACAAGAATATGACAAATAGTCCTTTCTCAAATTGGGAAAACCAAATTCCTTGTAATGGTAGAGGAGCATGTACTGCACTCGATACTTGCCAATGTGATTCTGGTTATTTGGGAAAATATTGTTCAGATTTCAAATGTTTTGACAAGCTCGTTAATGACACAAATGTTTGTTCAGGGAATGGAACATGTACATCTCCAAATAAGTGTCAATGCAAAGAAGGATTCTATGGAAATGAATGTGAAAGTTTTGATTGTTTTGGAATTGAAAAATCATTCAAAACTGTTTGTTCTTCAGCTGGCATTTGTATTTCTCCTGAAAATTGTTTTTGTAAGGCAGGATTTTATGGAGCTGATTGTTCCAAGTATGAATGTTATGGTCTATTATTTAATAATTCGAATGTTTGTTCAGGAAATGGCAAGTGTTTGGAGCCAGAAAGTTGTCAATGCAAGGAAGGATTCTTGGGTAATAATTGTGAACTTTATTATTGTTATGGAAAGGTCAATAACGAAACGAGTGTTTGTGGAGGAAATGGAAAATGTTCTTCATTGAATACATGTGAATGTAGGGATGGATATATTGGGGATGAGTGCTCTGTTTACAAGTGTTTCGAAACATTTAGTAACGATTCCACAGTATGCTCCTCTTTTGGTAAATGTTCTGGAATTGATACATGTATTTGCAATGCAGAACATTTTGGAGAAAAGTGTGAATTAACTTGGTGTCATGGAAAGGCTTCAAATGATAGCTCAGTATGTAACGGTAAAGGAATTTGTAACAGCTTTGACACATGCATTTGTGATCAAGATTATTTTGGTGAAACTTGTCAAGATTTCAAATGTGGAACCCTGTTAAAGAATGATTCTATGGTTTGTTCTGGAAGTGGATCATGTTCAAGCCCAAATAATTGCACATGTTTGGATGGTTATTTTGGAACTCATTGTGAATTATTTGAATGTCAAGGAAAGCTCCTCAATGATTCTAATGTTTGCTCTGGAAATGGAACATGTCAATCTCCAAATAAGTGTCAATGCAAAGAAGGATTCCATGGGAATGAATGTGAAAGTTTTGATTGTTTTGGAATTGAAAAATCATTCAAAACTGTTTGTTCTTCAGCTGGCTCGTGTATTTCTCCTGAACATTGCGTTTGTAGGGCAGGATTTTATGGAGCTGATTGTTCCAAGTATGAATGTTATGGTCTATTATTCAATAATTCGAATGTTTGTTCAGGAAATGGCAAGTGCTTGGAGCCAGAAAGTTGTCAATGCAAAGAAGGATACTACGGAAATGTATGTGACAGTTTTGATTGTTTTGGAATTGAAAAATCATCAGAAACTGTTTGCAACTCAGTTGGATCTTGCATTTCTCCTAACTTGTGCAAATGCAAGGATGATTTCTATGGAGCTACCTGTGAAAAGTTTAAATGCTTTGGTGTTAATATGACCGATGAAAAAGCATGTAATCAGAAAGGTACATGTATTGGAAAAGACTTGTGCACTTGTGAGAATGGATATTTCGGTAGTAACTGTTCCCAATTTGGTTGTTTTGGAATTGTTAGTAGCAATGCTAGTGTTTGTTCGAATGGAAATGGCAAATGCATTGGTAGAGATGAGTGTGAATGTTTAACAACCAAAAATGGTTATTACACTGGAAATGAATGTCAATACTTTGTGTCTAACATTACACAAGTTGCATTTGTAATAGATATTGATGAAAATAGAAAGGAAATATTATCAGAACCTGGTGAAGATAGATTTGTGAACTTAAAAGTAACAATGAGCTCGTTGTCAAATGTTACCTTCTTGGTATGGTGTAATAATTGTACAAATTTTACAAATACTGGAATGGATAATGCTCTTGTTTTTTATACACCCCAAATGGTTATTGATGTTTCTAATTTAGCTGTAGGAGGTACATTTGAATTTTCAGTCATTAGTCAGAACATGGCAGAGAAAACCGAATTCTCCAATATTAGAAAGTTTATCTTGGCAATAGTGGTTCGCCCTATTGAACCTTATAAACCTACTGACGTACGAATTGAAAGTTTAGAGGTATCCAACTTTCCAAAGGCAATTATCTACTCATCCTCTCTCAAGTTTGATTTCATTCTTTCCAAATTGACTTTGAACAATTTAGAAGGCAGCAAATTGTTAATGAGTGATTGTATTTCACTCACTGACGAATCTTGTCAATTAAGATATAATTATAATGTATCTGTTTTTGATACATTTAAAAAAGAAGAAATTATCTATGGTTTGAAGGTTAAAGGACATGTATTCTGCCCCGTAGCCAATTATACTAATACTCTAAAGCTTTCACCTGCTATTAATGTTCAGTTCGCTCTTCCAACAAGTAACTTTTCCGCTTCTTCCCTCAAAATAGTTTTTAGTTTTGAAATTGGAAGTGAAAATTATTCAATCCAAACATATTCCCAATCAGAATTAGTTTCTGTGAGTGCTGAAGGTATAAAACCTCCAAATAATTATCAAGTACAAGTTTCTCCTCAAACATCAGTAGCCATAGTAGAGAATGTCACAATAGCTTCACCTGTTTGGAATTGTGACAATGAAAATTTCAATCCTATTCGCTACGCATTTGGTTTTTACAATCCTACTGTCGATAGTAAGAAAGCATGGATAAAGTTGACAGAATATTCCACAAATCCAACAGCTAGTTTCCCACTTCCTTATCTATCCAAGCAATTAAGCACTTCCATGCAAGTAGAAGTTGTAATATTTGTGATGGACTCTCAAGGGAATAGTCAATATCTGAAAATAGGGCAAGCAAAAGTTTCTCCATTTCAAGGAATTTTGCCTTCCTCCATGAGTGATCTAGAGAGAAGTGTTCTAGCCTACGATCAATTTACTCTATCCCATATGGCTGACAGTTCTGTGGTTGTGGATATCGTTAAGAGTATTTCTGTAAATCCTGCAGATCCTGGATCTTCATTGAAAGTTCTGGACTCGCTGACTTCTGACAGTAGCTTGTTGAGTAATCCAGATATTGCAAGTCAAGTGGCTGATACAGTTACCTCCTTCTTGTCAAGTGCCCTTGAACTTTATCAAAACGAGCTTAAAACAAATGGTTTTGTCTCGTCTAAAATGTCAGAAGAAGCCAAATCATCAGCTGTTTCAGTAATTTCCAATTTGTTTACATCTGTTGACACAAATTCAACAACATCTGCAAGTAATGATATTGCCAAAAAGACAGAACAAATGATTCTCTCCTTCTCCAAGTTAGTTCTAGCCTCAGAAGTTCCAAAAGTGTTAGAAACAAGTGACTCTGGATCTCTCGCATTACCAGTGTTACAGTACAATACTCCATCCATGAATGTTACATTCTCCTCATTCATGCTTAGTGGTGGTGCTTCAAAGAGGTCTTCTAACAATCAAGGTACTTATCAATTAACAAGTGGAGAATCAAATATTCAAATAGACTTGAATGAAATAGTTGGAAAATACGGAGGCTATTCGAAACCACTTGGATTGTCCCTTGTCACTTTTGAAAAGAATACCAAGGTTGATAACTTTTCCCTTTCCAATCCAATGTCCTCTATAATCAACGAGTTGAAATATTACCAAAACTCTGAAATTGTGAAGTTGAATGATTTAGATAGTCCAATATCTTTGCAATTTGGAATTAACTCTGCTTCTCTTTTACTCCTTTCTAAAGGGGCAAGCATTACCTCTCAGGAAAGTTTCAATCAAACTCAAAATGTAACAATAATACAGGAACCCTATGTTAGTTGCATGTATTGGGATGAAATTGAGAATGGATGGAGAGATTACGGGTGTACACTTCTTTCCTTTGATAATGTAACTGGAAAGGCAGAATGTGCCTGTACTCACACCACTAAATTCTCAACCTTTGTGCAATACAAGAAGAGAAATGTTACCTCCACTTTAACACCTGCTCAAGTTGTTGCTGCTCTCAGTGAAACAACATTTGAAATTATCCTGAATAGCTTTGAAATAGTTGCAGGAGTAGTCTTTGGTTTTTTCTCATTCATTTTGTTGGTGCTCTTGATAGTGTACAGAAAGCGCCAGCCAATTCAGAGCAGAATGTTGACACCGTATATTGGTATGGTAGCATTACTTGTTGAGAATGTTTTAATTTCCATACTACAGAAAGGTCTCCTTCTCCAAGATACGAGTAATCCATCGAATAGCAGTGATAGTTTAATCTTGGGAGCCAATTTGACAGGAAATATTTGCATGATTATTGTAAATACCTTGAATATTACTGCCATCTTTGCCTATTTAGTTCAAGTTATTCGATTCCAATTCATGAAGTCACTCTATGAAAAGATTAAGAGAACAAGAACAGAACCATCAAGGAAAATAATCCAATTTTTGAAATTCATTACTTCCAAACTTGTATTCTCAGTTTCGGTGTTCATTTGTGCGTGTGTCAACTTGTTGTTATGGACAGTGTGGGTAGCTATATTGAGATCTAACACTATTGATTCATCCACTTATACTAAAGGAAGTGCAATTTGTTATGCCATACTATTAATTGGATGTAGCATCTTGATTTCCATTACAATTATTGTTGATATTTTCACAACTGTTACACGAGATGACGATCAACAAATTACTGAAAGAGCCAGATCCAAAATCTTCTCACCAGAGGAAATGAAAAACATCAAAGAAGGCATTGAAGAAGTGCAAAGTACCTCAGCAGCCTCTCCAATAAGTATTACTGATACACCATCCTATTCATCCTTTGAATTGAGAAAATTATTTAGAAAATTCCTCCACCGAGATGAACCACTGTACTTTAGAATGGAAATGCTCTTCTTCTTGACATGCTTTGTTTTCTGTATCATTCAATTAGTAACTGGCTTGATTATTGATCAAATCAAATCATCTGAATCAACAGTAACTCCAACAATACGTGCCCTCTCAGTCATTCAATTCATATTTGAAGTACTCTACTCTGCAACCTACTTGCTTGTATTTGGTGGTTTCTCTCTACTTGTTCTCATTAAACAAAAGAAGGCAACAAAAAAGCCAATCAATGAAGCTGATTCACTATTTGACGATTCAGAAGTGATGGAATTATTCCAAGATGTACAAGGATTTGAAATCTTTGAAGAGTTTGCTCAAAAGGAATTCTCTGTTGAAAACCTCTATCTCTATGCTGAATTGTTATCCAACAAACAAGTGATTGCTGGTAATGCTCTCCGAAAACTACCAAACTTTTTGGAAGTACTCTCTGATAAGTTTATCCAAAATGGATCCACCTATGAAGTGAATATTCCCTCCTCTACAAAGACTGAATTCAACCAATTGAGAAAATCCCTAAAGGAGGTGTTAATCATGATGAATACTCAAAGTGGAGGGCAACAACAAGCCCATGTTGTGGATATTATTCTTGAGGATGGAGATGAGCAAGATGACAATAATCGTGTTGAAGATAATGTAATTGGCAAGAATCTAGATGAGGAAAATTCTCTGAAGGCAAAAGTGTTAAGCTTCTTTGATGCTCTCTCACGACAAGTTGCCATTAATTTGAGCGATACATTCAGTCGTTTTGCCAATACCAAGAGTTACAAATCCTACAGGAAGAACCGAGATTTCATTCAAAATATGGTCAAAAAGGCCAATGTTGAAGCCTTCCATACAAGTCCCAATGTTGTCTAGGTTATTGAAGATGATAGGATAGTTTGAACTTTATCGTGTAACGATGATA